CGATCGCGACGGAGCTTTCTCTGTAGCAGCTCGAGACACACTGAAGCTCGAAGCTCGAAGCTCGGGCGCTCGTCGCGCGAAAATGAAAATTGAAATAACCCCGATTCTTATTGTGCCGTGTCTCTTCCACACAACCGCCCGGAACGCCTTTTGTTACCTTCGCTCCGGCGATTCCGGAATCGGCGTTTCTTCCATTGGGAAATCTAATAAACAGGATTGCGATGTAACAGGTGAACGCCGGGAATTTCACTCTTCCAATCCGATTTTCCCGATGCTTTTTTATAAACGATCAAATAAAAAGCTCGCAATTCCGTCGATATATCATCTGCAGTCGAATCGGGAACGAGCGTTGTACAAAACGGGAATTAATTGAACGCAAATTGCACCGAAACATTCCCTATACTAATTGAATTTTCGTATACGCAATCGGCGAACTCGATTCAATGCGAAATCAAGCGATTATAGTCCGATCTTCGGGAACTCCGCGGAAGCTAAATGGAATTCAAACAAGTCCTTTTCGAATAAAACTCGTCAATCAACGCGCTCGAACACGCCCGATTGTGTACCGAAAACACAGCGACGATCAATCAAGCTCGAAAGAAATTGAATCGTCTCGGAAAAAATAATAAAATACCCTTATACAGGGTGTAAGTTAACTCGCGAATAATACGACTGTACCGTAGGAACAATTCGGCTGGTTTGAATTTTAAATATTAAATACCCGAGGCTTAGGTGAAGCCCCGACAACGGATCGAACGTATGGAAAAAGAAGAGCAATTTGCGAACAAAAGGCTGGGCGTTTCAGCGTGCTCGGTAGATATTGAATGTGTGGAAATAACGACGGTAAGGAAACCTTTTTCACACTTCGTTTACGAGCCGGGCATATCGGGCGAGCAAATGCGCGCTTTATCTTCGAACTTAATCGGCGGAATGAGCTTTTAACGCGAGGATGCTGGTACCTACTTTCCCCAGTCGATAGTAGACTAGCTTTAAAACGTTATTAACGGCGAAATATCCACATTTCATAATCCACATTTCACCTCAATATCGAATAAAAGCTCTTGTTCAGAGACTATACAGGTTGCTCCATTTTGCATTGCAACATACGCTATGGTTGCAACAAAGACAAGTTCAATAAGACACTTATAAAGGAAAAAGAAAGAGTGATATTATGTCATTGCAACTTTTCACTCTAACAACTATTTCAGTCAGAGTGAAAAGTTGCAATGACACAAATGTCACTTTTCCTTTGTAAATGTCTAATGGAAGTTGTCTTTATCGCACCCATAACCTATGTTGCGATCAAAAATGGAGCAACCTGTATATGGAATTTTTCATAGAAACATTTAGTCTCTTACTTGTAATATCTTCGCTCTTGTTACATAGTGGTAAATAGTTAACATCGTGTGCTAAAGTTTGCTCAATTCTCGCTTGATTTTGCAGCATACCTCGTAGATGCGCCTCGTTTTCGAGCGATATTCGCAAAAGAGAAAGGCATTTCGCATTCGAAGCGAATACTACACAGTCGCGTAATCAATCCGGTGATTGCGTTATTCGCCGAAACGAGCGAGAGATACCACCAGTGTGGTATGTTAGAGATAATTTTAACAACACCACGGAACCTTTCAATTACCAGTACATCGGCTTTTCGATTTGTTATTTGCCGAAAACAATGTGGAATCATCGCCGGATGGTATCGAATTAGAGATTCGACGGGAAATTGGGACGTGGGATGATATCGAATAGAGCAGAGGAACTTCTAAATTGGACTAGTGAATATCGAGTTTAAGATTAAATTAGTTTCGAATTGGGAATGTTTATTAGTAGGAATTAGAATTGAAATTGTATACGAATTAATTTCAGTTCGATTTTGTTTAGTCCCTGGTTCGAAATTGAAAATGTGTTGTACAGGGTGTACCAGAATTTTGATAAGTAGGAATTTCCAGCGGAACTGGACATACATTGTATGAAATTATTAGTAGGAATTAGAATTGAAACTGTATACGAATTAATTTCAGTTCGATTTTGTTTAGTCCCTGGTTTGAAATTGAAAATGTGTTGTACAGGGTGTCCCCAAGACATCCAGAATGGTCTATTCCTGTTGATAGAAAAAACCGAACATGGTAATTGGATTAAACCTTTCCGCAATACAGGCAGTGCGTGTTAGAAACACGACGTGCAAATGGGATACGTGACTTGTGATCTGTTCTTTTTATTTTTCTTTTTCTTTATTTTTCAGCCGGGAAAGTCGACGGGAAACGGGGTCGAGGGAGACCGCCGCTTTGAAGTTCCCTGTCCATTAGACGGGCGAGAAAAAGCGGATCCTAACTAATATTGACAGTGCCGGGGTGGCTTATAAAAAGCAAAAAAAAAAGAGTTGACTGGAATAAAAGTTTTCGCGAGAAAACTCTTCGATCGTCTAATACTCGATGGATTTACTACTTAGTACCTTTTCTTTTTTATATTAAAAACATCGTGCAAAAATACGAGATCTTCAAGCAAAGTTTACAAAAAATTCGTTATAGGGTTACTCTAAGTATATCAAAACTCCCATTCAATTTACATCAAACGGGATTTATGTGCCTTTTTTCCATCGAACCGAGAGGATTATTTCGGCCTGTCAGTAGCAAAACTCCAACTTTTTTAATTAAAATCTGACAAAAACACCGCAAAATGTACATGTGCATGCAAATGGCCGTTGAAATCGAGCATTTTAAATCTGATTTTGCACCGAACGATAAAAAAAACCAATCAATTCTCCAATAGCTTCATAGAAATGGGATTAAACGCGCGATTTATGTAATTACAACGAACATACGAGCTATTAATTAAACTTGTCGAGAGCCCTCCCCCAATTCGTGTTTGATTTAGACCCTAAAGGTTAAATGATAGGTTTTGTTATGTTAGTATTAGCTGGTTTAGATGTTTTTGTTTCGAACTTACCGCAGTAAAACAAAGAGAACTACCGAAGCTGGTATAATCTATAACACGAAAGATAAACGTAACGAAGAATTGAGTTTCTGCGTAAGTGGAAACCCAAATTAATCTACACCTTCATAATGAAATTTACGTTTTATTTACTTGCCTTGTGTGGAAGTTTAATTTGGGAAAGATTTATTTAAATATCTATGTAAAAAATGCAGGATTCTGAGGCGCCATCTCAAGCAACAATTTCTAACGATTAGGGATAAATTCACGCTACTTTTGTTATCAATCTTCTTATTTTTTTGTCCCATTTAAGAGGAAACAGAGTGAGATTAAGAGTGAAATTCTTCTAGATACATTGAAATAATAAATTATTATAACAGTAGTTACAAGATGCAAACAAAACTTACCTGTTACTGGAAATAGTCGATTCAAAAACGATCTTTATAAAATATTTAAACGATTAGTTTTAACCTACTTAATTGCTATATTTATTGCCACAGGTCGAATCACAAGAACCGCATGTAAAAATCGCGAATATCACTAGAAAATATATCGATCAACAACAACAACTTTTCGTTTTCGACGAGGAAACGTCGATTCAACAAGAATTAATTATCGCAACAAGTTTAATGGTGTAAAATTGAGCAAACGGGGTGGCGTAAAAGCCCCGGAATCGGATATAAAAATCGCCCGCGATCGGGAGCGTGGTTCAGCGCGAAAAATCCACCGGATTCGGGCGAATTATCATTCGATAATTTTAGATAAACAACGCACGGAATCGCGAGGTTAAAATTTGTACTCGTTCACAGGTGATTCTCGGCGGTTCGCCGGACCGACGCCAGATGGAGCTCTACCGGTTCTCCCGGAGTGTTCCGGGTAGCGGGAATATTGATTTCAATTTGGGGTCCTCCGGTTTTTAGGGTAGATCTAGCGGGAATCTTGAGATACGAGGGGTCTTCCTAATGTTCAGATTACGAGGGATGATTCCGTTGTACATATATGTGAATATTCATTAACTAATCGATTTATGGGAATTATTTAAACAATATGTAACGTACATTAATTAAATTTTAATCGATTTGACAATTTTATTGTATAAAATATCGTGTTTAAAAATATACTGACGTGAATAACAAAAATATTAATTGTGATTTAATTTTAGAAAATAGCGTTACGTAAATATTCCCCTTTTATATTTAAAAAAAAATATTATTCTACGTGACTTATGTATTAATTTAATGATAAATTAGGTCTTTTATAGATTGAAAATTAAGACACTTGGGAATGCACTTCCATTTCTAATCTAAATTTAAATCGATTATTAAATTTGTGATTGTAATTCGTTCGTTTATCCTGTAGAGTAATATATGAAAAATCTCAAAAATTTATTTGAGAGTTTGAAAAAAATATTGTTTAACTCTCGTTATTTATTACTCTACAAAATTGTGAATCAACTTGAACTTAGAATGTAATGTGGTATCACATTTCTCTCGTGTTCTTCTAAACCGCTAAAAAAATATCTAAAAACTATGATTTTTGTGCATAAAACAGCTATAGTATGTTCTGTATGTCCAAATTTAAATACTGCATCGATTTGATTATATATTTCATGATTATTTTAATTCAGTTTAGATCTATAGGTATTTTGGGAAAATAACGTGACAAATTTAAACCAATATTAACATTAGCACTGAATAAAATAAATGTTTATAATATAACCAATAAAGCGCTACATTATAGTAAATATATGCGATTTACTTGCAGCATTGCAATAATTAATTTAAATTTAATTCATTTCATTCAAAAAGTGTTTTTTTTTATTTCACCTACCCTAATAATTAAATTTAAAATCTCAACATGAATATAAATCTAAAAATACTAAACCTACATTTTTGCATCACAATATTTATATCTAAATGGAAGTGATCGAATGATACTTATAATGACAACCACATGAAATATTAACGTAAATATTCTAAAAATATTTCAACTAAAAAGTATCATAATATTATAGTATATCAAAACTAATTATTCAAAGAGGTAAACGTTTACATTTATCACTTAAATCCGTAATAATCTCAAGAAAACCTCGCAGTTAACCATCAAGTAATACTTACGATAACACAACAACATTCAGACCTTCCAGAGCTTCGATGATTTACTTCAATTGCACCAACACCATGAAGTAGGTAACGGTAGCACCGAGCACCTAGAACATTCCGGAATTAACTAGACCTTCTCGGGCCACCCTGTAACATACCGATGCGAACAAATCCAGCGATATGGTGAAGAACTTCGCCCCCGAAATCGACATGGCCTTCTGGCATTGCTGGCACACGATCTGCACGAAGGTTTTGGCTTCCTCCGAACCGTCGTACCAATGACAACTGTAAGCCGCTTCCATCACCGACGAACTCTACAAAACCCATCAAAATACCACAGTTATTTCATCTACTTTATCGTGTATAACACTCACTTCCTCGATGAGCCTGTTGCCGAATATGCAGAAATGAAACACCTGAGCCAAAGCGTACACCAAGTAACCGATAACAGTCGCTGCGTAAGTATCGACCCCGTTAATCTGAAATTATTACTAATCAGTCAATTAAACTACAACAAATTTAAACTGGTACCTTAGTGGCTTGGTAAGCCAACAGCGTAAGCATTACAGTCGATGTAAGCATGTGCAGTAGCAAGGCTACACCGTAAGCATCTCCGATGGCTGTCACCAGTCTGGAATGGAATTTGGTTGAGGAGATTTTACGCTAGTATGGCGAGTTTACCTGACGACGTGCTTGTGCCTTTCCACCCAGTATTTAATGGCCGATCTCACCATGAGTTCCTGTTTTTTGGTGAGGCCGTTGGGGCCCACTCCGCCGCCTCCCTGTCCGAAGTTCTGCAGCGCCCCCGATCGGAAATTGGCGCCCATTTCTTGCCTGGTGTTGTACACGCCCTTGAGGTTCAGTTCCTCGTTCTTTTGATTGTAATCTGCGACATTTTAATGTTAATTATGCGCCGTAATTAGATGGACTATTAGCGTTGATTGACGTAAATTACATAGCATAAATGTTTGTGCATCGTTGCAGCGTAAATTATGATTGCAGGTAATTAAGTGGCGAAGCTATTAAAAAATTGTTACAATAAAATTCGGCGAACGAGTTTGTTTCTTAATAAATTTCCATTCGAACGAAAAGCAATTGATTATATTGAACATTTAAACGGCTAGTATGTAATTTACGACTCGCTGTTAAATTAATCGATTGTGTTAATAATGCAATTTTACACGTGTGTATTTCGTACCGTTTTCGATGAGGTTGTCCTGCGAATTAGCGCTGCTCGCTCTGAACAAATCCGCGCTCTTCGGTACATAAGTGTCCAAAGAAGCCGACAGTTCCTGCAAAAAAATCCTCGTATCATCCACCCGAGCAATTACTAACCGACCAACCCACCATCAGCGGTTTCATGATTTCCTTCAAATGCTGCAGTTGCTCGCAGGCGAATATCAACCAGGAGCAGAACAGGCTGTCGAGCAGATTGGCGTGCATGAGGGAGAACAGGACGTAGTAAACTTGGAACACCAACGTTATGTAGTAGGCGCCGCCCGACATCGCGTTCCACGGATACCAGGACTTCACCAGCAACCGCGGTATCTCCTCCACAATCGTCAGGTTCTCGTTTTCGGGATCTTTGATGTTGTGAACGCTGTCGCCCACGAACGTTATACCGGTCCAAGCTGAACGATCATTACGATTAACACCCCTCGATTATATGCTACACACTGTATATAATCACCTGCTGCTGATAGTACAGTCGTGGTGAAGACGCATATCAACAACGTCCTCATCTTCTTCAACGCCAAGGCGTGATACCTGTTGTTCGATTCCACGAACAGAGGATGGCTGTTCGATTGGTTCCATACGCCTAATGTTCTAGGAAAATAATTTTAGTTCGAAAGATTAGAAGGCTAAAAACTTTGACCCAAAAGAAATCTTTACACAACTCTTTGTACACTCTTTTCCTGGTGACATTAAAGCAGCATGTAGCTCTAATAAGATAGGCAGCTATTGAACAAATCTTTGGCTCGATGAGAATATTTAAACTGCTCGAGACTTACCTGTAGAAAAGTTTGGACCTCAGCGCGAAATAGACGAATTTCGTGATGCAATGGGAGAAAAACAGCACGGTGATTGTGTTAGCCGCTAAATCGTTGACGTCGCCTCGTTCGAGCAGGAGATTGCCGAAGGTGCAGCTGTAACGAGCGAAAATCCGAGGATTATAGGGATTCCTCGTCGTCCTGCGGAGTCTTACCCGTACTGCACCAGGCAGAAAACGAGGTGCATGCAGGAGTAGGCCACTCGAAGGGTGTGCAGCGAGCCCGAATTGTCCGCGTGGTAATTGAACATGAAATGGCCCGAGGCTTGGATGAGCCTGATGTTGGGCATCAAATCGGCCACCAGGCCGGCCACTTTAAATTTCATCATCTGCAACAAAGCGGAGGGTCTTTCAAACGGGACCTAGGTTTGGAAATTTATCGACAAACTTCTTCAACAAAAGTTGCTTGATACCGGCTAGTTTACAAACACTTTCATCATCTGCTTCCTGGTATTGGAAGAAGATGTTAACAATGGAGAAGATGTTATCAGTTAAACTATTTCTAAAGTATCTAAATGGACAAGTGAACAAATTGATTAAGTGTCTTATAAAACGAGGACTTGGTTTGGAAATTTAAGATGACTCTTCATCACACAGTTTTAACCTTTTTAACAAAATTTGCTTGATACTGGCTAGTTTCCAAGCACCTTCAATATTTCCTGGTGTTGGAAGAAGATGTTATCAATGGATTGTTGCAGTATTAAACTATTTCTAAGTGTATGGACCTTCCCTAGGTCTTTAGATTAAAACGAAACTTATTGTGAATAAATCTTCTATATCTTATAGTACCTTGTAGGAGTTTTAGATGACGAATTTAAAGAAACCAAAGAAAAATCCTATACATCCAATTTGTAACGTTACACACCCTTACACTTGCAACGCACTCATCACCGACTAGTAGAAATTGACCGAGAGAGCAAAGTCTTAAACGAAATTAAGTAGGACTCAACCCAGTTAGACGGTTTCCCGAGAATAGAGTCCTTATAAGACTCAAAATCCGTATCAACGGTTTCGCGAAAATTAAAAGCCTCGTGTACCAATGGGAGCGCTCGACGGGGTACCGGAAAGGCGGAGCCCCGTCACGTGGTGCTGTATTAAATGAGCCACGGAAAATACACCCCGATGATACCGAGATGTTCTCTATAATTTCATTTGAAAATCTTCAATTATTCATCGACAGTTAATAATGGATGGATCGACCCGGTGGAATAGACGACTCCGTAGTTTTGTTCTAAATGATTGGGTTGACTTTTTCATAAAATTTCTAGAAACTCCAACCGGCCATTTACAACATTGATTTCCGTTCTTAGTTCGTTATGTTTGAACTTGATAATGGGGCTTTTTATTGACGTTTTTTTAATGAAAAACTTGTTCGTTACGCCACGTAATGATTTGGAATATATTCTAAACATATTTTCTATAATAATGCTTTTAGTTTTCTAATAACTTCATCATCTTTGGTCAACTCAAAGTAGCTCTATTTGTAATCCTTGCATTAAGAATTGAAAAAAAATGGATGAAGATGACGATAATGACGAAATTAGTGATTTTATTACAACATTTCGCAATAAGAGGATTTGTCAGGATATCGCAAGATTTAACAGTCGTTTTTTTGATACAACTAATGCTAATTATACCGGCGAAATCGTTATAATTTAATCGTTTCAAAAGAATAGTAATGAGACCACAGTGGATATCATTTTAAAATTTAATATTGCGGTACTTTCGCTAAAAATCATGTATGAAACACGTGAGGTAATCCCCAATTACCGAAACCGTGAATCACATGCTCGCTCCAAATAAAAGCTTTCTGTATAACATAAAATTCTACAGGGCGATACAATTAATACAATTTTTAACCAATTTTAAACCAATGTAGAGCTCATGTTAGGTGAAATTGTTGTTGAAATTCCAGCCATGAAATATTAAGATCCTTATTAAGATATTACCAGAATCATAAATCATCTTAAAATGTTTGTAGTACAGTGAACTCCACATACATCATGAACTTCCGAGAAACGAAAAACAGGAGACGAAAATATTCCCGTGCTGAATTTCCAGCAAGCGATTAAGGAAAACGTTTCGAAAAAAATTCATCGTCAGTGGTCAAATCGGTCCGAGTGATGGTGCTTTGATTGGTTACATCGCAGTCAAACAACCTGAACGGTGTTTAGGTATAAGACGGACCGGCTCAGCTTTCACTGATGTTGTATTGAACCGATATTCGCACGGTGTACTGTGCTGAATTCAAATTTGAACCGCGCTCGAATCGAAGAAGAGTACTTTTGTCTTGTCTCATTTTCTGGTTTGCTGGATAAACCAAAGTTTTATTAAACGGTGAGTTTTATTATTTTTTGTTTAAGTAACAACTCGAGGAGTTTTCCTAAGTGGAATAATTCGATGCATCTGGCGAATAAATTGAGTCGTTTGTTGGATGATCGATAGTTGGGGTTTTATCAACTCGATTTTCACTCCACCTTTCTTATCGTTTATTAAACAGGGAATTGATACATTCGTGGTTGATTTTTAGTTGATTTCTTGTTACAAGTACACAGTAATATTTAATGCAATTAAATGGGAGCGCTCTAATTGAGCCCTATTTTCTACTGTATTTAGAAAAATATTTCGTGTTGAGCTACCCGGGCTCTAAAATTGCGCTAGGACTTGTTAAACTTGAATTAGGAATTGCGGAAAAATTATAAATTAATGGTAACCTTGAAATATAAATACGCATCCTAGTGTATTTGTAGGATACAATTTTTTAGTAAAGGAAGTTTATTCAAAACGGTTTTTCCAATGATCCAACAAGAAGTTAATTAACAATTCGAATTCCCTAATAAAAATATATACAATTCAAATAATAATAGTAATATGATGTAGATTAAAGTATCATTATAAGGAATTTCTTTCAACCCCTCTATCGATTTATCGGTTATACATTTTTATTGTAACATTAATAATAACTAAACGTGACTTAATGTTTTTTGTATAATGATAAAAGCAATAAGTCGTTTCTTTAATACCGTTTGTTTTAACTTTTATTAATATTGTAATTGTGTAAATAGTATCCAATAGGCGAAGCATTGTAATAACGTTTAATGAATCTAATAGAATATTCCAATATTCTAGCTTGGAGTTAATTTAATATTCGTTTTGCAATGTTGAGAAAGCAAAATTGATGAAATTTCTTAGCCTTTGGTTTAAGTAAGTCTAGGTCAGTGTTTTTCGACTAAATTACTGTGTTTACATATGAAAAATCTTTTGAAACTTAATTAACAAAAATGTGTATAGAATTTTTGCAAAACTAAATACAACTTTACTGCACTAATTGATCGATTTATAAACATGTAATATTTGTATAAAAAGTACGATTGTTTTATAAAAAACGCACACTTTCATTTACTATTTAAACAATTCACCTTGGTACAAAACGCTTCTGCAACGACTACGCATGCAGGTGAAATTTATTCAAAATTAGCATCAATAATAAATGAATAATTCGCCTCGAATCTGTTCTAATATTTCAACATTCCCGAGTTTAGCCAAGTCGAACGTGCACTTACGACGTTGTTAGACGGTTATATAACATTATCAGTTTGGAAACAAGAAGACTTTCGTTGACCCACATTCGACCAGCCAAGTAGACCGTGCTGGTCATTTTTTTTATAATTTTCGCGTTATATACTCGTTTTTTAATTTGTTATTGATGCAATACGGTTAAACGCACGCCAACCTGGTAATTAAATCCCGCGATTTGCCCGATTGTGATCTCCTATGATACCCTATTCGTTAGCAATATACAGGGAGAGCCAAATAAATTTATACACTTATTTTATTCACAATATATCAATAGAAATGTTCTTTTTAATTAACTTCTTTTCAAGAGATCAAGAAACTAGTAAATTTCTAATTAATATCCTCAGACTAATTAAATTTTTATTACCTACACTACTACTATAATAAATATTTTTTTGGGGAACCATATATTATTTAAAAATAGTTAATAGAGCGAGTATCGTTTAGTTTAAAGTGTAATAGCCGGTGTGAGATTACTGCCCATCCTACTGATTCGAGTTCGAATGTTTGACGTGTTCGAGCAACCACCATTTTCACCTTCGTTTTTCCATTTTTCCATCGACGAGAATCGATACCGGCGTAAATAATAAATGGCTGTAATTACATCTAAATAGAGCGAAGATGTCTAAGGTCGCACACTGATAAATTATGGAATAAAAAGTTATTTTTCTGACGTCAATAATTGTCGTACTTTGCATCGGTATTTCTGTTCAACTTTTTCTTGATTTAATCGATTTTGGCTAAATTTGAATGGATTTCACAAAGTGGCTGTTGTTGCATATTATTCATGACACAAAAAGATCTTAAAATATGATAAAATGTCAATAAGTCAATATGTCAAAATTCTAAGGGAAAAATTGGAAAGTTATATGACAAAAAAGTAATACAAAAGTTTTATACTTGTAAACTTTATACTTTACCTGATTTAACTCACGATTTTTCGCAGAATTTTTATACTTATTGAAAAATTTTATAAAATTACATAATTAAACACAATTTTAAAAATGACAGGTGACAGGTGTTGACAAGAATTCGGTAAAGCAGATTACAATGTTACCGACCGAGTAGATACAATTTCAAAAAACCAAAAAAAATTACTTACGCTAAGAAATTAATTTTGATTTTAATTTGTACTTCGAGATTTGTTCAGCGCGGAATAATCGCAGTGTGCGTAATCCATTCGCAATTAACAAACAACTATTTTGTTAAGCCAGTCAAGTGTAATAGTGCATTGACATTTACCATTACGCAATGCGTATTTTTGTACCGAATATTTTACAATTATTCTTATATTTCGTTAAAAATTCATAATTTAGAGTAGACCGATTCATTTGAATAAAAGTCGACCTAATTATACACTACTTGTACGAGATTTTTTCGATGAATTATTAAAGATTTTCTTTCTAAAAGCGAACATATGAATTTTTAAAGTCCCAAACTTTGAACCAGATTGTTCATTCTAAAGAAAATGGGTGCTATGTCACACGTCAACAATACGAGATTTTTACGTTCTGTGAGGTTAAATATTTAAAATTTACATCTATTTGTTATTCTCCTTGAAATCCTCAGAATCGTACCGAACAACCTTGCGTTTATCGGTATAGACTTCGTTATGAAATTAATAAATTATTTCTCAATTGTTCTTGATTGGAGCTTTCATTATTTATGTCAGTTGAAAATGAAAGTATAATGACCACCGCGAATTGGCGGATATTTCTACATGTCCTTTTCGTTTATTATTTGCTAAGAAATAATCGCACTTAATATTCCGGCAAAATTTAAATTTGATCTCTCTTAATTACAAGTTTATTATTATTATTCCACTATTATCGTTAATAAGTTAATAAATCGCAAGGTTTTGGTCGTATAATTTACTTCCATATTATTTTTTCTTGTAGAAACTTTAATTATACAAATAAAAATACATAAATTAAAAATTTTAATTCGTATTCCGTTACCTTGGGGAGGTACCATAACAAATACACTGGCTTCACCATATCTTAATAGTACAATAGGAAATGAGTAATTTGCTTTTTATGGTTTATAAAGAATGATTTCCTTATTGCAAGAAGAATTTATTCGAGTTTTTTGCTAATTTATTTCCGTTTTCGCAGCATTCCCCAAGATGACTCTAGTCCAACCGAGCCCCGAACTCCAAATCACCATCAGAAGGGAGCTGAACGAAGACATCAACACCAGAGAATCCGACCTCGAACACATCAAGGAATGGCTCAGAAAACAGCCGCATTTACCCAACACCTGGGGTACGTTCCAACCCCCTTTTTCGATTAATTTTCATCACAATTTTTTCCAGACGAATCCCGCCTCATGACGTTCCTGCGCGGCTGCAAGTTTTCCCTGGAAAAGTGCAAAAGGAAACTCGACATGTACTTCACCATGCGCACCGCCTGTCCCGAGCTCTTCGCCAATCGGGACATCACCAATCCCGAAATGAAATTGGTCGTTGACATCGGGTAAGCCCCATACAGATCAAAATCAAACTCAAAGAAAGTTACACAACAAGTAACAAGACCACAGGAATAATCCTGAAACACTTTCTCCCCTTCATTTGGTCTCCCCTGCTTCCTTTACATCAGGATTTTAGTGTTGCAAATGTTGCTAATATTCTTGTATATTCAGGCATATTCCACCTTTGCCTGGATTGACTCCGAACGGTCGAAGAGTGGTGGTGTTAAGATCGAAGAAAGTAGATGTGGATTCCTACAATATAGCCGATGTGATGAAAGCCGTTCTCATGATCGGCGATGTTCGCCTGGAGGCCGAGGAAATCGGCGTCGCCGGTGACGTGTACATCCTGGACGCCTCCGTCGCGACGGCGACGCACTTCTCCAAAGTCAACCCGAACATGATCCGGAAATTCCTGATCATAGTGCAGGTATATCACCTTCCTTATTCCGTCTACTTGTGTAGCTAATTCTGATCCTCGCCAGGAAGCCTATCCGGTGAAGCTGAAGGAAGTCCACGTGGTGAACGTGTCGCCGCTGGTGGACAAAATCATCACGTGGATAAAACCGTTCCTGAAGGAGAAAATCAGGGAGCGCATCCACGTGCACTCGAACATCGCCACTTTGTACGATTTCATACCGAAGGACGTCCTGCCGGAGGAATACGGAGGCACCGCCGGGAAGCTTCAAACGTTCCACGGTGAGTTCCGTTTCTAATTACCTGCGATTTATACCAATTCCTATATGCATTTCTATTAGATCAATGGATGGAGAAGCTGAAAGAGTACACGCCTTGGTTCAAGCAGCAGGAAAGCCTGAAAGCCGACGAATCCAGGCGGCCTGGGAAGCCGAAAAACTACGAAGATCTCTTCGGTTTGGACGGGAGTTTTAGGCAATTAAGCATCGATTAATTAGGAGATGGGCAACAAATTGACCTTTATGGGAATTGATGCGAAAAGGATATTCAGTATTATACACTCATTGAATAATTGTTATCACAAGAAATCTGTAACTATAACATACTTGTGATATTGTGTTCTCTTGTAGCGATAAGATTATCGTAAATTCTTTTATAATACTGTGTTTGTTTTAACGTGGGTTTTCTTCAAATAACGTTGTCTTAATTTTGTATTTTTTTAGTTGTAATAAATCGAACAAATAACGATAGCGTTTTATTTATCAAAACAATAAAATATGTAGCATGTGTACCGTAATTTTTTGACTTAATAAGCCATTATATAATTTTAGATAATAAAAAAATATGTAGTTATATATGTAAATTTAGTAAAAAATCACCAGAGTGTAACTCACCCATTGTCTGTTAGCGTTGGAATAAAGTGTGTATTATCTACAAGATTTCCCAGTTGCTATGTGTTAGTTTAAAAAATCCGTCCCAAATATGTGAAGCTATAAAAAAAAGATAAGTTACAAAACGGCAATAAAAGTATGTAATCATTTTATTTGCACACCAAATTTTTGTACCTACTCAAAACGTGTAAAGTAAATTTACGAATATTTAAGTAAAGCATCAATCGAGTATCGTAGAGGAAACTGAAAAATATTGAAAATATTAGAAATGGAAGAAGAACGCCCCAAAATTTCGAAAAAACGCGACACGCTTTTCGTCTACTTCTGCGTTATATCTGGTAGGTAACATTTATTCTATTAAATCTAACCTAATAGTCGAATAATTTTAGGTCATTTATTGACTGTCTCGCTTGGAGCATCGATGGCTTGGACGTCCCCAGTTTTAACCAAACTAAACTCGAACAACACCGATATCAACCCGTTGGGAAGACCCATAACAACCGTGGAGATCTCCATGTTAGCCGGAATACCGTCATTTACGAACACCCTCGGGCTCCTCCTGATGCCCAAATTCTCGGACCTAATCGGCAGAAAGTCATATTTACTGTTCTGCGGCGTTGTAATGTTACTCTCAGGCGTAGGCCTAAGCTTCAGCAGTGCCAGCATCACTCTCATGATAATCGCCAGGTGTTTGTTCAGCTTCACCGGGGCTTACACGGTGATGGCGATTTACGTGGCGGAAATCACCGAGGATCACAACAGAGGGAGGTTCGGCTGTTACTTGGGGATATTCCATCAACTCGGGCATCTCTTCGGCTACCTCGTCGGCCCGTTTTTCAGCATTAAATATTTCAGTTTGATCATGACCGCGCCCGCTTTGATATTCGTTGTGGTGTTCCTAATGGCGCCCGAAACGCCGATATATTTGCTGATTAGAGGTAAGGAAAGCGATTGCAAAGATTCGCTGAGGAAATTGAGGAGGTACAAAAGCGACGAGGAGATTGAATTGGAATTGAAGAATATGAAGGAGAATCTCGGAACGGAGCGTAAAGGGAAGGTTGTGGATTTGTTCAAAAAACGCGAAAACATCCTAGCTTTGATATTCAGCCTTTTAGCGTTATTGATAAAATTCTCTTCCGGTGTTACGGTAATATTCACGTTTCTAGCGCCCTTCTTCGACGAAGCAGGCACCAGTTTATCAGGCGACATGGTGGCCATTCTAATAGCCGTATTCAAAATAACATTCTTCATTATATCCTCGTTCGCGATCGAGAAATTCGGCCGAAGGAAACTCATCCTGATATCTTCCGGCGGTACTGTCCTACCTCTATTCTTCATTGGCATCTACTTCTACTTACAAAGCATCGATTCCTCGTTACTACCGCACCTTCAATGGCTTCCTCTGACCGGTCTGATACTCACAGTTTGTTTCTTCGGCATCGGTTTGGGTCCTATTCCTCAGGTTCTGATAGCGGAATTGCCACCGGCGGAGCTCAGAGCAGCTCTAACGGCTTTGGTACATTCCACCGGTAACGTGGTGACTTTCGCTCTGACCTCCCTGTATCCTCTGGTATCGGAAATGTACGGGAACCAATGGTGCGTGTGGTGGTTCAGCTTGAATTGCGCCGTCGGCGCCATTTTGATGTACTTCTTTCTACCGGAAACCAAGGGGAAGAGTTTCGATGAGATACAGGAGATGTTGAAGAATTATTCCGAACTTAAAATTCAATAATATCGAATCGGTGCGAATTTTGGGTCGTAGTAAAGTGAATAATTTTTGTACATTTATCTGTAATTTGAAACAATGTAGATTCATTGTAGTTAGGTTTTTATATTCGCAAATAATAATTTAGTGTAATAAACGAAATGGAACTTTGTACCTTACTGTCGGAATATTAGCTTCAATTTGTGCAGATTTGTATCTACTAGTTATAATTTTTATTGCAGCGAATTTTATTCAAATCTCCGGGCCTCGTGTAATTTTTTAAATCCTATTGATAAAGCAAACACGAATGATAGACCAATAAAAAATCCAAATATAATTGTGGCTAATAAATTCGTTTAAATAATGCTTTTTTACAGCTTTATTAACGCTTCGTCATTACATTATAGCCCTGACTTCTACCTGTAGTGTTACCAGTTGTAGATCAATTCATTGAACTTTAAAGATATCGTTTTCTAGTCTATTAACAAAAAAAACCTGGTTTATAAAATAATAGATATACACAATGAAAGAGAATGGAAATCAATGTAACAATTCACCAACCGAAGATACCGTTAAGAGGAAACCCGATACGTTATTTTTGTACATTTGCGTTATAACAGGTATGCAATTACCAATTAAAATTTATTATACACTACACAAGCTTTTTTTTAATTTAGGACAATTGTTAATTGTATCATATGGAGCATCCACTGCTTGGCCATCGCCGGTTTTGACTAAACTGAGCATAAACAGCACCGATACAGACATTAATCCATTGGGCAGGCCCATAACTACAGCAGAAGTGTCGATGTTAGCAGGAATACCAACGTTTACGAATACCCTGGGAATGCTCCTGATGCCTATGCTTTCGGAGTTCATCGGCAGGAAGCGATATTTGCTACTTTTAGGCGTCATAATGCTGTTGTCTGGTGTAGGTTTAGGTTTTAGTAGTGGTAGTGTAGCGTTGATGATCGTGGCGAGATGCCTGTTTGGATTCTGCGGGTGTAATATAGTGATATCGATTTATCTCGTGGAGATATGCGAGGATCACAACAGAGGAAAATTCGGTTGTTATCTCGGAATTTTCAACCAAATAGGACACTTGTTCGGTTATGTTACCGGTCCGTTTTTCAGCATAAAAGTATTCAGTTTAATCATAATTTCCCCTGTGTTACTGTTCATTTTTATTTTCTTAGCGATGCCGGAATCGCCGGTATATTTACTAAAAAACGGCAAAGAAAAGGAGTGCAAGAGCGCTTTGTGGAAATTAAGAAGCAACAAAACCGAAGAAGAGATCGAATTGGATTTGATGAAATTGAAGGAGAGTTTGAAAAACGAGCGGCAAGGTAAAATTGCGGACTTGTTCAAAAAGCGAGAGAATTTCCTGGCGATGATTTTGAGTTTCCTGCCGCTGTTGATAAAATTCAGCTCGGGCGTGACAACTATATTCACCTTCTTAGCTCCATTTTTCGATCAAGCAGGCACCAGCTTATCAGGTGATACGGTAGCAATTATAGTCGCTGTCGTAAAGATAACGTTTTTCATATTAGCATCTTTCATAATCGAGAGATTCGGCCGAAGAAAATTGCTGATTTTATCTTCCACCGGAACCGCCATACCTCTATTCACGATAGGCATTTACTTTTATCTACAAAGCATCAATTCATCGGTGTTGGTTAACATTCAATGGCTTCCCCTGGCTAGTCTTTTACTAACAGTTTGCTTGTTCGGAATAGGTTTGGGCCCAATCGCGCAAATAGTTCTATCCGAATTGCCATCGGCAGAACTCAGAGCAGTTTCGATTTCTGTAGTTCATTCTACCGGTAACGTCGTGGCGTTCGCTTTGGCTTCTTCGTATCCGATAGTATCGGAATCTTTGGGCACCCAATGGTGTGTATGGTGGTTCAGTATGAATTGCATCGTCGGTGCGATTTTAATGTATTTCTTTTTGCCGGAAACCAAGGGGAAAAGCTTCGTCGAAATACAGAACATGCTGAAGAATTATTCGAAACTCCGGATGCATTGATACATGTGAAAAAATGTTACTAAATGTATATGAAAGAGTTAGGTAAGACTAGTTACATCTTATGAACTACTGATAAGATTAAAGTGTTCTGTAAATACTATTATAGTATATTTTTTATTAACGTGTTAATTATTATAAAAAATAAAATTTGGAAAAACTACATTTTTCTGATTATTCTTATAGAGCAAATTACAAGTACAAGTACACGAATTTAATACAATTACTAGACGAAATTGTTGAATTAAATGAGTGTTAGATTTACGTTTTATGATAAGCAAATTGTGAAAATCTCCAAAAATATGTTTCAGATTATTTGCGCGTAGGATTGTAAATCTTAATGACATGCACAAAATGCTATAAAGATTTTATAATAAGTACTATAAGCAGCTCTATTTAAAATCTTATTTATTCGATTTGCACCTATTCAAATGGTGCTTGCAGTCTAAATATATAAAATTTCGTTAACTAAAAATAATGAAATAACAAACCTGTAATTTAATATCTACGATAATGGGTTTAGAAAATGGAACGCATCAAACGAAAAACGAGGAAAATAATTTCCCACCTCAAACCACCGTTAGGAAACCCGATACAGTTTTTTTGTACTTTTGCGTTATGACTGGTAAACTTATTAATTTTTATACAACTAACACATTCACAAAACATGCATTTTTTTCAGGTCAGTTAGTCACAATGGCTTCCGGAGCATCGATGACATGGACTTCCCCGGTTCTAGGAAAATTATATTCGAACAACACCGACATAAATCCAATGGGTAGACCAATAACATCCGTAGAAGTATAGTTATTAGCGAGCATGCCAACGTTCACAAACATCATCGGGATGCTTTTGATGCCTAAAATATCGGACATAGTCGGCAGGAAACGATACCTGTTGATTTCAGGCGTCGTGACGCTCCTGTCGGGCGTAGGTTTAGGCTTCAGCGGTGCAAGTTTAGTGTTAATGATCGTAACGAGGTGCATCTTCAGCTTCTCCGCGGGCTGGGTGGTTTTCTCGCTGTATCTCATGGAGATCTGCGAGGATCACAACCGAGGGAAGTTCGGCTGTTATCTCGGAATTTTCAATCAATTGGGCAACCTGCTTGGTTTCGTTTTCGGTCCGTTTTTCAGCGTGAAAACGTACAGTTTCATCATAACCTCGCCTATGTTGGTTTTCGTCGTTTTCTTCGCGATAATGCCGGAATCGCCCGTGTACTTGCTGAGGCTCGGCAGGGAAAACGAATGCAAAAAAGCCTTGTGGAAATTGAGAAGCAACAAAACCGAGGAAGAGATCGAATCGGACGTGAAGAGGTTGAAGGAGAGCATGCAAAACGAACGGAAAGGAACAATCGCGGAGTTGTTCAAAAAACGGGAGTACATCCTGGCGGTGGTTTTGAGTTTCTTGCCGGATTTGGTGAAATACAGTTCGGGCGTAACTGTTATATTCACGTTTCTAGCGCCCTATTTCGACGAAGCGAACACCAGCCTATCAGGCGATATCGTAGCGATTATAATCGCTGTTGTAAAAATACTATTTTTTGTATTAGCTTCGTTTATAGTGGAGAGATTCGGCCGGAGGAAATTGCTGATTTTTTCTTCAACTGGAACCGCCATACCTCTATTCGCAGCGGGAGTCTACTTCTATTTGCAAACCATCAATTCTTCGTTGATAGCCTATCTCCAATGGCTTCCTTTGACGAGCCTTTTGTTCACAGTCAGCCTGTTTGGAATTGGTTTAGGGCCGGTTACGCAGGCTTGGGTGTCGGAATTGCCGCCGGCCGAAATCAGGGCGGTTTCGGTGTCGCTGGTGCATTCTGTGGGGAGTTTCGTTGCATTTGCTTTGACGTTTTTGTATCCCATTGTGACGGAATCGTTGGGGATCGAATGGTGCGTGTGGTGGTTCTGCGTGAATTGCTCGATCGGATCGGTTTTGATGTATTTGTTTTTGCCGGAGACCAACGGGAAGAGTTTCGATGAGATAAAGGAAATGTTGGAGAATTATTCGAAGATTCGAATAAAGTAGAGGAATTTTGATGGAATTATACGGATGGTACTCTTTTTGTCGCTGTAAAATTATATACAATTCAATTTTTGTTTTTGCACTAACGTATCAATTTCTAAAATGCTTTGTAAAGATAAAAATTGTATTTATTACATCATCTTTAATCACATAATGCATTTTCATATATAAAATATATTTGATGTTATAATTGGATGAATTTAAATTCACATTATCTTAACAAATAGAGACTCTAAGCAAATAAAATATGCAAGCTCGTTACATAATTTTCCATCAAAATTAAATTGCATGTTTAATGCAATTGTCAATAATATCACACTTTCGGTAAGTGATTAACAGTGGCAATTAATTTTTAAAGCCCATCGACCATGATCCAAAAGTAAATAATGCTATAAAACATGTTTTATATTGTTTTAGTTCATTTCATGTCTTCCCACTATAAACAATTAAAATGTATTATTTGTTACATGAAATGTGATTTAGGAATGTAAAAATGTTAAGTCGATTCTACGTGATGTTTTTTTTTCTATTAGTATTTGTATTATACAGGGTATCCTAGATTAAGTGGGGAATACCCGGATTTGGATTTAACACATGCATATATTATACAACATCAGTACTTGTTGTCAATAATTTGCAATTGTAATTATAATAATCATCATGTGATCATAAATTCAGAATAAAACTCGCTTTAGTTTTATGGCGATTGTAAAACAAAACTCGTATAACATGAGTGGGATTGCCTTAAATAATTCACTTTTAGTTAAATATTCGTTAAAAATTGTTTCTCAAAATTTATTAACATGAACGTATCGAGTAAAGTAGATACAGTATAATTTAATTTAAAATGAACAATTTTAATAGAAATATAGTCTAAATATTTCGAATAAGTCAGTGAGATTGTGGCGCATTTGAAAAGTTACTATCTTGGAAAAGAATTGGGGAAAAAAAAATTAGGAAAAAAATGGATAAACAGAACGAAAACAATCAAAACGGAAAATCCAAATTATCTACTAATAGTAGAATACCAGATACGCTATTTTTATACATTTCTGTTATAACAGGTAAAGTTATTAATCGATTTTTTAGTATACAGTTTTATTAGTAATAACAAAACATTCTTTATGTTTTAGCTCAATTAATATCAATGGCGTCTGGAGCATCGATGGTATGGACTTCACCTGTACTAGGAAAATTGTATTCAAATAACACCGAAATAAATCCCATAGGCAGACCGATAACAACTATAGAAGTTTCAATGTTAGCAGGAATACCAACATTCACCAATATCCTTGGAATACTCTTTATGCCCAAACTGTCCGATATATTTGGCAGGAAGCGATATTTGCTGTATTCAGGACTCGTTATGCTGCTATCAGGAGTGGGCTTAGCTTTTAGTAACAGCGTGATATTAATGATAATTACAAGATCAATTTTCGGATTTCCCGGAGCTTGGACTGTCGCATGTTTGTATGCAGCAGAAGTGAGCGAGGATCACAATAGAGGAAAATTCGGTTGTTATTTCGGAATTTTGAATCAAATCGGACATCTATTTGGATTTATAATAGGACCCTTTTTCAGCATGAGATATTTCACATTGATCATCACTTCTCCTTTATTAATATTCCTCGTTATATTTATGATAATGCCCGAGACACCGATGTATTTGTTGGCTAAAGGTAGAGAGGATGAATGCAAAATCGCTTTGAGGAAATTGAGAAGCAACAAAAGCGAGGAAGAAATAGAATCGGATTTGAAGCAATTGAAAGAGAATCAAAGGAAACAATCGGAACGTGCAGGAAAAATCACTGATCTGGTGAAAAAGCGGGAAAACATATTAGCTGTAATTTTTGGTTTAATACCAGTGCTAGATAAATATTGTTCGGGGGTTACCGTGATATTCACGTTTTTAGCCCCATTTTTCGATCAAGCAGGCACCAGCTTATCAGGTGACCTCGTAGCAATTGTAATAGCTGTTTTTAAAATAACGTTCTTCATCTTGACTTCCTTAATTGTAGAAAGATTTGGTCGAAGAAGAATGCTTCTCATATCTTCCACTGGTACAGCGATACCCCTGTTTCTACTAGGAATTTATTTCTACCTACAAAGCATCGATTCATCGTTAATAGCATATCTTCAATGGTTGCCCCTGACCGGTCTGATATTTACAGTTTGCTTCTTCGGATTCGGTTTAGGTCCAATTCCTTCAGCTTTGATATTAGAATTGCCATCGGCAGATCTCAGAGCGGTTACTTCTTCACTGATACATTCAATTGGTAGCGTTTCATCTTCTGCATTAACATTTCTATATCCCATAATATCGGAGTCGTTGGGAAATCAATGGTGTGTGTGGTGGTTCAGTATGAATTGTGTCATTGGATCGATTTTAATGTATTTCTTTTTACCTGAAACAAAAGGAAAAAGTTTTGATGAAATACAGGAAATATTGAAGAATTATGGGAAAAAAATTATACGTAAAAATAGCCATTTTTAATTATACTTTTTGTTTTATTCAAATACTTTGCGAATATTTGATAAATACACTGATTAAATACCTATGTGATATAATTATGCAGAATATCAGAATCTTAATTTTTACCCTTAATGTAATTGGTTTTATTTAAATTTGTTTAAAGGTTTTTAATAATTATTTATTATAGATAAATATTGGAAACCTATTTGAATTTTATTGAAAAAAATATAATTATAATTATGAACAATAAAAACAAGTAAGCTACATGGTTACTACATCAATCCCAGTCACCTTTATTTAAATAAATGTACAGTATGTCCCATTAAAAAAACATAATATTGTGTATTGTCTGTGTATTGTTATTTATTATTAAATCGTGCTTCCAAATAATAAACATTTTTGATTTTATTGTTGATCCATTTTTTAATCCAAAAAGTATCTGCTAATGCAACCATAAATATGCAAGATACATAATCCTATGCAAAGTGTTTAAAACAAATATGGTTTTATTGATTGTACTGGTATGTTAAATAAATAAAATAAATTGGATTGCCAGACTTTTAGTTTTTTATCCCTTAATTTACATTAAACTGGCTTTATTTAATTTTATTTATTCTGCACTAACATTTTAATTACGAATCAACAATTTCATCCAAAAAAGTGTTGTAAAGAGAAAAATAGTTTATTATAGTATATATTATGAAATGGAACAATTCTAAATGATTTTATTATTTCAATATATATTTACAAACTTCCAAAAAATATATCCTTTAATTACGCTTTTAAACCACAATGAAAATTAATCGACATTTTAATAAAATTTGTCAATAACATAACACTTTCGGTAAATGTTCAACAATGGCAATTAATTTTTATGGTAATCCCCCAGCCACGCTTTTCAAAAGAATCAAATACAAGACATTATTTTTCGTATTGCTATCGTTAAATTTCGTCTCAAAATATGCTCGATTTTTCCTATAATAATCGTAATGTAAACGAAAATTCGCAAGATTCGCCTTAGTTTTATAGCAATTGTAAAACAATAATGGTGTGTATAATTCGAGTGGGATTACCTTTAAAAATTTACTTGCAGATAAATATTCGTGTAAGGTGCTGGGTAACCGGAATTTAATTCAATTATTATTCAAAATGGGGAATATATCGTAAATATTTCGTATAAATCAAGTGAAATTGTACCGAATTTAGTGCTTAATAAGGCGCATTTCAAGTGAAGTAGGAAGTCTCACTTTCGAATTGAATTTGAGTGAAAATGGATAAACAAAATGAAAAATCCCAATTACCTGCTATTAGAAAACCAGATACGCTATTTTTATACATTTCTATTATAACAGGTAAAGTAATTGATCGATTTTTTACAACATTTATACAGAATTGAACAATAAATATGTAACTACAATACTTTTTTAGCTCAATTAGTATCTATTGCAAATGGATCGTCAATGGTATGGAATTCACCTGTACTAGGAAAATTGTATTCAAATAACACCGAAATAAATCCCATAGGCAGACCCATAACAACTATAGAAGTTTCAATGTTAGCAGGAATACCAACATTCACCAATATCCTAGGAGTACTCTTTACGCCTAAACTTTCTGATTTAATCGGCAGGAAGCGGTATTTGCTCTGCGCAGCATTTGTAATGCTTCTATCAGGAATTGGTTTAGCTTTTAGTAATAACGTGATGTTAATGATAATAACTAGATGTATTTTCGGTTTTCCAGCATCTTGGATGGTTGTGTGTTTGTATGCAGCTGAAGTGACCGAGGATCATAATAGAGGGAAATTCGGTTGTTATTTCGGAATTTTCCATCAAATCGGCCATTTTTTTGGGTTTGTGATAGGACCGTTTTTCAGCGTGAAATATTTCACGTTGATCGTAACTTCTCCTTTATTAATATTCCTCGTTATATTTATGATAATGCCCGAGACACCGATGTATTTGTTGGCTAAAGGTAGAGAGGATGAATGCAAAATTGCTCTGAGGAAATTGAGAAGCAACAAAAGCGAGGAGGAAATAGAATCGGATTTGGAGAAATTGAAAGAGAATCTAAGGAAACCGAAAGAAGAAAAAGGGAAAATAACTGATTTGATAAAAAAACGGGAAAGCATATTAGCTGTAATTTTAGGTTTAATACCGTTGATAACTAAATACTGTTCAGGTGTTACTATAATATTCACATTCTTAGCACCATTTTTTGATGAAGCAGGCACCAGTTTATCAGGTGACACAGTAGCAATTATAATAGCTGTTTTCAAAATAACCTTTTTCATCCTGACTTCTTTTGTAATAGAAAGATTTGGTCGAAGAAAAATGCTACTTATATCTTCCACTAGTACCGCTATTCCTTTGTGTCTACTTGGAATTTATTTCTACCTACAAAGCATCGATTCACCATTAATAGCATATCTTCAATGGATTCCTCTCACATGCCTTATCTTTACAGTTTGCTTCTTCGGATTAGGTTTAGGTCCAATTCCTCAAGTATGGATATCAGAATTGCCATCGGAAGAACTCAGAGCGGTGACTTCTTCACTAGTACATTCAATTGGTAGTGTTGTAGCATTTGCATTAACGTTTTTGTATCCAATAATATCGGAATTGGGTATACAATGGTGTGTATGGTGGTTTAGTGTGAATTGCGCCGTTGGTTCGATTTTAATGTATTTCTTTTTACCGGAAACTAAAGGAAGAAGTTTTGATGAAATACAAGAAATATTGAAAAATTATGATGTCTCGAAGAATAATCATTAGTATTTACTGAGTTATCTGATAAACAGTCTGTTATCAATGTTAGCTTTACTTTTAATTTATATGAAACTGTATTTGTTAATACTAGCAGTAAATTACAAATAGTTGATGTTAATATGTATATGTTATGAAGTATATGACAACATTAGTAGTAAATTGTATGGTTACTAAATCTATCCCAATTACCTATCTTTTATTTAAAATATACAGTGTGTCTCAACAAAACAACGTAACTCTCAGAACATCTACCACTTTTCTCTTTTTCTCGTTATTTCAACAATAAATTTCCTACCAGAATAATTCTTCCAGAAGCTTGTGAAGTAAAAAATAACAAGGCCATCGCCGGAGTTTTTATTTTAAACAGTTGTACAGTAAAAGTTAAGAACAAAACTTATTAGTTCCACATGACAGATAAAAAATTCATTATGCGATTTTTTCGTAACAATTTCTTAACAAACTTTTATCAAACTGCTGCACGGCAAACTTGATGAGTGAATATTTTATGCTAAAAAAACGAAGAAACGTAGGTGAGTTAGTTTCAGTATTAGCCATTTCATTCTCTAACACAACATGGCGAAAAGTGTTAGTAGAAACTTCACCAATTTCCATTCCAGTTTAACACTTAATTTTTTTAATTTTAGATATTTCCGCAATGCGAACACTTGCGAATTATAATGTACGCCAATGCAGTATTCGGCATATGGCCTTTCATCTTCGAAGATTACCCGATCCTCAAGAAAATCTACGATCTGTATTGCAAATTCACGCTCACCTACTACGCCTTCTTCATCACCACAGGCTACATCAAATTTTTCCAATTAATCACAGAATTCCCTTTGAACGTCACTGAGGTTATGCTCAACGTTTCCATTACTTTCTTATACAGGTAAGACCATCACAAAATGAATCGATACACAACCATTGAAAGGTCGAAAACTGTAGCCTTGAAAAGAAGCAATTATTTTAAGGTGCTCGCGTCACGAATTCGCCTTAATAGGACTTATCTTCATCTTCTTCACGATACCCCAGGGTGTTTCTAAGTAATGTATTTTTTAGTTGCACTTTCGTGAGAGCCAAGCGCATGAGAAACCCCAGAATGCTGAAGAACATCCAGAACATCATGGACTACGAAAAGAAGATCAACGACAGCAAAGACGAAGAAATGATGAAGATCCTCGAATACTACGCCTGGCAGAACAAAATCGTCAGCCAAGCGTTCATCATAACAGTAATTATAGGTAATTTAATCACTATATAAATATAGAGATTGATCTAGAAATAGTTGATCTCTCCAGTGACGAGTCTGTTCGTGGTCCACCCGCTCGGGCTGGATCCGGTGGAGAAATTCGACGCCAGAACCAACACCACCAGAACCATCAAACCACTTCCGCTCTCATCGTGGTTCCCCTTCAACGAGCAGGTGCACTACCTGCCCGCCTACATCTGGCACATCTTCGACTGCTACGTGGGCGCCAGCTTCGTCAACAACACCGACATCTTCTCCTTCGGGCTGATCACCTTCCCGCTGGGCCAGATCGTGGTGCTCAACCACATCCTCGCCCACTTCGAGGACTACGTGGTGAAGGTGCAGAAGGAGCTGGGGGTCGAGAGGGACGAGGCCAGCTTCGTGGCGTTCAGGGAGTGCATTTTGATGCACAAGAATATCATCGAGTGAGTATGGTGGTGTTGGGTTGGTGATGTTTGAAGTATCTTTTCTTTAGTTATATCTACGATATGAATTACGAGATGAGTATGATTGCTTTGATGGATTTCCTGCAGAGCTCCTTGCAGTTGGCTGCTATTGTGTTAGAGCTTATGTTTGTGAGTACATTAAGTGAATTAGTAAATATAGTTGATTGATTAATTATTTTTTTTTGTAGTTTGAAGTGAATCTTTTTAACACTGTGTACTCTTTCATGTTTGTAATTTGCATGTTAACGAGGTTATTCGGGTATTATTGGTACGCTAACGAGATTATTGTGGAGGTATATTAATTATTTTTATGTTTTTATCGGTTTGTAAATTGTAATTCTACAGAGCCTGAATATACCGACGTCGATATGGAATGGTAAATGGTACGAAGAACCGCTGAAGACTCAGAAAATGATGCTTATTATGATGAAAAAATGCTCGAGACCTTTAACTATGGATATCGGTCCATTTAATATAATGTCTATAAATACTCTAATCGGGGTAAGGAATAGCAAAAGTTTAATTCGAGTGTAAAATATATTTTTTTAAGATTTTGAAAGCTACATATTCCTACAGTATGCTAATCTACAGAGGAAAACAGAAAAAATAAATGTATACATCTCAAGTCCAAGGCGACATTTTCAAGGCGCGAATAAAATTAAATAAACCAGATAAAGAAACCTAGTAACATAATAAATTAGTCAAATACATAATTTGTTATTATAAAAACTCAATTACTCTTATCTAAATCTTATGATTAAGTACAAATACATCAAAGAAAACTGCATTATCGACTCAAATTTGGCAATTCAACTCACATTTGGCAATTCCGAAAATCATTACAAACTGTCTTCGACCAATTGACATTAAATATATACTCTAAATTTCCCCACCTTTCGGCTACACTCCAGCGGGCCCTGTGAGAAAATTAACTTTACCATGGAAGAAAACAATAATTGGAACAACATGTCGCGAGCAGCGCCCAGCGTAAGTCTCAACACTTTCACCCGACTTTTCCAGGTTCCTCGCCGGAAGAATGTCTAACAAAAAAGCTCAACCGCCGAGTTAAAGAGCGGGTATAAATGGAGGAATCTCGTTTAATGTTAATTGCGTTTAGAGAGCGAAAAGGGGCGATTCGGCGCGATCGAACTACCACAGAAACCGGCCTTCCAGAGTAAATCCGGTGAACGCGGCCCGAAGTCAAGCCTACATCGACGATATCACCTTCAACGCGATGATAACCAGCGGCATGATGGGAGTCCTAGCACCGGTACATTTCACCCAGGTATATAGTCTTTCCAAAGTCCATCGAATCCATCCACTCAGAATTTTCATGTATTATCCAACTAACTTTGGAAACACTATACGATATTTTCGAATGAAAATGGGGCTGGTTAGTGTTCGATACGGTCCTGGTTAATCGGTTTTTCGATAGTTTAGGGTGCCCGTGAGGCAGACCAGCGAGCCGAATCAAAACGATGTACCGGGGGCGCAGCAAATCGACTACAGATTGGGGTGGATACCAAAAAACCTCAACTTATCCAGCATATCGAATAACGAAAAGGTAGAGTATGAAATTATTACGAGTACATCCTGTATAGTAAATTCGCAATTGCAACAATAAACAAACAGGGGCGGCAACTTTTTAACAATAAAGCGTTCGAATTTGCGCAAATTTTTTTTTGTACTTTTTAATCCACCAATTGGGAAATTTAATGTTGAGCACCATGAAAAAGGTAAAAGAACGTCAATCGGGTTGTCAGGCGACTGTCACGTTAAAATCGAGTAAATTAATTGAGATTTCAGGGCAAAGCGGGACCTTCGAAATTCAAAAGCACAGATAAGGAATTGTTGGCGGAGCTTTTGAAGGACGAAGGGCCGCCGAAGAAGGATTCGAGATTTCTGTTGCCGAAATTAAACGTGGAAGAGAGCGATAAAGCGGACGAGAATGTCAGAACGAAGAAAAAGGAAACGGTAATGCAATGGTGAGAATATTTTAATTATTATTTAAAAGCAATTAACGAGGATATAGAGTAGTAGAATGCTCCCTGTTGGTGCTTTTAGGTTCGACAAAGTGGTGGAGAGCGAGCTTTCGAAACGGAAAAATCCAATTTCGTCCGATTTCCCGGGAAAATTTAAATCGAATGCAGGCAAAATATCGAGTAAGATAGACGTTACTAAAAAGGAATCCACGAAAGGTATCGATTGAGGGAGGCAAATTCGGTTTTTCACCGACGAGACAGTCCAACTGTTAAGAACTGCATATTGAATAAAACGTGATTTTTAAAATTTTTAATAAAAACTATCGTTTTACGATCGAAATTTCATTTCGAAGTTCGAGCGGTTCGTGATCGTTTGGAAATTGAGATTTGCGCAATGAAATGTGTTAGAATACAATTTCTAAAATAGTTAATAATAATAGTTGCGGTTTTTTAAAAGCGGCTTATTCGAAGTATTTAGCTTAGGCAAAAGAAAAAAGCGTTAAATAACATAAATTTCTCGCGATTTTGGATTTAGGTCGATTCATATAATGTAACGACAAGGTCGTTTTAATTTAATAGTTACAAAATTAATATATCCGACTGATAAATTTATTCATTACCTCTCTATACATAGTAGATATCGAGGTATAATTGCCTAATCTTCATTTTATCTTATAGCACTAATAACCGTTTTAATTGATACATTAATAACATTTTATTTTATCTCTACTAAAAAAGTGCATTCTGCATTTATTCAGTCCAACTAAACTTAATTACTGCATTTTCGAAGGTTATTGAATCGATTTTCGAAGCACTATCGTTTTTTAACTTTATCATTAAACAGAATTATGTAGGTTTTTTATTATACTAAATAAGTTTATGTAGCTTATCATCGAGTTCTTCGATTCCGATACGATTTTGCACGGTCCTTTCACTACACATGGCGCTCATTGCAGGTGTATGTAGGAACATTAAGGCTCGAAATCGGCCATAAACTTAACAAAAGGTGTACTAAATTGATTTGTCTGTTTAAGGAATGAAGGTGTACAGGGTGGTTCATAATAACCTGCAGAAAATAAGCACAATTTGTAGACCAAAAATGCATTTCTAATTGCAAGAAGTTGCGCCACTACAAGCAAGAATTTTGTACACAAATACTTGTAAAATTTTAATAAAGGCTGACTTGAGGGTATATTATTGGGATCACCCCTGTAATTTTGGCGCGTAATTATGAAACACCCTATAAGGAATCGAGTGTACCTACAGAAAAATAAAAGTAGGTTACTAATAGATTGTTACAGTGACTTGTCGTTTGTCTCGAAGATTAAGATAATAAGAAAACTTCGCCTTTTTAGATTACAATAATTTATCCATTTGGATGAACGATATTGTAGATACATTTCAAAATGAAATCGACCAATTAAAACGGATTTTTTTTGCATAATTCCCATCAGGTGAGTAATTTGTTTACGCAACAAATTTTTCCCTTTTAATATCGGAATTAATTACAGCGCACTTTCAAACAAAATCGAATTTATCCGATAATTGTCGTCGGATATCAATTTCGCGAATTGTACCAACGGCACGAATATTACCTCTTACATAAGTTAAAGTCGAGAGAAAATAAAAATATCCGCTGCATTTACTTTTTATTTTATATACACACGTTTGTAGTTCAATCGTCGATAATTCTCGTTGACATTCCGAAATTGCATTGATCCCGGGGTCACTAATCGATAATTAAACCGAATTCATTACACCGCAGCGAATCCTAATCGATAATTACACCATTAAAAAACCTCAATCTAATCTCCCTGTACATTTCGTCTTCCTTATACGTAAGTATAATAACAATTATCATTAATATCAAACGCCTCGAGCCCACGTACTAAAGAATGCAGTTGCACGAGACTTTAATATAATACACAGCGGGTTTTTAAGGAAGCTCTTCGGTTGTGTTGCACAAAAGCAACGACATAAATTGGAGCTCAAAAGGTCTCCTCGCAAGGAACAGTAACTTAATTTTTCGAAACGGCATAAATCTAGTTTATCGTGAGTTTATCTAACACATATACATTGCAACACGCTTAAGAGAATAATGAATGGATATGTGGAAGTCCTTCCATTACGAATGCTTCATTCGTCTTATTTACCTGCATGAACTTACAAAATTATGTGGCGATTATACACGATTTACAAATTATGTTTATACAGGGTGTTACAGCGAAATATGGAGCACCTGTTAATTGTGAACTAGCGATGACAGTGCGTTAAATTGAATTACAATTTGAATTGAATTTCAACAACAATAGAATTATGATTTATTTGGCTCTCTGTATACAAACTAATAACTATCTAATGAGATTCTAGGTGTATTTCTGAGCGCAAAAATAAGTTCAATAACCAAATCGCCTCGGAATTTGTCATGCATTCTGGACATTAATCGTACAATTACAGTCTCGATTATAACGAGACGATTTATTTAGTAATTTATACAGTGAAAGTAATTATTAAAATAAATAAGTTCACTAACGCACTCTCGTTATCGCTTTTCTTCGATAAGATTGTAAAAGTTGCGTTCGAATTTTGGTTTTTTTTTGCCGAGGACTCGTTTTCAATTAGCAAGGTTTCTAGAAATTGATCAATTTTCTTCCGGGGTCTCGGTAGAAAATAAAACAAAAAGTATATGCAACAGTTGAAATTTCAATGAGATGTGTGTATACAAATTTGTACTTGTAAGAATTATTTATTGGGTAATAAATTCGATTTTTTTATATAATTTCTGGAAACTGTACGAATGTAGGTATTAACAGCACGCAAATTGAATAATTTCCTTGCACAATCGAATTATTATGTGCAATTTAACCGATTGTTCATAAATACAGACATTTCTGCATGTGCAGAAAATTCGAATCAGAGTGTGAAAATTTAACCTAGTTTAAAACGAAATAAACCAGATTAGTTCGACTCTATAAAGATAAGTAATTGAGTCACACAATCTTTCTATTTAAAAAAGCACGTTAAATAGAATTAGGAAACTAATTGCATATAGTTTGTTCATCTGTACAAGCTGATGATGTCAGTACCTGATTTATATTGAATGTACTATACAAATAAAAATAATCTACCTGTTGTACCAAGGCAACTCTTAATTTTGTTGTTAAATTAATAACTTTTATAGATAATTTAGACTCTATTTATTGAGCGTATTTTGCTCTTTTATTTACAACAGCAAGTGTTTAGAAATTTTATGAAATGTCCCAAAGTACCCAAACAAACCGAAACTCGTCTATCTATCCTTATTATGCCTACCTATTGAAAGGCATTTGAAACGAACTATTGAAAGTGAAGGGGGATATATAAACTTAATACTTTTAGTTATCGATTAAACTGTACATAGTGTAAACAAGTGAATGTTATATAGTTATTATGGATAAGGTAACGATCCTTTTAGTGACAATTTCGTAATATCTATGTTTATTTGGATTTATAGTTTGTACCGTTAATATCGAGGATATGTGGGTAAATAAAGGATTAAAAAATTTACTAATTTTTTTACTAAAATTTACTAACATTTTTTATCTCAAATTTGGGAATTTATTAAGTCTTATTTTCGATTTAACATTTAATAAGTACATTTGAATCTACATTTAATAATCCGCAAAATCAAAACGCTCTGTATTATATTAATTCAAATGCATTTTTCATTAAGTTTACGATAATATAATGAGTAATGTAATAAGAATAGAATAGCAATTATTTTATCATTTTAGAGACCTTGCGTCTAATTAATTCAAGGATTAACAAATAAACTCTGAGTTTTCTGAGAATTAACTTGAGAAATAGTGTGAAAGATACGCTTTAAAAATCGGAAAACAGGCCATTTATTTTTCCACAACAGCCGGTACATACAGTAACATTGAAACATAATATATCCATATAGCATATAATGAATAATGTAATATAATTAAAACAATATCACTTCCTCGCGTTTACCTTGCATATATCTATCATTGCTTCGGACTCATTTTACTTTCACTATCAAACAGAAGACATTTCTAAGTTAATTAAGTTGTTGAAACAAAAAGAAATATCTCGTTAAATTTTATTTTTAACGAGCGTTTTTCCACAAAGAGAGAAACTATTGCCAAGAGGTTTGTTATTTCCTGCTTTGACATAATCAAGCGCTGTTACAAAAGGAAATTAAAATGTGAAGATTTCTTAATTGAGAATCATTTTAAACGAAAATAATAACATTTATACAACCGCTCTAAATCGATTTCCTCTACGCGACCGTGACACCTTAAAGCCATTAAATAATAGCACTTGAACGTTTCATGAAACCTCATTACATTATTATAGTAGGTCGCAATGGCCATTTTCGGTTCGGAATTGATTTATAAATGAATATAAATCTCTTATTGCGCACAAAAACCGCTCGTTTAACCTACGGTTTTGAGCACTTTATATTGAAAAACGAAAGGTAATCGCGCATTTACAAGTCAATATCAAATGATCTATCGGCGCAAAAAATAGATTCTGTATAGTTTGTACGCTCGAAATACCTCAATTTAATTCTCCTATTTTAGATATTAATTTATTTACTGGCTGGATTAGTAGCGAGCGAATGTAAGGAACCGACGAAACGCGACAGAAGAGGCCATTATGACTCGACTTATTCCCTAGGAATCGGCCCGGTACAAATCCAAAACCACCCAGGAGCTAGCGAGAGTTTGTATTCCTATCAGAACAGTAAGCGAAAACCGAATTATCCCATAATTATACAGAGTCTTCAGAAATGATTGATTCCCACGCGACCTACAAATTTATGCAGCCCAAAGTGCACTGTCATTTGTCATTATTTTAAACAAATATCCCTATTTTATTTGAATACAAATCAACATAGTGGCGTAAGAACACTTATTTACTGGGTTATTTGTTTACTATTTTTACCTACATATAATTAATTTAACTAAGAACTAATTTAAAAAAGTAAGGAAAATTCACAAAAAAAGTAGAAAAAATAATACGTACCGCTAATGATCAAGTTGACGTTGACATTAATGACAGTATTCTAGTAACTTTGGGTACCAACAAAAACATAACAAATTTACTACGTTTATTCTCCAATCGCAGCTATTTGAGCTATTTCATAATTTCATATTTCACACCGTTCGATTCCAGGCAAAGCGATAAGTTTACCGGAATACTCGACGGAACCGTTGCACTTGAACTATTACGAATTGAATTCCATCGAGAAACCCGTGCAGGAATCGCAGGAGTACGTGCCGCCCCAATCGGTGGGCTCGGCGGTCATTCCGGAGCTGCCGCCGCCCGCGGTGCCGGTCAACGCGGCCGCCGCCAACGTGCCCGGCGATGGGAATTCCATCTTCCTCGGATCCGGCGCCTTGGGCGTCCTGAATTTAGGAGGAGGTATACCGTTTTCGAGACATCCTGTATAATCGATTCTACAGATTGCTCCATTTTTGATCGCAACATACATAGACAAAATAAAAGAGACTGTTTAATGCATAGGACAGAGTCGACAACATGCCTTTAGAACGAAGACCAGCCGTTAGAGGCGCTGCTATCGAAAAATTAAATGAATTTCGATTGTTTTGATTGGCTAATTTTATATGAGATCCGTATGGAAACGATCGCGATCGCGGGTCGTCGGTCGTCGCCCGTCCGTTCGTCCGTTGTTTTAATTAAGTGAGTTTCGTTAGTGATGTAGACGCCATTTTAGTGCTTAACCTAAATTGTGAGTATTTTTATTTTTTATATTTATATTTGTTTGCAAATTTAAAATGTCAACACCAATTCGAAGGAAGGCTCGTAAATGTGCATCACCAAGATGCAAAAATTTGTAAATTTGTCCCCCCGAAGATAATCTTCAAAAGCGTTTTTTTTAAATTCCCTTCAAATTTGAGTGAAAGAAAAAATGGTTTGATATTATAGGATTATTATTTATAGGTTTGTCTCATTCATCCAAACAAATGAGACTCTGTGAAGATCATTTTTCTACATAGCTATCTACTTATAATATTTGATTTCTATGTTTTTCTAATACATCTCGCTGTTTTTGTTATTTTCCTAAATTAGATGCTGCTCATATTTTTTTCTGTTTTAGTTAGCTCTACAAGAATTGGACGCTGTAGGCCCTGGGAACTGAGGGATCTGACTCATCTGACTTCGAAGTAACAAGGTTGTATTTGTTTTACGTTTCTATTTATTCTATTATATTTTCTATTCCACATGTATTATATACGTATTCTATTTATATTTTTGTTATTAGTGTCAAATGTTATTAATTTTGTCGAATGATGTTCAAATGTTGAATTGTATGTATTGTATTGTCTATTTAGGTTATATGTATGTATTCAATTTTTTATATCTTTAAATAAATACATTTCTTATTAACAAAAGTTGTTCTTATTTTCTAATTTGCAATATAGCAATATTATAAAAATAAAATTGAATATATAACCCATTTTTAATTTTGAAATATAGAAGAAATCTACTCGATATTTCATTAGTTCGTGGGACCAGCCACTAGGAACAGCACCATCTACGCGTTGCCAATTTTTAGTAAGAGATCGAACTCTCTCATCTTTCTTTCTCTATGGCAACATAGTTTATATATGCCATGGGTGCGACAAAGACAACTTCCATTAAACACTTATAGAGGAAAGAGTGACATTTATGTCATTGCAACTTTTCACTTTGACAGCTGTCATTTTAATAATCTTTCTTTGTTCCACTCATAGAAATGACCATGTTGCAATCGGAAATGGAGCACAGTGTATAAGCCTACGCGTTTCAGCATGATGAAATATGCATGTAATTAGTATCGACAATACGTGGTCAATCTAATTATTGACTAATTTACATTTACACCGGTTAATTAGAGTGTTTTTTTTAGGAGCTTACGTCCTTGGATCGGGAGCGCTGGGTTATTCGGAGATCCGGAGGAATCCGAGACCGAATATCAGGGCTTCGACTCTACCGCCTATCCAGGCCTCGCCGAATTTGCTGCCGGCGGCTGTGAACTCCCCGGAAAGGCCTCGACAGCGCGCTGTATTCAGCTACTCTTTTCCCACAGGTAATTGCTCTGGCATTTCGCGATTTCTTATAGCTTATAGCGTGTTTAATAGGTCACGGATCGCCGGTGAATCAGAACGAGTACGAATTCCTGGCGCCCAGCCAGGCGGGTTTCGGGGATCCCCTGCCGCCGGGGCGCTTGAAAATCACCAATACCTACGCCGTGCCGACGGCTTTGGTGCTGCCGGCTCGATTGGCCGATCCTGCGAGGTACCAGGCCCCTTTGCGGGAGTACAAGACCGTCCCGACGTCTCTGACGGTGCCCCAAACTCAGCCCCCGACGCAGGCTCAACCGATAACAACGCAATCGGTGACAGTGGAATCCGATCTGTTGAATATTTATCCCAAGAGAGTGAATGATTTGTACCAGTATTTCAAGAAATAAATGTGCGCTTACTTACTTTATTATTAAATTGTTGGATATATGTGAGGGTATTTTTTCTTAAGTCTTTCGGTGTGGTTCGGTTATTGGAGCGAATGCCTGTTTGAATAAATCGCAAAAATAAACTTGGAAATATTCGTTTTTGAGAATTTTTGAAATGTCCAGATGTCGCCACTTGCCAGTTAGCGAAAACTTCTTGTTTCGTGCTTCAACGTGTGTTTCATGTCATCTGTCTGACACCAATCGCCATATTGACATTGACATAAATTATAAATAAAAAGTAGAATAAGTGAGGTTATAATCTTGTTTGTTACTATTATATTGTAATAATAATAAAAGCGAAAGACAAACAATTACTTAAATTTAACAGATTTCTTATAGATATACGTTCGAATCTTCAATTTCTGAAGCCTTTATCCGGCCAAAATGTCTATCGAAATCGAGTCGGCCGAGTAAGTACTCTACTTCTCAATACTATTTAGTCTATTAAAGCTTCATTTTTCAGCGTTATACGACTCATACAGCAGTACCTGAAAGAATCTAACCTATTCAGAACGCTGAATACCCTGCAGGTAATCAAATTACACCGTTCGCACCCATTTCCCCGTTACTAAACCTTCAAATTTCCAGGAAGAAACCGGCGTTACACTCAACACAGTCGACAGCATAGACGGTTTCTGCGCCGACATCAACAACGGCCATTGGGACACAGTCCTCAAAGCCATACAGTCGCTGAAACTACCCGACAAGAAACTCATCGACCTGTACGAGCAGATCGTCTTGGAGCTGATCGAGCTGCGAGAACTGGGAGCCGCCAGATCGCTGCTTCGACAAACCGACCCCATGATTATGTTGAAACAAAACGAACCGGAACGATACATCCATCTGGAAAACCTTCTAGCGCGGTCCTACTTCGATCCTCGCGAGGCCTACCCGGACGGGAGCAGCAAAGAGAAACGAAGAGCCGCCATTGCTCACGCTCTATCCGGCGAGGTCTCGGTAGTACCCTCGTCCCGTCTGCTAGCCCTGCTAGGGCAGGCTCTGAAATGGCAGCAACACCAAGGGCTCCTGCCTCCGGGGACCACCATCGATTTGTTCAGAGGCAAGGCGGCCGTTCGGGAACAGGAAGACGAGACTTTCCCCACGCAAATGGCTAAACAGATTAAATTCGGGCAGAAGTCGCACGTGGAGTGCGCGAGGTTCTCGCCCGACGGGCAGTATTTGATCACCGGGAGCGTCGATGGGATTGTGGAGGTTTGGAATTTCACCACGGGTAAAATCCGAAAGGATTTGAAGTACCAAGCGCAGGTATGTTAGGGACGCTCTGTGGGTATTGATTGGTACAATTGGTGTTTGTTTAGGATAATTTCATGATGATGGAGCACGCGGTGTTGTGTATGGCTTTCTCGAAAGACAGCGAAATGCTGGTGACTGGCTCGCAGGCCGGTCGTATAAAGGTGTGGAGAATCAGCTCGGGGCAATGTTTGAGGAAAGTGGAAAAAGCGCATACCAAAGGTATAACTTGCCTGCAATTTTCGCGGGACAACAGCCAAGTTTTGAGCGCTTCCTTCGATCACACGATTAGGTAAATATATTCAGATTCGATTGAAGATTACATCTAAATGTGAAGTAATTTTTAGAATTCACGGTTTGAAGTCGGGGAAGACGCTAAAGGAATTCAGGGGACACACGTCTTTCGTGAACGAAGTCATATTCACACAGGACGGGCATAATATTTTAAGGTAACTCGATGGAATCGTTCGAGAATATATTGTATACTGAATGTATTTATTTACAGTGCTTCTTCTGATGGTACCGTAAAAGTTTGGAGTATAAAAACGACGGAGTGTCTCAATACTTTCAAATCGCTGGGAGCTAACGATACGACGGTGAATAACATACACAATTTTGCGAAAAATCCCGAGCATTTTGTCGTTTGCAATCGAACGAATACCGTTGTTATTATTAACATGCAGGGCCAAGTAAATACTCGATAAAATACGAGAAAACGTTAATTTAATCTGTATCGTACGTTTCAGATAGTGAGATCTTTCGCTAGTGGTAAACGAGAAGGTGGAGATTTCGTTTGTTCGACGGTTTCACCGAGAGGAGATTGGATTTATTGCGTGGGAGAAGATATGGTGTTGTACTGTTTCTCTACGAATTCCGGGAAACTGGAGAGGACTTTGAATGTATGTAATTATCGATAATTGTTGTTGTATCGTCTAAGTATATTTTTGCAGATTCACGAGAAAGATGTGATCGGTATCGCTCATCATCCTCACCAAAATTTGCTATGTTCTTATAGCGAAGACGGACTGGTTAGACTTTGGAAATCGTAATTTATTTGTAAATTTGCAAGATTGTGTTCGGTAAAAACATTTTTATATAACGTATGATTTAGTAAATATGGTGTGAAAAAAATGAAACGATTATTATTTTTGAAAAACGTTTATTTAATTTAGTTAACATGACAAATAACGAAAATTAGAAATGCATTAATACAACTTAACTTCAAGTCGTAACATTTAAGTACAGCTAATAGTGAAAAGTATGCAATGTGCATAAAGTTGAAATTAAAACAAAAAGCTTTTTAATTCTGTAAATAATGTCTTCCAACTTTTTTTAGGAATGTTCCAAACTCACACAAAATTAGCGTTAATTAAAGTAATCAATACAGCTATTAATAATGTTGTGTATGTAGCGCATCGTTACCATACAACTATCATAGTTTTTTTAACAATTAAAAACAATTAAATGTTTAAATACCTGGTATATTAAGCATAATTTAAGAATTTGTTACAATCAATCTTAGGTGTTTAATTACAAAACAAAAAAAAATTAATTCTAATTCGCAGACCATTCCATTTTCTCGTCCTTCTTCGTTTCCGATTGATTTTGTTCTTGTGAATTCGCCTGTTGATCCGCCCCCGCTTTCTCCTCTTTAGGCGGTGACGGGGCCTTCGGCGGCGGCTTATTTAGAATCACATTAACGGTATTTTCAAACGTCGTCTTCTCTTGCCTGATTTGCGCCACAGTTACGGGCGGCGGAAGATGTTTAGCAGCAGCATTCAGTTTCATTCTGCTCTCTTCCAACCACTGGTAAGAATGTTGAAATGCTTCTTCTACTTTCTTCAAATCAGATTCAGTTAAATGCGCGTATTTGGGATCCTTCGATCTACAATTTCAATAAGTTACTCAAAATACTCGATTAAAAAAAAATTAAATACAACGTACTTAATCAATTCTAAAGCTTTCGTACAAAGCTGCAGTGACTTCGCAAAGTCTTCTATAATAACAGGCCTAAGTTCGAATTCGATTTTTCTAGTTTGGACCGGTTCACCGATAGATTTCAATTGCGTTAATTTGTCTATGTAAACTTGCTTGTTGCAATCTTCACCTTCTTCGTACAGCCAATTCTCCATATCGTCCAATTGGGCTACCAAAGCTGCTCGGTCGTTCTCCAATATAAAAGCAGCAAGTTCATCGTCGGAGCTAACCTAAAAATCCCCCCAACAAAATAAACAAACAATCATCGAAACCGATCAACTACACAAACCTTATTACGCAGTTCGTATACATATTCCTCGAAGGCGTTTCTGGCGTCGGCGCGCTCCTTTTCCTGTCGATCGGAGGCGATCATTTTAAATTCTTGCTCCGTGAAATGATTCAATTCGACTTGCGAAAAACCGTTCGTCAACGATTCGATTGGTAACTCGATGCTCTTTACAGTTTGCTTCTTTTTCTTGTCGTTTCCCTCCTAAAAAAAATTACATACTCAAAGTATTCTATTATAAATGGTGAAATATAAGTGTATTGTACTAGCTCTTACAGTAACAGGTTTGTATCAAACAAGGTTTTTATTGTATATGCTCTGAATTCGATACTTTTGTTGAAACAAACCCATTTTTCATTTATAAAGTTACACAATACAAATATTGTGAATTTTTGTGTCACAAAACTAGGGAGAAACCAACACTAATTTTATGTCTGGTACGATTACTTGACAACAAACTAAAATCAACAGAAACAAACTGCATAAAAACTCTCCAACAACTGGCATGAATCTGGACAATATAGCAAACAACAAAATTCTGGTAGTAAAAAAAAAATGTATACGTTCGTGTGCAAGGATTTCGTTCCTGGTGCAGCACAGACAACAAAAATACAAGTACATAACGAAAATCAAAAAAAAAAAAAGGAACGAAAAATAAACGAAAAAAGGATTGCCAGGCCAGCGTTGCCGAGACAATATGCGTACCCCGCTGAACCAGGCAGATATTTTCTTCGTCCAGCTGGTGCCGGAGCCTACCTCAGGAGCAGCACCTGCGTTGGCGGCGTTCGTCTCCATGGGAATCTCACCGCCTTCGTTGGGCGTTTGCTGATCGGCTTTCTGATCGGCGTTGGCGTTGGCGTTCGCCTCCTTCGGCGATTGCTGTTGATCCTCCGGTACCTCGGATTCGGGCGATTCCTTCGCTTCGTACATGCTCGCCGACGAAATCGTCATGATGCCGTGCAGGTTCACTCGAAGCTTAACCTTCACCTTTTGCGGTTTGCCCTCGGCGTTCGGACGAACGTCTTTCACGATCCAAGTACCTACAATCGATGCGTTACAAAAAAATTCAAACTTATCTAAACTATCATAATTCACCGATATCGCGATCCGGATAGGGTACGGCATCCGTGTATTTGGCTTTGATCGAAAACGGCTCCGGTCGGTAGAACGTCAACATTTTCGAAAACGGCACCGGATGGTTCAAAGGAAAAGCCTCCACTTCGCCGGCCGGATCGCCTCCGGGACTCGAATCCCAAGCTACCGATATGGGATAAACCTAAAAATATTCGACTCCCATCAGTCGGTTAATTTCTACAAATTTTACACGATACCCACCTGTACATCGGTGACATTAAATTCTCTAACTCTCACAGCGGGCGAAAGCATAGCGCATTGCAGTGCGCAACCGCGAGCAACGGCCTCGTCTTGATTCAAAGTCGTGCTGGCCGTCTTACGAAACACTTTCTCGATGAGACTTTTTATAGCGGGCACCCTGCTGGCTCCGCCGACGATTTCGACCGAGTGAATATCGTCCAGACTTAAACCTATCGATAGAAAGAATTAGACGCTCTCCTACAATCGAAACCGTTTTTCGATCGTTACCTGAATTATTCAAACATTGTTTCAGACAACACTCGACTCGGTCCAGCAAGTGAGCGCACAACTGTTCCATATCAGATCGTTTCATACTACTCGAGACGTCTTTGTCGTTCATGAAGCATTCGATGTTCAACGGCAACGTGGTGGAATTGGCCGACATTTGCTTCTTCAATTTCTCCACCTCGGTCAACAATCGCATGAAAGCCCTACAATCGAACGTACAATCACAAGTTACTATACGATAACGCTTTTAAGCTACCTCGCGTTGTTCCTGGCATCGATGTTGTACTTCGTCTGGAACTCCTTGCAAAATTGCTCGGCAATCATCAGATCGAAATCCCTACCGCCCAGATTCGGATCAGACGACGTCGTCAGCATCTTCAGCTTGCCTTTGTTGAAAGCGCACGCAGACACTTGTATCGATGCCTGTCCGCAATCCACGAAGATTACATTCCGAGGCTTATCGTCGGGACCAGGAAGATCTTGTTTGTAGATCCCGTACGTTAGGGCTGTCGCAGTGGTTTCGTTGAAGAGCCTCAACGTGTTGAGACCTATAAGATTGGTATTAATGTGTGTTTAGAGTAGAGTATGAAGTATTTACCTGCTATGGCAGCGGAGTCGAGGAGAGCCTTCCTTTCGTTATTGGTGAAATACGAAGGTACTGATATAACGCAATCGTTGATCGGTGTTTGAAGTGCTGTCATCGCTATGTCCTTCAGTTTGGTCAATAACATAGCTAGGCATTGTTCGGGGGAAAATTTGTGTTCTTCGTTTAAATAGTTAACCTGTTAACACAAGAATTTGTATGAAATAATTGATTATACACGTATTATCGAAACCGTACTTTAATTCCAATAGAACCGTTCTTTTCTTCCACTACAGAGTAGGGTAAATACTGTATTTCTTTCTGAACATGTGGGTCTCGATACTTCCTTCCCAACAGCCTTTTGAGACCGTAGACGGTGTTCTTCATGTTGGTGACTTGCTGATTTTTAGCGGCGACTCCTAAAATTCTGTTTTTGCCGGAAAACGCGACGAACGAGCTAGAATAGAACGAAAACACATCAATTATATTCTACTCTTCACCTACATAGAAAAATTCTTCAAGGTTGACACGGAACGTCAAACCACATGTACGACTAATCGCGGATCCGGCCCGTTAATTAAACCCCAATTGAAATGGTCGTTGGGAATACTTACGGCGTGGCCCTTAAGCTGTAATCGTTGGCGATGGTCTCGATGCCCCCGGCCTTCGCGACCGCGACATAGCACGATTCGTTGCCCAAGTCGATTCCTATCACAGACATTGCGGCCATTTTACTCGCGCTCGCTTACAAACACCGTACGAAACCGAATCGATGGCGATTTTAATTTATTTCGCGTTTCTCGTCGATTCGAAACCGCACCGGCACACTTTTTGATTATCGCTATTTCAGAATGACTTGAAGTAGGAGAGGAGGCGAGATCGCTTTCGTGTAGCAACGAACGAACCTTCTCGTAAAACTTGCTGCCAACTGTTAAGTGTTAAAAAACCGAACTGATTAGATGTTTCTGGAATATTCTGGTTGGTCGTTTTTGTTGCACCTGTATCTTTTGATATCTAGGCCTTTAATGTATTGTAGCGAATCCGGTAAAATTGTTAATCGTTTAACTTGTTTTATAAACACTATAATTATTTCAAATATACTCCTCGTAGTAGTAATAAATATAATTTTTTTAAACTATGACAGATGTCACTTTTACTAAAATTAAGTCTCTTCTTCTGTAGCTATTCAGCAACTCACGAGTTGATATTCAGCGCTTCTAAAAAAAGAAGAATACAGTTGGCTGATAACAACAACAGGAAAAGGTATAAAAATGTGTTGGAAACGTTTTAGGTTGGCAGTCCGTGAGTTGTTCATGGAATGGCATGGCAAAAACATCAACTTCGTTGAAAAGTAGCGATAACACGAGTGTGCTCTTGGATGTGATTCGAAAAGATTCGAACGAAGAAGTCGAGACAGTAAAAGGAAAACTCGAAAAAAGAATGCCGAATATCAAAGTATTCAGCGGGACCTCTCATCCCGATCTCGCCCAAAGGATCGTGGATCGTTTGGGTATTGATCTAGGCAAAGTGGTCACGAAAAAATTCAGTAATTTAGAAACATGGTAAGTAACATTTACTTATGTATATTTTAAAATGCTTATAAGGTAAAGTTTGATTTTAGGCTCCATATTTCTGCGCATGCGCCAATTTCGTGAGATTTCTCGGCTAACAGCGTCAAAATCTGTACATCGTTGCCAGATTGTGCAAATGGAAATATTGGTAAAATAAAATTAAAATTTTATTCAAAATATAATTAATATAATATAATAAAATAGTTACATGATATACAGGGTGTCCCAATAGTAGGTGTGGTAGGTGTGGCTAGTGGAGGGTAGAAAAAATTAATTAAAAATAGTTGTTTTTGAAATATTTACCTTTACCTAACTCTTTTTGTATTAACTACATACAGGGTGTCCCAATAGTGCGGTAAAGCCCATTTACTCAGTGATTATAATAGATACGAAAAAATGGGAAATAGGAAAAATGTTAAGGACCTTCAGGCGCAGAATTTAAAATTATTTCGAAATATACAGGGTGGCCCATAAATCGAAGCCATACCAAACATACCTTTTTTTAAAGGCAATGATATATTTTTTATTTTATATTCGATTTCAGCTCGTATTCACGAGTTTCTCAATATAAGATTTCATATGACTATACTGAGTATTTAAAAAGTTATGGCCATTTTTATGTTCAAATCGACATGATTTCAAGGCCCTGTATATCAGAATCTGTATCAGATAATGTGAATTTTTCTGTGTCAGCACTTTTTGAAAATGGTCTATTTTCACAAAAAATAGTTACATTCTGACAAAATTGCAATTTGTATACAGGGTGAGTCAAAACGCAAACATAATAATTACTCGCTTAATTTAAATGGAACACCCTATATTAATAATATCCAATGGGAAGTCTATTTCTTACTGAATCTTTTTTCATAACATTTCCCTATAACTAACTGTCCCCATTTCTGAGATATTTTCAGTTTTATTCGAAATGTCCAGTTTTTGATATTATAATTTCATTTTAATCTAATGACATCTTAGAACTTTTTTTGCTAAATAATAGTAGAAAATTAAATATCGATTAATGTTTAATCAAATATCATTAGCAGGTACCCTAAATTTCTAGTTATTCTGCAATTTAAAGTGACACGAGTTCAATAAGTAAAATTCGCATAGTTCGTAGATGATGACGTCATAGAGGTAACTAGTTTAAATTAAAATTATAATAATTTAAAGTTTAATTTAAAAATTACCAAATATTTCGGGTAGTTAATGATCGTTAATGGGCTCATTCGATAAAATTTAGAATTTGTTCAAACTTTACATACATAAAGAAGAGGTTAAAAAAAATTAATACTGAAAGTTTCAAGTTGATCCGATCAGCGGTTCTTTAATTATTCGAGTTTAAAAATGCGATTATTTGGCTCCGCGATAATACGATGATGACGTCACTGCATGCGATCTCTTCGCTGTCCGCTTCGCATTCACTTAACTTGCATTGCATTCGCGATCGTCTCGTCTTTTTAACTGTGGTAACTGTCCCGAACGGGTCAAATCACACTGAGTTTTATATGTTTATATAAACTTGAATTTGTTTATGACAGGCCCTGTTTGTAATAGTGTTGTTTAAATTTTTATCCATTGTCAAATTCACATCATCCATATCATGGTTCTGTTCATTCCGAGTACTTTTAGAACAACTAGGTTGATAAATCCTCGATAGAGTAGTTTACCGCTGTCTTTTTAAAAATATTGTTCTTGCTTACAGTGAGTTTAACGCTTTGAACTTTTTAGCAGTCGAAGATATTAGGTACAACATCTTGCTTCATTTTTATTGGGAATTAGCCATTGTTTTAAAATACATGTAATTTTCCATATCGTTTTCAAACTAAAAAAATTAAATATTTTTACTAAGCAAACTAATTATTATAATTAGTGTGTTACAAAATGCGACAAATATGACAAAATGTGTTGGCTTAGTACTAACCAGCATACTTCTTTTCATTGATTTTTGTCACAATTTGTTTTTTCTTAAATCGCGCGGAAGACTAATAAATATTTTATTAGGCGTCTTAAAACTAGTGCTTCGACATTTGGGAACAATGCAATATTTATAACTATTTTTTTTATTTATTGTCCGTCATTATTTAAAACTCCCTAAGCCTATTTAAAACCCTAAGAGCGCGTTCAATCGACAGCCTACATTACAAATCTGTTCTCACAACGCATGCAGTAACGTCACAGTCAATTCGAGCGAAGGCTCGTCGCGACGGTTTTTAAGGCCTTTTTAAGTGACTTCTACATGGAATTTAATTCTGATTTTTATTAATTAAAATGTAATTTTAAAAGGTAATTAGATTAAAATTAAATTATAATATCAAAAACTGGACATTTTGAATAAAACTGAAAATATCTCAGAAATGGGGACAGTTAGGTATAGGGAAATGTTATGAAAAAAGATTCAGTAAGAAATAGACTTCCCATTGGATATTATTAATTTAGGGTGTTCCATTTAAATTAAGCGAGTAATGATTATGTTTGCGTTTTGACTCACCCTGTATACAAATTGCAATTTTGTCAAAATATACCTAATTTTTGTGAAAATCGAATATGAAATAAAAAATATATCATTGCCTTTAAAAAAAGGTATGTTTGGTATGGCTTCGATTTATGGGCCACCCTGTATATTTAGAAATAATTTTAAATTGTGTGCCTAAAGGTGCTTAACATTTTTCCTATTTATCATTTTTTCGTATCTATTATAATAACTGAGTAAATGGGCTTTACCGCACTATTGGGACACCCTGTATGTAGTTAATACAAAAAGAGTTAGGTAAAGGTAAATATTTCAAAAACAACTATTTTTAATTAAATTTTTCTACCCTCCACTAGCCACACCTACCCCTCGCTAACCTTCTCCTAACATCCGCTACTCCCTTCTACGCTACTCTACCCTCCGCAACCCTTTTCTGCCCTCCGCTACCGTCTTCTACCCTCCGATACCCTCAGCCTATTCCCCGCTACCCTACGCAACGCTACCTTCCGCTACCCTAAGCTCCGCTCCGCTAACCCACGCTCCGCTCCCCTACCTTACGCTACACCCTTCTACCCTATTCTACTTCTCCCTACCTCCTCCTACCCTCTTTTACTCTCGACTACCCTCCTATACCTATACCTACCAAGCATCTACATTTTTTAGCCGAATATTTATTATCTAACTGAACATGTTGGAAACATGTTTGGAAATAACAGACGGATATAATTTCAATCAACTTCATTAAACTTTTAATTATAATCATTATAATTACTAATTTCTTACTATTTTAATATTTTCGCTCTATTCGATGAAATTAAGTGCACATTGGCAACGATGTACACATTTTGACGCTGTCAGCTGTGAAATCTCACGAAATTGGCGCATGCGCAGAAATATGGAGCCTAAAATCAAACTTTACCGCTTATAATTAATAATTGATTATATAATTTCAAAAACCGGCACGTTTTCCTCAAATTTGTTGGAAGTGTATTTAATTTTGTTGTTTATTCTCCTTGTGATAAGATTATTGCCATAAATTATTTAATCTGTAATCTATTACGTTGAAATGGTTTCCCACGCTTGCTTTTCCTATTCCCCGGAAAAGCGTATTCGCACGAGTTGAAAATGCATTTATTTCAGCGTGGAAATCGGGGAATCGGTTAGAGGAGAGGACGTGTACATTGTCCAATCGGGCTGCGGAGAAGTCAATGACAACCTAATGGAGTTGTTGATAATGATAAATGCTTGCAAAATTGCTTCGGCAAGCCGAGTAACCGCCGTTTTGCCTAGTTTCCCTTATGCCCGGCAGGACAAGAAAGACAAGGTAAAGAGTTTTTTTGCGTTGAATTCGTTTGATTTGCAGTTAATTTCTGCACAAAGCGATTGCAGCTTTTAGCTTCATCTTCTTCACTTTCTACTGATTTCCTAGAACTTGATGTTGCTTATTCGATTAGAATGTAATTAGTGGAAATCGTTTTTGAAGCTAAAAATCTTGCCTTTTTTTAGAATAACCCAACCGAAAAAGAACTCCATGTGGAAAAATGGAAGTCGATTGAATGGAAATTTAGGGTAAATAATATTAAATTTGGGGAAACGCTTTTCATCGGGTCACTAACTGTGTATTGTCCTAAAATGTTTCACTATTCGCACCGGGTCTTTCGCATTTAAATGTATTATTTCCATCTTATTAGGGTACATATTTTTCACATAGTGATAATAATTTATAGATGATATTTAATTTACTGAGTTGCATTAGATATTTCTTTAGGTGGTAATATAATATCCCTTTATCGTAGACATTTTTTTTTAATATCAACAGGTCATTATTAGTTTCATATCACTGGGTGTTAATTGATGTGTTTTTTTAAAGAGATATCAATGTTATTGGCTTCATTTTTGATTATTTTAAATGCAAATAGGTGTAGAGTAGTTCTTAATTTTATATTTTGTTATACATAGTTCATCTCTGTGCTATATGCTTGTTCAATTAATAATATTTTTATCTTTGTGATATTTCAACAGAAATGGTTATTTTTTTGAGTAAATATATTTTATTGGAATAATTTCGGAATAAATTAATTCGAATTTATCTTATTGACGAACTATAGGTCAATTAAACTTTGAAGAACAATAATTTCAACATAACCTTGCGTCATTATCGAGAAAAACAATGTTGGGTAATTGTTTACAATATTACGTATTAATAGAATTGAATTATATTTTTTCTGCATTTGTATATTGCAATTAAATTTACAGAAAAATTTAGTCTATTTTCCTGTGGATTTAAAAATCTTTCGATTGCTAATTTCATTTCACGAGAGAATTCATAAATTCCAAAAACGACATAATTAACAATCAACCACAATTAAAATTATGGTAATATTACGAGCTTATAATCCTGGAAATCTGAGAAACACAATACTTAGAAAAATTTCACTGAAAACCCCCGCTAAATAAAAAAATATTTGTCTACTTTACACTAAAATATTCACGAATTTCGAGATAAATCGAAGGTAAAATTTTTCTACACATCAAGCCATCGCATACAGGGTGTCCCTACAACACTACCTCCTCGCGGGGCACTTTGTAACAGCGCGAATTCCTCCAGCTACAATTCCCATTAATAAAGGCGCCATTTTTTCTTTCTATCTTTTAGAGCCGAGCGCCGATTTCCGCGAAACTCGTAGCCAACATGCTTTCGGTAGCCGGGGCGGATCACATCATCACCATGGACCTGCACGCCTCGCAAATCCAGGGCTTCTTCGACATTCCCGTAGACAATTTGTACGCCGAACCGGCCGTGTTGAAATGGATCAAAGAGAACATAGCCGAATGGCGGAACAGCATCATAGTCTCGCCGGACGCCGGCGGCGCCAAACGGGTCACCTCCATAGCCGATCGATTGAACGTGGAATTCGCGCTCATCCACAAAGAGAGGAAGAAAGCTAACGAGGTAATTCCCCTGCGACTCATTACTCCATATTTACTTTGAAGTAAAAGGTAGAGGCATAAAGTAACGTCTTAAAACCTTATACAAAGATGTTAAAATCATAGAACATTTTCCTTTAAAGCGACAGTGAAGCAATTCCTTCATTTCTGAAGCGAAAGTTTTAATACGGCCTCTCATATCTTCTCGATATATTATTAGAGATTGTTTTTAGGTAGCTTCGATGGTGCTGGTGGGTGACGTGAAAGACAGGGTGGCCATTTTGGTGGACGATATGGCGGATACTTGCGGGACGATTTGTCACGCGGCCGAGAAACTGATGGAGGCGGGCGCTACCAAAGTTTACGCCATATTGACTCACGGGATTTTCTCCGGTCCGGCCATATTGAGAATTAACAACGCCTGTTTCGAGGCTGTGGTGGTGACGAATACTATACCGCAGGACGGGCACATGAAGGATTGCTCCAAAGTACAGGTAAGGTTAATCTAAAGTGATATGATACAGGGGGCCCCAATGAAGAGTAGCAAAATGAAATATATCTGTGAAAATTGCCAGTGTTTATGATGAGGCGTTTACAAATTATTGGCTCGCTAAAGGGGCTACTTTTCGTTGGGACGTTCTGTATAATACGAGGTGATATTAGTAATTTGAGTTTTTTTTTTGTAGTGTATTGACGTTTCCATGATGTTTGCCGAAGCAGTGAGGCGTACGCATAACGGTGAATCCGTTTCGTATCTATTTTCTAATGTACCATATTGAAGAGAGTTATGTATGTTTTGGATTTAATTCGTATGTAATATTAGAAGTTATCAATTAGGTTTCCAAATTTTGTTAAATTGATCTATATTGTTGACGTTTTTTTTTTGTAGTTACTTTATTATTTTAGTTTCTCGATGGAATATTTCTTTTTTTCTCTCGTCCAATTTATTCGATTGGTCTCAGAAATTACAAATCGTTTTTTTTTATATATAGTCTGGAATTTTTATAATACACACACACAATAAATATAACGTTGAAATAAAGCAGTATTTTTTAGATAATCGTGTATTAGATTTTTATGCAAATGCGATGAAAATAGTACATAAACACCGTTATTTTTTTTTTTTTATTATTAAAGCGCACACGAACACAACCATTATCTCCGTGCAATATCATTATTTTTTTGTATATAAATTTACGCTTATCCTACGAAACCTTACTTTCCTAAATAAGCAAACAACGCGACGAGAACATTCTAAAGTTCTCCTTCCATTACACGAGCATTACCTTTCAATTATCCGGCGTTCCTTTATTCGAATTCGCCTCCGGATTATCGCCGATCGAGGATTCCGAGGCGTTCTTCATAGCACCATCGACCAAAGTGATCGCAAACTGGTCCAAATCTTGGTCCAACTGGTCCTTTTTCCGCTGGTGCACGGGCAGCGGTAGAGAGGACGGTCGAGGTTGATTCGCCAGTTTGAGAAAAGGAAACGTCTTGGCCGCCTCTCCCTGCGAATTAATCCAATCGACGGGTCAATGGAGAGGAGTACTAGATATACCCGAGATTACCTGCGGAGTATGTACGGCGACTATTTCAGTTTGCGTGGCGATGCCGTCTTTAAACGGGTTGTAAAGACCGGCGGATTGGCCGAAAACCGACATCACCTTCATGACGTCTTGCATGGAATGCTGCAGTTCTTGAATCTACAATCGATTTATCAGCAATTAACCGGCGTTCTATCGTAAAATCTTACCTGGGTTTGCAACACCGCGCGGGTCTGAGCTAGTTCCTTTATCACATCTTCATTCGTACCGGTATTGTTAACCGCATTTTCGCCGTCCGGTCGAATATCCGAAATTTTCTTATACAGCGCGTTGATAGCTTCGGTTTGTAGCATTTGAATCTTCCGTTCGCTCTCCAAAGCCGCTTTGGTAGTCTCCATATCCGTTGCCAATTTCCTACAACAACAACACTCGATATCATCATTCATCACACACTCATCGCATACTAACTGTATGTATTGATTGGCCCTTTGGCTTTGTAGATGTTGAAATAACTGTTGCACCGCTCGATCCTTGTTCCTCGTATAGTATCCCCTCCAATGCCTTTGAATGCAAACGGCCGCTTTTATTTCGTTATTCGCTTCTTTTAGGCTGCTTCGTTCTTTCGCTTTCATCTGGATGGTGTGCAGTTTCGAATCGCACATCTCCGATTCCTCTTCGCTACTCACCGACCCGTTTCCCATCAACGAGTATTTCTTATTCGAATCTAACCCACTAGAAACGATCACAACGATTATTATTCGAAATAGAAATTATATTGCGCGATACTCGCCTAATATTCTTCATGCTACTTTTGATGTTTCGCGGTGGAACCGGTGAAGAACAAGCGCTTTTTCTAACATCAACCGGCTTGGTACCGCGAGTCCTCAATTTCGCCGAACCCAGCCTGGTAGGCTTCTGCGATTTCGTCGCGTTCGAGCCCACAGTACTAGGCCTAGGCGTGTGAATAGGCGAGGCTGTACTAGTTGGAATCCTCTTGCAGAGGGCAGTCGAAGGATGATAATCGGGGCTCATCAACGACTCGGGCACGGGCACGTTCTTCGAGAGCGCTTGCAGCGGACTATTAACGAGCTCGTAATCTAGACATTTCTCGGGAACGGAGAATTCGACGGGAGTTTTCGGCGAGAACGTTTGCCTCAGTATCATCGGATCCAAACTTTGCACCATCACCGAGCTGTTGCTGTGGTCGCTCAAGCTGCCGTAACAGCTCGAGCTCATGCGATCCGGCGATTTGAGTTTGTTCTTAGCAGCTACAAAAAAATCGTCTTAAATCGAACCGGTAGATTTGTTTTCGCGCGTTATTACCTTTCGATGTCGGTCGAATCCCCGTTATTTTCTTCTTCGATATCGGACTAGGCACTGGTGTGGCTACAACAACACAAAAATCATAAAACTGTACAAAACTCAAGCATCAAATTAATACCGTTGCTCGACGACTGATTCCTCAATTGCTGTTGATGATGCTGGGCTTTGCTCAATATCACTCGGAGCTTTCGATCGTCCTCGGTTTCCAGCGTTTCGCCTGTTAGAGGACAAACGGCGGCTAAATATTGAGCGAGCTCTCTCTGATCGCCGACTCTAAAATGCCTGCCTCGACCTTGCGAATACAGCCACTCGGCTCTTAAACTGAAACAAACGTACGATAACACATCGAATCGCAGAATAAATGCTCGTATTACTTTTCGATTGCATCTACCATGTAATCGTCAATCACGCTGACGTTTAAGCACCAGTTAATAACAAACGGACGGTAATCGAACCCTCTGTAAATATTCAATAAGGAAATTAATTGTTTGAATTTTTTTGGAGGAACTGTTGATGTTGTAAAGGATACACATTACCCCCTGTGAAATTGATACAAGGATTGTTGGCAATGGAGATTTTCGTTAAATTCACCAAATTAGCGAGCCTCGAGATCTCGTTTAAATCACCGATATTATTATAAGCTAATGTTAGTATTGTTAGACTGATAGGCAAGAACTTGTCGCATTGATCCAAATGGTTAATTTTATTTTTATGCAAGTAAAGCTCCTGCAACACACACGTATTAATGACACCAAGCGAGCGGATAATCGAAATTTCACCTTGAGGCATTTTAGAAACGACAAATCTGCGATGTGAGTGATGTTATTTTCCGAAAGATCCAAATATTCCAAATTAGTGTTAGTCTGAAGATGCTCTATGGTCTAAAATAAAAACTACTTACGTCAAGAACCCCGAGCAATTCGAGTACACTCATATCGAGTTCATTTACTCATAATATATACAACCAATTATCAATGAATGTATTGCACCATAATATAAAGAATAATCTACACAAACCCATTCACAAAAAGCCAAAGAAATACCTTAAGGCTGTTCCCGGCAAGACACAACCATTTTAAATTTACAAGTTCCTTTAAACCTTCGATCGTAAGTATACCATTACAGGAAAGATTGAGGCTTTGAAGCAAGTGTAAACGACAAACACCGTACATACGCAATAGCTGGTTATGAACAGCGGACAACTGAAATTACAATTAAATATACGAGGATAGATAATATGGAATTTTTTGCTTACTTTTTCGACTTTGGTAAACGAATCGATGTTGTCCAAACGTGTCAGTTCATTGTTGTCTAAAATGAGGGTTAAAACTTGCGATTCTTCAGGCGTCGGCTTGTTTAATTTCTTTAATTTTTTATTAGACAAATCCAATATTTGTAATGCTTCCTCTAGAAAACAGATCGTTAACGATTTCGAATGTTAATCAACTCGTACGTACCCATTTAAGCTTAATAATTAATACATTACAAGTTATTTAAGATTTGAGATAGTTTTTTTTAATAAAAATCGTTATATGATTTGTAAAAAATTTGTTTTTAGAATTGTTGTTACTTTTTTAATCATAATGACAATGACAAGTGACGTATGTCTTATTACATCAAATTGTTGTTCAATTACTATTATTTCATTCAGCCACTCAATTAGAAATGAATTTCATCGTACATTATCCAAACTGATTAATTAACAATAGACAATTTTTTTTGAATTTCGCGATTATATTATTCGTAAATATAAAACGATATCGATTTATAAAAGGTAACAAAAAAGAAGAGTAATGTACCTAACTTAACTTGATTAATTTAAAATGTGACGTCAATCACTTATTCTTGTGACGTAAATAACAGCGAACTCTACAAACAAAAATACGTACTAAAAAATTTAGTAGTTTTTGTAGACCCTTCGGAATACGTTGTATGTTTTTTTCTATGTGGCGATGACGGATTGAGAAAATTCGGCTAAAATGTCGGGAAAAAACTTTCCGGTTAACAAATTGGTGCGCGTAGGTTATTATGAACTCGAAAAGACGATAGGAAAAGGCAATTTCGCTATAGTCAAATTGGCCACTCACATTGTCACACGAACCAAGGTTTGTAAAGTATCTCTTTAATAACCGAGATGTCGAGATCTCAAATGTCAAAAAACATGTAATTTTCGCATATTTTTCCCATTTTCCTCCTCACAACCGCCTTCACGACGATTTTTCTGATAAACAAATAAATAAATTCGTCCAATCTCCCCATTCAAATGGCCTTTACTGCAGTGTCAACATTCGATGTGATGGAATATTTTACTTAAATAAAATATCGGAACTCGAGTTGTTTTTATAAAATACTATTCTCTGCGCACTATAAACCTGAAATTATTGCATTTTCACTTTCCTAATTTGTTAAACAAATATTTAGAGGTTATGTATATATAATATGTAAGTACAATATCAAGGACGAGTTGATTTGGATCTTTTAAATCGTACATTAATTAATTAGCCAATATCAGCGCACGATGGGTTTTATCATAAACATATCTAATTTATTTCAATTCAAGTGTAAATACGCTTCGATCCGGCTCTACAGCATACAAAGATGATCAATTTTAAATTCAATTTTACTGCTGCACATTTGAGTAAAACGTATGGGTTGATTTCCGTAGGTGGCCATAAAAATAATTGATAAGACTGTCCTAGATGAAGAAAACTTAACAAAGATATTTCGAGAGACTGCTATATTGAAGAAACTGAAACATCCCCACATCACGAGGCTGTACCAGCTTATGGAAACGAATCAAACAATATATTTGGTCACCGAGTATGCCAGCAAAGGAGAAATCTTCGGTAAAGCGAAAGCTCGAAGAGCTAACAGCGTTGGAATTATTAAAATGTGTGATCTGAATTTCCAGATTATTTGGTTTCGAAGGGTCGAATGTCGGAATCGGAAGCCAAACGGATATTCAATCAAATCGTGTCCGCCGTAAGCTATTGCCATTCTCAAGGGGTAGTTCATAGAGATTTGAAGGCTGAAAATTTACTCTTAGATCATAATTTTAATATCAAAGTGAGTTACTCGCATCGCAAACACTCGCAATCTGTGCTAATGTCTCGTTCGTGTTCAAGCTGGCCGATTTCGGATTCAGCAACCAATTCACGGAAGGCTGTTTGCTATCCACGTTCTGCGGCTCTCCACCGTACGCCGCTCCGGAACTGTTCCAGGGCTTCAAATACGACGGTCCCAAAGCGGACATTTGGGTAATCCAGCCAACATTTCCATCTACCCGTTACTCAAAATATTCCTCTTTATTTTAGAGCTTAGGCGTGGTCCTTTACGTGTTGGTTTGCGGCTCCCTGCCGTTTGACGCTCCCACGTTGAATGCCTTACGAAACGTAGTAATAGAAGGAAAATTTCGAATACCTTACTTTATGTCACAAGGTATGTTTTTCGTAGACTTGCAAGGATAAATTTTATCTCGCGCCGAATTTCCAGAATGCGAGCATTTAATCAGACACATGCTGGTGGTGGATCCGGAGAAAAGACTGAACATCGCGCAAATATTGAGGCACAAATGGCTGGAGGACGCGCCCGCCATCGAGGAGGAGACCGCCGAGGCCGATCTCCAATTGAACAAGACCGTGATCGATCACATGCTGCAATTGCCCAATCTCAACCAAAGCATGATCGTGCATAGCCTGAAATCGAACTCGTTCGATCACATCTACGCCATATACAACTTGTTGCTCGACAAATTGCACCGCAGGACCATCAGTTTCCAATCGAAGGTGCTCGAACAACGCCGGGTGGACTACATGCAAAGGACCGACGATCAAAACGTCTCCGGTACAACACTACATACCAGAAACAATCATAATTCTAAACGTTGTTTTTGATCCAGAAAACCAACTGTACGGGAAGCAATCTAAAATCAACGAGCGCAGCGAATCGTTCAACGAGAACCGCTTGGTGGCTTGGTCTGGTTCAGCCGGTTCGGACGGTTCCAACGTGACGCGTCGCGACGACGGCGCCGTCGCTCAAGAATTGTTCAATTGCAGGCGGGAGAGCTTCAACGAGAATTGCTTGAGAGAGATGCGGGCCGACGAATCGGGGTGTTCGAACGAGGCCGGAACCTCCTCCGAGGACGCCGGATCTCCGTTCGTTTCCATGCCTACCATACCGGCGGTGTATCTAGTAGGCGAGGGGGACAGTCAGCCATTGGAGAAGGTAATAATCGAGGTATTATCCGGCGTGAAGTTGTTAACAAATTGTGTTTTGTAGTACGGTGAAGTTGATATGGATACCAACGAAGATAATTACTCGATAGCTGTACCATCGACAGCTTCCACTTCGACCGGTTACGGAAGTTGTAATTCATCGGGTGATAAATATTTGACTATCAGAAGGCATACGGTGGGTCCGGGTGATCCCGCTCACGAACAGGTACTCCATTTTTACACTCAACATACATCGTTTGCTCAATTGTAACGCGTTTAAGGTGTTGGAGAGTCACTACATGGCCCATTCGCAAGATCCCAACGTTAAGCTCCTTCCGAACGCGCATCTTCCGCTCAATTTGACGGCTCTAACGCAACAGAATCCGCATTACTTCGGCGGAAAGGACCCGCACTTGCTGAAGCCGCCCGGCGTGCTGAGCGCCGCCGGCGGTTTCGGTCGCAGGGCTTCAGGTACTCGCTCTAATCGAACGCCTTAATATATTTCATACGACGGGTTTGTTTTAAGATGGCGGCGCGAATTTGCACATGAGCTGGGGCACGCCCGGCTCGCACGAGCAGCTCTCCATGATGTCGACGAGCTCCAGCGGCAATCCGAGCCTGAGCAGCAGCGGCACGGGGGCCCAGCCGGCGTTAGAGCACGCTCACGTTTTGGACGAACTCGCCGTCGCTAGGTAATTGTACGAATTGTATCTATGCGAATTCCGAGGTGACATTTCGTGGCGCCATTTTGTATAAGCCGGGCCTTTATTGTCGAAGTTATTCAGCCAGTGAATATAATGACGATTTGCGGCGTTGGTTATTTTGTATAAGCCGGGCCTTTATTGTCGAAGTCATTCGGCCAGTGAGTATAATAATTTTCTGCTTGTCTGTGCGAAGGTATATGCAGTGTAGGGGAAACACCAAAAGACATACTATGGCTAATCCGGAGGACGTTCATGCTATACATACGTCTCCTTCTACGGGAGGGACTAGAGTGAGACGTACTGGGTTACTTACGGTTACAGAACGACCAGGTATGTGATTAAAAAAAATGTGTATTTAATATCAGGTAGTGTAAAAGTGAAATTTTAACTAAATGTTCGATGTGATTATATTAATAATCTTTTTGTAAGCCTACGACAAGATTTACAATTTCACTAAATATATTTCGGTCGAATCTTTCAGTAATTGTAAATCTTGTCGGTTGTTTGTAACTTTTATTTCGCAAATTATTTGTACATAGCCGTATTTTTTTGCGTTGTGTTGTTGTTGTTGTTTTTTTTTTATAATTATTTTGCATGCCTATTTTGTTAGTAATTCCCCCCGAGATCGTGATGGAGGTCGAGGCACGCATGAATCGCAACCATATACCCGCCATTTTGCCCACGCGAAAACACTCGAGGCACAAACCTCCCCTGCCCACTGTGCAGGAATTACAAGGTAGGTGGCTGTGGGGACGTTGCACTTTCCCGAATTCATTCTTCCCGACATATTTAATTGCACGCTCGGCGCTTTTTTTACTTTTATTTTTTATCTTCTCCATTTCACATGAATTTTTTTTTGTTAATCGGGACACTTTTGGTGGTTCAAAGTTTACTAAAAAGTGGCTTTAGCAATATTCAGGTACTTTAATTGATGAGAAATTTTTAAAATTAGGTATAGTAGGTAAGTAGGTTCTTTGAAAGTATAAATTATCTTGGTATTGATCATTATTAATTATTACATTAGGTAAGTTCGTTTTCAAAGTCGCGGAGGAGAGCAGATTATGGTCACTTGATTTTAAAAACGGCCATCAATTGTCAATGTCAAATGTCAACTGAAAAAAATTATTTCGTTAATTTCATCTTCAACGTCAAAAAATAAACCATTTGCGAATTGAACAATCGTTAATAATATTTCAAAATTCATCTTGGTTTCTTTTTGTTGTTTTTTTTGTGTTGTTTGTTCTCAATCAATTTATAACAGACCAGACAGATGACAGAGACAGATTAAAAAAAAAATCTGGCAACTCGATCTGAAAGTTCCGAGCAAAGAGAGCTATCAACATTGATGATTCCGAACTGTTTAGTGAGCAAATCGAGCTAAAAGTGCATGAAACCGAACTTGGCTATTAAATGTTCATGACAATCTTTGCAAGATTGGTACTGAAATATAGGAATGTCCTTTAGGAAGGGAACAAAAATCGTTGGATAGATTTTCTCCGGTAAGAAGAGGCAGCGAAGGTTCCGCAGGAGGTTGCAGAACGTTGAGCCCATCCGCGCAGGAGCAACGGCTCCAAAGAGGCCTATCGACCAGAAACAGCCCACCGAGATCCATACCAGGTACACAACACACTATAAAAACCATCCGATTAATTATAATTATTTTTATTATCCGGCAGGTTCGCCTATACATCAAAAATTCATGTCGGACCAACCGCAGATGAGGCACCACATGTCGGAATGCACGTCGCCCGTCCATCAATTCTACCAGATCCTGCCCGAGACGGTGACGATGCAGGACCTGCAGAACTTCAACCCGAACGTGGACCCCACGCTGGGCCTGCCGCCCGAGAACTACCAACAGCACAATTTCGGTCCCTACGAAGCCAACAATCGCTGCATGACCTATTCGTACGACTCGATCAACAGGAGCCCGTTGCATTCCTCCCCTTACACGACCACCAGTCTCACGTCGCCTATTAACCAGGCCGTATTCAGCCAGGTTTCTTCCATGGGGATTTATTCGGGTAGCAATTCACCGGTTATGAACCACCCCCATTTGAGCCCGAACGCTTCGCCCGTTTTCAGCGGTTACGGGCAATCCTCGCAAGGCTCTAGCGTCTCGTCGATTACACAAGGTAACCTCCACAATACTCGAAATCATCCGGTAATTCTAAACGTATTTCGTAGGTATAAGCGGCTTGAATACGGCCAGTACGGGTTCCATAACGCAGGGTATTCCCTCGGGTAATTTGCAATTGGACATGCGCAATCAGCTGATGGACGACGGCAAGATGGACGGCTCGTTCGCTAATTACATGGGCGGCCAAACGGCCGCGCAGAATTACCTGCACATCCTCAACATTCACGGCCATCGCAGCCTGACGAATTCGCCGATCAGCAATCCGGGCAGTCCGGGTTTGGATATGATCCAGGAGGAGATTCCCGTGCAAAGTTCGCCGAAGGTCGAGCAAGGGTACCCGCAGATATCCGTAACGGACGTTTTAGGTTACTGCTCGAAACGTGTATTATACAGTGTGGATCGAAAGTTGCTAAGTTTTCGTCCATACTGTGTGTATCGTGATGGTGAATGTTCGATTTTGTCGTAGGTAGCGAAGTGACGTTGATAGCCGGTTCGGATACATCGGAGGATTCCATGGACAGTTTGGAAAATCAAAGGTTGCAGAAGATTCCGCAGTTTATTATATCGGAGCCGGCCGATAATTCGCCATCGATAACCCGAGGGATCGGTCGGAAAACCAGTCACGAAAACGAAACTAAAAAGCAGGAAATCGAGGAGTTTTTCCCGCGAAGGAACTCCGATAAGAGCTCTTGCTATTCGGACGATTCGCTGTCGAACGACAGGTGAAATTGATTCGCTATAAAACTCATAATGTTTTTATTTATTAACTTTATTTGTAGTTTAAGTATCGGTAACCAAAGCCCCAGTTCGAGCTCCAACACGCAATCTAGTCACGCTTTCGACAGCGACATAAGACACCGACCCATCGACGCGTACGCCATCAATCAAGAACTGAAGAACGCGCGAGGGGCTGAAAATTTCCAAATTTTCCAAACACTCAAAATGTCCGCACCATCTACAGAAACTGTACATAACCTCGCACTCCTCTCAAACATCCACTCATAAAATATTTTTTTTGTAGAACCCGGAGGCGTCGAATTCCCTATACCAATCGCCCGTCGAGAGCAACCTGCACAAGAACTCGGGCTCGTTCGAATTCGAGCTGTCCGAGGTGTGCTCGAAGCTCCAATCGACCGACATATTGGAGATGGTGAAGAAGACCATCAACGATCAGATACCGCCGAAGACGTGCCTCAGCTCGGACGAGCCGAGCGACCGGTTGAGCCTCGAGTACGAGGGCGGGTTGCAGATCGAGCTGAAGATCGTCGATAAGCCGCGCGGGGGCGATTCGAAGGGGCTGAAGATGCGTCGGATATCGGGCGATCACTTGGTGTACAATCAGGTGTGCCAACAGCTCATCTCCTGCATGACGGTCTCCTCCTAGCGTTTAACGAAGCCGTTCTAATCGCTGGAGGGTCTCTTGGTAAAAGACGCTTCGTAATTTTTCTTCTTTTTGTTTTGTGATCGATTGTTTTAAGATGATCTCTTTAGTTGTTTAGTCGTTGTATCGCGCGCTAATGAAACATGAAACTGTTAGTTTATGGTATGAATACTCGTTAAATGAGACTTGGCTGTAGTTCCACGAAATAAATGGCCTTATTGTATCAGACATTCCATGGATTTTACGTTTTGTTTAGTTGATGTTGGAGATAGGTGGTTACCAGTTAATGAGATTTCAACCTAAAAAATTGTTTAATTAGCGAGGTTTTTCCTGTTCCGCTCGTATTAAATCGTTTCGAGTGGGCTGTTAGTCGCTTTCGGTAGGTTATTTGATCTCTTCTTAACCCTCCTCTTACTATTCTAGTTGCCATATAGTAGTCTCGTAGAGAAAGGAAATTTAGATCGTTATCCTCTTCGCAATATCCTTCTTATAAGAATAATTAATCGTTAATAGGCATTTAAATTCCTAATTATTAATAAGGATTTTTAGTAAAGAAAAAAAAACGCCTTCTAGTGAATTTTTAATTCGAAACGAATTCAAAACATAGTGAATATTGTATATAAGAATTTCAAATAATGTACATATTGCACACAATTTAGTAATGTATATAAATATTCGACTCTTTTTTTTTCTCAATAAAATAAAAATAATTTTAATTCAATGTTTAGTGTTTCCAAAATGCCTTATTTGATTGAATAGACGCATTTTAACGATAGCGGATTGCACAAAAAATGCTGTATTAATTCGAGAATGTTGTTAAAAACTTAATTAGCAACGTAAATGAATTATAATGTTTGTAGATTTCGAATTAATCTAAAAAATTTTAATGTATATCTCTTTATACGTTATGCAGAATGAATAAATAAATCGTTCTGTGTGCATCTACTTAACTCACGTTAGAAAAAAAAATAAATCGTTTTTATCGAATAAAATTCAATGTTACTGCTGGTTAGAGAATTTAAACTGTTGTTACCTACTTCAGAAAATTGCAATGCGCAAATTTAGGTACACTTTTCACTAGTATAATTATTATATTAGGTAAATAATGTAATTTATTTTATGGATTTATTTTAATTAAGGCTGTTTTACGAAGCATTTCGCTGGTTAATTTTAAAACGAAACTCGTTAACGCGAATTTATAATTTTAATTTAATTAACAGAAAGAAAACGTTTAAAATTACGGTAAGGTACACGCAACTTCAACGTTTCCAATCCAATATCGCTTTTAAATGAATATGAATACTAAAAGCGGCAATATTTGTATATTTTTATAAATAAATAATTGTATATACGCGATAAACTTGTAACATTCCTCGAGGTGAGATTTTCTAATGTTATGGATCTTTGCCGTTATCACTAAGCACAAAATTGTTAATTTTTTTCAGTATGTTTGACACTAATCTGTAATCTTTAATTTTTCTATACAAATCAAAACAAATTTTAAAGTTCCTTGAGAGTAATTCTTACTCGAGCTCGGTTCTGTGAAAAACCTCCGAGCAAAAATCGTGTGGAAAATTTTAGAATTTGTTTTGTTGAATTTTTATTTCGAAAAACGATTTTTGTGCGGGTTTTAAAATAGCAGAGAATTCATCGATTTAATTATAATTTCCGCACTCATTTATTCGGTAATTCCCTTATTTTAACTCCTGCATAAACGAATCAATAAAGGTTATAAAGATTAGTATTTTTCTGTCAATTGAAATCTGTGATGTCAATAAATAATTACCAATAATTTGTCGATTTTTTTTGCGCCGCCTCTGATTTGAATAAACCGATTTTTCGCAAAAACTTCACAAACGGCAAAAAAATCTAGTCGTCCGTGATTGATAGCGCTTTATTATTAAAATGGAGGATTTGAGGTAAGCTGCTAAACGATTTGTTCGATTGAATATTCCCGAAATAGTTTCAGGAAAAGCGTATTCAACACACCAAATTCCTCTAACGGCAGAATTCCAGTGGTTTCTCCATGTCCGCCTTCGGCTTTGAACGATTTCCACAAAAACCAGCCGAATTTCGACATTTACAGTACAAGTCAATCCATTCTTTACGGCAGGTGCGTATTAAAATCGATATTTTTTACATTTACTCGACTTAATTAGCAATTTGTTTGCCCCTTAATTACCGCGAATGATAAGATATAAGATATACCGAAACATGTAGTTAGTATTTTTACATCAACAGTCGCTGTAATGGGTGCTTTTAAACGAATTTTGGAAAGGCTCGTTTTTTACAAAACTGTATTATTTTTCGGAAGTAGTCGGTAAGACCTCAATGAAGAATCATTAAGCATTTATGAGATAAATATTGTTTCAGCAAAAACATACCCGTTCAGCTCAGAAACGACTTCAAACCATACTGGAAACTCATCAAAATCTCCTCGCTGGTCATAATATGGATGGTTCTCAGTTACGCCCTGATGGCGAATTCAGAAAAAGATAAAAAAAATTACCACATAACCATAAAAAACAACACGCCATCAGGTAACTACTCGCCCTATTCTTTCTCCAAACATCAAAATTTATTTTCCAGGATTCGTTTTACACGAAACACCAAAAGACAACAAACTACTGGTTATACTGAAGGGTAAATTGCTACCCCCTTACTATGGCTACCTTACAAATCAGAAAGTGAACGTGTGGGTGGAAATGGTGGTTCTGAAACCACCGGTAAATGGCCGGTTACCAAAAAGCGAACGACAAGTAAATATAAATTTATTACTCCATATTTCTAAACTAACATGACAGTTTGACAGTTTAAGTGTTTGACAGTTTGAGTATTTGACATTTGACGGGTGTTTGTCTGCCGTTCCAGAGCATTTCGGACGTTTGGAGTATCCCGGTGGCCAATCACAATCTAACAAAGGGAATCGAAGTTCCCAACAATGCTTACACTAGAACCTTTCACCTGCTACCGTTCCAATACAATTACACCAAAGCCACCGTGCTGATGATGCAATTCCAAACGGAGAATCTGACAACGAACTTCACCGTCTCCATGAAGTACAACATAAATCCCACCAATCCCAAGGACGGCATCTTCTACGGCCTCTTGATCCTCATCCTGCTCTACGGGTTGATTATATTCGACGTAAGAGGCCAGTGTTCGTATGTATTTGCGCTTATTACACGCATTATTGCTCCAGGTGATTCACAGAACGCTAGCTTCGATTTTGGCCAGTACCGTATCCATAGCAACGCTGGCCGCCTTCGATCAACGACCCTCGTTGGCCGAGCTCGTTTCCTGGATAGACATGGAAACGATGGTGTTGTTGTTTTCCATGATGACCATGGTGTCAATTTTCAGCGAAACCGGCGTCTTCGATTACGCCGCCGTGCTGGCGTTCAAAGTATAAATTGATCACAAATGGAGAATTTCATTCGCGTTTAATTGTTCATATTCCAGAAAACCGGAGGGAAATTGTGGCCTCTCATCAACGTTCTGTGCCTTCTAACGGCGCTGTCGTCTTGTTTCCTGGATAGCGTCACGACGCTGCTACTCATAACGCCTGTCACTATCAAGTGAGTCGAATTAGTAGAATAATAGTATTTGTTTTGATGATTTTCGTATAGATTGTGCGAAGTGATGAAGCTGAATCCGATCCAAATCCTGATGTACACGTTGATATTTTCGAACATAGGCGGCGCCATAACGCCCATCGGTGATCCCCCGAACGTGCTCATAGCCTCCAATCCGGAAGTCGTTCGACAGGTGAGCCAACCTAAACGGATTTCGTTCGAAATATTCCTAAATTTTCGCGATTGCAGAACGTGAATTTCGGCGTGTTCACCCTGCACATGGGCACCGGCACCTTGTTCGTGCTCGTGGTGGTCTACCTGCAAATCAGGATACTGTACAGGGACATGAAATACTATCGCTTCGACGAGCCCGCCGAAATCCAAGGTGAAATATCAGTAAATGAATTATTAATTGATCAATTTGCGATGGTTTTTTTTAGATTTGAAACGCGAGATAGCCGTGTGGGAACGCACAGCGGCGTCGATGAGCAGCTACAGCAAGGACGAGAACCACGTGAAGGACAGCCTGCTCAAGCAAATGGTCACGTTGCGGAATAAATTGCGGGACACCGTCTACGTGGCGAGCAATTCCAACGAAGAACTGCCCGACATCGAGGAATTGAAGAGACAGGTACACGGAAAACGCGCGATTTTAATCGATTAATAATCGTATTTTATGTTTTCCAGTACCCCATAAGGAACAAATCGTTGCTGATCAAGTCCGGGTTGACTCTGTTGCTGGTGATAATAGTGTTCTTTTTGAACGGGATTCCAGCTTTTAGTAAGTTTATTATAAATTGTAATGTGCGTAGTTTAATGCACGATTTACAGGTAAACTAGGTTTAGGCTGGACCGCCTTGTTAGGCAGCATCTTGTTGCTCATTTTGTACGACACCCAAGACCTCGAGAGCATCCTAGCGAGAGTGGAATGGTCCACTCTTATATTTTTCGCATCTTTGTTCATACTAATGGAGGTAATACATCTACTATACCACACCAAATGTAGCTCGAGAGTTGAAAACTGCAACTGCAATCGCTCACCTTGAATTCTCGCTCCTTTTCTAGTACTCGTAAAGGTAGTAAAGGAGCGAAAGAGTGAGCGATAGATACTATTAGACTACTATATTAAAATCGTTTGTTGCTCCGAAGGCGCTGTCCCGCTTGGGCCTGATAGACTGGATCGGGCATCAGACCGAAGCGATCATAACGTCGGTGGATCGGGAATATCGATTGGCCGCCGCCACCGTTCTGATACTGTGGGTGTCGGCGGTGGCGTCCGCCTTCGTCGACAACCTGCCGCTGACGACGATGATGCTGAAGATAGCGACGGATCTGGCGGCGAACGAGGCGCTGAAGTTGCCGCTGCAGCCGCTCATTTGGGCGCTGTCGTTCGGCGCCTGTTTGGGCGGCAACGGATCGTTGTTCGGTTCGTCGTCGAACATCATTTGCGCCGGTTTGGCCGAACAGCACGGCTACAGGATCACTTTTATGCGGTTCATGAAGTAAGTTTATCCGAGGTGATTTGGTACTTGGAATTTGGTAGATACGTTGGCTCTTTTTCAACGATTAACAATCAATCTCTTAAAGTGTCTTAACGTAAACAACGTCCTTAGTTACTCCATAACAACCATGTAAATCTGTCAATTCAAACAACCTCCTTAGTTACTCCATAACAACAATGTAAATCTGTCAATTGAAAGACTCCTTAGTTACTCCATAACAACAATGTAAAACTGTCAAGTCAAGGCACTTTAAACAATTGATTAGCAATGAAAATGAGCGCTGAGAGTTTTCCAAGATTTGTGTTCATTAGAGTAGAATCAGAGTAGATTCAAGTCAGAGCAGAGCAGAGAAGAGCAGAGTAGAGTTATTTTTATATGTAGCTATATTAACTTATCGTTTTATTTTAATTGAAGTGTTAAAATAATTTTCTTTTCATTTTCAGAGTGGGATTACCTATTATGATAACGAGCACAACGGTGATAACAATATATTTGTTAATCTGTCACGTTATTTTGCAGTGGCATTAAGTTTTTAGTATTTAATTTTAATGATAATTATTTTATTTATATTGTTAAAAAGTATATTTAAAAATTGTTGCTATGTTATTTATCTTTTAGGTTTTTATTAAAAAAAGGAATATGTGATGTGTGTCCATTATCCAATATATTTTAAATAGATGTTAATTGTTATTTCAAAGTACTTGGTAGTTTTTTTTTTCATTTTTTTTTTCATTTCATTCATTTTTTTCATTTTTTTTCAATTTTAAACTACCGTCAAATAATTAAATCTGCAATATCTCTACAAATGCACATAATTTGATAAAATAGCAAATATTCCCAGAATTTCATTAACAATAGAATATAATTTTTTAAAGTACGCATTACGTGTTACTTATCACCCTGTATACTATTAAGAACCACTTTATCAGTAAATTAATGCGTTTGGAGAAAACTTAACAATCGCTGGTACCAGTACCAGTACCAACGCTTTTTATTCTGCTCGAAACACTAAAAGGAAATCACACCTATATTTATTATCGGTTCATTCGTCGTCGAGGCCGCAATAGCAATCGAGGTAATTAATAGTTTATAAAATATACGATTTAACACAACATGTACTACTACTTAGTAAGGTTTTGCGTTTACAACGAAGACAGTTTGTAGAGAAAATGGCTCCCGTAATCGAGAAATTGCTGACTGGATTCCGCCTAGCAGAAGGCCCGCATTGGGACGACAAGAACCAATGCTTGTACTTCACCGATATGACCAACAGTACCATCAACAAGTACGTGCCGTCCACTAAGCAGCACACCTCTGTTAATTTTGGTAAATTCAATTCCTTAATTTCACCCATAAATATTCGAGTGTAATTAATTCGCTCCATTCCAGGCGGGATGAATGTTTCCATTGTAATCCCTGTGAAGGGCAAGCCAAACGAATTCGTCATTACATTGAACAATTCCATTGCCCTTTTGAATTGGGACGGTGCAAATAGCGATGATGCGGCGGTCAAGAAATTGTACGAAGTCGAAACCGGCACGAAACACGTTTTCAACGACGGAAAATGCGATAAGACCGGACGAATTTGGGCCGGTAATTGATTACATATCGGTTTTTTATGATAATATTTTTTATGATGCGATAATGCGCCATAAAAACAACGTATAATTTCAGGCACGATGGCTTGCAAGGCGTCGTCGCTCGAAATCGAGGACAAACAGGGAAGCTTGTACAGTTTCTTCAACGACGAAGTTAAAGTACACAGAAACGAGATAGGCATCGCCAACGGCATCGCCTTCGACTACAAACGGAACAAAATGTACTACGTCGATTCGTTCAGAAAAACCCTCGATCAATACGATATCGATTTTGAAACAGGAACGCTCTGTAAGTTGCTAATTTCACCCGTTCGCGAATTAATACGACTTTAAGATGCGTTCGATGATACCTACATACACAACAAATTGACATTAATGACATTTCGTATGACAGAAGTTTACTAGAGGTGGGATTAGTGTTTTTGGTATAGAGGTGTAGTAACGACTGTTACAAAATAACCGTTACTTTTTAACAGCCAATTTAAGAAGCATCTTCACCGTGGAAGACCCCGCGGGTATACTGGACGGAATGACCATCGATTCCGAAGGTAATTTATGGGTAGCGGTATTCAAGAAAGCCAGCGTTTACCACATCGACCCGACAAAGCCCAATTCTCTGATACAAACCATCGAATTTCCGGCCAATCAAGTGAGCCGAATCCCTTCGTAATTTCACTTAAAATTACCGTAATCGCTTTGCAGATAACTTCCGTGGCGTTCGGTGGAGAAAACCTGGACGAATTATACGTGACTTCCGCTAATATAACCAGCGAGCCGGCCGGGGAAACCCCCGGAACGCTCTTCAGGGTCACCGGGTTGAACGTCAGGGGATTACCAGCCGACGAAGCCGTTCTGTAAAGAGGCTTTTCTCAAAAGAGTATAAACAGAAATATGTAAAAGTTGTCAATAAAGCGTGTTTGCGTTGAGTTTAATACGCTGTAATTTAATTTTTCTCGCACCTGGCGGTCATGTGGCGATGCGTATATAATTCAAAAAGCGCACAACAAACAAATATCTATTTTCGCTCGCCCTATTGTCGCTTATTATGATGCGGAACAGAGAAATCACATGCCATTCACCCTGATTATTTTTAAAAGTGACTCAATTAACTGCAAAATAAATTTAACACATTATTAACTCGATATAGAGCGATATTTCGCCTCACCGGGGATTCCCGGAGATTCGGGAAACATTAAAATGAGCTGGATACGACCCTGTGGCGTAAATATTGGGCCATACAAAGAAAAGAACTTTGCGCTTGGCGTTGTGCCACTTTGGAATCGAGTCAGACTTTTGTTCGGCGTGTATTTTCGAAAATAAGTCCGGGTGTTTCGGTACCAAAAAAAATAACACTCGAAATAACTATCAATAAAGACGCTGTAGTGGCGATGACAACGGGAAAAATGTCCCGCGAATATAGATAAATTTGGTCTTCGTTGGAGGAAGTTTCGATTAAATCGCTCGCTCGGAGTTAACGAAGATCGTATGGTATAGATATATCGGGAGCAGGATTTTTTATTTTCGAAATTTACGGTATAAATAGATAGGTGCGCAAATAAGTCGGCTAGTTGTTAGTGAATTATCCTGCGGTGCAGTTTGATGAAAAGCCCGTTTTTCCATTGGGAAAATTCAAGAATTTATCGACGAAGATTTGTGTTAGTGTTGAGAATTTCAAAGCCGATCGGTGTATTCATTCGAATAAGGTAAATATTGCTTATTTTGGTTTATTAAATTGATTAATATTCATATGATTATCAAAACGCCTTGTATATTATTCGGATTATAATAATTGTTCATTCACTTAAAAAAATTAAAAGCTTGTGAATAAGTTAATTAAACGAAGCATCATTTATTCAAATTAGAACTTTAATCACGAGATAAACACTTATCCACGATTTAAATATCGTAATAGGTAACCACTATTTATCTAAAGGCACTAGAAAAGTGAATTATAATTAATTCTTGAACCACTATTATTATCGTTTACTTCATAAACTTGCAGCATAATTAAAATTATAAACCTACATTTATTTATAAATTTGCATTATTTTATATAGGAAAATTCTACTAATAAACTACCTGAAAATTCCACCACAAATACAAAACAATATCAAACAAATTAAACGTTTTATTTATACCTCATTCTAACACACACACACAAAAAAAACACATGTTAGATTTTTGTTTTGATTATTTACTACAATAAATATTCCACCTGATTATACTACGATCAAAATAAAGCGAACTGCGCTTTTGGAAAATCTATTTATAACCGGCGACATTTTGTTTACTTCGCTCCATCGTCGATTTAATTTCGCATTAGGAAATTGCGAGTTTACGATCAAAATATTTTTAATTCAGATGGAATAATCCGCGCTAGTCCTTCCCTGTATTCGTTCCAAACGAAAATTGGGCGAGCGTACACGAAAATCAGCTGGAGAGCGGACGATAACATAAAATTTATTTCGGTATAAGTTTCGCGTGCGAAGGCGCCGCGACGCCTCGCGTCCCTACGCTATAATTTACTCCGACCCAAGGCCCAAGGTCGCGACATTAAAGTGTCGTTGGCGCGCGCGATTTCGCCTCTCTCTCTTGAGATGAAATTAACTCTGTCGCATCTACCGAAACCGATACATCTCAATCGACCCTCGTAAATGTCGAAATTTCACAGCCGCCTCCGACGCAAATGCACAACCATCGACATAACGGCAGACGAAGCGATTTTTTCGCCCATTCGCAATTGGAAAAACGTCATTGTAACATTTAAAAATAACCGTAACGCGACCAACGACCACTCGAACTTCGAAAAAAGTTGGAACGAAAACTTGCAGTTTACCTCTCTGCGGTCAGTTGGAAACGAATTTCAATTAAATCCGCGCGCACGAAACATTATAATAGAATTAATTCGATTATGCGGAAAAGTCGCACGAGGAAGTTGCTGTTCAATTTAGTGTCGCACAACAGCAACTACTATTTGACTAGAACTTACGTGAGTACAGCTCTACAAAACTTCCATTACAGTTTGGATAATTACTTACGGACTGCACCCTGTATATCATCATAATTTTGCTTTCTACAGTCTTCATAAATAATTGATTACCACGTGACCTAAAAATTTATGCAACCCAAAGTGCACTGTTGTTACAATTTTCAAGAAATGTCCCTATTTTGAATACAAATCAACACAGTGGCGTAAATACATTAATTCATTAGGTTGTTCATTATTTTTACCTGTCATTAATTTAAGGTTATGTTGATACACAGTTTTCTTCGGAAAAAGCACAGGAAAAACTAGGAAAAATAAACAAAACACGTTATTTTCACCGACATTTCATCGAGTTGACGTTGACTTGACATTAATGACACCAGTAACTTATTTTTTTGGTACCAACATAAACATAACAAATTTACTACGTTCATTTCGAATTCGGTCACGTGGGAATCAATTAATGATGAAAACTCTGTATTTCTAATGCGCTTTCGTATTAAAGATGCCGACGGAATGCATAACGAACCCCCTGCAGAGGGAACTCGCCGATTCGATCATACGGATGGTACCTTTAGACGAAATCAGGATACTTCTAGCTTGCGGAGCTAAAGTAAGTACCCATTCCACCGCTTATCATCAACTTAATATTATTTATTAATCGCAAGGTAAACGAACCCGTCACCCAGGGCCTGATGCCCCTGCACTACGCCGTATGGCAACGTTACTACGAGGCCACCCAGTTGCTGTTGACCCGAGGAGGAAACGTCAACGCCACCGACGAATGCGGCTACAGCCCCCTTCATCTATCCGCAGAGCACGGGTAAATCCCCCCGAAATCCACCATCTTCCCGCTAAAATACCATTTTTATTTGGCTCTCTCTGCACGATTCTGTACTGTTCGGTAGATATACGGAGGTGGTGCGGCTGCTGCTGGCGTCCGGCGCCAAGGTGGACTACCGCGAGGACACCGACGAGGAGTTCCCGAGGACCACCAGGTGCGACGAGCCGCTGCGGCTGGCCATACGCAACAAGCACATGGACATCGCCAGGCTGCTGCTCGAGAACGGCGCCGATCCGAACAAGCGGTACTTCTTCGGCGCCGAGATCAACCTGGTGGCCGATCTGGACTTCCTGGAGCTGTTGCTCACGTTCGGCGCCAACCCGGACAGCAGGGACCGCTCGGGGCTGACGCCTTTGATGAAGGCCGTTCGACAGCCGCAGGTAGGTTTGTGCGGATGTGGAGGAAGAAAGTTTATTAGTTGTGGAATAAGAAAGTTCTGTGCGTAGAGAATGGAAGTTGAGGGAGTTCGATGGTAATGTTTTTTGACGCAAAATTGACTTATCTTCCGAATTGTAAAAGGCCACAGTCGATTTTTTTTAGTTTTGACTTTTGACGTTTAAGTGACGTTAGAACGTTTGTAAATTTGATTTTAGAATTCATCTGACATGTAGAAAAGTTTCTTGAATTCCACAAATAAATCAATAAATTTCGATCGATAAACAGGAAACGATATTTAGCAAGGATGCATCTATTTATAACGAAAACAAACATAAAGGATTCCCGCTCGCTAAATTTACCGAGAATATCCAATAATATAGCGCGAATAGCATTGAAATGAACCTATAAAAGCACCTTTTTTCATATAATCCAATAAGATCCTAACGCAATTTATTAAGAATAATAGCACTTATACAGAGTGTCCCAATGAAAAGTAGCCCGCTCACAATTTGGATAATGTGAATTGCAAATGGCTGTGATATTTTTCCCTGTACTTCCCGGATTGTCTAGAATTTAATAAAAATAACTATTCAAGGGCATGGAAGCCGTTTTGCTCCTACTAAAATACGGAGCCGACGTGAACGCCATAACAGACGAACGACACGATTACAGAACGGTAATTAATTAACAAAAAAAAAACGAAATACAGATTAAAAAACAATTAAAAAAAATCCAGGTCCTCCATTACGCCGTCTTATCGGGCAACTACGAAATCGTCAATTTGATCATCAAACAAGGCGCCAAATTGAACTACGACGAGGAATTCGACCTGGGCAAACCCAGCCCCCTAGATCTGGCCATACTCAAAGGCGATCCGCAAAATGTCGCCCTTCTCATCAAATCAGGTAACCCACAACCCACTAATATTCATACTTGAAAGTACGACGGACGCCGGACCTATCCACTTACATCAATAGTAAAGCGATAGATCTACCGCCCGTTGTACAACATCCTGTACAACATTCTACACAACATTCCGTACCCTTTCAGGCGCCAACGTGAATTGCAGCTCCCCGATCATCGGCTCTCCTCTGCACGTCGCCTGCGCCGACAACATCCCCAACAGATTCGAGATTCTAACGGTATATCACTCAAAATATCGATCCCCGAATCGACCATAACGCTCGCGCTTCTCTCGCAGATGCTGCTGGAATCCGGCGCCGACCCGAACCTCAAGGTCTTCAGCGACGAGTTCGACAGGAACTCGCAGCTGCGGCCCGTGCTGGTCGAGTACCTGGCCAGCAACGAGCGCCCCAGCCTGCCCGTGGTGCACCTGCTGCTGCGATACGGCGCGAGGGTGAGCTAGAATCGAGTATCAATCGATGAATTGTAGCTAGAATTGGTGTTAGGTGGTGATGAAGACGCAGTTTCGCGATCCGGACGGCATGCTGAACTGCCTGCAGAACGTGGTGGGCGAGGAGGCCGAGTCGATTTTCTTCCTGTTGATGGAGTGCTGCGAGTCCTTCGATCCTTGCATGATCAGGAGGAACGGGGTGCTGTCGGGCGACAGGAAGGCCGAGCTGTTGGAGCTTTCGAAGTGCCCGTTGACTTTGAAGCGCCAGGTGAGGTTGTACTTGAGGAAGATCGTCGGTTCGAAGTTGCTGGGCGTCGCCGAGGGATTGGATATACCCAGATGTTTGACCAAGTATCTGCTGTTGGATTACAGTTGAATTGATGGGGAGAAGATTCGTTGGGATTTCCATGGGATTATTTTTATTATTTGGCCACTGTTTGATTTTTTTTTTTGTATAGTTACTTATAACGTTTGCACTTTAATATACTTACGATTTAACGTTTTTTTTATTAACTTACTAATTAATAACTCGTAAAGGAAAACTAATTGCTTCGAGCTAATATTATTCTCTAATAGCTCACTAATATTGTTTCCACTACTAAACTGTTAAATAACGATAGAATCCTCATTAATTAGCTCGTGGACCGGTGGCCAAAAATAGAGCTATATTTTCGAAACGGATTATAGATTAGAGAATTTAATCATTTCAAAAAACGAGACGAATCGTCTCGTGTGATTTTGACGAAACTAGCTATTCCGAAGAAAGTATTGAGTTTAGTTTGTAATTGATACCTTCTAAGAGTTTTTGTATATTTGTATCCGATTATTCATTTATATATTTGTACCTAATAAATATACTTATTCACCAATCTCGAGAAGACATCCTGTATCAACACCTTCCCTAATCCTCCAATGAAACAAAGCCAATTAAAATCAACACTATATATTGTTTATACTCATCACAATATCGAGACCCCTACGAAAACTACAGGTTGTCCCGGCGTTCTAATCCTCCCCGCATTCGTCCAAGGCGGCCATGTCGGTGCACTGGGTGATCTTGGGCACCTTCTTCAAGCAGGCCTCGTCGAAGTCCTTGAACTCCTCCATCACCGCCTTCACGTTGAGCTGGCCCTTGGAGTCGATCAGCTCGAGCTCGACGAACAGGCAGTGCAAATAGCAGTAGGCCTCCTCGTCGGCCTCCTCCAGGGAGTCGTCCTCGATTTGCTTCACCTTCTCCGGCGATATCTTCGTGTCTTTGATGCAGAACTCCTTCACCGTGACGTTGGCTTTGTCCACCGGATCGCACTAGGTGATTGGAGGCGTGTATACAGTGTGTCCCGGTAAAAATGGAAGGGTACTTACGTGGGCTTCGAGCGAGAGACAGGCCGCGATGGCGACGATGAGGAGGAATCGGTCCATTGTTGGTGGTTCTTCGACAACGAATGATGGGAAATCGACGCGGGCTAATCGTATTTAAATGCGATTTTCCATGTATAGTCCCATTATGTAATGATAACGTTTAATGATGATCCTTGATATTTCATGCAGTAGCGCACAAAGTGAAAAAAAACTTGCAAATTTACCTGGAAATTTGGGACCGGATGTCTATTATAATTTAGGAGGAATAGGTCATGTAATGATGTAATTTGGAAGGGAATTAGCGAAAATTAATTCGTTGTGTTTTTGTTGCAATTTTTTTGGACTGTACAGAGTGTCTCTATATCTTGTTTTCGTATGTAGAGAAGAATTTTGAAATATTTTTGCGATGTTTCTACGCTTAGGTACCTACAGCGTTGATAATGAGAAGCTTAAATTAAATCTATTGAATCGTGTTAATTACCAGTAAACTTCATTAGTAATGCGATCCTTAATTTCGAATCCAATTATCCTGGTGGCTGAAATAAGTGGACAACAAGCCGCCGGAAGTCCAACAACAACAACAATTACGGTGAATTGTTAATTTTATATACTTTATGTTTTTCGTTATTTGGTAAATTGTTTTGTTATTTATTTGAACACTCCTCGTAACGCTAATGTAATATATGTATATCAAAAAAACACTTTCACTTACGGGAATATACTAGAGTGTATAACGAGTTTTTAATTTAAATGTTTTTCGAAGGAAATGTATTTCCAAAAAAAATAATTTGTAAGTAATATTAATATTTCTATAATATAAGAAATGTAGAATTAGTAGTAGGTAAATTAATTTACTTACTTATGCCCAAGTTTGTATTATTTCATGTACACTTTTACACAAGAAAAGATTTACTTATAGAAAAGTATTCTATAGACAATACATTTTATATTATCGTTTATGACATAATTTTCCTAAAAATTTCACTTACGTTGGTAAGTACTTGCTTAAATGGTACACACAGGTACTAGATCATGTGCCGTAATTAATCGTGATTAGCATATTAGGAATTATTAAAATATGTAACATTTTTTTTTGTTTTAAAATAAATGATCTATTTGTATACCGATAGAAATTATAATCTTTGTGGTGAATACAATTGCATAACTATTTCCTATTAAATACTTCTTATTGAACACGTGTTTTATACATATACAGAGTGTCCCAATAAACTTGTGAATAAGGTTAAAAATCACGGAATTTCTGATTATTAAGCGGTACTTTTTGCTAATTTCCGGCTGGTTTTTTGTAATACACACGAAGAATTTATTGATATTAATAACTATATCGTAATAATTAGACGTAGGTGTATGCTTGTGTATCATCTCGTCGAGATTATCAATCACTAATTATAACTAAATTAATTCAATTAACTATTTATGCGCGCACACGTATTTCCTTCCACAAGTTTTAATTAGAGCGAAAAATGTCAGCATTATGTATATTTCAATTGATAATAAGTTTATTAATACCTTTATAATTAATACCTGCAAGTTATAAATAAACGAAGTTGGTAAAAAAATTAATAATTCACGTTTTCATTTATCAATATACGTAAGTCGCGTTATTAAATTTATAACTATCTGGGAATCTTATTGACCACATCGGCGACTGCGATGAAACGGGATTTACCACAACAGAATATACCGTGAGTAACCTTAATAGACCAGTAAATACGAATAAATAAACAAATTACATAAATTGTCTATTGTATTCGAACACATTCTATCTTTGACCTAATCACAGATGCTAGATTAACTGTATTTCCTATGACCTTTAAACATATTATTAATCAAGTAAGCGTTTTGTCCTCCATAAAAATTTATATTACCTTGACAGATTATTCATCTGTCAATTTTTGACATATTCAGTGAGTTTCAAATCAAGTACTCTTATACTCGAGTCCTCTTACAACCGTTTCAGTAGCATTGTTGCCAACATTAGATAACAACTCGTTTACCAGCCTATTATTTACAAAACAAGTTGTATGTGTGTGTGTGCGTGTAGTTCCAAGTCTGTGAGTAACATTCTTTGTATTTATAAATACCGTCGCAACGAAAGGATTGTGTGTGAATTAGTTCCAGTTCAGTAACCAAGTTCGCGTTCGTCCGGTAACTCGTTAAATGATTCCCATCGTTGACATATAGCTGATTGAGGATGCCGGAAATCGCGCTGGAGATCGAAGACAGCCATGAACGGTGCCAATGCGATCGCGATTCGGACGACGTTTATCGGTATTTTCAAAGTGTTTTTAAGTTGGTAAGACTTGGACGATCACTAGATTCGAATAAATTTTTCGTTATAATCGATAGTTTTTTTTATAATTGGCCGGAATTACGCAACAATAATATAAGGAACTATTCGAGTCGATAAACGAGCGTTTAGATTAGTGATAATTTCTTGAAAATGTTCATTGTTTCGTAGTAAAAATGTGGAATTTTGCACAAAGTAGTGTGTACAGGTAGATGCAAAATTTTTGTGGGTGCAACAAAGACAACTTCCATTAGGCTCATTATGAAGAAAAAAAAGAAAGAGTTTTGACATATTGTGGTATTGTAACTTTCTCATTCTAACAACTCTGTTATTTTAATTAAGCTTTCTTTATTCAACTGGTAGAGATAAATCGAGATAAATCATTCATAAAACACAATTGAATATGGTATACAAAACGACATTTCGCGGTTTCTCGCCGGATATTCCACCGCTTTTTCTTCTGGAAAAAAAACCCGAGCGGTTTGTTAAGTAATTCCCCGGTTTACAGGTCGACACGAACAAAGATGGCTACATCAGCGTGCGCGAACTGAAGGAATTCCTGGACGCCAACGAGCACGCGAACGTTCCCGAAAAAATCGTCAAAGTCGTGTACAGGAAATTCGACGCCAACAAGGACCAGAAGCTCGAGCTCGACGAGTTCCTCGACATGCTCACCGACGACGACTTCAAGAGCGCCTTCGGAAAGGTCGCCCAAGGGTAACTCACCGCCCTCCCGTCGCTGCAACACCCTTCTGAGGTCTAATCTCTTTGCGCAGCATCCTGAAGTTCGTGGCGCCTTCGAAGACGGGCCCGGGGCGCGGCCACCTGATCCTGCAGAGGACGATAACCAACACGGGGATGTACGAGAAGCAGATCAAATGGAACGTCTATCAACTAGGCCTCGCCTCCATCGCCCTGCTGCAGGTGGTGCTTTTCTACGTTAACAGAAGCTTGATAACCGGCACCAAAGACAAAGGGGGCCTCTACGACGCCCTCAAATTCGATCCTTGCAGGAAGCTACAGGTCTATCGGTACATCTCGTACATATTCGTCCATTCCAGGTAAGCTTATTACGCCAAATGATTGTGATTTAGTACTAGAATCGACTGTTGTAGTGAAGTACATTTGTACGGTAACGTGGTGGTGCAAGTGCTGATCGGGGTGCCTTTGGAGATGGTGCACAGCTGGAGGATGATGGTCATCTACTTCGGCGGCGGCGTCGCGGGCGCCGTGATGCATTCCGTGTGCTCGAGGGGCGTCGGTTTGATCGGCTCCAGCGGGGCCGTTTACTCCTTTTATACGGCCCACATCTCCGCTGTTATCATGGTAAAAATATATACAGGGTGTCCATTTTCGTTAGACTAGTGGATCTCGGGCCGGCCTGTTGCAACGTTGCCGGGTTGTAATTGATATCCTTGATGTGACAGATATATTTAATTTAAGGTTATGTTTACTTTCATTGTTTACAAATTAAAAGTCTTAAATAGTAGAATTTAAACATGAAAAAGTAGATCAGGAGGAGATGTGAGCTTGCGAGTATCGATTTAACAGAACATTATGTGATTTTTTACGATTAGGTCAATTATTCCAATAGTCTTCTTCCCCTCTACCATCTCATTCTCTATCAAAATAGGTCGAAAAACAAACCGAAAACCGCGCGAAAAACTCTCTAAAACGAACGGAAAACACAAAACCTACTCGTAAACTTGCATGAATTGAAAGAAAAATGCAAAAATCGCATAAAAAGTAGCAAAAACAACAAATTGTAAACATAACCTGTCAACATAAAAGACCGGAATTTTAAGACTAACGCAAGACAACATCGCTTCGGAAGTTCAACTGCGCGTCGTAAAATTCCCCAAGTCAAATAGAACAATTAACATTAGCACTAGGGACATTTTGAACTGCGCGGAAATTACTAAAAACTCCCAAACAGTCTAACGAAAATGGATATCCTTTACATTGCAAACCGGAAATTGGGTGTTATTGCGGGTTTTGTCGTTGCAGAACTGGCGAGAGATGATCAATCCGGCGATGCATTTGCTCATCTTCGGGATCATCGTGCTCTTCGAGTGCGTTTATAAGATGCTCACCTCGGATAGCGACCATTGGAGGAACGTGGGGTACTTCTCGCACCTCGGGGGCGCCCTGACGGGGTTGCTGTTGGGGGTGCTGGTTTTGAGGAACCTGCGGGAGACGGAGAGGGAGAAATTGCTGTGGCACGCCTGCTGCGTTGCTTTGGGTTTGTTGGCGTTGGTTCTGGTGTTTTTGGATGTCTGTTTGCCAACGGATTGTGTGGTTGTTGAGGCTTCTAATATGAGTTATTCGTAGAAGGATTTGGGTGGAGTGTTTGTGCAGGTACCAGTGATCTCCGGTGAGGAATTTAAAGTAAAGGTTAACCTGTCGAAATTTGGGACAAACTGTATATCGATCATTTTATTTGAGTTTATACTTGAGACTGGTTGGTATACAGAGCGTTTGCATACGAATTGGTGTATCTGCGAAATAATATTTATACAAATTGTTTTGAAAACAACGACCATTTTTTTACCGTAGATTTTAAAATATTGTATGGCGAAAAAAAACAAATATGTGATATGCATTTACTAATTGATAACGAATTTTAAGTTTTTTAAGTACAAAAAACGAATGGCCAAAATATAATCTAAGTTTTATCGCTATTTTTCTTCCTTCCTGTATCTGTTATTTATTTATTTATCATAATAAAACGCACGTTATTTAAGTTTTACAATGTATATTTTGTACAAATGTATCACAAATATTCATCTTATTCCATTAAATAAATTAATAAAAATCGTTTACACATAGAATACTGACTTCGAGACACTTGAGAATATACGTACATAATTAATATTTAAAAACTACAACTAATGGTAAAATTGTCGATTAAATTTATATAATTTTCTCACTTAACATCAGACATCTTTATTATAATAAGGATAATAAAATTTATAACTTAATGTAATGGTGGAAATTAAGGTAACTTTTAACTTTACTAAATCACATTTGGTTGCCTCTTTAACCATATTTTACTGCAGATGTTTTTATTAATAAAGTGAAAAAAATATTATAAAACGCGATTTTTGCTTAATAATACTGTATTATCTTTAGCTACAAAAAACATTGTTTATAGAGCAAACACTTATTTATTATAGCATAAACAAACACTAATTAATAAAAAAATATATTTATTATGTCGCTAAATATTATAAAAAAAATAAAAAGATTAAGTAGAAGAATTTAAAACATAATTAATCCTCATTGTTTCAAAATTTCGAGCCACCTACTTTAATAGAAAAAAAAATCTCAAACAATATATTATTTTATACAAATTAAAAATACAGGATGTCCCAATGAAAAGTAGCCCATTTAATCAGCTTATACAAGTTTTTCAAAGCTTCGTTTTAAAGGTATTCGATCAAAATCTCTTTTAATCAACACCACCTGTAAGTAGGCTAACTTTTCCTCAGTCCACCCAGTCAAACACGAATTAGACATCCACCTGCAAACTCCAATCAAACGCTCCTTATCAACTTCTCGCTTTGCCCGTTCTCCCTCGCCGCCGCGTCCACTTCCACCGCCCTCGCGCCCTTCCCGGGCGCCTTCCTCAGCGACAAAACGTACACCCCGTTCTCCTTGAAGTACTCCGTGATCTCGCTCAGCTTCTTCCGGTGCGTCTCCGGCACGAAAACATAGGTATAGAGCGACGCCAGCAGCGAGATGACGGCGAAGAACCACTGCACGCCGGCGTACCCGCCGAACGCGTCCAGCAGGTTCCAGAAGCTCTGGATCGAGGCGAACATCAGCAGGTTGCCGACGCCGTAGGCGATGCTGTTGGCGACGCCGCGGATCTCCAGCGGGAACAGCTCCGCCGTCATCGTCCACGGAATGGGCAGGAAGCCGATCATCGAGGCCACGACGAACAGCAGCAGGAACATCAGCGGCAGCCAGGTGACGGTGGTACGACCGTGGTTGAATAAGTAGGTGAACAATCCGGACATTCCCATGCAAAAGGCCATTCCGAAGCCGCTGGTTATCAGCAAAGCGCGCCTGTTGAAGGTCTTCAGGAAGAACGTGTTCGAGCAGGCCATCAGCATGCGTATCAAGCACAGGAACGTCGATGCTAGGTAAGGGTCCATGGTGCTTCCCACTTCCTGCGAAATTACTCGTCGAATTATTTCGATAGAAGCGTTAATTATTTATCAACCTGAAAGAAGGTGACGGAGTAGAAGAGCGTCATGTAGATGCCGGCGAATTGTTGGAAGAAAAACAATCCGGCGATGATGAGCAACGGCTTGTAACCGGTGGGTTTCAGGAACTCCTTGAACTTATCCAATCGACCGGTGTGGCCCAATCGCGTCTGTTCCTCCTGCTTCTTCTGGTGCTCCTTCTGCAACAGGTGCAGCTGCAGCTCCGCGTACGACTCGTGCTGAAACAAACACACCTATTAGAAAACAAATCGTACGAAAATTTCGTAAGCGTACTCTGTTTTCCGGTTGGGGTTGGTACTTGTTCAACCACCTGAGGCTCTTGGCGGCCTCCTCGACCTTCCCTTTGGACACCAACCACGGCGGGCTCTCGGGTATCAGAAACAGCAGCACTATCGGGAAGATGGCGTATATGTTAGACAACCACGCCACCGTTTTCCAATGCAGGAACCAACCTTGCAGGAACACCAACAGCATACCTACGGGTATTGGAAACAACGATTATCTTTAGCTGGAATAGTGAAATCTACGGAAACTCACCGAGCGAAGCGAGAGATGGAGCGGCTACCACCAGGGATCCTCTCATATCTGCTCTGGCGATTTCTGTTATGTATACGGTCGCTGGGATGCTTCCCCAAGCTGAAATTCCACCAAATAAACCTCTTATTCCACCACATACACCATGTGATCCCACAGATGTATATTTGTACCTACAGTACACGTTTTGGACAACTGGTTGGGCCAAAAGTTGGACCAAAGATGGGGCAAAAGTTAGACCAAAAGTAGGACCAAAAGTAGGCCAAAAGTAGGACCAAAGTTAGGCCAAAAGTAGGACCAAAAGTTGGACCAAACTTTCACTCATTCGCGCCAACAAATTCAATCGCCAAGTGGCCCGACCAGTTGCAGTTTTGTCCGACGTGTACAGATGGCCCTTTACCTGTTCCGAATCCGGTCAATATCCTACCGACGATGAGCATGGTGATGTCGTTGGCGCTGGCGATGCAACACCAACCGAGGACGGTGGGCAATATGGAGCACCGGACGGCCCACAGGCGTCCCCACGCGTCCATCGCGAAGCCGGCGCTTATCGAACCGATGGGCACCACCATGACGGCGACGCTGGCGATGAAGGCCGATTGGTCCTTGGTGGCGTAGACCTCGCCGTCGCCGTCGGTGCCGTTCTGGAGCGCCTTGTCCAATCCGGGCACCAGGATGCCGGAGAAGGAGAGAGAAAGGCCGACGGCGACGTGCAGGGAGGCGGCGAACAGGGAGGCTATCACCTGCAAGGGTGCAAAATGGATTTGGTGATGTTGCTGCTGTGGTAGCATTAATAAATGTAGACGGTTTCGAGGTGGAGATTCAGAGTAGATTTAGTGTAGATTCAGAGTAGATTTAATGTAGATTCAGAGTAGATTTAGTGCAGATTCAGAGTAGATTCAGAGTAAAGTGGAGTAGATTCAGACTAGATTTAGAGTAGATTTAAAGTAGATTCAGAGTAAAGTAGAGTAGATTCAGTGTAGATTTAGAGTAGATTCAGAATAGATTGAGAGTATTCATAGTTGAACTTCAGAGTAGAATTAGAGTAAAGTAGAGTAGATTCGGAGTAGATTTAGAGTAGATTCAAAGTAGATTTAAAGTAAATTTAGAGTAGATTCAGAGTAAAGTACAGTAGATTCAGAGTAGGTTTAGAGTAGGTTTAAAGTAGGTTCAAAGTAGATTCAAAGTAGATTCAAAGTAGATTCAGAGTAGATTCAAAGTAAAGTAGAGTAGATTCAGAGTATTTGTAGTTGAAATTCAGAGTAGATTATTCAAAGTAAAGTAGAGTAGATTCAGAGTAGATTTAGAGTGGGTTCAAAGTAGATTCAGAGTAAATTCAGTGTAGATTCACAGTAGAGAAGATTTAGAGTAGATTCAAAATAGATTCAAAGTAGATTGATAGTATTCAGAGTATAGTAGAACAAATCAGAACCAAATTTAATAGAACAAAACAGATTTGATAGGTAATTTGAGTTCATTTGAAAGAAATTTTCGGTCGTTTTTGTGGCAACAATTAAAAAATTTCGAGAGTAGATTATCATCCGTGTAGAGTTCATTTTTGATTGTGGAAAATTTGGCTAGGAAAATATCGAGTAATTATCATCAATATACCTGCGGAAGTAGAGTCTTGAAAGTTTTCGCATCGTAATGACTGAGCGATTTGCAACTGACGATGATTTCTTGGAATTTCGCATCTTGTTTTTTCTCCTCTTTGATGGCCTTCCTGTTTTCTTGTATGCTAAAAACGGGGCATAAATTATTTATAATCGATACCTACCTATATATTTATGTAGCTTTTCAGCGCGAGAATACGAAAGTACATACGTTCTCATTGTGCTGTCTTTCCCGGATCATTTAAACCGATGATAATTGATATAAATCGTATCCTAATTGCCATTAAAACGGAGGTTATACCAAGATCATACGGGCGAATACTATTATATAAATTTGTCATATATAAAACGAGTAATTAGTCGAGAAGATTATAATTTTCGATCGGTACTTAACCTCGATTAAAAATCCTAGTTACATAATAATTAGCGAAAATTTCGATGTGCCGAAAACTAAATGTATTTCCACATCATCCATCTTCGTTGGTGTCTCTAATAGAAATTAAATCGATACACAAGGGCAAAACAATTCCGGCTCCATGTTCTCTTATCGATCAAACTAATGAACTATTATTAGACCCGATGTATTTAACATTCAACGATTCGTAAAAGTATCGGGCACCGCAGGAAGTCGACTAATCTTCGATAAAATAAAAAACCCGCAAGATTAACGATGTGACACGTTTGATGAATCGATTATTTTTTACACACGATTTACATCGCAAATTTATCGGACAATGCGTATTTTTTTCGGACTTTAATTCGTTATGTAAATAGCACCACAGCACCACGTTAATAATTTTGTAATTTTAAACCGCGCAAATTTTAATTAATCCGCGAGGAATTGATAAAAGAGCATTATTAATGTGGATGACTTAAAGGTCGAATTTATTTTGCAAACTGAACGATATTCGATTAATGGAATTATTTTAATTGGGCAATTGTATGTTCGGCGTCGGATTTGGTGTTTTTTTTTTTCGAAAAAAAAAGAGGATTTGATTGAATCGTTCGTTTTGAAATTTTCCGCGCATTTTCGTGCATGTGTTTTCCGACGCAAATAACATTCTTTATTTAACACCCGCCGGGGAATTCCGCCTAACAATTTCCAATTACATAATTTTTATTAACTAATATATAAAAAATTATTACTTACTTTAAACTGAAGCAACTGGCACTGGAACAAACAATAACAATAATAAAAATATAATTCAATCTAACAATTTATTATAACATATAATTAAACGATTTATCTTACCTAATCGGGTCCATTATTGCCCATGAACTTAATCTACTATCACAGCTCTAACCAGACTGGAAAACTTCACGAGAGTTGGTAATCTGTGAAAAAAAATTGCCGAATAATCGTATTACAGCATTAATTAGAAGATAAATTTGATTGATAAGTGCAATTTAAAGTGTTCGATTCGAATTGATTCGATCGGAAATTGATAAATTAAATACGCATTTCTTTAAGAGCTCAAATTGAGACAGTAAACAATTTGTGGAATGTTTCGTAAAATTTGAATTGTTTCTGGCAATACCGATTTGAAAATTGAAAAATGTCACGTTTGTTGTTATTTTACATTTTGGTTCCTTCTCTTTTTGCCACAGCCAACTTCTTTAAAACACGTGCAAAAGTCGTGTAGATATTTTTGTGTCTTCGACTGTACCCGATCGTTTTCTACTCAAGCAAACCGGAAAATTATACAGTAATTCCGCATTGCTTTAATGTCAAAATATTTCGCTCAATCGGGTCTCTAATTACATGTATTGTGCACATGGTAAAGATAAATTTCAATTTTCTCATCGCGAAAACAAACAATTTATTGTTAAATAAAGTAAGTATCGAACTGTCAATTTTGACATCCAAGGCTAACTATTTTCTTGCTGTTAAATTATTCCTTCCCTAAGAAAGTATCGAAGTAAAATTACGTGAATTTCGAATCTGTCAATTTTGACATCCAAGGCTAACTAGTTAAAAGGTGTTTTGCGTCTTTTGCGTCAATGAAAGATATCAAATGTCGTTAATGTCATTAAGGAAATTATTTCAGCACTCTAGGTGACGATCGAAAAATAATAATCAAGTAAGCGAAGCTAAACCCAACTATTTTTTCTAAGAAAATTAATGATTCCATAAATTTAGGTCAATCGATAAGTTATGAAGAGTGAGTTTCGGCGCTAATTGAGTGCTTTTAAGATAATATAAACTCCTTTTTGAAGCAATTTGAATTTAATGGTTATTGCATGCAGTTCATAGGCGAGTTCTTGTTTATTTACTCGACGTTTTTTTATTTTATCTAAATGGAAAAAGGGAAGCCATTTCCGTAGATGTATGTATATCCGACTTTGTTCCTTTGCACCCCATTTGCTTCCAAAGTTCGTTGAACTCCGAATAAATAGAGATACTCCCATTTCATTGATCATCACATACGGGGAGTCCCAAAATATTTTTTGCGGAATTACCAACCAAAAATTATACAAAAAAAAACTTTGACATTTATTGGTGTTATTTATTAATGGCTTCCTTCGTAATTAGGAATAATGTAACAGTAAAATCGAGGATGATTAAAAATGTTTTTTTATGTTAAACGGTACTTTTAACGATTAAATTCTAAAGTTCACACTATTCGCAATATCATAAATATGTCAGAATGCCAGCTATTTATTAATCAATCATTATTGTTTTAATACTTGCGTATTTTATCGATACAATTATTACCTATTATCATCTATTAAACAAAATAATCAATTTCGTTTGATACAATATGTTGAAATGGTGAGTGATGATGATAGTGGGTGTACGAGTATAATAAAATTATTATCAGAAATTGCAAAAACTATAATTACTCTATTATTATATAATGTTATTACTTAAAAAAAGTAATCGATAAGTAGATATTATTATAATAAATATAGAGATAAGATAATAATTGGAAGGTAAGCGTGCAACGACAATTCATTTTTTCTTTGAAGTATTTTTTTTGAAAACAAGATTTGTTTCTAATTAAAATGTACTATGTAGGCTTAGTTTTTGGGAAAACTATTTTCACTCACAGCATGCTGTAAAAAATGTAAGGCGTTCGAACAATAACTATTGTTCTCGCGAAAATTTCGTACAAGGAATTAATCCAGAATTCCATTACAAATTACAACTGCTTCGGCATAATGAATTATTCACCAAACATCGCGATTACGGACCGTTAAATAAACATTAATCGCCTTTTCGCCCGATAAAAAGCAACGGAAACGTGTAATAAAAAATCAACTCGAATCGATTGATGTTTGTTACCAAAGTTTCAAATTTATATTCGCTTATTTTCATAGAAAAAAATACATGTAAAATTCGCTTACCTCTCGTTGAATCAACCCAACTCGCGCTCGCATCATTCACATGAGTACATGAGCTTTGTCTCTTGTCTCACACTAGCCCGTTGATCCCCTCACTCTAGAAACCAGAATCAGCGTTGCCAAATTGTGCATTTTAGTTTCGGAAAAATCGACGCATCTATAACTGTAGATTGACTTTTCTTAGTGTATTTTCGTACTCAAAAATTACATGAAAATCTTGATAATTCCCGAAGAAATACGTCCGAAATGGCATTCAATTGCATAAAAAATGCCGGTAAAAATTCCCCGAAACTTGTGAAATTTTCTCGCACCCGGCAACACCGCGCTCGAATTTACTACACGCTTTCACATCAAAACAAATTCCCTGTCGACTTCCCCACTCCTCCGATGATCAGCTGTTTCGCTGGAAACCGGGATTTCCTGCGGGATTCCCGACCCTAAACCCAAACTCCACAAGGTCCATTATTCCGAGCACCGAATACACCATATTTCTCATATCGAGCATTTACGAGTTCTTTTATCAAACGCAAACAATACAAAGGGTTGGTCTGTGTCTCTTTTTAGAATAAATAAAACCAGTTGAAGCGCTCAGAAGCGAAGATAAAGGATTGAAGGAATAAGGATTTTGTTGAGAAGAAAACGAGTACATTTACCTAGAAAAAAAAATATATTTATTCCTGCACATTGTACTCGTAAAAATACATCATAAAAATACTGTATGTACATGCTAAAAATCATGTTATATAAGAAACTAATTAACAATCACTGACTTCTTAAGTACCTAATCATACACAAGACATTTACCCCTTTTTTATCAGGTCATTAAAGGCTGTCCATTTTCGTTAGACTTGCATGAATAGCAAGAAAAATACAAAAATCGCATAAAAAGTAGCAAAAACAACAAATTGTAAACATAACCTGTCAACATAAAAGACCGGAATTTTAAGACTAACGCAAGACAACATCGCTTCGGAAGTTCAACTGCGCGTCGTAAAATTCCCCAAGTCAAATAGAAGAATTACCATCGACACTAGGGAGATTTTGAACTACGCAGAAATTACCAAAAACTACCAAACAGTCTAACGAAAACGGCTATCCTTTACACCCTCTCACTCATCCATCACCTCCCCCCCATCAACTTCTCGCGCTGCCCGTTACCCACCGCCCCCTTCGACCTCTTCCCGCCCTTCCTCTTAGCCAAAATATACACGCTGTTATCGACGAAATACTCGGCGATCTCGTCGAGCGTCTTCCGGTGCGTCTCCGGCAGGAACACGTACGTGTAGACGCAGGCCAGCGCCGCGACGACGGCGAAGAACCACTGGACGCCGGCGACGCCGCCGAACGACGCCAGCAGCCCGTAGAAGCTCTGTATCGAGGCGAACATCATCACGTTGCCGATGCTGTAGGCCAGGCAATTGGCGACGCCGCGGATCTCCATCGGATAGAGCTCGCTCATCATGGTCCAGGGGATGCACAGCATGCCCACCATCGAGGCGATCACGTAGAGGATGATGCACACCACCGGCAGGTACGAATGGTTCTCGTCGCCTGCAAGAGAAAGAGCGTAGAAAAGGGGGTGTTAGAGGCGAGATCCTGGTGCAGGGATCGCAAACGGTCGGGGGTTTATTAACCTTCTTTGATTCCTCTGGTGACGAAGCCCGAGATGGTCATGAAGACGGACATGCCGATGCCGCTGGCGATCAGCAGGAATCGCCTGTTGAAGGCCTTCAGCAGGTAGGAATTCGCGAAGGACATCAGCATTCTAACGAAACATATCACTATCGAGGCCAAGTAGGGGTTCATCTGGCTGCCCACTTTCTACAAATTCAATTTAACGACTTTAATTCGATTCTTTATCGTACATCTCATGATGAAAAATGATCTATAAGATGAACATGAGTGGAGAAATGTTGGAATGATTGAATAACGTCGTTCGTCAACTTACTTGGAAGAACGTAACGGAATAGAAAAGGGTAATATAGATGCCGGAGAACATTTGGAAGAAATAAAGACCGGTTAGAATTAACGTGGGTTTATAACCTGTCGGTTTGAAGAACTCCTTGCACAACGCCCACGCTCCCAAATCCGATTTCCTCGCCTGCAATTCGAGCTTCTTCTGGTGCTCGGCTTGGAGCTTGTTGAGCACCAGCTCCGCGTACGATTCTTGCTGCGAATAAAACAAAACTGTAAACCACACCGAACGATGATATAATGTTAAATAGCTCACTCGGTTCTCGGGCTGGGGTTGGTGCCTGTGCAACCACCTGAGGCTATTCGCCGCCTCTTCGATCCTGCCTTTCGACACCAACCAAGGCGGGCTCTCCGGTATGAGGAACAACAACAGCAAAGGGAACAACACGAACACGTTGCTAATCCACGCCACGGTCCTCCAATGCAAGAACCACCCTTGCAGGAAAGTCAACAACATTCCTACGAACATAAATATCACCATTTACTGTATTAGAACTGGCCTCAACTTACCAGCAGAAGCCAAAGTCGGCGCCAAAACGACCAGAGATCCCCTCATATCCGCCCTGGCTATTTCCGAAACGTACACCGTCGCCGGTATGCTGTTCCAGGCTGCAAAATGGCGCTTGTATCAAGAAGTTAAGGTGTTACAAAGGCGACTTACGAGTGGCGAATCCCGTGAGGAATCTGCCGATCATCAGCTGGGGAACTGTTCCAGCCGTTGCGATCAAACACCAGCCCACCACCGTCGGTACCACCGAGATCCTCGTCGGCCACAATCTGCCCCAGGTGTCGGCGATAATCCCAGCGGATAGAGCACCAAGTGGTACTGCTATCACCACTATACTGGCTGCAATAGATGCGTTAGAAATGTCATCTTCGAAGGTGTCCAGATCGTAGGTTGGTAGTTTTTGTAAGCTAGGATCTGGACGTTTGAACTATCGCTTACCTAGCCAGGCTGTTTGGTCTTTGGTGGCGTAGAGTTCGGTGTCATTCTGGGTGACATTGTGCAGGGTAATGTCTATGGCTGGGACTAAAATACCGGAGAAAGACATGGAAATTCCGACGGCTACGTGCAGGGATACGGCCATAAGGGTGGCGGAGACCTTCGGAAGAGATAATGAAGTGAGTAAATTAGAGGAAAAATGCGGATTAGTACCTGGGGTAAAAGCGTTTTGATGGTTTTTCCATCGTATCGGTTCAAGGATTTGCAGCTGACTATGATTTCTTGAAACTGGGCGTCCCGTTTCTGTTCTTCTATTATCGCCTTGGCGTTCTCTTGGACGCTGCAAAATTGAAGATAACACAAAAATTTAATGATTTTTAACACCTCTTTTGTTACAGTTAGTTATCAAATTAGGTACTTACTTCAAAGTGAGACAACTGGCGCTGCAACAGAAACCAAAATAATTAAAAATATACATCTACAAATAGGTATTGCTAATTTTTCCGGCTTCAATTTGTGTTGTACAAATATTTCGTAACCTCAACAGTTGAGTAAACGGGAAAGTTATCGATTTTAATTAAATAAACCGCGCATAATTGATGGTAAGGTCACGTTTGTTAATGAATTTTATGCTCTAAAATACTCACTTATCCATTACAGTTTAATTAGGCGCTCATAATACTTTGTGAACCGGTACTTCACACCTGCAAAAAACGTAGTTACATTAAGTGAAAGCTAATTTTTATCGCAAATATCAAATTATATGTAAAAACCTACCAAAGATTATCTTGCATTTGATCACAACAACATCCTCGCTTGTTACAGAGATTTTGAAACCTGACTCGATTACAATTAAGTACCAATACAAAGAACATAAAGGAAAGTAAAATAGGCACAATTAAATTCCGCACGTGTCGAAAAAGCTATTTTAAACGCAGAGAAAGCGCATCTCGCAGGCGTTTAATAATAAAACTTCTCATTTACATGTAGCGGATACTCTATTATTAGACCTCACAAAATGTCTCTATACCGGTAAATTACAGTTTACAATTCCCGACTCTCCGGGCGTTCTTCTCGAACAATTCGCATCCACCCGGTAGATGTGAAAGTAAAAAATAATGACGGTTTTGCTGTTACAGAATATTGTGAATTGCGCGAAGGTGTCATGGCGATTTGTAAGTTTGTTCGTTAAAATTAACAATTAAATTTGTTCATAAACAAGGTCAATAAACAGCAATAAACAAACATTCTTCGTGTAAGAAAGCGCTATTACAAAACTAACAGTTGTCGACCTTCCAGCATTTACTGAGTAGATCTAAATATGCCATATTCGCAATATTCTGTAGAGTAATAAATCATCCTAAGAGCAAATAATACAAAGAAAGCTATAAATTCTTGTTACTTTATTAGAGTATCTGGAGCATACAGAGGTATACGGGGGGACGTAAAATAATTCGTTAATTACGAAAATGACCTCTTTTTTGTGAAGATTTTTTTTCATAAATCGAATAAAAAAAATAAAAAAATAAAATTTTGACAGATTTGAAATAAAAAATATTTAATTGACGTTTGCCGTTCGTTTGGTTTAAACGGAACTACACCAAAACGAGATACTTTTTTGTTATTTAGACAAATTCGTTGCTTGTAATGGAGGAGAATAAAAGAAATTACAATTAATTCACAAGTATGTTTCTTGGTCATTTATACTTACCAAAAACAGAAAAATTAAATCAATCAAATTAATTTTAAAAACCCTACATTAATGACAGCGGCGTAGAACAAACCTTAAACTGTCAAATTTGTCATTTCCGTTACTATGGATACGTTGACATTTAATTTGACGTACAGGGTTCTTTTTCGTTATAAAAAATAAAAAAGTAACAATTATTTCATACTTTTATAATCGTTACCAAAAGGTTCATCGCGTTACTTCCTCGAATTTCTTCGAAATGTGCATTTAAATTCGCTGATACAATTATTGACAAAGTCGAATACTCGGAATTGAAAAAAAAAACTCCTTATCTGCGTTTTGTGGATTCCAAGGCCTGCTTGTACCAGCTGCATCGAAAATCGTACATACGCGCTAATTGTAATTACTTTTAATGGGACCAATTAATTTGTTTAGTCGATGATGGATCGAATTAATTGAACGATTAGTTGCCAAGCGAACGCGCCGCGGCGGAGCTAATTGAATAACAACGAATATTATGCGGGTTTTTCGATTAATACAAATCGAATCTTATTTAATCTGTTGAATATAAAGTTGATATTGTTTGAATTTTTTATGTACATAAAACCCACACTCGCACTCGAATTAATTTGTTATTGACCGTAAAGTAATCAGATTCAGTGCGACAATAATAAATAGATGTGTTTAATATTCCAAGGATCACTCGATTTACAATGCGTAATCCACTTTTTTATTAATCGACATACAATTTTGTGATCGAAATAACTTTATTGTTACATAACTATTTAAATTATTGCATTTCGATGGTTTGTTTGTTTACAATAAGTTATCTATAATTAAATTGAAAAATATGCACTATTGCCAATTTAATATCCTTATCGACGATCCAACGAGCATCTGGATCTATTAAAAAATTCCTACTACTCATTTTAATTTATTGCCAGTAGGTATATTCTCGATAACAAAACGATCAGCTGTCCAAAAACTACCAGATAAATTACTAATCAAGCGTAATTTTGTAGACATTTATTTCTTACCCAGTCTACTCGATTCAGTAAATAAACAATCCAACTTACAGGTGGCGTTTCGGAATGTATTTTACCCACTGAAGAACACCAAATCGAAACGTTTATCGAGCGCGCGAGGCGATCTAGCAATAACAGATAACAGAGCTCGAGCTCCTAACGATCCGCGTTTAAAACTGACCAGTTAACCGGCTGAATCCCGCCGATATAGCAAGAACGGGCGTCCGTTTGCAACGTAAAACGTGCATACTGCGCTCATCGCGCCTTTAACTGGCGTTAGATAGGTACGAAAACAAACAAACAAATCGCTTCCAATCGAACAATTTACTTGTACAATTCCCTTCTAACGAAATTGGGCAGCACGAACGCGGCGCCGTGGATCTCGTCGTTGTAGAATTTGACGTTCAACTCGTCCAATTGGCGTTCGGTGAACGTGAATTTCGGCTGTCTGAGGTCGTTGGTGTCGTCCAAACTGGCGATCAAATAACCGATTTGCCCGTCGGGGTAGCTCGGCACGCTCGAATAGGCGTACTTCACGTTGCCGAAGTGCTTCCTGCAGTGGCCCATCGTTTGTTTGACGTGCTCCAGGTCGGTCCACACCGTGCCCGCTTGGCAGCTGATTATGCCTGGATCAATTCAATCGGCGATTAATATAAAGCTTCGGGTATCTCATAGACGATTTACCGTTGGGTTTGAGGGCGGTTTTGAGGAGCTTGTAGTAGGATTCGGTGAAGAGATTGACGGCGGGGCCGATGGGGTCCGATGAATCGGTTATGATGACATCGAATTCGTTGTTGTGGTTCTTCATGTACTCGAACCCGTCGCAGATCTTCAGTGTGAGCTTGGGCGAATCGAAGCCTTTCGCCATGAACGGGAGGTACTTTTGGCTCGCTTTGACCACTTTCTCGTCGATTTCCACCTAAAACCATAAAACCAATGTTGTTAGGCAACCACCATTACATATACATACTTTCACAGTACATAGAGTCTACATTGTTGTTATATTAGACTCACCTGAACGATTTCTTTGACAGAGGGATGTTTCTGTACTTCCCTAGCAACGCCTCCGTCGCCCCCGCCTACTATAAGCACCCTTTCGGGGTTAGGATGGGCGCAAAGGGGTATGAATGTTATCATTTCTTGGTACGAAAATTCATCTTTTTGCGTGCATTGCACAATACCGTCGAGAATTAACGCTCTACCATTGTTAGTACTGAAACAGATAATTAAATAACTACTAATTATACAAAAATGGATGCTTACGATTCGAATATAAGGATATCCTGATACTCCGATTTATCTTTATAGAGCACCTCCTTGACTTTCAACGAGAAACATTGGCCCGGCCACAAATCGTGGACTTCACTGAACCAGCCGTTCTTAATCAAATCCATGTTTAATTTTAACTGGTATTTTTACAGGAGTTTTTGCTGGAGGTTTATATCTTTCGGGAGATAAGAGGCAATAGGCGGTATCTTAATGTGTTCAATTACTACAAGCAGGCAGTGTTTGTGTATCTAGTTGATAAAATTAATGCGGTTCACATGAATTACAAGGTCACCAGTTAGTTAAATCGACGGAATAAACCACTCGGTCCCCTCTTGTTCAATATTTATCCTGTGTACCAGCCAGCATAAGTCTTTTATTGACAATTTAAACTTGTAGATTATTCCTTAATATCTATTTATTCGCTAAAATAAAGCAGAAACTGTATACGTATAAGTAGTTGTATGCACAAATTACCTCACTAATTATAATTCACGAAATTTAAACAATTTTTTCACCGGCTAATCGAACAGAAATTACCCCATAACCTGAACTGTCTCCTACAACAGTACAAGACCCAAAATTTACACTTTTGACATTTCGACATATTAAAAAAAGAAGTAGGCAATAGACGTCACATTGGTCAAAAAATTGTGACATTTTGAGGTTATATTTTCGTTGATATTCTTCGTGTATTGAAAATTCCAATAAAGAAATGAAAACCAAGTAAAATGGCCAGGTACATAGCACAATTGATAATCGCCGGTTCGCAGGTAATAGGCAGGGCGTTTGCGAGGGCGATCAAGCAGGAAATAGAGGCGTCCCAACAGGCGGCGCAAAGGTTAGGTAACGCGAAAACCAGGACCGAGAGGATAGCGAATCAAAAATTGGGGCTGTCGCTGGACGAGGCGAAGCAAATTTTAAACGTGAAGAATCTAACGAAGGAAGAAATCGAAGAGAGGTACCAAAATCTGTTTAAATCGAACGAAAAAACGTCCCTGTATCTCCAGTCGAAGATTGTTCGAGCCAAAGAGAGATTGGACCACGAATTGGTTACGCCGGAGAAGGGCAAGCCAAACGAACAAGCGGATAGTCCTAAAACGTAGATTATTTAAATTAATTGTAGGTTACATTCAATTTAGTTGTACATAATAATAATGCAAGAGTTGAAACGTTAACATTTATTCGAACTTTATTGAGACCTAATTTTATTGCCTGATTATCGAAGTCGCGTCCAGTACTTCTTTTAATTTGTGCGTTCCATCGCAGAAAGGTCGATGTTTCGTTTGCTTACAGTTACATAACCAGTACTCTTTAGTTTCTTCTACTACAACCGTTACGGGTCTAAAAAACAAAACCATGTAAATAAAACAATATAATAATTACTCGAATATTCTAAAAATTGTAGGATATTTGATCGGATTCTACGCACTTTTGTTCTATTTTAAGTTGGGCATTCCTGTGGGTTCCATCGCAGAACGGTTGAGTTTTACTCCTGCCGCACAAACACCAGGAATATCTTTTACCCGCTTGCATGGTAAATTTAAACGGCTTCTTGTCGTAAACTACCCCGTTAGTGGGTTGATTGTGCGCCGATATCGTTTTTTCCGCAATATTTATCGGTATTTTCGGACTGCTCGAATAGAAAACCTACGAGAATTACCTTGCAATTTCGAGTAAGGCTTTTAATGACACAACTTACCTTTGTTATTAAAGGAATTTTGGTTTTTGTAATGTTTAAGATCATTTTTTTGGTAGTAATTGTATTATTTAGTTAAATTTGTGTTGGAAAATAGGATTTCATAACCTAAATTTCATATTCCTAATTTTTTTGACATATGACATATGGCCTCTTATGTTGCAGTTACTCAATCAAGTTTCTTCTTATTATAAAGTACCACTACTTTGATAGTAACAAAACTTAGGATAGGAACAAAATCGCAAATATTAGGGACAAATCAGGACAAATTAAGAAAATCCTTAATATGAAGTACGTCCTGATCCCGATAGACTCTCTAATGTCGAGTTGACATGACATTTATCTATTATTTACACAATTACAATCTACTCGAAATTGGGCCATTCAAAACATTAAGGACATTTAAGCGATGTCAACTAGAAGTCTCCTGATAGCTTTCGATCAATACCAACGATCCAGATTACAATTTGCGCAATCTATATCGGATTTAGCCCTCAAGCCGCAACATTTGGAACTTTTAATAAAGGGCGGTGTTATAGGTAAAAATAAAATCAAAAAAAAAATCTCACCGGTTCCCTTTTAATTCGAATTGTAACGTTCGCAGAATTACTCAGACCCCTTTTGAACGATCCTTGCATCCAAATCCAACAGTGCTCCGCCATAGCCATCGGCAGGATCGTCCATCACGATGCCAATATCGCTGAATCGGTCATCAATCAGGGATTCATTCCCATTTTACTCAATTCGATGATTACAGGAAACGTAAGTACCCGCAGGTAAATACGCCCTTAAATAACGTTATTTTTTTCCTACAGAAATTCCAGAAGAAAGCCGTCGCGTTCGTGCTGAGATCGCTGAGCAAACACAACGCCAACTGCGCCTTCCAGGTCATCAACGCCGGGGGTTTACAGGCGCTAATCGGATGTTTGGAGGAGTTCGATACCTGTGTGAGTGTTTATTACAAAAAAATGGACTCTCTACTATAACTAAATCGCTCTGTATCTCAATAATGAGACAATTTGACCCGCGAAAACATGATTACAATTTCGATGATCCCAAACGCAACAACAATCGCGGCTTTTCTAATTAATGTCATACAATAGACTCGCATTGAACTCTCTCGGTTTATCGCACAAATTACATCAACACACCGCACATTCGACGTACAATAACAATCACAGATTTATATCGTTTTGTTTTGTCGGATATTAACAGACCTACGACCTCCGATTCAACCATCGCAATATCATTGTATTTAGCAAAAACCTTAACCGTTTGCAGGTAAAGGAAGCGGCCGCCTGGGCGATCGGCTACATAGCCAGGCACTCCAAGTCCCTGGCGCAAACCTGCGTCGACTCGGGCGCCGTCCAACTGCTCCTGTTGTGCCTGCAGGAGCCCGAGATCACGCTCAAACAGATCACCACCAGCGCCATATCGGACATCGCCAAGCACGGCCCCGACCTATCCCAGAGCGTCGTCGACGCCGGCGCGGTGCCCTACCTGGTGAAGAACCTCAGCAACACCGACGAGAAGCTGAAGAAGCAGATCCTATCGGCTTTGAGTACGTATAATATCCCAGTAGCGAACAGGGCCGGTTTCTCTTTGGGCGATTTCGAGTGGTTGTTGCCTCGTCGTAGGTTCCTGCGCGAAGCACCGGATGGATTTGGCCGAGGTGGTGGTGGAGGCGGAGATCTTCCCCTCGGTGCTGCTGCACCTGGCCCATCCCTGTTCGGGGGTGCGTCGCAACGCCGCCGCTTTGGTGCGGGACATCGTGAAGCACTCGCTGGAATTGACGCAATTGGCCGTCAACACCGGAGGCATCGGCGCGCTGATGGAGGTTTTGTACCAGAACGATTCCGATGGGGCCATCGTGCCGACGATCACCGCTTTGGGATTCATCGCTGGTAGTTTAATATAGCGAATGGGGAAGACCGCGATATGAGATTTTTAGCAAAAGATGCGATTAGAGATGATTTATTAGAGCTCAAAACAGTTTTCGGTTGGACAAAATGTGTAATTTAAAGTTTGACAAGTATGACATGCATGCGTGTTGACCAATCATGAAACGCACCTAATGAAGAATGCAACAAACGAACAAAAAACAAACTGTCATTTGTCAGATTTTCCGATAAATACAGTGAAGATACAGAAATATTTGTTACAATTTATACAGATGAAGAGGCTATTATTTTAATATTATATCGAATTTTCTATTATGTAGTAAGAAAATGGATATATCAAATTCTTTATCGCATATAAATATACAAAAAAACGCACTTCGCGGAGTAAAGAAGGGCACTAAAGAATGTGGCAACATGGCTAAATTGCAACTCTCGCTCTGATTGGCGTACACGCAATGACATTTTTCAAACTTTAAAAATTCATATTTGGGCACAGAAAAGACAAAAATTTCATCAATCGCCTACTTAGTACACACTATTTTGAAAAAAAAGAAAATTAAGTCGTGGTCTTCTCCATTTACGATGGCGCAGAGTTTGATAAAACGTGATATTCGCAGCGCATTCGGAGCACCTGGCGATGTCCATACTGGGCTGCAAGATCATCGTGATCTTGGCGAACATCCTGGAAAACTCCGCCGACGATACGTTACTGTCGGTGACCGCTTGGGCCATAGGGCAGATAGGCAAGCACAGCGCCGAGCATTCGCAGGCGGTGGGCGCCGCCAATTTGTTCCCGAGATTGATCGAATTGCACGAGAGCGACAAATCGTCGGAGGATCTGAAGTACAAGTGCAAGAACGCCCTGAAGTACTGCCTGCAGAAGTGCCTGTTGCTGTCCGCTTTGGAGCCGCTGCTCTATTCGGCGCCGTCGAGCATCTTGAAATACGTCCTCGGGCAGTATAGTAAGGTAATTATTTTTAATAGCATCGAGTGTGCTGAATTTGTGTGAATATGGTCATTTCTATGAGTGGAACAAAGAAAGATTATTAAAATGACAGTTGTCAGAGTGAAAGGTTGTAATCACAATGACACAAATGTCACTCTTTCCTTTTCCTTTATAAGTGTCTAATGGAAGTTGTCTTTATCGCACCCATATCCTATGTTGCGATCAAAAATGTGATTGGTGATTGGTAATTATTTTATCATTACGGTTTCGGAATGACATTGTCATTTTCTAAATTCCATGTCGCGAACATGCTATTATTCGGTCGCGTCGCTAATTTATGAGCCAATTTCGTAAAAAGTAATTCTAGGTCATGAACAACATGCACTTTACCTGCTTATTGTTGCGATGTAACGTTCGATATTTGGTGCATTTTATTTGTAAATTTAATTTTTTAAAGGTTGTTTTAATAATGTTTCGTTTCGTAAAAATTGCCCTTGTAACCAACTAATCATTTTTAAAGGCCATATATAGGCATATAATTGAAGCACGCGATAAAAATTGATCAATTAAGAAGCTATTATCAAAGAAAGTTTCTTACCAAATGTACAGAATAGTTCAAAAATCTTTTCTCCGACAGCCCATCCAATAAATTTCATCTGAAAACATTTCCTTGTTTATCGAAAACCCGCCTCAAACGTTCCAATATCGGGCGTTTTAGTATGCGACGAAAGTTTATGGGATTTATTTTCAGTAAACGAATACAGGTTAATATATCAATTTAACGATCTCTTAATTCCGTCGAGGACAATAATCTCCTGTTAGCGGATCGAGCGAGGTTTCTAAAGGGATTATCCAGCTTCCAGTTGCGTTAACAAAACGAACGTATTTTTAGCATATAAAATGCTAAAAGCACGGGAATCGGGTATAAACGTACGTCGATGATAGCGCATACGTCGCATATAAACTGTTTTTTTTTTTCGTATTTCGAAAAACATATTTTTATTTTAGATTTTTATTTTTATCCACCCGTTTAGATGCGTGTGTGTGTATATTGACCTTTGATGAACGCTGTTGATTTTTCGTCTGGATAATAAAATTGTTATTGTCGAGATTTTTCGGTGCACCGGAATTTCCCAACAAAATAACAATAGAGTTGAGAGTAGAGTGCAGAGAGTAGATTAGAGTAGAATGCAGATGATAGATTAGAGTAGAGGGTTTTTTGGGAAGTTTTCTTGCAATTGAATCCCGAATTTGAATCACTTTCGAGTAATGAGTAGAAGTGACTTTGACGAGAGTAGATTAAAGTAGAGTGCTGAGAATAGTGAGTAGATTAGAGTAGAGTGCAGAGAATAGATTAGAGTAGAGAGTGGAAAGGTTGCGCCCCGCTTTCTCTCTACCTTTTTTTTCGAAAGTTTCCTTGCAATTGAATCCCGAATTTGCATCACTTTCAAGTAAAGAGTTAGAAGTGACTTTGAAGAGAGCAGATTAGAGTAGAGTGCAGAGAATAGAGAGTAGATTAGAGTAGAGTATAGAGGATAGATTAGAGGATAGAGAGTGGAGACGATGGGCCTCGCTTTCTCTCTACCTTTTTTTCGGAAGTTTTCACTTTCAAGTGAACACTTTCAAGTGAATAGTTGAAGCGACTTTGAAGAGAATATACAATCGGTTGACTCTATAGCTAGAACAAGCGAATAGTTGAAGCGGCTTTCAAGAGAATAGACCAATCGTTTGACTCTTATCTATTACCGATCGAGAAAAATCGATAAGGGCGCAAAAATCGCCCGCGCCCGGTCCTGTCCGACCGTCCCGCGACCAACTCACCACTCCACACTCGAAAAGACGGAAAATCCGACGGTGTATTATCGATCGACGTGCTCGCGCCACACACAAAACCAAGTAACCTACCTTCCAGAAACCGCGGGGGCCACAATCGACGTTTCGCCTTCGAAGACGACGCCGGGCTCCCCATCATCGGCGATGCCGCCGCTCTGACGCCACCGTCCCGTTCGAGCGAGAAATATGCGAAAACACGTCGCCGTAGAGGAGGCACAGCAACGGGACCGATCGTCAGCGAGTTTGTGCATCAGAGGCGCCGCCATCGAGCTCTCCGCTAGCACCACCGCGAAGCGCCGCTGGTATTCGAACGACGCCGGCAAAACCATCGAATTCGAGCGGTTAGATGTGGAGCGCGGAGCGCCGGTTCCGCACCGACACCAACAGCCCAGGCCCAGCCGGAGGATCGACCGCAGGCCGGCGTTGAAAGTGAACGTGTGCGAGGACTTCCTGCGGACTCGAGGCGATTTCGAAGGGTTCCCCGCGAAGGGGCCGCGCGAATTCGACGCGAGCGATGTCCTCGACGTCCTCGACGAGATCGACCCGGACCTGGACCTGGACGGCGTCTACGAGGAGTTCTTCGGGCGACACTACGACGCTCTCTATTCCTACTCCTAGATGGATAAGAATAATATTGTGTATCGCGCGCGTCGTGTGTGTTGATGAACAAATTGCGACGGTGATTCGTTTTAATAAATAAACGAGCACCCGTTTATAATTCCGATTAACAGTGTGTGTATAGTATAAGTGCTTGGGTATCTACTATCTAGTCGCGGTGTTTTCCTCAAAACGTACACGTATCGAGAATATGCCTTGCAGCTTCTTGCCTTAATTGTAACCCGACGAGCGCGTCGCCCTATATATGAGGATTTTTTCCACTGTGATATAATACAGGGTGTTTGTTTGTTTGTGCGTTGTTTCGTTTCGTTTCGTTTCGTTTATTATTTTTTGTTGTTGGTTGAATTATGGATTGTAAGAGCCCGCCGACGGTGAGTCCTCCCCGGTTGCCGGCCAGGGACGTGGACAGGAAACTGTTGCGGGAGACGCTCTATTCGGAGATCATCCAGAAACACAGGAGGTCGATTTTCGCGTTGGGATCGTTCCTGAGGATGCTCAAGTCGAAGAAATCGAATTACAATGTCATCAAGCAGGACGGTGAGTCTGAATGAGGATGGCTCTGCTACGGCGAATGCGTTGAATTCGTAGATGTTTATTTGTAAGAAGGACTTTTTATTCGCTTGTAATAATAATTGTTTGGATACGTAGATATATTGTGCAGTTTTTTTTTGGATATGTATTTATAAAAAGTGGATTGTGTAGTTTTTGTACACCTTGTTATATATATTTGTGTATTTTTTTTTGGCTTTCAAGAATTATACAATCGTGGAACGTTTTTGTTTTTTTTGTATAATCGAATATTTTAGTTTATTGTAAAATAAATGATTAGAATGTTAAGAACTAAAAAGAAATAGCGCATCGACTGATGTTATTATTATATTGTGCTATTTGATACTTTCATTAATTATGAAAAATTTATTGAAATAAAATTGTTTAAAAAAAAATAAACGAGTTCATTATAAATTGATGACCTTTGTAAGAATCTTTATTACCCGTCTACATGTTTTTATATTACATTCGTTTTAGTAGTTGTGTAATTTTAATATAGAAAAATCCATATAGCGAATCGACTCGAATTTCCAATGGCGTCTTACAAGTTCCCATTAATTAATAACTCGCGGCTAAAAAAATCGATTGCGTTCCTTCGAAGCAAATTTATCCTAACGGTATTACAACGTTCCTTTATGTACTAATTAACGTTACGATAACAAACAATATATATAGTTCGAGGCGTATTATTTGAATAATTTTTCGGTTGTTTTGTTAACGAAATTATCGCAAGTACCCACTTACACATTCGTCCGAGTTAATTAACTAAATGGTAACAGACGATTTCATTTCAACCATTCATTGTATTCAAGGTTGAAAATTAAACACAAAGAGCACAAAGCGAGTGTAAACAATTTTGTTCAATTGAAACATATTTGTACGTAATATACAGGGTGGTTCAAAGAGTTACGAATTTGAAAATTTAGTAGATAATTTCGTTATTTCGAGTGCAAAGTGATGTTTTTCACACTATTTCTTGGATTTTATGACCTTTTTTAACTGAACTGATATGCCCAGAAATGCACCATTTTTAATTTATTTAATTTGGATAAACTTTCGACTGTATTTTTTATAATATCTCTATTAATAATGCACCTAGGAGTTTGAAATTTGGTATCGATATTGTCCAGACACTGCACTAAATGAAACTAAATTGACTTTTCATGGTCCATTTACAGGGGCGTTTAAAATTGTTATAAAAGTTGCCATAAGTTTGTTATTTCAAATGGATCACCCCGTATTTTATAGCATTGAGCAATGGATTAAGCCCTCTAGATCCATTTGAGTATTCCCTATAATCAAATCAAATTGTTTCTTGAATTAATCGTAAAATATAGAAAAATAAATTGTACCTATATATAAATCGCAAAAATCGTAGAAATCGTAAATATACATTTCGCTATTCACATGACAATTTTCATAGGAAAAACTGTTGGAAATTCGCAGAAGAATTCTAACGATATCCAATTTTGTGTGTGTGTGTGCAGATCTATTTTTACCCGAAGCTTTTGTTATCGTTTCCGTTCGATTTTATTCCCCAAATAGACACCTTGTGGATTTCTGACAAACTGTTTATTGTTTATCGGTCGTATCTACGGAATTATAATTCAGTTGATGTTTCACACCTACACGTGCTGAATTAATAAATACTTGTCTTTTTTATAACGATTCCTGCGCGACTACCGGAAATGCTAAAAATATATTAATTCGGAACGAAGTGAATTTTTTTTGTGCGTAGCGAAACGCATTAGAAAATTGAATAATCGAATTCCTGGATTTTATACTTCATATTTCGTTGTAAACTGATTTTTCAGATTTCCAAACAACTATAAGAATTTAGTTCATGTGCATAAAACTTATACATAAACCTATCTCGGCATATTTTTCCTTGATTTATTGGAAAATCATCCGGTGTGTAAACGAGGTTGTTGTAATTTTAAATCGATTAGAATATCTTCGAATGTTAAAAGTCGATGAACAAATATCCCGTCCATTTATTTTTTATGGCGATTAAATTCCCATTTAAGTGCATCGTTGTCCATTAAAAAAAAACGAATTCCTTTTCAAATTTCTCTAAAATACTTGCCTAGCGTAACGACAATGTTTTTAAAAACAAAAACCATTATCGCTTACTGTTTGAAAATGAATTACAGCTACTTTTACATAAATTACATGTTTTTGCAGGAATAGCAAATTACGAAACGTTACTTATCATTCGAAAAAGTAGATTAAAATTTTAAAACCTAAAACGTGACGACAACAACGAACAATTTATGCGTTATTTTACACATGTAAACTATGCGGAACAATTACAACAACATTCATCGATTTGCATTTAACTAAACTGTATGTTGTATGTATTCAATTTTCTTTGTTTCGTTCGCATTTCTATTTTCCTAAACATAAACCCTTCAGCCTTCAAATGAGATCGCTTTAGCGAGATTTTAACACAATTATATCGCACCCTTACAGGATATAACGAACGTTATCTGGAAATTCAGCTCGTCTACATTCTGCGATACAATACATTTACAACGAATACTTTGTTAATGTAGCCCTATAAAATATTTTTTAGGTGTTGCCCCAAGACTCGAAAGCTAGAAGATTGTTCGTGACTACCGGGGGCCTCAAGAAAGTCCAAATGATCGAAGCCAAGCCCGGCACGACGCTCTTCGAATACATTTCCGTTATCAATTCGTGCTTCCCCGAAGAAATCGTTCGTTACTACTCGCCCGGGTATCCCGAAACTCTTCTGGATAAGGTAAATTTAATTAATGAGCAACTATCTTGTCGGTGAAGTACCTAAAACACCGGTCTGGCCTTCGACTTAGTATGTAACTAAGTACTATATACAAATAACCTTTCGGGTGCTCTTTTCTTTTGGAAATTAGTATAAAATGGGCTACATTTTGCGACAAATTGTTTTCTAGGTCGAGCAATACTCGCCGCAAATGATGACAGTGTTGAAAGAAACCGATATAAATGAAACCGAAATGCAGACAGATATGATAAATGCTGACGATCACACGTCCGACGACGAGGACGACAGGAATTTACCCCCCACATGAGATTTTATTGTGTATTTACGTAATTTTTATAATATAATGATTGTATTGAAATTAAAAGTTGATAGGGTAATAGTGGAGCTTAATAACCGAAACGTAAAAGTACTCGAGTTAAAAAGAAGAAATGACATTTGTGTCACTTCTGTCAAAGTTGTATAAATTTGAGGTTATTTACTTCAAAACAAAATCGTAGGGGCATTTTTATAAATGTTTGTACTTTATATAGCGCAATGGAGAATAATAAAGGATGCAACTATATTTGTAGAGCTTGTTTAAGCATTGTTCAAATTAACACGCACAGTTTTGGATACGTCGAGGACGCGACTGGAAATTTACGCGATATGTTGTTAACTTGTATTCCAGAAATGGTGATTTAATACAAACGCTTTATGGTCTACTTACTTAGTAATTCCTTTTTGTAGGATATTTACATTTCACCTAACCCTATAGTTTGCATTAAATGCATCCAAGAATTAATCCAGGTGTACCATTTTAAGTCGAAATGCTTGAACACCGAATCCATTATACGTAATTTCGCCAAGAAGCATAACCTTTCGGACGAGAATCCCATTAGCCTCAATGACGTCGTTGAAGAATTGAACAATCTAAGGAAACGAGCATCGGAAAACGTTGTTAAAACCGAACCCGCGGAAAATTCGAATCCCCCGAAGCAAACCAAAGCGGAGGCATCGAAATGCGAAGTCCCTCCGCCACTGGCGTTCTTTGACAGAAATAACGGCAACGCCGCTATTTCGAATTGCCCTCGGATTCAACCTATTAAGTTGCTAGCCGAGCGTTTCAAATCACCCTCAGGTATTTTACATGTACCTACTTATTTCATATCGTTAATTAACTTTTATTCTTACAGTAGAAAATACAGGAAAATTAGGCCCGCCGCCTCCTATGATTCTAATGTCCACTTTATTAAGGCCTCAGAATTCCGACGGACCCAACCAAATCCTTCTAACTTTCCAACCTAATCAAACACCATTACAACCTGTAGATACCTCGATGAACGATGAAATAAACGATGATAATAATACAACCGAAGAAAGCTGTAACACAAGTAATAATACCGCAATCATTAATAGTGATAACATAAACTGCCATCCGATTGAAAAGAACCGCAGGTTGTATATCGAATTAACCAGATGCGATGATTTACCTTATAATAAATTTAATAACGAACCTACATCGGACAATACAAACGGTTCCAACTCTATCGATACAGAAGAATTACACGTATTCAACAGAACGTAAGAACCATTTCGAAGATATTTAACAACTATTAAATTAATCTTACGCGTTTTCAGCGACGACACCACCGAAAACGATTCCACCAAAATCTTCAACTGCTCGTGCATGTACCTCACCACATCGGAAACCCTCTTCACGGAGCACAAGAGCAAATGCAGGCACAACAAACTCCACTTGCGCTGCCCCCATTGCCCCCACATAACCAACAAAAGCTACGCCTTGAGCAAGCACATCAACACGATGCACACCAAAGCGATTTGGTACCACTGCGAAACCTGCTCGTACCGCAGCACCGACAAGTCCTCGCTGCGCCGGCACGTGCGAAAGAACCACGAAGCGCACCCGGACAAGGAGCGGGACAACCTGTACCAATGCGGCATCTGCGCCGCCATCATCGCCAGCAAGCCGAACTTCAACAGGCACATGGTGAAGCACGAGGAGACCGCCCTGAGCTACGACTGCGAGTTTTGCTCGTACAACACGAAGGATCGCAGCAATTTCAGGAAGCACGTGTTCACCCATTCGCCGGTGGCGTTGCAATGTCCGAGTTGCCCCTACAGCAACGTGTCGCCCTACCAGTTGAGGACCCACATTAAGAAGTTCCACGACGGGGCGGGCCTGGAGGCGGCGGATTGCCGGAGCGAGATACCCATCGCTGAAATCGTGAGGGGGTTCAAGGAGATGCTTAATGACGCTGGATACGTCGATTGAGGTGAATTCGAGTGTAAATGAGCCTTATTGGAGTGGTTTGAGGTGGATTTAGGTGTTTTAGATGATAGTAGATTAACATTTGACTCGAATTTAACGGGCTTAAATTTGATTTTTTTTACTGTGATATTTATTTTATGTGTGTTAATTTATTAGTATTTCTATATTGCTTGTAAAGTTTTAGTATCGTATTTGCCGTTTTTCTATGATAGTTGTATAAATTGTTTATTGATGTAAAGTGTCTACAATTCCTGTGTACATTTCAGGTTTTTTAGAAAAACATCATTCGTTATTATAAATATATTTTACATGTATATGAAAAATGTACAATTACCTAAAAATGGCAACAATAAATAAAATATTACACTGGAATGCTCAATGGAATGACGCTTATTTAGTCTAAAATAAAACAATTTTAAGCATTTTAGGTCGTAAGTATAGAAAATTTTATCGAGACCACCTTACTAATGAAAAAAAAAAATACTCATCCGATTGATGAAACCAATTCTTACTTAATCACCTTACTATAAGTACAAACCAGATCAATTCACCAAAAAAAAAACAAGTAAGTTAACTAATATACGTTAATTATCTACAAAATCATCTAATAAAATTCCTTTTTCAGCCGGCCATTATTCGATAAACGACTTAAAAACTACCCCCCGAAGAATCGCCCGTAACCCTCTCAAACTTTGGAATCGAACCGCTTGGCGTCGTGCCCGTCGTGCTCGGGCGGCACCACCGATATGACCGGCGTGGCCGGCGTCTGCGGCGTGCCCGCCCCCGACGGCGGCGCCTCCACCTTCTTCGGCGCGTTGCCGCTGTTGGCGTCCTCGATGGCCTTCCTCAAGTCCTTCAAACCCACCACGCCTATCAGCTTCCCGATGGACGTCACGTAGGCGAAGTTGATGGCCAGCAGGGAAAATAGAGAGTGCACCTTCAGCAGGGAGGTCCGCTCCACCAGCTGGAAGGGCGCCGGGTCGATGTGGCACGAGGTGAAGTCCACCGGCTGGTTCAGCTGGTCCTCCTCCCAGGCCAGTTGCTCTTGCGTGGGGAGGTCGCAGACCCTCAACGAAGGCTGTAAGAAACGAGGATTTATAAGTTATGTTGCTGTGGTGTTGTTGTGGTTAATTACCACTTCCAAGTGCGTTAGAGATAGTACCGGTCGTTTGCTCGGTAACGGGCTCTTTCGTTCCGGTAACGGCGATTTCGGTACTAGAGATGTGGTTGCAGTTCGTATAGGTGGTGTCCATTTTCTGATGATCTCTTCTCGTGTTTCCTGCGAAAGTTTGATACAAATTTGTGTAGTAAATGGGTTGTGTGTGTACTACCTTCAATGTGCTCGTTTTGACCTCCTTCATTTCGGTCACGTTCGGATGGAAATCGGTTTTAACATCGTCCTCTTTCTCCGAATCGCTGGAATCGTCGATAAACGCCACGGATTTCTTCCGAGTCGTGTGAATGAACTCCACGTTATCCATCGGATTGCTCTCCTGCCTGTCTATCCTCGGACTGGGCAGCACCTGTCTCCTCTGAAACGCCCCGATTTGCCTGTCCAGCAACACGATCAACTCGCTCCTCGGTATCGATCCCAGCAACGTCATCGTCTGCGGATGGTCCACCAGCGGGAACACGTTCAATTTCTTGTTGGCCACCAGGATCTCCTTCAGCTTCGCGTAGTTCATCGACACGTGCAGATAGCGCAACTCGCGCCGCATGAAGTCCTCCACGTAGATGTTGTACAGCCCGCTCGTGTTGGGCAGCAAGTCGGGCAGGTAGGGGAGCTTCTTCGACTTGATCACCAGGTCGTAGATGCTCGGCGTGAGGAACCTGGCCACGCCGTTGGCTATCAACACGGCTATGAGCACCGGTATGACGTAGGTTATGGATGAGGTCATTTCGAAGAGTATGACGCAGACTGACATGGTGTGAGTGACCGCTCCCGACCAGGCGGCCGCCCCCACGGCCGCGTAGGCGCCGGGGACTATTTGGGCCCTTCTACCGTGGTAACCCACGCCTGGAAGATCATCACAAGAAGCGATGTTTACTAGATTCTAGTGTCGTTTTTATAGTCACCTTGGGGGAACCAATAGTACATCAGCTCGCCGACGATGCGCCCCAGGGCGGCTCCGGCGCGGAAATTGGGGATGAACGAACCGTTGGGGATTGGTAGAGACGTGCCCAGTATCGAGCCGATGAATTGGAAGGCCATGTAGATGGCGAGGTTCCCGTAGAAACCGGTCCAGTCGGTGGTCCAGTGCGAGACCAGGTCGCCCTGGTGGAGCGTCAGGTTGTCTTTGCCCCAGGTGAAGTTGCTGAAGAGGTTGATCACCTGCGGCCCCGCCGCCAGTTCGGACGCCATGAATTGGCCCAGGCCCGGCGGCCACGTCAGCGTCGAGATGATCAGGATTATTATGGCCGGGTAGATGAATCGGCTGGAAATTTGTACCGACGAATTCGTTATTGACTAGATACATGAAACATGGAAAGTGTTCGTAATTAGAATTCAATCGTTTTGCGATTTTTGATGCAATTTTTTTGATCACCAAGGCCTACTAGCTTCCATGTGAGTAGTGATATGACTCAAGGATGACAGTTGACAGGTGCTCGATTTTTAATTAAGTAAGTACGTAATTACGCTTCATGTTATTGGTATTTTATATTACTTTAACGACCAAAAATTTAAATTTTCGAAATTTTTATTATGTATAAAGAATCAATGTGTCATTGGGCTACTTTTAACTCTCACTGGGTAAATATGTCAAGATTTACAGCCGTTTCGTATAGTATCATAGTAGGCTGTTTATTGGAAAGTTGTAAAAATGTTGATAAAAATGACAGTTGACAGTTACTCAATTTTAAATTATTACCAAATTAAGTACGTAATTACGCTCTATATTGTTGATATTTCAGTAATTTCGCAATCAAAACTTAAAATATTCGATATTTTTATTATCCCCAGAACAAATATGTCTTTGGAATCGTTTGAAAAATACCCAGCAACTTCGATGTTAATCCGTTATCACAAAACAATTGAATTCCTAAATGGCCGCCACGAAAGGATGTCTACATTAAAGGTGAATATTAATATTTACTTTGTTTTTTTGATCTTCATAATGACCACGTTAGTATTAACCCAAGCGTCGTAGTACTGTTTGCACCAAATATAAAACGAACCGGCCAGACCGCAAATTAGCCTAAAACAATAAATCCATTGCGCTACAAAATACAATCGCACACAATCAAACAACAATCACTTTACCCCAATATGGCGAACGAAACGAGCTCCCAAGGATCGTACGGGAAATCGATGAAGTAACTAGTCGAAAAAACGGCCGTTATAGTTTTAGATCCATCGATCCACACCAACAACAGCCTGTAAGTCGTAGCGCCCCAAACGGCCGCGAAGAACCCTCTCCAATAGTTCCTCACCGCAAAATAAGCCGTAGTGATTTCCACGCTGAACAACACCCCTAAAAAACGCCATAATAAACCCTTTAAAATCCCAGAAATCCGATTATACTCACCCCCGATGGGCGCGTTGAAGGTACAAGCCACCCCCACGGCCCAGGCGGCGCCCAACATCTCGATCTTCTTGCTCTCGTTGATGTAGACCTTGTTGAACGACGAAATCGCCTTGCTCAGCTTCGTCACGATGATGCTCGACATGTGGATGAGCGGCCCCTCCTTGCCCAAGGGCATCCCGCTGCCGATCGTCGCTATTAGCCCGAGCCACTTCACTATCAGCACCCTGAACGTCAGCACCTCCTTCATGAACACGCCCCTGAGGCTCGTCTTGATTTGGGGGATCCCCGAACCTACCGGAGACCGATTAACTCATCCATTATCGAGCTTAATAACTAGCTTGAAAATGTTACTAATTAGTCTTACGAATACAGGCGGTACTCAAGAGAGTACCCTATTGAGAACTCACCCATTCCTTCGTTAATGCGAAGCTTGAAATTTGTACTAATTAACGTTAATTACAATTGATTTAATTCAAATTTTAGGTTGCTCACCTGCCGCTTGGGGAGCCACTAAATGGGTCAACCCCACGTCCCAGATGACCAAGCAGAATGGCAGACACACCCAGGCCACCCATTTGGTGAAGAGCCCCGTCGACAGTTCCCCGTAGAGCCATTTTTGGCCTGTAACGTGCAGGTAATGCGGTTAAATTTTAAGGTGAAATTTGCCACGTATTAGCTCGTTTGATTGTAACGTATAAATAACGAAGCGTGTTGCGGAGGTGTTTCGGTGAATTAGAGGTCTCTATTCTTCGGTTTAATGGCGCTTTGATTTAGCGAGTATATCGTAAATCTAATCGATTGATATTATAATGAGATATTACGTACCGCTGCCGCACATGGCGACTCCTTTGTCTATGGTGTAGCTGATGATTGCCATGAGAATGCCCAATATCGCCAGGATTACCCAATCCTCGCCCAATTTCCCGAACGTTTGGCTCCATACCCGCCAAAATAGCCGCTTGTACTTGCCTAAGGGAATCTCAAAATAATCAAATTCATTGATGTTTGTGAGTTAAAATACCTTGGTATATTTCGAGCTCCTTCTGTCGCTTCTTCTCCTCTTCTTTCAACTTTTTTATCTCCTCCAATCGCTTTTTTTTCAACTCGGAGTGGATTTTTTCGATGGATTTCGTGTAATTGTATCGAGCCTGGAAAACGGATTTATAATTTCAATCGTAACAACGCATTGTATTAATTCGTGTTGTATACCGATAGATTTTCCTGCGTTATTCGATACATTTTTCGATGAACCGTTCGAATTTCGAAAATATCATGTCTACATATATCGTATTTACGATTTACAATAACCGATAACAATTCGTTGATTATCTAGCTTGATTATGGAAGGCTGTTGTTATTTTTTTTTAATTTTGGAACTCGTACGCAAGAAAAGAATATTTTTTAAGTGCAAATCAACAAAATCGATTTCCTATCGGAGAATTTTTTTTATCGTAAAATCACGAGAATAAAATCATTGATTTAAGCTAATAAATAAAACAAAAAAAATATATGTAAGAATAAACTAATAACAAGTTGAGCAAACAAACGCATTTTTACGCCATACCTAGATTAAAACAAACGGAAAATTAATTACTATTAATTCGAATAGCAAACACGAAAATTGCGTATCGTTTCTACAGGGTGATTCCTAAAAATATCGCGATAAAAACGTATGAAAAGAAATGATATAATTCATGATGACAGCGACATGTTTCTCAAGTAATATCATCGAAAACTCCAATTAATTCGCATCGATTATAATCAAAATTCAATCAATTAATTGTTTGTTTTTTTTTGATAAATTACTCTACCTATTTATCAACACTCAAAAACGGGTCAGAAGGACTTTTAGTGAATAACTTAGATAACTATTCCTTCAAGTATCTATATATTTAATTGGAAATTAATTATATAATCTCGAATTTTAATTATAATGATTATAGAGCTTCCTAGAGAAATTATTAAAATTATTCAATTCAATTTCGATCCACTGTGTAAGACTTAGAGTTTACTCAAACTATTAACTCGATTAATTGATTGTAAATTTTCGAAAATTCGCATTGCAAAATTGACATCACATATTTGCCCGCCTATTTGAGCTTCAAATTAAAAATCCAATTCAAACATTTACCCGGATTTCGTTTAAACAAACCTTTAATTCAAACACAATTAAAATAAAATTGGCAACCCCGACGCCCTATTAGAACCTAAAATGGTGTATATATTTTCATATAAAATCGGTTTATATCGGTTGAAAAATGCCCTACCTGCACCGGGGAATACCGGGAATCGTACACTTGCCCCACGGGCAGGCTGGTAACCCTGAAGCTCATATTACCAATTTACTCTTCCGTCGTTCACTCCCAGGTACTACTACCTCCCGAGCACGATTTCGCGGTACTGAACCGAAAAAAAATAATCGTTCATCGAAGTAGACGGTACAACTAATGACCGATTTATTAAACCAATATTTACCAACGCACGGCGAAAGGAATAGGCGACATTTAACCAACCCGGGTACCGCGTACGCGAGCTCTGGGCGGGCCGTTTGTTTATCCCTAGCAACTTTTTATTGGTACAACAAAAAAGAATAAACAATCCGGAGTGGTACCGGTTACGCAGGCGATTAGCCAAATACGTCCCGAAGGACTGAAATTTAATTAATCCGTTTTACGAGTGTAGGTTCGCCAAATATTTGCCATAGTGTTTGAATTGGTGGTCTATTTGTTGTTGTTAAAAAATATTTGTGTTTGAAAAAAAAACGCGACTGGATGAATGGCGGATATTGGCGAATTGTAATGCAAAAACAGCCGTAAATTTTTTGAGAAGTGCTCGGGCAATAAATAAATCGGGTAATGCAAATTTTGTTGTTATTGTGTTTTATTATTTGGATCGGAAGGTATTTGTGGAATCGTTGGTAAAAATTTGATTATAAAATGTACAAGTTCAGTATAATCTTCAATGTGTTTATTCTTTTTTCTTGAGTAGTAGATACCATTTTGAGTATTGTGTTTAAATATTATCTCTATTAAAAAATAATTAAATGCCTATCTTGTTAATTGAAGCGATTATTTCGGTAGAATCTTGTATATTCTATTATCTTTGACCATCAAGAACATACGTTTTGTTATTACAGAGTAAATAATCAGCCCCTTTATTGAATTAGTTAATTATTTCATTATTGCTCCATATAAAGATTAATATCACTCGACAGTCGACAACATACACAAGTGTAAATCAGCTACTATTTTTTTTTAAACACTTGAATGAAATTAATCAATTACAGATTACAGCCAGAAAACTCACCATTTCACTATATGGCTAAGTATTCGTACAAGTAAAATTTGATTGATTGTACCTTGCACTTCACGGCATAACTTAATAGTTATATAAGATAATAGGTGTATTAAAAGTATTTCATTTTCTCATTTTAATTCATACCTGAATGCATCTAATCGACACTTTATATGAAAAGGATCCAATAATTATTACACAACCATACCAAAGCTAGATGTTTCACTGTAATGGTTCCGGTGAGAACGTTAAAATAATTAAGTTAGCTTATTTCGGAGGACATATTTAAATTCGTCAACAAGCCGTATTTTATTATTAATAAACAGCATTTGTCTGAAAAACTTTTTCATCATATTAAGAATTAAATATTAATTACAGTATAATACAAAATCAAAATGCATTACAAATTTAAATATTTAATTTGTGTGATTCCCGTAATGTTTGCTTCGACACTTGCGTTAACCAATTACTACTAAAGTTGAAGGCCATTGAACTGGCCAAATGTCACTTAAGTAAGTGTCACCAATTTGACATTTCTGAAAGTAAAGAAGAATACAACCTAACCTCACTTTTTGCAGGTTGTTTTGTTTTTATGCGTAGCTTTTTTATTTAAGAATTAATTTGTTTAAATATAATGGCTGAAGCTTTTCCTGTTGATTCTTCCAAGGAAAACACAACCAAACCAGTATGCCTAATTGTCCTTGGTATGGCGGGCAGCGGAAAGACTTCTCTAGTTACAAGACTAACCTCGAATAGCGAAAACAAGCCTTACGCCGTTAATTTAGATCCAGCTTGTTACAATTTACCCTATTTCGCCAATGTAGGTGAGTAAAATACCCATTTATAACCATTCCTCGTTTTATATCTTCTATATCTTTCAGATATACGAGATACAGTGAACTACAAGGAAGTAATGAAGCAGTACAGCTTAGGCCCCAACGGGGCCATAGTGACCTCATTAAATTTATTCTCCACAAAATTCCCCGAAGTGATCAATCTCATACAGAAATCCGGCAAGGAATTGTGCGTGTTAGACACTCCCGGTCAGATAGAAGTATTCACGTGGTCCGTTTCGGGGTCCATAATCACAGAAACTCTAGCTTCTTCGTTTCCCACTGTAGTTTTGTACGTAGTGGATTGCGTCAGGAGCACCGCGCCCGTTACATTCATGTCGAACATGCTGTACGCTTGTTCGATACTGTACAAGACCAGGTTGCCCTTCATCGTGGTGATGAACAAAGTGGACATAGTCGATCACTCGTTCGCCAAAGACTGGATGAGCGATTTCGAGGTGTTCCAAGAAGCCCTGGAGACGGACGAGAGCTACATCAGTAATCTAACTCGATCGATGGCCCTGGCACTGGACGAGTTTTATCAGAATTTGAGGATTTGCGGGGTGAGCGCCGCCACCGGGCAAGGAATGGACGATTTGTATAAGCTGGTGAAAGAGGCCGCCGACGAGTACGAACGGTACGGTCTTTATCTTTGGCGGTATTTGGCCAGTTATCGAATGATTGTTTTAGCGATTACCGCGTGGAATGGGAGAAAATTAGGGCCGAGGCGCAGGTTAGAAAGACGCGGGAACGGGAAGAGAAAGGTGACGAGCTCGTAACGGAGGTTCCATCTGGCAGGGAATTGTCGGATGTGTATTTGAGGCATCCGGCTAACGAAAGTAGCTCGGATTCGGAAGGGGAGGAAGCTGATGCAACGATTGGTATGAATCGGAGATATTTTATGCATCGTTTTACTGTATGTAATTTTTGTAGATAATGCTGATAGTGAAAAGGATGTGGAAAACTTTCGACGAGTGTTGCAACAGCAGAGAGATATGCAAATTAAAAGAGCCAAGGATGCGGAAATAAGTAAGTTTGAAAAAAACAGCTGAATAAATATTTTTAATGAGATTGGCAGTTTTAATCAAGTTTCCTTCTGACTTGGCTCGAATTTTTTGACGTTTGTTTGTCTTCAAAAAATTAATGTTTTTTTATTGAGTTCCATTATTTTCTGTAAAAACGGGTCTTTCGGAAAATGTTTTAAAGTTCAAAATATGTTACGTAGTATCTTCAGTCTTATTCACAATATTATTGAATCCGACAAAGAATATAATAATAAAAAATCCAGTGCGCATTTCTCTTCCGATAGTTACGAAAATTGCGAAATAATGCATCGAAACAGACCTTCAAATTCTCTCGTTTTAAATTCGAATCAGGTAAGTTTCTTAGAATTAATTTTTAGAGTGGATTCCTTAATCAAATTTCAGGGAGACACATTACCCATTGATCAATACGATGACGATCCAGCCATAGATACAGCAAAGCCGAAAAAATCCAGTAAATCAGATGGAAAAAAATCGAAGCAAACCGAAGAAACCATCGGTGATAGAGCCAGTTTTAGCAACGAAGAGGAAAGCGACGAAAAGTTTTCTGAAATCCAGGGAGAGGTTAAAGTGGGCGTCAGAGATTTATTGGCAAAATTACCGCAAAAAAAGAAAACCGTACCCGAGAAAGGTAGGAATTAAGAAACTATAATGATACAAATTTAATAAAATTATTCTTTTAGATAAGGAACAATTGGGTGCTCTGCTAGAACAAATTCAAAAGATGAAAAAAGGCATGGAACGACTTCACCAAATAGCTAAACAATTTACTTGTTCTGACAAATTCAAACAAGATGTAGACTACTTAATTAAGAGCTTGGCCGTGGATAAAAGCGCGAAGGGGCAAAATTTAGAGCCGAAAAAACCAAAATAGAAATTTCTGTACATAAAATTGCATAGTAAAAAAACTGTCAGTCGCCGCTCATTTATTTTATGAAAACGAATATACGAGGTGAAATTATTTTACTGCGAACACAATTGTTTATACATAATTTTAAATTAATCATTAAAGTCTCTTCTCTCAAGTGACTCAACGAAAAGAAATTATACAAAAAAGTACATAAGTTTCTACTGATCATATAAATACATTATACCTAAATATAACTATTTCACAGATTTATTTTCTTGAATAAGTATGCGTTTTTAACACGCTTTAGAGAATGAGCAAGTGCAAATAAAGTGAAAATCAATCGCTTCGTAAAAAAACAATTTTAAATATCTCGAATCATAATAGTGCTAATTTTGAGTTTCATGTCTCGCAGAGAAATTAATCAACACCAACTTTACTTACAGAAGTTCGTGCAACTGTAAACGTTAAGGGAAAAAAAAGACACACTTTACTCATTCCACTACATTGCAATTACATTTTTGCAGTGCCTCAAATACTATTTTTGCCCTGTATTGGTTCCTAAAACTCCGAAGGAGAAACGTATTAAGGTACATATTAACGCCTATAGCCAGTTAAAATTTTTAATGTCGATATTTCAGACATGTTACAACGCGTTTTAGAGACATCACAATTAGTACGATATCGTTTGAGTATTTTACATCCGAAAAACAAAGGCGTTAATATGCACATTACCATGTCGTACATTTCAAAATTACACAAATAAATTTAAAATCCTTTAAATAACGGAAAAAATCTAATTTCAAAGTGTACGATATATATCACTCGATTAAAAAAAATCACATTCAGTCTCTAATCTTCGAATGTTTTCTCGTCAGTTTTCTCCGCATCGGACGATAGAGCTTTTATTAGTTCATCTACGCAATTTTTAGGTATGAGCGTTCCTATAAATAAATATCATCATCAACATCCGGTAGGAACAAAAACGAATTAAAGACGCCAACTACTCACCAACTATTTTTAAATCGTCCTTAGTCCTAAGACGTATGACCTGCATTTTATTTTGCGAGCCAGTTTTGCTGGCCAATACCCCTTCGACTCGACTCCATACGGACAACACCGAACCGGACACTACATTATAGGTTCTCCTTCGCAGGCCCACCTCGCAATCGTGCCCTATTGACACGTTTCGACAATTGCCGCGCCAGTAGGCGTGAGAACAGGTATTTACAGATGCGTCGTACTGTTGCGACCACGATTTCTCCGCTTCGGCGGACTCCACCTAAAAAAATAATCGAAGAGTTTAGTTAATCTACAGGATAACTTAACAAGGGGGTAGCGGCATTAGGTCGGACTTGTTATTGAAAATTCGAAATCCTTGCATCAAAATTAGCAAGTTTCGTTCGAAACTGTTTGTCATATTTATCAATAGCGAGTACCTTTTTGTATTTCTTCTCTAATTCCGCTAGGCTTTCCTGTCTAAACTGCAATCCGGTGTTGGGCCTGTACACCGAAAACATTTGATCTTTTTTGCTCTCCTTTTTACCGTCTTTCTTGCCCTTGTTGGTACTACCGCTATTGTCCACCGCAACGGCCAAAATGCTCGTGTGTTTGCCGTTTCGTATCTGATGCGACAACCAAAATCCTACAAACAAACCCCTTCAATAAGAGTTCTGTAAAAATTAACTAGAACAAACCTTCGTTTTCTCCCAAAAGTTCCGAGAACTTTTCTAAAGCTTCGGGCCACGACATGCCCCGTTCGACGTGAACGGTATGCAATTCCGTCGGGGCGGTACCGGTGGCGTGTTTTCTAAGGAACGTTACCGTGCGTACTCGTTTTACACATTCTCCTCCGGCCCCCAAATCCAATATACCTGAAAGATATCGAACCGATTATAAACCAACGATCCAAACATTAAATACCAATTTTTGATACGCCTTATTATACGTTTTACGTACCGAGATCGAACCTTCCCGATCGTTTCGCCGATGTGATGATAGCAGCCAATGTATCGGTAAAATACCTACAAAAAAAAACAAAATATTTTTATCACAATAATAAAGGCTGTTCATTTTCGTTAGACTAGTGGTCGGGCCAGCCCGCTGCAACGTTGCCGGGTTGTAATTGATATCCTTGATGTGACAGGTTATGTTTACTTTCATTGTTTACAAATTAAAAGTCTTAAATAGTAGAATTTAAACATGAAAAAGTAGATCAGGAGGAGATGTGAGCTTGCGAGCATCGATTTAACAGAACATTATGTGATTTTTTACGATTAGGTCAATTATTCCAATAGTCTTCTTCTCCTACACCGTCCCGTTCTCTATCGAAATAGGTCGAAGAACAAACCGAAAACCGCACGAAAAACTCTCTAAAACGCGGAAAACACTAAACCTAATCGTAAACTTGCATGAATTGCAAGAAAAATACAAAAATCGCATAAAAAGTAGCAAAAACAACAAATTGTAAACATAACCTGTCAATATAAAACAGCGCAATTTTAAGACTAACGCAAGACAACATCGCTTCGGAAGTTCAACTGCGCGTCGTAAAATTCCCCAAGTCAAATGGGAGAATTAACATTGGCACTAGGAACATTTTGAACTGCGCGGAAATTACTAAAAACTACCAAACAGTCTAACGAAAACGGATATCATTTATCAGGTTAAACAGCTAGTTAGTTACTTGAAGAGCCTATTTTGCAATTCCACCGGCATGCCCAATATACGATTGAGAAACTTCGACATGTTATTGTAATCCTTGTCCAATGATAACACGCCCGGCATATTTTCGCTGTTCACGATCAACCCGACGCCCACCAAAGCGGCGGCCACGTCCTTGAAGAAATCGCCCTTGTAGTCGCGCGGCGCCGAAACGATCGGCTGTTCGTAGCCCATCACCGCCTTCATGGTGGCCTCGAGCGCCGATCGACCGTACTTGTTGTCGATGTTGAACTGGCTCAAATCGCGCGTCTCCGTCGCCCGACGATCGCCGTGCGTCAGCGCCCCCAAGCTCTCCAACCTGTTTTCAACCAACAATTTTAGTACGTTTTCACCTTAGATCATATATCGTTTGCTCCATTTCCGATCGCAACATGTCCGTTTCTATGAGTGCAACAAAGAAAGATTATTAAAACGACAGCTGTCAGAGTGAAAAGTTGCAATGACACAAACGGGCCGAATAGCCCAAGTAGCTGAGGCCTCAAACGAAGAAGAAAAACAATGACACAAATGTCATTCTTTCAAGTGTCAAATGAAAGTTGTCTTTATCGCACCCATGGCCTTGTTGCGATCAAAAAATGGATCAATCCGTATATGATCGAAGGTTTTAACGAATTTCCTCGATCGCGGTACCTTTTGGCGACGATCGAAGCGAACCGCCTTTCGCCGGCCAAATCGGATATGAGGAATATGTATTCGGGGGCGTTCACTTGGTTACTTCGATGGGTCCGGCCGAATTGTTGGATCGCCCTGTCGGCCGACCACGGTAGTTCCAACGTGATGTGGACGCGTCGACGTTGGTTTTTCACTCGCCTGTCGCTTTGCAACGATATACCTGTCGAATTACCGACATTTGAGGTGCTAATTGTAAGCATTTCTTGTATTACGTACCGCTCGATGCGGCTTCGGAGATGATCGCCACGTCTTTTTCGCCGTCCATAAATCGCTGTTTCTCGGTGAGATTCAGCGTTTCCAACGGCACGTCGTTCTCCGATCTGCTCTCGTATTGAATGCCGCCGTCTTCGGTAGAAACGACTCTACCTGTAGACATTGATTGTGGTAAAAAAAAACTCGCCCGATCGAGAGGAATACGATGCGAGATATACGGTTTTTTAACCAGATATATGAATAGAAATAAGTCATTAAAAGGACATTTCGCCGGACGCATTTCTCCTTTTTAATTTCTAAACAATTAAAGTTAACATAACCTTTAAATTAAACATATCTGTCACATCAAGATTTTCATTTCAACCCGGCAACGTTGCAACATATTGGCTCGTGACGTCATTGCCTAGCGAGCGCGAACGTCCTTTTAGAACCCATTAGAATTAGAATGCCTTTTAAATAGTAAATTTGCATTACCTTTTCGTCCGGTCATTTCAGCGACGTTCTCCGGCCCGCCCAGCTCGTCGATGAGCTGATCGAGAGTATTCGGCGGCAATTTCTCGCCCAATCTCTCGATCGCCAAAAGCAATTCCTCTTTCATGCTACAAGCTCTCTCTATCGCGTCCATAGGCGGCGCCACCGGCGCCGGCGCGAAGCCGCTACCGTTCGGTTTCGCAGCTACGCAATAGAACGAAAAAAAAAATACTAATAAAAAACGAGTAGGATTAATTACCGCGAAACTAACTTTTAACGGTCTTCCGGCTCAACAACAACGACAGCTTATCCTGCGTGCTGGTCTTCTTCTTGGGGCTCTTCTTCTGCTTCTTGCCCTTCTTCTTTCTGTTCCACGGATCGTCGTCGGAATCGCTGCCCGATTGGAACGGATTGAAATCGCTGCTCACGTTAGAATCGGAATGCTCCTCCGATATCTCGCTCTCCGCCTCGGACATCTCGAAATCCGAACCGTCGCTTTTTATCGATTCTTCCGTATCGGACGTCGACCATTTGTTGCGTTTGTTGGCGCGCGCCGCCGCCTGTCGCACTAAAAAAAAAAAAACAAACCATTTACAATATAATCTAGTCTAGATAAGTCAATTTATTACCTGGTTTACGTTTTCCCGATGAACTGTGACCCTCGTCGTTACCGTTAGTAGCCGGTTTTTTTAATATAGGTTCGATTCCTAGAAGCTTCTGTATCCTATTCCTGTCCGGAGCGGGGAAATGTTTCTCTACCAACGTTTGAAATACCCCTATCGAAAACAATTTTTTAGTTACTAAGCTTCTTTTAGGAATGAATTAACGTACCTTTAGCGGTAGAAACGAAATCGGTTAATTCGCCGTCGTCTCTTTCGAGTTGTTCCAAAGTTCTAGCTTCGCCGGTACTCTGCAAACCAATCACCACGCATTTGCCCATTTTGATGGCCTCGTGAGCGACGGCTACAGCGTGCGGGACCTATTTAACCAATAACAAATCGATCACAATCGATCGTGGAGATTTTCGAAAGCGACCCACCTTCGCCGCTATACAGAGATACTTGAAAAACCGCTGGTGCGACGACCAAAACTGGCCCCACATGGTCTTCCGCATGCGATTCTCGGCGTCGACCAATTCGGCCGCCTCGTGGAACTTCTGCATCGCCTCCACCCACAATTTCACGCTCAGATCGTACACCTTTTCGAACTCCTTCGACAACGGCACCTCTTCGATCTTGAACGCCACGCCGTGGAAGCTCAATTGGCGCGCTACAAACAACCCGAATCGTCGCGATTTAATCATTTTATATGCGCAAAAACGAAGCATTTACTTTCAAGCTAAAGGTAGAGGTAAAAAATTAGGTTCTAACACCTTACACAATGATTTTAAAACCATTAAACCTTTCGCTTTAAAGCAACAGAAGGGTCCTCGAAGCAAAACCTCTCTTCTATCTCTCCTTTTTACGTATAATACTTGAAGCAATTCCTTCATTTTTTGAAGCAAAAGATTCTACTTCATTTAATTTGCTCAATTTTATACCTATGTACATCCCTCGAAGCTTCATATCCATGGCGACGATCTCCATGGCGCCGACGCCTCGTTTCTCAACAGCCGATATAAAATCTGAGAATTCCTTGAAGGGCGTCCCTTCGCCCCACAAACCTAACCTAACCATATAGGCCATATTTCTGGGCTCCGAAGCGCCCGTCGCCGAAGCGTACACCACCCTAGCCAACGGCAATTTATTCTGCAATTCCAGCACCGTCAAACCTACAATTTACAACTAATTAATCCGACGAAATACACGTAATTAAAACGCGTTAAATATACCGGTTTTCGTCGGTTTCGAAGACCCAACGGGACACAGATTCTTCGCTCGATGGCACTCATCGAAGACGATCAGCCCGTCGAAATCGGAGCCGCACCATTGCAGCAGCTGCTTCAAGCGAGATTTGTACTTCCCGCCGGCCGAATTACTTTCGCCGATCAGCGCCGAATAGGTGCTGAAGACGACGCCCTTCTTCACGTTGCCGTTCGTCGACGAATTGATCTTGGCGTATTTGAATTTGTTCAACGGATGCACGTCGATCTTGGCGGCGCCGATGTCGCGCAGGTCGCGCTCCGCGTCGTACTTCAGATCGTTCGATACCGATATCCAAATGGCCTTTTTCTTGCCTTTCAAGTAGTTCTCGTAGATGATGCCGGCTATGGTGCGGCCTTTACCCACACCGGCACCGTCACCTACGGATTACGATTGAGTAATGGCTCGATCGTAGGAGTTTAATCGTAGTTACCTATTAGGAATCCGGCTCTGGATTTGTTGGGTAAAATGTGCGAATGCGCCTGCGAAGCGTACGTTATACTCTCCAATTGCAACGCCGACAGATGTCCTTTGTCTATCGACTCCTCGGGTATGGATAATTCGTACCAGACGTCGGCCGGAGCGACCGACGATAGAGAGGCCGTTTCGACCACCGGATCGGGATGTTTCTTGCCCAATTTCAACTTCGACGGCATGTAATCGGCGTAGGTTTCGGCGACGCCGAGCTCCTCGTCGTCGACCTCTTCCTCCTCTTGCTGTTGCTGCATCGGCTTCTCCATTTGGTTCATCCACATCGATTGGACGGCCTTGTTGCTGAGCGGTCCGCCCCACGACGGCACGTTGCCCGGATAGAACATCGACAGGTAGCCCGGGTTGAAATACGGATTGAGCATCTCCACTAAAAAAATCGAAATTGGTTAGTCGATATCGCGAAGCTTTGTACTACCTAAATAAACCACGCGTGATAGAGTACACCAAAAGCATAATAGATAAAGGCTGTCCATTTTCGTTAGACTAGTGGATCTCGGGCCAGCGCGCTGCAACGTTGCCGGGTTGTAATTGATATCTTTGATGTGACAGGTTATGTTTACTTTCATTGTTTACAAATTAAAAGTCTTAAATAGTAGAATTTAAACATGAAAAAGTAGATCAGGAGGAGATGTGAGCTTGCGAGCATCGATTTAACAGAACATTATGTGATTTTTTTGCGATTAGGTCAATTATTCGAATAGTCTTCTTCCCCTCCACCGTCCCGTTCTCTATCAAAATAGGTCGAAGAACAAACCGAAAACCGCACGAAAAACTCTCTAAAACGAACGGAAAACACAAAACCTACTCGTATACTTGCATGAATTGCAAGAAAAAATACAAAAATCGCATAAAAAGTAGCAAAAACAACAAATTGTAAACATAACCTGTCAACATAAAAGACCGGAATTTTAAGACGCAAGACAACATCGCTTCAGAAGTTCAACTGCGCGTCGTAAAATTCCCCAAATCAAATGGGAGTATTAACATTGGCACTAGGGACATTTTGAACTGCGCGGAAATTACTAAAAATTACCAAATAGTCTAACGAAAATGGATATCCTTTAGTAGGTACATCGCAAGAAACTCTCGATGTATACCCACCGAAAGATTGATAATTAGCTAGCTTCATAAAGAATCGTTTTTTTTTTTAGTAAAGTATAGAGAAATGTGTTGCATGCAAACATCCATGCGATTCGAACGTGTAAACGAACCGTATAAACAATCTACACGGTCGTTTCGGAACAACAACAAAAAAGTACAAAAAAAAATAAAGGTCAGAAAGAAAGAGAGAGAGTTCTACGAAACAACGCAGTACACAACACTCACGGTTCCTCAAATAGGACTTACTCTGCTGCAAGAACTGCGCAGCGTTGAAGCCCTGTGCGGCCCCTCCCGAAGCTTGCGGAGGAAACAGAGAATTGACGTTCATTGGGCTCCCCAAACTGTTGAGCATAGCCGCCATGGCGGCTACGCTGTTCATTCCGTATGGGGAACCCACTGGAACAGAAACAAACAACAAAAATGTACGAATGAGACGTCGGCTGGATAATGTAGTTAGTTACTTTTCTTACGAAAACAATCAGTCGTCGTAGGTGCATCGAGAGAGCTCAATGCGCCTACACCGATGGAAATTTGTAAGGGGGAGAATGAGAATTACCTCCTTGGGGGACCCGCATCATATCGAAAGCGCTCGGGTGCATGTTGGGGGGCAACTTGGGGAAGCCTCCCATCGGCAGCTGGGCCATTCTGGATGGATCTGGCTTGAATTCGTCCTTGACGCCGTCCTGTTTGAAGGTCTCTTGCTTGAGAGCCACCTGTTTCAGTTGCTTCTCTCTGGATTCCATGATGGAAGCCGCCGCTGCGAGGTCTTTACCGCCTCCTGACATAAATAATGAGGCATTATAGAGCTTTATTAAATGATTAAAGTGATCGATTACCTGGCACTTCGATTTTATCGGGATCTTCATCCTCTCCGAAATCACTATCGGACATGTTATCATCTTCGTCAGTCATCTTCTTAGACTAACAACAACAAACAGTAAATACTAAGTAAATCTCAATGTCTATTTCTGCAACGATAAATAAATAAATTTGTTAAATATCTACCAAGCGAAATACTCGAACATTTAAAAATACAGTGGGTAATTAGTGGTGGTTTTTTTTTATGTGTTGTAAAAGCGAGGGTGAAAATTGATCTACGTTGGTGTATTTCGAAGAGGAAACAGGAGGGTATCGTTTAATATTAATGCTCAATATAGGTGCATCAAAAATTCATAAGGAAATGTTAAGCAGCAAGGGCTGTGATTTTTATTCTAAGACAAATATGGCGTTAACCAACGCCCTAAATGTTCCGAATAATCGGCGAAACGCCGAATTGAATCCCTAAACTTCCTCCAACAACCAGAGTTCGGCTACAAGTAGGATATCGATAGTGGTTTTTTTGCATTTTTTGGTTATGAATTTTTAACGTTGAAACGCCTGGAAAAAATAAAAAAAAACGCAAAAAAACTACGAAATCGATAGACCGGGACTTTGCAAATTGCATTTAAACTCTATCGCGTCGACTATTAAAGCGTTTTAAAAGTAAAAAAACACAAAATAAACAGATCGTGCAAAGAAAGAAGGGTTCGAGAAAATGACATTACCATTTTTTTTATTCATTCGCAGACATGCAGGTGATAAAGCGACTAATTTAATTTAAAACACAATTTATCGTATTCTAAATTCCCACTGACGTCGTTATTAACTTACAACTTTTACAGAACGCGGCATTATTTATATTTAAAGGAAGAATAACCACGAACGACAATCACACTAGTACGCCATTCGAGTTCCCAGAAAGCACTAACGCTACCAACATTGATTTCTGGTGACAAAAGAATTGCCCAGACACTAAAAATTTAGGGACTTTTTAATTAATCTAGATCCTGCGCTCTCCACGAGAGGGCCCGATGTAAAAAATCTAGTTACTTCATTTTCCTGCAGTTGGCTGTTCGGCTAACTGAAGTAAGGAACTTCCAACGTTGCCGCATCAACTAAATTTCTCCCTATCTCAAAAAATCATATTTTCATTTAGAAACGTTTAGAAAATTAAACACAAAACCAATCACGTGTACAAATTTATTATTTATTAATGTAGAAAACTTTTATTCGCAATAGAACTTAGTAGAAGAGCAGTTTTACATTGCATCCTGTGCTCGTAGTTCATCGAAAGTGGCCTTCTTCTTGCAAGTAAAACAGAAACCGTCAAATTCTAAGGGTACTTTTAACTAATATTGATTGTAAAAAAGTCCGTTTTGATAATAAATCACAAACTAACGATGGTAAACGAGTCTATTTTATGAACACTCCATGGTGGCCCACGAATTGGAATTCTCGTTGAAAGCAGGTACTTCTACGGAAGCGGCAGTCTCGGATGTTTGGTTGGCGGGTGCTTCTGCGATTGTAGTACCGTTTTCCTGAGTACCACTCGATTCTTCCCAGTTGATTTTAAACCTCGTCACCCTCGGTTCGGACGCCAATATATTTCTAATTACCTAAAATAATCACATAATAGTCATGTTATAATTTGATTATATTAACGATATTCTATACCTTATCGAACTGAGGTGGACTGGGCAAGTTTTCTCTCATCTCCGGATCGCTGTATTCGTTATTTATGAAATAACCTACACGAATAAACTCTTGGCTCTTGTAGGAGCAAGTGAGTAGAACGACTGTGACACCGATGGCATCGTTTTCAGGTATGCGGGAGACATTCGGAGGATCTGCCTGGAAATTTATTTAAAAGGCTTTAATCAAATATATCGTGTTTTATTAATTTACTGACCTGGAAGACGAACATGTGTTTACCTTCTGGAATGGGTCCGACGAATACGGAGTCTAAAATTTGATCGTGTTCTTCAGTTTCAGCGGAGCCAACGTAAATCATCTTCCATTCTAAATCTGTGTAAGTGAAATGTTATTAAAATATATTTAGAAACGAATAATAAAACGGGCTTACCTTCTTTTAATTCCTCTATGCACTCGAAGGTGATTTCGAATTGGAATGGGTTCAAGAAAGGACTAGGATTGTCCATAACTGTGATATTGCATAATTGTACTTTTGCCATGCTTCTTAAATACCAATGAACACAAAAATGATGTTATAATATATTTAGGTACCTTTCAATGTTGTTAATATTCAGATTTTACTAATTAATCTCCAACAATTTTTTTATAACCGAACAAGAATGAACATGAAGCAACAGCAACAAAAACTTTTGACATTTGTTTGACAAATAGATATGTTTACCCGCCAGTTTTTTCTTCTTTTTTTTACATATTAATGATAACTGTCACATAATACGTCATGCTGCCATGGTGATGGCTGAATAAATCATGAGTTCAAGTCATTGTGGATTTTTTAACTAACTGCAGAGGTCGCTGTATACAGTAAAAGTGACAACTGACAGCTAATTTTTAAGAAAATGATGTAAACTTTAATAATAATTGATTATTAATCATAGAAAAGGAAATAATTGACGATTATTATTAACACAATTAGGTTAGTTTTATATCTTTTGAATTATTCCACACTCTAAATGCTCACTGTTGATATTACTGTCGAGTCTCGAATAGAAAGTTAAACATACAATAAACAAATGGAAGCACCAATAGAAAAAATAGTATACCAGGTAAATAAATACTTCGATTAGTAAATTTGTAAATACTAACTTAAATATTTCAGCCCCAAGAATTTCTACCGCCAGCACCTCAAACAATCAATCCGGCTATTCAAAAATGGTTTCAAACAGTAGACAGAGATCGTTCGGGCGAAATCAATTGGGAAGAACTACAATCTGCTTTAGTTAACGCTCAAGGTGAACATTTCTCGTCCATAGCATGCAAAATGATGATATCCATGTTCGATGCGGATCGTACAGGAACAATTACAATCAACGAATTTCAACAATTATACACCTACATAAACCAGTGGCTGGTCGTGTTCAAGAACTACGACCGCAACGGATCGGGGAGCATCGAAGAGATGGAACTGGCGCAGGCGCTCCAGCAGATGGGCTTCAGGTTCTCTAACGATTTCGTCAAGTTTTTGATCAACAGGAGCGATTTTAAAACTCATAGCAAAATCTCCGTGGATCAGTTCATCGTGATTTGTGTGCAGATCCAGAAATTTACGGAGGCTTTCAAAGCTCGGGATACTCATTTTAGAGGTTCGATTACTGTCGGTTTCGAGGAATTTATCAAGATTGCTATCGATTCATTTCCATAATAATAAGTCTAATGCCAATGGAGGATTAAAGAAAGTATTTAATTGATTCAGAGCAAGATATGTTGGTTGTATAATGCAGATTTTTATTTATTTTTTTAAATAATTTTTAATAATTGTGTTGTATTAATGGGATTTATCTATTAAGTTTTAAATAAAATAGATTTGTTTATTTATTAGAGTATATTGTAAACAAACAAATATCAACAAATACCTGAATTATTTTTGGTATTAAGAGGTAAAGCTAAGCTAATTAAAATTAAAGAATATCCAAATCAATTTGTTCAATTTTTTCAATAAATTGTCACGTATAGATAGATCATTTTAGAAACATACAAAATTACAAAAATCTATCAATTTCATAGTACGTTCTTATATCTTATAAAAGAGTTAAGTATATTCAGTAAGTTTAGAACTTCATTAATCAAAATTCCGTTATAATGGCTCATAAACCCATTTTCGATACCTACGCATAATAAGAATTAAACTTAATGTGATGTCGTGCCCTTCGATAAGCAAAAAAAAATTAAATAACATCCTAACTAATCCTATTCCTACCGATTTATATAGGAGGATCTTTACAAATTCTCATCGCCATTTCCGTCAGAGGTTCCAATTCCTTCCTGTTCACCAGCTCGAATTCGGTTACGAAATAATAAAAGTGTTTGTAGCAAGTGTTCACGTGAGCCTCCTGAAACGAAATTAATCAAAACTTGCATGAAACAAATACGCGTTCTTACCGCTGCGATCGTAACAACGTTCTGAAAATGGTGTATATAAACGTGCACAAACACCCTGTGCAATCTGGCCAATATTTTGCTGCACAAATTCGAGAAGTTCTTGGGGAACGGCCGATCGCTCGTGCAGGGGAACAAATCCTGGTTGTTTATTTGCATTTCGATCCAGTCCATGAGGTGGCTGATGTACTCTTTGGCGGGAAGCGGCGTGGGTTTCTTGAATTTATCCCCGTCTGCCCAGAGATATTCGAATCTCGGCCCGCCGGACATCGTAGGACATGTTTGTACAGTGCAAAATTCGCAAATCGTTCCGTATATCAGATTAATACGATTGAAGAAGTCTACCACTGTAACACCGGTTAGGTTTATTATACGAGGGTTATTCGATAAGTAATTCGAGTACCGTGAACGGCGATCCAATCGTTCATGTCCTCTCCGTGCGGAAGTTTCACGGCTACTCGGAGGTTGATTCCGGAGTTCAAGCTGGCTTGAGCTTGTTTGTAGAGGCTGTAGCGTATCGTTCCGTGAGCGAATTTCTTTTTAGGTCTGAACGTCTAAAATTAGATGTATGTAGATAAAATGCGCATGATGCAAGGAAAATTCGGTAATAAATCCTGTGAAATGTTGTGGGTTTTGAAGCGAAGTTAACTTACTTTGCCTTTGTGGAAAAATTCTAGGAATCCGTTTAAAGCCATGGTTTTTAAATATGTGATGTAATATATTTAATTGCGGTAAATAATTAATAAGTAAACAAAACAAAACTGAGAAACTTCAACCTTCAAATAGTTTAACTGTCAAAATCTTCTTTTTATTTAAGATTGTTCCAACGTAGTGAGTGAGGGGTCAAATCATATGTCAATATGAAATAAATGATTTGTTGTTGTCGTTGTCATCGTAGATAAAAATATTCTTAGGTTTAGCTGTTAATTGTTGGTTAATTGTTTACTGGGAATTAAATACGTTGTGTAAATCGAAATGTCCAATAGCAACTAGATAAATGAGGTAAGTTTCCATTTTTATCAATTTTCTAGTTTTTTCTAAATTTGCGATTTCACGTTACTCCAAATGGAAATTTAATCCTATTTAATGCATCGTAATAGTCTAGTATTATAACAGATTTCTAATTTCCATTTTTTCGCTTATATTTGCCCTAAATTCCCATTACATTTAATTTAAAAATACAAATATATTTTTAATGAATCAAATTTAGTAGTTGGCTATGACCGAAGGTACTTGAGATATTAATCTCAGGTGAATCAAAGTAGGCATCCTATCCTATCTTTTCCATACTAATCAAACGCTCTCATGAAATGCGACAACGATGTGCAAAGTTCGTTGATTCGTAATTTGTTTAAATTTGTAACATTACCCTTGTTTATCTCTATTCAACTCATTTTCACGCCCACTGTAATAATCTCTCCAGCAAACATTACATCGATAAGTATTGAATCGATGCGAAATTCTCAAATGCAAGGAGTCTTCTCGATCAAATTGATTCGATCGTATCGAATCGTTCCTGAACCGTAAACCCCTTTAAATTCATCACTGATTACGCTAATGAATAATCATAATATTTCGATGTGAATAAATCGTTTGTACTTATCGCTGTTCGTTCGTCCTGCTCGTCCACAGTGCGTGTGAAGTTTGACCAACAGATAAATTATATTTTATTGCAGTTTGATTAAATGCATGCGATTTGATAACGCTCCATTGGTTCGTTTAACGCACATTCATGATAACTGGTGAAAGCCTTAAATTAATAGTTTCTAAACTATTTTGCATAGTTCGAAGTCAACTCTCCGGTGCCCACTTAAGTTAAGTAGTCGATAGGCTTTGAAAGATTTGGGTTTGATATTTAGGTGAATAGATTGTTGTGTAAATTTTAAAATATTTTTAAATTTACGTGTTTTATTAATTATGGTTTTTTTTATTTAGATAAATTATGGGTTCCTGTACGCCAAGATGTAAAAAATGGAGTACGATTAGTGTTGCTATTGCTTTTTTAATACTCGGTATATTCTTTGCTTGTTTTTGGGGTTTCATCGTTGATAGAATTCTTCATTATGTGAGTATGAGGAAATTTTTTAATTTATTTATTTGCTGCATTTTAAAGAGTGAAATGTTCAATCAATACTCGCTAAATCGATGGAATTTTATAAATAGCGTTTAATAAATTGGTTAAATTACGCGTAGTGAGCCCAATTAGGCAATTTTTCAAATGGTAATATTTATACTTTTGTCCTCTTATCATTCACAGACCAGTAAACATTTCGTGAAGGACTGTAATTTAAAATACAAATTACATTTAAAAAATTGTTGGTGTCGATAACATTTTAAAAATAAAACGAATTTAATGAATTCTTTGAACAAAACGCGATAACTAAATAATAAATGATTCAGATCCTCTTGCAATGCACATACAAAGGTCACAAACTATGATTCATGCGAATACAATATGCACAATTTTCACAATAATAAAAAATAATTATCAACTCATTACTTTGTAAATATTCCTCTACTAACCATGCTCATATTTTTCAAGGAATTGGGAATATCGTCGAGCAGCAGCATCGGTTATTCGATGTGGAAAGAGACCCCCATCCCCATGTACCTGTCCTTCTACATGTTCAATTGGACCAACGCCGATGAGTGCCAGAAAAACGCCTCCGTTAAACCGAAATTCGTCCAGCTGGGTCCTTACGTGTTCTGGGAACACCACGTTAGAGAGGATGTAAAGTTTAACGACAATAACACGGTGACCTTTTACAACAGGAGAATGTGGCAATTCGAAGCTTCGAAGACTAACGGGTCGCTTGATGATAACGTGTCGACTTTAAATCCCATAGTTGCAGTAAGTGATCGATGAGATTGTAAAATGGTTAAGTAAAAGGCCTTGTAGTTTACGAAGGGTGTTTTCTGATTTGGTTGGAAGTTAATGTAATAATATGCTGAGGTGGAAAACGGCTTTGGATGAGGCGATAGTAATGTTAAAAACTATCTTTCTTATCGCGCTAAAAAAAATACTTATGCATGTGTTAAAATATTACAATTGCTGTCTAGAACTTTTAGATAATTCAAATTTTTTTTAGAGATTGTAGATATATTTTTATATCTGTTACTGGCATTGTATTATATAAAAATGTTTTGCCTAATCTCGCTCTCGAAATGTTTGTTTCCATGCGGAAGATTTTTATCGCTCGATATTCCTAAAACTATTCTTTCTTATCTAAACTACAAAATGAATTACGATTAAATGTTGAGTACGGGATTATAATCGTATAGAAGAACCCTTCAACTTTTACGCTCTATAATAAATAATGGAGTACAGGAGAAAATTAACAATTTCACCAACGACTTAACATACTTAGCAAAACCATTTACCGCTGTAATTTCGTTTCCAGTCCGTGGCGAGTCTAGTCAAAGACAAACACTACCTGGTGCAGTTAGGAGTGAACTTTTTCCTCGAAGAAAAGAAAGTCCCGCTGGCCGTAACGAAAACAGTGAGGGAATTCCTGTTCGACGGATACGACGATCCCATGTTGGATTTAATGCACAAATTGAACATATCCGGCATCGACATACCCTTCAAAAAAATGGGTTGGTTCGTTGATGTAAGCGCACGCAAATTCGTTTCGTTGCAATGTTAGTTATGCAGCTTTATTTTCGCAGCGAAACAACAGCAAAACCTACGACGGTTTGTACAACATGAACGACGGCAAGGACTCGTTGAGGAATTTGGGCATCGTCAGAAGATGGAATTACTACGAGCAAGTGCCTTATTACAACGGAACCTGCGGCAAAGTCGAAGGTACCCAAGGGGAATTGTGGTATCCCCCGCAAGAGGATACTTTGATCAAGATATTCTCCAACGATTTGTGCAGGTGAGATTAGAATTCATCAATCCTATTGACCCACGAATCGTCCAGAACAATTTAGAACGCTTCGGAATCATTTAGAACGTTTCGGAACTGTCTAGAACAATCCTGACCGATCAAGAATCGCTTAGAACAGTCTCGAACTAAAGATTTCGACCAAAGACAACTTTTCACCTTACCCTCGTATTATCGTCGAATAAATCTCATTATTTTTTTAGCACTCTCGATTTAACTCGCGCAGAAGAGCACACGATACACGGAATCACGGGATTCAAATTCGTGGGTAACGAAAGAACCTTCGATAACGGCTCCCTCTATCCGGATATGAAATGTTTCTCCGATCGACCGCTGTATACCGGCATCAGGGACGTGTCGCTTTGCAAGTGAGTTTTCAATCAACCATTTTACTCTTCTAGATTGTTATATTTATTGTAATTTGTAGGTATGGAGCACCGGCTTATGTATCGTTCCCCCATTTCTACCTGGCCGATCCGTTCTACAGGGAATCCCTCGAAGGAATGGCGCCGAACAAAGACGAACACGAGATGTTCCTGGCGATCGAACCCAAATCCGGTATACCTTTGGAAGTCAAAGCTCAAGTGCAAATAAACCTTCAATTGTACCACGTGGAGCACATAGAGTGAGCACCCATCCGGATGACACCTTACGAAATGTTTACAAAACTCTTTTTCCAGTTTGCTGTCGGTGATAAATTCGACGTTAATGCCGGCGTTTTGGTTCAGCCAATCGGCCGTGCTGTCGGGCGATCTATCGGAGACGGTGAAGACGGTCTTGATCCTGCCGGACATCGGCCAGTACACGGGATTCGGGCTGCTGGGCATCGGGGTGCTGATAAGCGCCGTGGCGATCTTGGTGACGTGCCGGTCGGGCTGGCGAGAGAGTGAGGAAGAACAGTTGCTGCGTCGCAACGAGCTCTAATTGTAAAATGGCCTTTTCTTTTTTTCTTTTTCAGCGAATAGAGTGTACGCGCGAACGGACGCGCCGTGATCGTTGTCCGGTTGAAATTGTTTGTATCGCTGTTTGCAAAACGACTGAAGTAATGTTTAATTGTGGGCGGTAGATTGTTGTGTAATTGTTATTTTTTTTATTTATAGGTTTTTTTTTTGGCGGACAATCAAATAACGAGAATCTATTTTAGATAATGCAAATCCGAAAGTTATCTCGAGTGTTAAGGCGCGGGGTAACAAGCTTGTTACTAAATCAAGTAACTGAATTTAGTTACTTGTATGGAGTGGACAACTTGATTTAGTAACTTGTGCGAGTACCTAATTTAGTAAACTACTAGTTTACACCATACAAGTAATTAAATTTAGTAACTGGATAATTGGTGATATAATGGGATACAAACATTTTTCATATGGGATTTCGCTTTTTTTTTTTGTTCATAAAATCATTTTGATATTAGGGCATGATATATTTAAGTTTTGTATAATACCTATAAACAATAGGGGCATTATAAAGTTTATGCAAATGAATAGTTATATCTTTAATACAAGTTTTCTAATGCCCCAATAATTATTCTGTTCTACAGTTTAAGATACGTTTGTTAATTTTTCTTAAACGTAGAAAAAACGTATATGAGCTGTGATAGTATTTAATTTGTTTACTTAAAAGCGGACTAGTATTTTTAAGTTACCATTTTTGGGGACCAGATTGCTGTTGTTTTATAATATTAAGACGAAAATTCTTCTAGAATGCATAGAGAAAACTCAACTAAGTAGTATTTTAACTTTTTTTCCTAACGCTCACGTTGAAATAACATTAATTTCGCAAATCTAGTGAAATTGTTACTTATTACTGTTAAATTTTTTATGAAAAATAAAGATATATATTGTGAATTTTACTCGGCGAAAGGATCATTGATTAATTTGATGCGGTTTTGTATCGCTTCTTTATTATGTACAATACAGAAAAATAAGTCCTATACAAAAAAATAAATACAGTCAAAAAACACTATAATACTTAAAACTTTGGTTTAATTTTTTTTGTACAAACTATAAAATAAGATTTCCTCCAGTAATAAAATACCATCAATCGTTAAACTTGTATCGTATTACTCGAGGATTAAAAATAACTATACAAGTACGAAACTAAAGACTAGATAACAAAATAAAACCAAGAATATAACCAAAATAATTCAAACGCATTTTTTTTTGTGTGTTTTAACTGAAAAATAAGTCCGAAACTCGATTGCGAAAACGGAATTTTGAAGGTTTCATAACATCACAGAATTGTACTTATTTCATACTATAGCAAATATGCACCGCAAATGAATTTCTACAAATTTCGCGGTACATCAATAAGGCACTTATAAATTACATTGAGATCAAGCGTTATGACAAATTAAGAGATCAATAATGTAGAAAAAATACATTACGGTAATTTTTGGTCATGTAGAGGTTTCCGAACAACACGCCCAACTTTTATAAAATAAATAAATAAAACGAAAAAAAAATAAAATAAAATAAAACAACGATGCGTGCCTACTACCAGCCAAGTAACGCAGGCATCGCCTTACAACTAAAACAAATACCCTACGAATAAAATATATACACCACAACACGAGTCTTTACATTATATATAAACCTTCTCCACCTCCGTGGGTGTCTCCGGTTGGCCGTACTGCGGACTTTCGTAGCCCCCCTGTACGGTTTTCGTCGTCTGGGCGTCCATCGGCTCGGCGACGCCGGGCGTCGCCTTCGACACGGCGCCGTCTATCAAACACACCAACGATTCAATGGTGGCCGGATCGGCGTTCAGCATCCTGCAGACGTCCCTCGAGGCCGCCTCCGCCGTGGGCAGCTTCAGCCCCCGCACCGCCGAGCTTACGCAGGCCGCCGCTATCACCGACGGGGCCGTTTGGATCAAGGCCGGCTCTGCAAACAATTTCAATACGGTTAAAGATAGGTCGAAAAATTGTCCCATTATTTGAGGATAAAACAGGATTTCTAAAACGGCCGCTAGGAGGCGATGTTGTAAAGTAACACGGTTTTTTGCGTACGAATTATATAAAATTAGCTTTAATTCAAACTAAAAATAGATACAAAATATAAAAATATACTTAAATCAGCGATGATTTTGTTGCTAACATCATACCTTACGTATCTTCGGTTAATGTATTTCACCATTTTCTCATCGAAATGTCAAATAATAACTTTTGAAATTTTGACAGCTCGAACTGTCATTTCACACAACCGCGATTTTAAATGTTGCGCGACGCTGATTGGTCGAGATAAATTTATCCTCCGATCGTTCGCCACGTTGCGGCGCAAAAGTGAAGCTCAAAAAGTCCTCAAATAACGGGACACATTCTCTAATTCATAAGCGCATAGAGAGTTTCCAGACTTTAGTAATATTAGGACCGTGTTCGTGATAAAAAATTGGGTTTTTCGAGACGGTTAAAGCGAGTATTTACCGGCAACGCCAACTGTTGCAGTCTTATTGGAATTAATTGAACGTCTTGCGAGCGAGTCGGAGAAAACCGAAAGGCAATATGTCGTCGGGGAGCCACCGGAGCGTGACACTCCGCCCGGCAGAAGGATAACTTTTCCTTCGCGCGTCCCGAAAAAAATAAAACTCTTCAACAGAACCCTATAAATTCCTACGAATCTTATCTCGAGTCGAAACGATCGAGAAAACGATCTGCAACACCTTGTGGTGGCTTTAAAGCGGTCGAAAGAATTATTTTGTTGTGATGTTCAGGCCTACAACAACGTTTTCTTGGCCGATCTTCCGATCGACTCGGCCTATTAGTGATAATGAGGACGAGGAAGAAGGGTAACAGGTGGTGTTACAAAGTACGGTATAATCGTCGATATGTAATGAAAAAAAAAAACTACCAACTGACGGACAACGCGGAACAGTAAAGGGTGAATTATATTTTAGTTATTAACGGTGCAGGTGAATGTATCGCCTTCGAACAAAAGTGCGTTTTTTAGCTTAATTATGAAATTATAAAATTGGATGTTTGTACGGTGTATTTTTGTTTATTCCGCTGGCTCAAGATGGTGATTTATTGGAATATTTTCGAACGTCCAGGTGTCTTAAAGGTCCGGTCGAGGTACCCTTATAGTACATTACGCGCGTTAGAATTTTTTTTCTTTATATATACAATGAGGACCAAAAGTCCGTCGCCGAAGAGAATAATCGTGATTTTTTTTTCTTAAAGTCGAAGATAGCTTAGGTAATTTTGGTAATCTGGTATAGGTCTCGTGCTCGGGCCAGGTGTGTGATCGCTAGAAACGCACCCCTCGGGCGAAATGTCTTAAAGAAAAGCCCCGGGGTCGTTTACTTTTGCTACCCCTGCGTCCTCCATTGTGCGGGGATATTTCAATTGTAATTTAAAGGGTATTGTCGGCGACGGGATGGCTCCGTTCGCTTTCTTTTTTCCACCTTTTTTTTATATATACAGTACGCTAACGAGACGGTTGCGCCGAGAATATCGTTAAAAATTCGCCTAGACTTTAACCCGAGTTGAATTTAGGTTAAAACCTGGACGCCTTGGGCCCTTCTCCGACCTACGACAACCCGATAAGGTTGAAGGCGAGTTGGTATTTATGTTACGATATAGAAGAAGAAGCTCGAGACAAGAAACTAGACAGTTCTAATTGATTCTGAAGCATTTTAGATGAGTTTCTAGTGTTCTAAATGACTCCCCGAGTTTAATTTAGCTTAAAACCTGGACGCCTTGGGCCCTTCTCTGACCTACGACAACCCGATAAGGTTGAAGGCGAGTTGGTATTTATATGTTACGATATAGAAGAAGAAGGAGCTCGAGACGAGAAACGCGCAAACGAGGGCAATGGACAAAAGGACGTTCGGGCAGCTGTCGCTTTCATACGTTTTCATTTTTCGATTCGAAGACGATCCGGCCGTTTCGAATCGTTGCTTGTTAAATTCACGCAAGGCGAGGTAAAGAAGCCATTCTCGAAGTTCTCCGGGCCCTTTTTTGAATGCGATCGCGCGCGGTTCGGGAGATCCATTGTTCGATCGGGCGCATTGTTAAGGGTCGCCGTGATTTATTTTATTTCTCGAGAAGTTTGTTTTTGCCCCGTGCGATTTTTGCGATTATATGCCCAACCGTTTTATTTTTTCTCTCCCGTCTTGATGCATCTTTTCCTTCGAGATATTCGCGCCGACACCTGGTTACATATTGTGATTTTTTTCCTGTATCTATACGTCCCGAAATTGGGCTGCTATGGGAGCCTTCTATATACTGCAATATACGAGGGTGAGGTGACAAGTTCTCGATCTGATGACGAAAGAGCGCGGTGGTCGCTTGAAAAATTGCACTATTCTTCTTATTAAGTCGAAATATTTAGTTCTAAATGGTTCCGAAGCGTTCTAAATGACTTTATTCAGTTCTAAATGATTCTGGAGCGTTCTAAATGGCCCTAGACAGTTCTAAATGATTCTGGAGCGTTCTAAATAGTTCTAAAGATAGTTCGAAATGATTCTGAAGCATTTTAGATGAGTTTGGAGTGTTCTAAATTACTCTAGACAGTTCTAAATGTATTTATATGTGATGTATTGTCGACTCTTACACTTCTGTAATACACTGACCAAATTAGGACAATCTTGTAAAAACCTGCATCAATTTGCATGGGGTTTCTACTGCGTGTCAAACATGCAACTATTGCAATTATCGAGTGTAAGCGCTCTAACTCTCAAACTATACGCTGATATACATAAATACCATTGCGATTCTAACAATAATGACAATCACGCTAAGTATTATTATAATAATCCAGCTGCGGAGTGTCACACATCTGGATCCGGGGTGTTTTATATTTTATTCGGGGTGTAACTCCGGGCGCGGCGGAACTTTCGCCTCCGGCGTCCCCCACACCTGATGCATTCGCTTTTTTTTAATGCATTTCTAGCGCCGAAAGCGACAACAAAACACTGTGTACTTCCCCACCGGACGGGGCGCGTTACTCATGCACCCTTTAAAAATATTTCACCGCGATCATTTTGGGTTCTGTTCGACTTATTTACGATAATTGGTCGCTAATGGGCGGGTGTGTTGTAGGTTCGTATAGCACGTGGACTAGTTCGGGTGTATCGGAATTGCTAATTTATTAATCGGGGTTGCGATGAGAGTGGATGACTTTTGGGTTTGATTCGATTTAGGAGCCATTTCTGGGTAGAAAAGACGTTGAATTGTATCTCTAATCTCTAGGTCCATCGTATCTGGTGCATCATCTCGAGTCGAGACGAGGGCAGATGTTACGCGGAAGAAACCAGAAAGATTTCTCGTCTTTAATGTCACTTTAACAATCGAAATAAGGCATCAAGGCAAGGTGTACAATGCTTCAGTATTTTACGATATTTTTTTTTTCATATTCTCCTTGAGTACTCCTCGTAGTATACTACAAACATCGTTGATACTCACCTACCTGCCTTATGTCCGGAGCCCACCTGCCTTCCCGTTCGTAATTATCATCCACCGTATTCTTGTTCTTATTATTTATACACGCCTTATAATCTCCTTTTCGAATAAGCTAGGTTAGTTATACATCGAATTCTCTTCCTGATGTACTTATTAGCTTAATATTGTCGTTTTAACGACTCGCCAAAGCGGCAATTACCCCTTTAATGGCCGATTAAAAAGCCCTAACCCTATTCTCGACGAATTACTCGTCGGTGCTAACTTTCAAATCCGTTAAATTAAAATTACGCAGTTCTCCATTCATCCCGTGAGCTACGGTCGCGTCGAAAATTAACTCAGAGGGTTTGAGATGCCTCTATATAGCGCGTTAAAAAAATTGTTAACGACAATCCGGGGGGAGATGCGCGAGAAGGAAAATAATAGAGACGTGTAGAAAAAAAAATAATAGAGTAGTAGAAGGGACAACAGGTTTCTTCGAGGGTAAAAAAGGTACAAAAAGACGCTTTTCCACCACCTGCCCGACGCGGGGACGATGCACCCGAGACAACGCACTCGGCATATGCTCGTTCTCCTAGTTTCGTTACCTCACGGGGGCCGTGGAACTCGATTTGATCTAGTATACAGTGAGGACCAAAAATCCATCGCCCCCCCCCTTTAACTTTTGAATGGTAAGAGATTTTATCGCGAAATTTGGGGTGTTTATATTGGAGTAAAAATACTATTTTTTGACGTAAAAATGACAGTTGAAACTTTCAAAATGACAGTTAGGCGCTATTTTGAATTTTTTGCTTCACGTGAATTTTTAAAGCAAGTTAGAACTTCGATACCGTCGCTTTATTCGACATTGCGATGCGTAATCAATCAACTTTTCGATCCCATTGGGTCAATTAGCCGAATAATAACAGAGTTTCGGTACATTAGGCGAGCATTCCGGGCCAGATGCAACGCCAACGCCGGTCGGAAAACCCACCCTCCGATGGAAAAAGCGCGGCGTTTCCGATTCCTGGTGCAGCTGGAGATCCGGCAGATAAGGCCCGATAATGCGATTGTTATAAATATTCGTCTAGCGCAGGAGTTTGTATTTTCATTCACCTGTGCGGTGTAGCAGAGTTTGGAAAATGCCGATGCTTTTTTTCGATGATTTTATCGAACCCATGGGGAGCTCTACGAAAAAATATATAGTGCACACGTGCGCGTACACCTTCTGCATTTATTTCGACAATAACGAGGCGACCAGTCATCTGTATATAGCAGGCAGTTGGTCGATTCGAACGAGTTCAGGAATCATTACGATTTTACACCCTTGAATATTTTTTTTCCTTTCGCTCTCCTGCGATACGCGTAATGACTCTTAAATGCGACCCGACCAGAACCGTATTCAAATTTCGAGAGGGTGAAATTCGTGCAAGCTTGTTCATCGGATTTTAATAGGGGAGCTTTTTTAAGTTGGCGTTACTGTCGAAATACTGACATTGATGCAAAATTTCTTTACTGGACAAATTCATTGATTTATCGCATTAAATTCTTCAGTAAGTAAAAAAAAGTCCCTTCCCTTGTTTCATAAATAAATCCTGCGTAGGAAAAGAACTTCAATTCAATGTATCTCAATCTAGCGATCGTGGGTTTGGTTGAGTAGCCATTTCCAGCAACTGTCAAAATCCGCGACATTGACATTTACACTCACAGAGATGGGACAAAACTGTTACACAATCATTTCGATTGCGCTCAATTAAACCGACTCCGGTCCTACTTTTGGGCATAGAATCGTGCGATGCAACTCGAACTCCTGCTGCACAAACCACCCGGACCAGTTTTAATTCTACTGCAAATCGCGGATCTCCGAATAGCGGGTTATACGGAGCAGATGCTTCGCTGTTTGTTATGCAAGTCGTTTATTTTTTTATTTTTTTTTCTTTTATCATATCGGCGTCGCCGGTCCAGGTGCTCGGCGCACATGCTGCAGGACATTTAAATCGCGCTGTGTACGCCATTTTTAAAGGGACCGCGATTACTTTGTGTTTACCGATTATTTAGATTTGTCGAACGTATTATACACATGCATATGTCATAAATGGTTCCATTTAAACGCTATAAACTATAGTGTTAATATTGCTTATAAATACATGAATATCGATGGGAAATTATAGCAGGTGAAGCGACCCAAGTACAATGCTACATTGCGAACAATATTCGGTCGAAAAATCGAAAGTTGCAGGTACGATTTCTGTATCGTGGGAATGCGAAAAATCTACGGATTAAAAGGACTCTTACCTGTGTAACAAATAGCCACCAATATGTGGGCGTGCTTCCTCAGTAAGTGATTCTCGTCGCCCCATTCGCACCTTTCGATCACGTGATCGATGTAATCGAAACCTGTCACAGCGGAAGCGTTCCACTGCAATTTCGACAACACCAGCAGCTCCCAACTCTATAACAAAATTAAAAAAAAAATCGTATAATTTATATTATTAGTTTTTGACGTGGCGAACGATCGAAAGATCAACTTATCTCAGCCAATCAACGTCGCGCTACATATAAATCGCGATTGCGTGAAATGACAGTTCGAGCTGTCAAAACTTCAAAAATTATTTTTTGACATTTCGAGGAGAAAATGGAGAAATATATTAACCAAAAATACGTGAGGTATGATGTTAGCAACAAAATCATCGCTTATTAAGGTATATTTTTATATTTTGTATCTATTTTTAGTTTGAATTAATGCTAATTTTATATAATTCGTACGCAAAAAACAATGTTACTTTACAACATCGCCTCCTAGCGGCCGTTTTAGGAACCCTGCTTTATCTTCAAATAACGGGGCATACTTTTTATGCGATTCATACGAATATACGAACGTGGTTACTCTTTAGGATGAAACATTTACGTCCTGAATACATCCCTGCGTGTTTTATTTGCGATAAATATGCCTGAAAAGCAGTAAAAACATTTTCGTCGGATGGACGGAAACGGCTCGCGCGACACAATAGAACGACCGGCACGCGTCCGGAAACCCGACGGACGATTATCTATACTTGCCGCGTTTAGAAGACGGAGTAATAAATATATAAATCACCTGAAGTCCACCCGGGGTGTAAATGAACCGCCGGTATCCCTCACTCCCCATTGGCGGGCCTAAAAGTTGGTACTCTGTGAATGGTTTTGAGTAATTGTAGGCGATGTGCGAAATTTCTATCGATCGAATCGATCATTGTACAGGATTTTGCCGTATTGGGGTAGGGATATTTTGTAACCGCCTGGCATTTTTATTACTCCGTCTTCCAAACGCGGCAAGTATAAGAACATTATCTTAGATGGCGTATCGCGGCGATCCCCTGACCCCCGAAAAGTCGTCGCGTTTAAATTGCCCGGCTCGCCACGATTTTGATTGCCATTTTCCTCTGTCGTGAAGCGATACCGTCTGACCGCAAATTAGTTTCGAAACAATAAACAAAAAAAGAAACGATAGGTAAAAGTAGATATAAGAAGCGTTCCGAGCAGGACACGAGTAACGGGGGGTGTCCAACCACCTTACATCCTGTATAAGACGATATCCTGGGCGCTATCAATCTTCTAATTTGTGATGTTTGATGACTACGGATTCGTGTTCGTAATTACGCTTCGTTTATGACAAATTGATTCGAGTATAAAGACAAGTTTTTTGGCCTGTTGCAACGTTGCCGGGTTGTAATTGATATCCTTGATGTGACAGATATATTTAATTAAAGGTTTGCAACTGCGCGTCGTAAAATTCCCCAAGTCAAATGGGGAGAATTAACATTGGCACTAGGGACATTTTGAACTGCGCGGAAATTACTAAAAATTACCAAACAGTCTAACGAAAATGGATATCCTTTATTGTGCATATTGGTCGAGTTTCAGGGTATAAATAGAACGGAAGATGCACGAGTGCCGGTGCATATCCCTTTTTAGGGAAGGGTCGCTACCCCCGGCCCGTATCGGAATCCGATCCGGGACAAAAGGGCCCTTAGGTATTTCTCACAGTAAACGGTCCACGAAGGACCGCAAAAGGGACGGGTCATGGGAATTTTCACGCGAATCCCGTCCGGATTGATCCGGCGTTGTTTATCTCTCGCGTGAGATAAAATTTACCATACACCTGGCTTCCTGCGATTAGTTACGAAATATTACAGTTAAATTTGTGATCGATAAATCCATAGGATTGTATAGTACACCATTAAACACCCTGTATATATGTGCGTAATAAAATTTTTCCTTTTAGTGACGCTCGAATTAAATTCGAATCCACGCGACCGTGAACGAACCCCCGGAAGATGCCTCGAAGAACCACAGAAGGGCGTCTTTATACCGCCAAAATACGAAAAACGAACTTACCATCTTGACCGATTACCCTCCCTTTTACACTCGAACAATTACGTTTACATTTCACCCATATTCTTACCGGAACGAAACACAAAAATGTTGGAATGATCTCGAATTATTTTTTGAAATACCGCCTGCAAGTCGGGAGATCCCCGAGAGAGTAATTAGATCGGCCTAATGATGGGAATGCGATATCATCCCTGTCGCACGTACCCTTAATGATGTCGCATCACGAAAATCGCGATGGACGGTCTAATATTGTCGCATATGGAATTACGTCCAGTTAACCGCAAATGGGGTTAACTACCCTACAATTAAGTGCCAATCAAACGCAAAGATTTCATCGAATTCTCACACAATTTGGTCTCCCCAATTCCGAAAGGTTCCTCGATTATTATCTAATACCATTTCTTTGGGTCTTATTTGGGGAAAAGTGGGAGTTAAAGTTTAAATTAAATTCAACACATACTGTTGGAGTTCTTTTAATTAAAAATTGATTATTTGATAATTAAGGATTAGTTGCATTTTTTTATTAAAATTAATGATTTTCGAGTAATATATGGAACATAGTGGTGTAAGTAAAACCGTGACCGAATCAAACTAATGGGGTTGATTTGTGGCGTTGTTTTTCTTCGGGCGATACCCGATACATATACAGGGGCAATAATAGAGCATTTTAGGCGAGAATAGAGTCATTAGAATTAACGTAAATTCGCTAACAAACCGCCCCTATGCTACGATTTTATCATTCCCATCGTTATACGAATTTACGAAAAAGCATCGTTTCTAATAAAAATAAATCGTAAAAACGTCTCTAACAACAATAACCGATACAATTATAATCCTATTTTATTTGCGTTGTAAATACAGGGTGGTCCAAACTAGTATCGCTCACCCTCAATTCTCCTTCCTTTTCTACCACTCATATAGACACTAAAGCAGAGAGAGTGAGCGATAGATTCACCGCTTATTATGCGCAAAAGTAAAGTAAAACCGCCGTTTCTGATAAATACCCTCTTGACTCGAAACAAAACGGACTGCATACACCTATATACAAGCACCCCGGTTTCCCTAAGGCATTGTTAAAGTTAGGCGTAAGAAACAGTTACGAGAAAGGCGGCCGGGGTTCGGTCCTTCGAGGGGTTCGTTATAGAAAAAGGGTCCGCGTCCGTCGGGAGGAGAAGAGAGGGACGAAATCGGGGCACAATAGCGTCTGAGTCTGTGGGAAATCGAGGCGGAGAAAAACGGCGGAAAGGTCGCCGCCAAGTGTACGCGAACGCGAGGTCGAGCAGACGGCGCGGCGTCTCCAACCGAACCCCTCGAAGACTAATTGGGTCCCTTTTTCTTTCGATCGAATGTACTTTTTCGAGAGAATGGAGAATTCCCCGCGTTCGGGGGGTCTTTGTTGCGAGCAGATTTTTTCGTTTTTTCACAGGGACGTTCGGGATTTTGTACCAATTTCTACAAACCAGTGATTAGGTTAAAGTAAAACCGTTTGAGGTGTATAACAAACTGCAACAGAAAGATTTTGAAAGTTGGCAATTCATTCAGCGAAAGAAAATATTTCACTGGTTTTACACACCTTGCTCAATTTCCGATTGCAACATGGTCATTTCTATGAGTGGAACAAAGAAAGGTTATTAAAATGACAGCTGTCAGAGTGAAAAATTGTAATGACACAATGTCACTCTTTCTTTTCCCTTTGTAAGTGTCTAATGGTAGTTGTCTTTATCGCACCCATGGCCTATGTATAACCTACATTGCAATCAAAAATGGAGCAACCTGTATACGGGGTGAGTTTTTCTCGATGTTTAGTATCTATACAGGGATCTCGGAAACTGAAAAAGATTTAAAAAATTGTAGCCCGTTGCCCAATTTCCCCAACCTCCGATAGGAGATAGAAACTGAAAGAAGAAGATACACATCCCAAAAAAATCCCCATAAATTGGTCAACGAATTATTTGTTCCCCCCGGGTGTTATTTGACATCCGTACGACCGACATTACCATCGACCAGACATTCATCATAATCCTATTGTTACGATTATAATTCGCACCCGAAATTCCACCTTTCCCCCTTTCGTCGAAGGCGATCGTCTTGTAAACCATCCCCACATCTTTTCCAACCCCGACGTAACAATCATTTCCTTTTCTATCGCGCACCAGAATCATTTTCATATTAATATGCTAATTTTTGTTTTCGTAGAGATTGTTACACACTAACCGAATCTATTCTTCATTATGCATAATACGCAAAAAGGGTGCTCTATGAATGGAAATTCGCCGGAGGATTATTATTATTATTATTACGATTATTACTCACCAGGATCTGCTGCTTGGTGACGCTGTGATCGGTGTAGGCGCAAAGGAGGTCTACCGGCAGCAGCCGCGTGCATCTGATCTTGGAGGCGATCAGCAGGCAGGTAGCCCCGAGCAGCTGGAGCTGCTGCTTCCTCACAGGACACTCGCACAGGAACCGGTCCATCACGTTGATGGCCAACGGCAGGAGCTGGTCCTCGCACGTTTGCTCCTCGCAGACCTATTTCAATGTAAAATACTCTATTTTAGGAATTCGTAGATATAGGTACAGAACGCGAGGTATAAGTATGTTTGTAAGTTTCAATTTTCTCATCACAAAAACAAACATTTTATTGTTGAATAAAGTAAGTATCGATCTGTCAATTTTGACATCCAAGGCTAACTATTTTCTTGCTGTTAAATTATTTCTTCCCTAAGAAAGTATCGAAGTAACTATCGTGAATTTCGAATCTGTCAATTTTGACATTCAAGGCTAACTATATTTTCTTGATGTTATATAAACTGCTCCACAAAAGTAAAGGAAGTTCGCAAATTTCGCGATTATTTTAAAAGTTACAGGCTTTTTGATCACCAAAATTTCAAATATGCGAAATTAAACGTTTTCTCTCATATCTGAGTGGATTTTTTGTCCCTACCTCTACAACTCATACTAAATTTGGCGAACAAAAACCCTGCAACTTTTAAATTAATCTCAATATTTGTGAACTTCCTTAACTTTTGTCGAGCAGTATACTTGTCCTATTTATTATTTACAACTCAAAAGTCGCGCGTGTTACAACTACAGCTATCCCTACAGATCTGTAGCTGACTGTTTTTATGATTAAATCGCCGACTATATAATAATAATAAACAAATAAACGAACCTCGAGCATCCAAGTGGCGACGACTTTCCTCATGTAGGGCTGCACGTCGCTTTGCACGGCTTTGAAATAATCACATTTCGGCACCGAAAACACTTCGTCGTTCAACAGATTGTTTATGACGCGGGGATCGCTGAAGAGCGTCTCGTCGCGTTGGGCGACGTCGCTGTCGCCCAGGTGCTCGGTGCAGGTGAGTACGAGATCCATAATTCTTGGTACGATACAACGAAAACGCGCGTGCGAGTACGATTATTTCACGAGCGTTGCGTGGTTTACTACTGGGAAGTTTGGGATGAACTGGCGTCGCCGGGGCGCAACAGGTTCTTTTATACGGGACGAGGAGAGGACGCGCATGCGCAGCGCGCGAGCATCTGTTCCTCGACGGATCCTGCTGGTTATCGGCCGGTGGGCTTTACTTTTACCTATAGTGATTGTTTTCTACCTGTTTGCCGTTCGAGATGGATTTTTTTATACTGCAGCATCTGCTGGGTTTTCGGGTGGTAGAAAATCAACCCCCGTGCGCGCACCTGCGAGGCGTCCCATCGCAGGAATGATTTTTTGGAATTTCGAGTTTATTCAATCACCACCTGTCTTTACAAAGCTTTACATTTACAAAGTTTTAATCATAGTTCGAACTATCATCTAGATATTCGGGTAGTTCTTCGAAATTTTCGGAATCCTCCAAACTTCCGATGCTGGTAATCTGATCGATTTCCTGGATTTTCGCCGTTTGGTGCTTCTCGAAGGCGCGCAAAGCCTCCGCTTCACCCTGGAGTCTCGCCTGTAGGATCCTCTCCGAGCGTCTTTCGAGCATCCTCGCAGCCGCCTTGGAGGCCCCGATCTCCTTGTTTGCAGGGTGCTCGTCGGACTCGTCCTTCTGATGGAGGCGCTGGTTGCTCGCGCTCACCCAATCGTTGATGTTTTCCCACAAATCCGACTGAAAAACAACAAAAAATCGCAGTTGGCTTTGTCGAAAAAAAAACTACCGAAATCGCAGTTGGCTTTGATTTATAAACTTTTAGATTATAGTTGAATTTAAAGTTTAAATCGTGTATACTTGTATGCATCGGGTCCTTTCGTGTTCTTCGAACACCTGGCGCACCGAAGTTTCCAAAAGAATTTTGGAATTTTTCGCTTTTTCTTGCCACACCGGGACTTCGCAGCGCAACTTTGCAGTTGCGTTTCGGATGATGTCGTACTCCTTTTGCCTCGAATTCAACGCCGCGTTGATTAGCCTCAGTTCGTTGTCGAGTTTGAATTTCGCTTCGGTCAATTCCACTTTCTTTTTGGCCGATAATTCTCTTATAAAATTGCTTTCGATGAGTTTTTGTAGCTTAGCTAGCGATTCCGCCATTTTGTTTCGCTCGATGAAACAAATTGACAGGTATCTGTCAATGTATAAGATATGCGTATAACAGGTATCTTGATTACATTCGGTTTGATTGTACGAGGGGTGTAGTGAAAGTTCATTTTGGCAAGAATAAATTTTATTGTTCTAACAATCTATCACATTTCATACACGTGTCAGACAAATTCATTTAAGAAGTGTTTATCTCTAACGAGACGAATGAAATAAAATTAATGTATATAAATTATTGCAGTTGAAATAATAATCGACGTAGGGTGGAATAAACACTTCCGAAAGCTTACAAACTATAGGGAGATCATATATTCCGATTTAATTTATTCTGTCTAATTAACATTCTGTAGAACATTTTATCTGTAAAAGTATCAAGAGTACGATGTAAGAGTTACAATCAAAAATACGACAAGCACAATTTCTTCAGTAATAATTACGTTATTATTGAAAATCTTCAAATATAATATACTCTCTAATTCTATCATCTCTTTTTCAATGAAATATATATCTAATTCTCGAACATTGAGTATCATATTACACGTTATACAGTCCTTACACGAAAGCTAGAGATACACTTATAAAATAATTTGATCAAAAAGTACATATCAAAATAAACATCCTGTAAAAATAACAAACTTCGATTTAAATATACATATACAAAAAAAAATCACATCTTATAGAATCTGATCACTAATACTACGCGAAAAAAAATATCATTCAAGAGAAATATCATTGGTAACGAATCGTTATGCAAAACGGACTAGACAATTCAAATTTAAACTTCTCACACAATTCATCTAAATTCCTCAACAAAAACCTACACTAAACATGATATGAACGATTTATCAACACATTTCGCTTAGCGTGGACAATTTTCGAACAATAAATCTTTGGATAATTCAACAAAAAACAACCGAATTAATTCAAGCATGAGAACAAGGCGATGATATCCCATGGGAAACGGTCTTCTCCAGAACCACATCCAGATCGTCCAGTGGCAACAGAATTTGCCGCAGGAACGTCAGCAGGCCCTTCTTCCGAAGAAACGAATTCTCCTCGTACATCTCGGACGTCACCTTGCACCTCGACATCGGTACTAGCATCCTGTGCAGCAAGTGCTCCCTTCGAAACGAGAAATTTATTAAGCATAAATCATAACGAATGTACATCTCATCTTACCTAACGCTGAGACATATGAATTGTTGAAATTTCCCGTCCTTCCCGAGCGTCTTGCTAGTCTGGTTGATCTCTTCGATGAGATGACAGTAGCATCTCCACACCGCCACCGTTTCCTGGTGATTTCTTTCCAAACTGTGAGTTCGAGTACCGGACACTTCTTCGATCAATTCCGATTCGAATTGCTCCTTGACTTTAACTACAAAACGTCGCGTTGTATTTAGTATTTAAGTGAGAAATATATACACTTACCGAAATAATCCCACAGGTAGTGTTTACCCATGAACAATTTGGCAGACCTGAAACCCAAGAGAAAGACGTTTTCCAAGCACGTCACCAGGCCGTTGTCGCTGCATAACAGCGCAGTTAGAGTCGTGTGTCGCTCGGAGTTCCTTCTGTGATGCCATTTTATGATCTTATTAACGCAATCGCCTAAAATACAATCGAGTTACTAAACGATATAAACCGTCGATCGGCACCCACCGAGCATGACCTGTATTTGGGAAGGTTTCATCTCGATTTTGGGCGCCATCGCCGGCGACCTGGACCTGGGAGTCGATCTCCCCAAGCTGCCGCCGTTTCGTACGGTCATCTCCTCCACTTCCTCCTTTCTGGAGACCAAGCTGCCTACTAACAATCGCTCCGTCGAGCCGTCGTCCACGCCTCTACCCAACCATCTTCCGCAGGGGAATCTGATTGAATTACATTAGCGTGGAGAATTGCTCGATATGTAGTAACTTTACCTGTACACGTGCCCGGTGATGTCGTTTCGAACGATTATGTAATCGACCATCCATTTGGCGTACAAACCCGAATTGTCGTGTCCTATTCGTAATGTAGTCAACACGCCCAAATTCTGACACTAAAAATTTGTATACAGTCAATAACAACAACAGAAAACCCACTGTACAAATTGTAATATTCTACAGTAAGAGGAATAACTGTAGACGAGCTGGTACCCTCGCGTCTACGGCTATTCTCGCCGGTCTGTACCTACTTTAAATTCGAAGTTGAGCGTTGTTTTTGGCACGGAAACTCGGCTCGTTTCGGATAACGTTCCAGACAAGACGATCCAAACGTTGGCCGAAGAGGTGGTTCCTTTTTTGTTCGGTACTATTACGATGCGGTATTGTATAGCTAAAAAAAAACGAAATTATTGTATAGCTAAGAAGCGAAAGCGGAGCACTACGCTTGCCTGTCGTGAGGTAAGTGCTGGTGAAGCAAAAGTAATCGACGGCGTTGAGCGATAGCAAATGGTAGAGGAACTGTTCCCGTTCCTCTTCGGATCGCACGAACGCCAATCGTTTGTACTGCGCCCTGAGCAGGTTCTGATCGGAGAGCAACGTTCGGAAATGCTTGGACAATTGCTTTTTCTCCAAAGCCAATCTCACCCAAGCCCTCGCCATTCCGATCGCCGTTTTTACGTCACACATAGCTTGGATATTCCTACAACAACAAAAACACATTACACTCAAATGATTACAAACGTACACGGCTTACTCTATATCGAACAAAACGTTCGATGGCAATTCCGGCAAATTGGCCTCGTCCGACGGGGCGTTCCAATTCTCCAGGCTCAACCGGCCGACGCCCTTCGCGGGATATTGCGAGTCCTTCTTCGCGCCGTACTGGTACTTCTCCTGATAGGCCAATATGTACGACCACAGGGCGGATTTGCCTCGTTTCTTCTGCAACCCGTGCGCCCACACCCTCTCCAGGAAATCGCACAGCGACGTGATGAGCGTGCTCTCCTCCACGGCGCCGAAATTGTCCATGGCGTTGTTACTCGATAAGGTGACGCCCTCGGCGCCCAGTTTCGCCAACAGCATCCTTTTAGTCTTAGCCTTACAGTCCTAGAATACACGTAATTATAATAAACGAGTAGATAATATGTACTATAGATTACTTTAAGTAGTTTCTCGACGAACGTCCAGTTGGCCTGGGCGATAACAGCAGGAGACATGTCTTGGTTGTTGCCCGATTTGAGGTTCGATTTGTCGTTGGGACCGAAAGGGGGCTTCGTGAACGACAAACCTTTCCTCAGAGCGCTCGCCCTGGGGATGCTGCCCTTGTTCACGACGGGCGTTTTGTTCAAAACCTCCTTGTCTAAGAGAGGAAATTGCCTGACGAAGGTCTGCTTGTTGTTCGCTATTTCCCTGGGCAATGGCGACTCGAAGTCCGGATAGGCCAATCGTCTGTCGATCAATTTCTGCGTATCGTGAGCGCTCACGCACGGCTCGTACGACAGCGATTGCATCAGATTCTCGCAACCGTGGCGTTTCTTCAGCAATTTTATCCTGTTGTCGAAGATCGACAGGTTGCTGTCGTGCTCGCCCCACAAAGCGAGTATCTTGTTGTCGATCAACGTGGCGAACATTTGGGATTCCAGAAACCTCAGCAGGAACAACCGGTCCTGTTCCGGTTGATCCGATAGGAACGAAGCCTTGTCGAAGTTCTGCATCGAGTCTCTGTTGTTAAACCAATCGTCTTTATCCTAAAAATTCCAAGAAATTCATCATCTATACAATCATCGCATAAACCGAATCTACTCACTTGATTTGGGAATATGACGAAATTCTCGTAGGACTGAAATATGTGCACGAATCGATTGAGGAATATCTCCCTGAGGGCGTTGTTGAATCGCAAATCCTCCGCGTAGCTATCGGACGGTCGGTTCGTTTCGTTGGGCTCCAAAGTCACCCCGGTCCTGCGCACTATATCGGCGATCCGCTGCAGCGCCTCCGATCTGGCGGAGCCCGGCGGAGACGGCGGTCGTTCGTTGTCGAGCGTATCGTGAATGGAGATCCTCCGGAGGTTGCCCGGCCGACCGGGCAACGTGCTGCTCCTCGATATTATCTCCTGCGACCACACCCGATCGTGTCTTTAATCGAATCGATTGTCGGCGATTAGTATTTACCTGGTTGTTTCTGGAGTAATCGCTGTTGGGTATGTGTATGTTGTGTTTGTCTAACACCGACCATATTTCTGCGGTGAACAGTTCTATGTGGGGGAAACCGGCCATCTCTTCGGGCAATTGCACCTTGCATTTGTCGATGTCTACGAAGCATAAATTCGCCTCCGAGGCCACTTTTAGATTCTCAGACATGGAGTACAGACCTTCAACGGATATTTATTATATTTTATCGTCTATTTGGAATCTAAATTTAAATAGTACCCATTAGAAACGGTACGGGGGCGTCTAAGAAGTGATGCAAAGAAGCCGGCATGATCGGCACGTACACGTGGGGCCAAGTGAAAGGGAACAACAAGGAGGTAATCCCTTCGGCGACGACCATCAATTTTTGAGGATCTAAAATTATCGTTTCGAATATTCTCGATTACAAATAACGTTCGTAAACCTACCGGTACTCCTCAATAGTACTTGGTATTCTAATAGAAGGCAAGTAAATAGCTGCATTATCACGTCTACGCCCAGCCATAGGAACATCAATCGGAGCGGGTAGTCGAGATGGGGCAGTTCTAAAGGAGGCAGAGAATTCTGTATTACAACGTCGGTGGGCGGCAGTTGGGGATCGGAAGGCGGCAGATGTACCAGCAAACTTTTCCCCGGCGCTGGTAATTGGACCTGCAAACAATATTCCAGGCATTTATTAAATATCTCATGGCATACTATGACAAAAAAATTTGGCAAGTCGAGGTTTATTAAAGTACCTGTCACTTGTCAAAACTTAAATGACATTCATTATTTGCAAATTTAAATAAATATTTAAACGTTAAATTAAAACAATAAACTAAAAACACCCTTGAAAATGTATTTAAGTGAAGAAAACCAAATCGTAAACAATAAATCGAGTTTATGTAACATTGAGTTTAACAACAACATACATACCTCGTATAACAAATTGAACACATAACTTTCTAGACTGAGGCCACTCGAAAAGCTCGAATGTTTCGGAACGCATCTACAACAAACATTATTTTCGATTGACAAGTCTTTGAAATGAATCGATTTACCTATACAAATTCTCCAAGAACACTCTCATCGCATGTACGTAACCGCATTGGCTGATTAACCCGATGCTTTTAGACACGTACAACTTGTCTTTGGATATATCGTAGTAGGTCAGGGCCGCGCCGCCCGGATTGTGGCTCAATTTGAAGTATCGAGGCAGCGACTTCGATTGGGGCCCTTGATTTTGGGCGTTTTGCAAAGCCCTGTTCTTCAAACCGCTCGACAACTCGGTAATGTACATCGACTGAAAAAAATTGCCATTAACGAATTCAGTAAATACTTGTATTTATTTACCTGGAGGGTGTGCATGGCCTCCCTAATGTCCCTGCTTTGCACTTCCTCGTAGAAAACGAGGCTGAAGCCAAAACTGCGCTTGCCATCCTCTTTTGTGATCAGAAACGAATGGAAATTCGGTGCCTGGGTAACCGAGTGTTTCTGAGTACGAAACTTCAATCCGGCCGGTAGAGAAAACTGGAATATACCAATAATTTTGTAGATTATAGTAATAGTTGGAACATGTTGTTTACCATGCATACAGCCGATTCGTCGAAGGGATTCCCTGGCACGACATCTGGATAATGCGCTAGAGTTTTCCCTTTGTAGGATCGTTCCAGCGGTGACGCGTGTAGATTGTCTTCTGGAATTCCTTAAAGTGAGATTGTTACTTAAATGACGAATGAAACTTACCCGAATATTTGTCGGGCTCCAATCCGGAGCTGTAGTCTAATCCGCATATAGCGAAGTAATCAATTAATCTGTTCATCTTTTGTACTTTTGTATTATTCTATCCGAGTATTGTGTTATCGATTTGTCTTAAAAACTAACGACACTATCGGTTTTTAAATGCGATATTTGTACTTTGATCGAGCTGTTGTTGTTTTCTGCCATATCGAATGCGATATTTTTCCAGTTCTCCAATTTTCTAATCATAAACAGCACAGTTCCTTCGTTCCCCACTTTCTCCTTTCACTCCACATGCGGCGTTGCCGAGTGTACGTTCCGAAATAATCCTACATTTTTTAATTAATTTAATTAAAGCGTCATTTAAAAGAAATTTATTTAGTAGTGTTAGAAAATACTATCATTTCTATTATTTCCGATTTATTTCATTAAATACATTAAATTTCTTGAATATAATGTTGTTATTAGGGTTGTAAGAAATTGTTAGATCTGATGAAATATTTCAAATCTAGCAAACGCGATATTAGTTGTCAAAAAAATTCATGATTTTTTATTAAAATTTATTGCCGTAATAAAATTTAACTGGATGCCTACGAGCAAAAGGCCAAAATGAGATCAAAATAGAAGAAGTCGTATCGTATGTCAAAGTCAAAAACAAAAAATTAGTGGAATGTGGAATGCGAACGAAGTTGGGAGTTGTTTATTGGACTTGGAGTTGGTTTATAGCAATCCAGGAGTTGCCGTGGCGTGCACATTACAATAATTCCATCAACGAAGGAAGTACTTTACACATAATCGCAGATATTTCATCGTAAAATGACTATAATAGTGTTTTTAATTGATACATCGGCGTCGATGTTGCAAAGGTAAGCATATAGGATGAAAGGGATCCACTGAAATATAACCCGTAAATATTCCAGGACCTACATAGGAGGCCGAACGACCCTCTTGGACGTTGCCAAGTCTGCCGTTGAAACGTTTGTTAAAATTCGACAAAGAAGCATAGACAGTCGAATAGATAGGTACATGCTGTTAACTTTTGAAGAAACTCCTAGTAATATCAAAGCAGGTAAATTTTTATTAACTATATTTCGAACAGATTTATAATGTTTAATTTATCCAGGTTGGAAAGAAAATTTGGCTACTTTCATGAACGAATTGAAGAATCTACAAGCGTATACTCTAACAACAATGGGAGTTGCAGTTAAACAAGCCTTCGATATATTGAATATCAATAGAATGACATCAGGAATAGATACCTATGGTCAAGGCAGGTGCCCATTCTTTCTCGAAACTGCTGTAATCGTATTAATAACAGACGGAGGGAAATTAACCACAAGTACCTAAAATCCTGCAAATTTTTTAAAACATACTAAAACTAAACATTTCTAGTTAATGGCGTACAAGAGGAATTTAATTTACCAATGAATTCGCCCATACCCGGTTCCGAAATGACTAGAGAACCATTCAGATGGGACCAGAGGTTGTTTGCTCTCGTATTAAGGTTAACAGGTAATTATTCATTAATCTAAAGAACTATTAGTGGATTTCAATGGTTGGTATTTGCAGGAACCCCCGCAGTCGAGAGAGATACTGGTCTAGTACCCAGCGATAGTAGTCCCATAGACGCCATGTGCGAAGTAACCGGCGGTCGATCGTACTGTATAACATCCCATCGAATGTTGAACCAATGTATAGATAGTTTAGTACAAAAGGTAACTTGTTTAGGTAAACCGATTTCCGATTCGTTATAGTAGAATACGATTGTAGGTTCAAAACGGTGTGGTGATCAATTTCGAGAAAATCGGGCCGGATCCCCCTCCTCCTCAGGAAGACGGCAAGGACGACAACATGAAGGAAAACGAATACCCCGATATGAATCCCGATCGAAACCCCAACATGCCGGTGAACACCTCGTGGCACAATTGCAGGAAAATGATATACGTACCCAAAGCTAGTAAAGCCTACTGCGTCGGTAAGAGCTATTCACATGATGGTTTGGGTATAAATAAATAGGCCTCTTCCTCGTCGGTTTCAGGTTACTGGCCGATTCCCGAGTCTTTTTGGCCCGAAGCGACCGGTACGGCGTTGCCCCCGAGATCGGCCCATCCGAACATAAAATTCGCCTGTACGAATTCCGAGCCGTTGGTGATCGAGAATCTGCCGTTCGACAAATACGAGCTGGAACCATCGCCCCTTACGCAGTTCATTCTATCCAGGAAACAGCCCAAAACCTGCTGGCAAGTACGTAATGCGTAACCTTTTTACAGTTAAATTATCGCGATGAAATTCATTAGAAATATGTTGTATTTTCCAGGTGTTTGTAGCTAACAGTTACAAGAATTCTGAGGTGGGACACCCGTTTGGGTATCTTAAAGCTAGCACTAATTTAACCTGCGTGAATCTGTTTGTGATGCCTTATAATTACCCTGTATTGTTGCCGCTTTTAGACGAACTATTCAAAGTGAGTCCAATTGAATATGAAACGTATTATTGTATTGATGAATTTATTTAGATCCACAGATGGAAACCCACAAATGAATGGAGAACGGCCTTTCAGAATTACACCAGAACCTTGCCGGCTTATTACGCAGGACCGTTACGTAGAGCACTCACCAGAATGGGTACCCCAGTGGCCTTGGCTCAAACTCTAATACCGGAAAATTCCGAGAACGGCCTCAGCTTTTCGGTATCCAACTACCTAAAGAGGCTGAAGAATCAAGCGAAAGTCGAATACGATAAAATGTGCAACGAAATCATCCAGCGGCAAGCCAACGTATAAACCATCTAATACTCGATTAATCACTCGATTAATGTATGTTATTTTAGATGAACGGTTTGAAGACCAATTTCAACAGCCCCGAGCAAATCCGCGTGCTGCCGAAAGTGACCTTAAAGAAGGACTTGGTGAGCCATCCCCTGCTCATGGACATGTTCGTCTCGCAAAGGGGCCAAATCGTCGAGCAGGGCAGCCCCTGGACGTGCACGCTCGACAAAGAAAGACAATCGGTCAGCTTCAAGAACCCTTTCGATATACCGAGAAACCGGCTAATACAACAGGTTAATCGACGAGATAATCCGCCCATTGAAATCGTATTAATCCGATTGATTCGTGCAGGTGGTGCGAATGCGCAACAACATCCTGCAATCCGATTGGTTGTCGCTCGATCAAGACAGCGCCCACTCCTTGCCCATATCCCAAATGGGCAACTACCAGGAGTACCTGAAGAAGCAGACTCCGCAGTTGAGGGAAATCGAATCGGCGCCCGTTAGACAACACATGTTCGGCAATCCGTTTAAAATCGACAAGAGAATGATGGTGGGTCTCTCAGATTCACGCCAGTTCGTGGTAGTTTAACGTTGTAAACGTTTACAGGTGGACGAAGCCGATATAGACCTAGTGGGATCCCCGACGGGAGCGAATAGGAACAACAAGCGACCGAATCCCGCTGTAGATACCATCACCAGGTTACCGTCGAAGCGTAAACCGGGACCGCTACCCAAGAACTACTCGTTTTCGAGGCCTAGTATTGATATATCGGCGCCCCCGAGTCCCCAACGATCTCCTCTATCGTCTCCGGTTCCTTGGTACGATTATCCAGCGAATTTACACCACTACTAGGTCTTTACTATAATTCGTTTGCAGGTTGAATTCCATCGATAAGGAGATTCCTCGCTTCGAGGACTTCCCGGCGCTGATCAACGGCGTGGAGGGCGCGACGAGCAGCCCGTCGGCGAGCGAGCGCTCGCGGTCCCCGTCGCCGACGAATCTGCCGCACGAGCAGCCCTCGTACAGCGTCAGCGAGACGAGCTTCGTCTATCGCTCGAACTGCAACAGTTTGAACTACACGATGGCGAACGTGTTGGACACGACCACCACGAATTCGACGGGGGACTTCTACAGCGGCATCTCCGCCACCGACGACAAGCAGATATCGCAGATACTCAAAGAGGCCAATCTGAATCACAACAGTTTTTCTACGAACAGTTTGGTGCAACACGAGAGCAAGGTTATTAAGGTATGGCGGTGATAAACTCGCTAGTTGTGTAGTATTTATTCGTATTGTTGCAGGTGGAGAAAGAAGTGGAAGAGGAGAAGGAGGACGAGAAGGAGATCGAAAACAGGAACCTGGAGATTCGGGAGAATTTGAACAAGTTGGTTCGAAGGCCGGGTAAAAACTACACCGAGTTGTTCGAGAGCATCAAAACGCTGAGGGGCGACATCGATATGCAGATAAAAGTGATCAAGTTGATAATCAAAGAGTCGTTGAGATTTAAACGGAGGAATTTGGCCGATATGCTCGAAGAGCACATAAGAACTTTGAAGTGATTTTAATATTCACGAACGTTGTGTGGTTGGAATCGCAAAGTCTTCGATGTACAAATGATTTTTATATAATTTTAGAAAATTAAAAAAAATATGTTAAGTATACGGTGTTTGCCTTGTTTTATATAAAAAATGATAAAGGTACAATAAAAAAATAGGGTGCTGCGATTAACTATCAAAGTCAACAATTTGAGCTCCTAATTACATTACATATCTGATGAATAAACTAAATTACATGTTACATTTGCATGTATCAAGTTATATTCATCATGCTGCTACATTTACTACTTATAACGTACAAAAGTTGCGAATAAATACGTTTTTGACAAGAAACATTTCGGTCATACAATTACAAAATAAGAATTGTAAGCTACAAAACTATTGAATAACTGGACGGACTTAAATTAACTATGATAGGTCAATGTACGATATGCTTATTACTTATTACAAAAAGGTACCCAGGAAACGCAAATGCCTAAAATTTGTGCTGAAATATAAAAAAAGACACATTCCTACATCTAAAGGAAGACTCTTTTCTCGGGACTTTAACATCGAATCGATGCCTATCACCGATTGTTCGTATTCATGATTTGCCAACTGATTTCAGGCATGTGTATTTCCCGGGCCGTATCCTAAAATCTATCTTTCCCGGCCAACAGTTCGTGATCGTTGAGCATTTGCAAATCTTGAAATTGCAAAAACTTGTCTTGATCTCTAATGTGAGCGTAATTCGCCGAGAGACACATCAGGTAGTGCAGCTGTAATGAAAAAAACCACAAAATACATCTACGCCCCGTTATATTTCTTCAAATCGCTTACCAAACTTAGTATCACAAGCACCGAAGCCACGGTGGCTAAAATGAACATAATCTCCACTTTTTCCACATAATCCTTGCAAAAGGCCTTGACGGCGCTCTCCCCCGACACCTTCATGTGCTCCTGTCTCATATCGGCCGGAAACATGAAATCTACGATAAAAAAAAATCAGATTCGCCCCGGATCGAATCGCGCTGACTTACAGAACTGCGTCAAGTCGATGTCGTCTTGGAAAGAGGCCACTCTGGGATTCTCGCACATCTTCCAGAATATCGTAAACACAAACGTGGCCATTACCAGAAAGCAGAACATCAACAGCCAGGCCAATTGTAACACGTACGTGACGCACATAAACTGCAAATATTTCCGCTTTAAATACACAAGCAGAATTGATATTTATGTAAAACTTACGACAGCGCAAGTAAGTCTACCGCTGACTCTCCATCCCCATCCCCTGTACACTTTGTGCCTCGTTGCTCCAGTAGCCAGGAATCCCACTGTGAGAATCATCAAACCGAGGGCCCCCATGCAAGCTCCGATCAGTACGAACGTCATTTTAACAGCATCAACCCTAAGTAACACATAATTAATCGACCGTTTAAAGACAGTTAAAGCAACTCACCAAAACAGTTGTATGTTGAATATCTCGGTGAACATCAGCACGGACAAAGTGGCCCCCCTGTACATCGTACCGCAGAATATCACCACTCCCAAAGCGCACATAATGGTGGCTATGAGGGTAGCGTAGGGTATCCGAGTGAGGCATTTTTCGAAGCAACCTGCAAATAAACGAGTTATTATTACTCGATCAAGTTGGCGTGTATTATCAAAGGAATACTCCTAGAATCAACGTCAGCTTCGGATTCCAAAACGGATTGTATCGACTGCACGCTGTAATTAGACCGAGACTTTGTGCGATCTAAATTCGTTTCCAAAAGTTGGGTGGACTGTGCAGGATCGTACCTTCTAGCCATATTTCACGCGATTAAACGGGTGTTTATAATGAGAGAACGGTAACTGATGACTAATAGGAGTAATAATCTAGGTAATCGGGATATTATCGCGATTGATAACTGATAAGGCGTGTGTTTGTGAGTAAACAATAACATAAGTTTCGAACTCGAAGGTGTACGTACCCATCTTGAATCCTGGAATCTGGTGAATTGGAATATCAAAATTGTGCGATTTGATTCACACGAAATCGCATAATGAATGAGTAATCAATTAAAACCGAAATACCACGGGAATTGTTGTAGAAATAGGCTATTCAACTTTACGCAACAACAATTTTCTTCTATTCTTCACAGAACGTCTTGTTCTTGTTCTTTTGTGTTGTGTGTTGTCGTCGCAGTGTTGCCAAACGGCCGATTCTCTGCGTTGCCAATTCAAAAAAAATATTTTTTTTTTCTACTAATGCTTCTTTTGTAACCAAACCGGCATTGGTTTGCAATGGTTGTTTTTGGGTAAAATATGCAGATGTTTTCTTAACAACTTTTGTTGATCTAATCTATTGACTTTCTTCTGTCCTTTACTAACTCATTTGCCTCTAACTAGATATAAAAAGACAAAGACCTATTTGGTTTCCAAGAACACGCGATGAAAATTTGAAATTACTGGAATAACAAAACATGACCGTCGAAAAATATTAAAGAAATTATTAATAAAAACGCCCATTTTAATCTACCAATAACTTAATTCATAACTATGATTGCAAAGTTATCTACAATTAAATTATTCACAACGAATCGTCCTGATAACTCAAAATAAAATACTATTTAAGCTTTTATGACTTTATAGTAATAATCCTAATCTCTATTGTACTTATAACAATGTTATAATCGTAAAAGCTGCTAAAGCGGAGTTGTAAAAATCAATTTTGCCGCCAAAAATTTCGCGTCCAACAGATGGCGCTTTTCATTGTTAGTGAAAATTGTAAAATGGCGGACGAAAGTTTGGTGAGTTAGTGCACACGGATTTCTAAAAAGGATATACGACTCTTAAAATGAACATCTCGAAGAAAAACCGTTCCGAATAGTTAGCCGGTTAGATAGACTGTAGAAGAATTCGAATTCGCACCGACGGTGACTCAATAAGATATCGAATTTCGGGTGATTTTCGCTTATGAATAGACCTTGTCCACATCTCATGTAGCCATATTTATGAAGTTTTTGTTGAAAATATACCCGTTTTCTGGAATTTCAAATGAGAAGTAAGTGCAATAAGAGACGCGAAACGCGTACGGCTAACGAACCGTCTAATGTATTTTCGTCGCTTAGTTATAATTCCGCTCGATTTCCACCGTTCAAGTGGCTAAGGGCATAGCGTTGATTTTGTTGATTTTCATGTCAGAGGTCAAGAATAATTCGCCTTATTTCAGCGCTAAAGTCACTCGTCGCTTTCGGTGGTCTCCCGCCGCTCAATTTCAACGTCGATTTCGATTGTAAACAATTCCGAAACGGTGTTGTTTTTGATTTTTTCAGGAATATACACTTCACAATAGTTCAAGGTTATTCTGGTATTCTATTCGAAGATCGCGTTTTATTCGGCACAACCGGGGTAATTATTAAGTTTATCGCACACATTCCTCCTTCAATTCCACATTTGCAACGCTAAAAAGCCTACAATTTTTATTTTCAATCGATATTTTTAGCGGCAACGTTTTTGTTTTGATGGTTAATGTTTATGAAAAATATTCGTATTTTTTACGATGCAACGCTAATAAATTTATTGTAATTTTACCAGAAAATCACATTAATTTATTATTATGAAATTGTAATATATCAATTTTATATCCTAGAGATAATTTTTTTTATCTATGTATTCCGATATTTCGCAATTTCTAATATGTTAACATTCTTGCACAAGAAGATATTCTTGGGATAGATTCTTCCAAGATAAATGAAATTTCCAAATCCTGCCATTTGATTATGACATTTTGTTGTAAAAGGTAGAAGCAAGACGTAAGGAAGAACGAAAAAAAAAAAGGTTTTAAAACCTTAAACAGAACTTTCAAAACCATCACATCGTTTGCTATAAACCAACAGCAGGGTTCTAGTAATGTTTTTTTTATTACAGCAGGATCCTAGTAATGTTTTATTAGCGTATTAATGCGAATTTTATGCAATCGTTTCAGATGGGATGGCTAAGCAACATGGTCTAACAATCGATAATCATGGATCCGGTCGGGCCATGGTACGCGCCGCCTTATAACCGCCTCGCCGGCGTCCAAGCCGGCTCCGGCGGCGGCGAACTACACCATCATCTAGCGACGACGACGGCCGGCGGCGGCGCCCCGTCCACCACCACGGCGCAACTACTGCCCGGCGGCTTCCTGTCGCCGCCGCCCGTCGGCTACGAAACGGTATTCCCGCTCTTCCATCATGCGGCCGCCGCCGGCGCCAAGCCCGCCTACGTGTCGCAGGTGCAACAGCGCGCCCAGGCCATCGCCCAAGCGCAGGCGGCCGCCAACAAGCAATCGGCCGACGGCGATTTCCATCCGCAGACGCAGGCGTTCTTCGAACAGGGGGCGGCGGGCGCGTGGCAGCAGAGCAGCCCGTTCGGCATACTGCCGCACGAGAGCGTCGTGCCGACCGCCGCCGGTAAATCGTACGAGAATTTCAACGCTCACTTCGCCGCCGCCCAGAGCATCAACAACCATTTGAATTCGCAACTGGCCAAGGCGGGCGTGGCGAATCGATCGCAGAGCCCCCAAGTGTCGTCGTCGGCTTCGACGAAATCGAACGCTTCGGGCGCCTTCTTCCAAGTCCCTTCCAGCGTATCGGACAATCCGTCGAACGCCAACAAATCCTTCTCGTCGGCCAACGCTTCGAATATACAACAACAGTCGTGCATCGTCTCGTCGCCGCCCACGACCGTTTCTAAAGAGTACAGAGTTCCTCAGCCGCCTTCGCGTACTGCGTTTTTGTCGTCGCCCAATGCCGCCCGGGCTACGATCGAAAAGGCGTTCGCCTCGCCGCCCGGCAAGCAGCAAACGTCGCAAACGGCGCAACAACAGATCCAGACCAAGGCGCAGACGAAGATCTATTCGGAGCTGGGCGGACAGCCGGACAGGCAGAGGCCCGGCAACGAGGACAACCAGAGCCAATCGTCGCCGATCAGTTTCTCCATAATGGACGCTCCCGGTCGATTGAACTACGCCGGCAGCAATTCGTCGGGGAAACGGCCGCAATTTCAGCACAACTATCGCCATTATCCGCAACAGGGCGGCGCCAACGCCGAGGAATTTCAACGGCCGAAGAGCGGATCGGAGTATAGCAATTCGAACGGGCCCGATTGCAACGTGGTGGTACCCAGACGGCCCAGTCCCCTTCAAGCACATTCCCAAGCATCTCCTTTAGGTATGACGATCGTTAATCATAATACAAAACGAATTGTCTAACGAATACGATTTGTTTTTTGTAGGTCATGCGCAAAGTCCGGCCTATCCGATGTACAACAGTCCGATGAACTCGATATCTTCGCCGCAGCAAAGCTCCAATAATCAAGTGGCCCCGCCATCGCCGCTCGACGTATCGGTGCCCAGGCCGAGTTCGCAAACCGGCAACGTAGCCTATCCTTCCGTCATCACTAGAGCCTTGAATCACGATAAAGGTTTTACGGATCGTTACGAACGAGCGAACCACACCAATCAACAGGCCCAAAACTGTTGGGACGAACGACAAGTAATTCGCTAACGTGTACACATCGATCGAATGTGGCGCCTATTAACGCGAGTAAAACGTTTCAGGGTCAACGGAAGTTCCAAAACAACCAATCGGGCGGCCAATCGAATAGCAACTACAGCTCGAATAACAGCCTGGAGATGAACAGGAACGAATCGAACCAACAACGGATCGTCATCGAGCGACAGAACACCTATTTCGATTCGAACAGCGGCCACCAGGTGACGTTGCAGGATCTGTCGAGTTGCAGGGGCGATCCGATGAGCATCGTGAAGAATCTGCAACAGCAACAGCAGAGCTGCCAGGTGCCGCAGGAGATCAAGACGGAACCCAAACCGCCCGTCAAGCGGCGGAAGAGCAGCGAAAAACCGGCCGCCGACATGCACAATTTACCCAGTAAGTTATAGAAAGTTTGTCGGATTGTTGATTAATTGGGGGTGTCGCGTTAGGTCGAATTCCACCGCCGGCGCACAGCTCGGGGGCCAATCAACCGCAACAGAACGGCGCCTACTTCGACTTCGACAGATGGAACCTGCCGCCGGCCACGTCGAAGATATTCGCCTCGCAACCGGCGTTGCACCAACAACACCAAGGTCTGATGGTGCCGCACCCGCACGGCCACCATCCGCCGCCGCCGATACCCTATTTTGCTCCCTTTCACATACCGCCCCATCCCGAGTACCCGTCCACCGTCGAGCTAGCGCCGCTGACGAGCTACGGCGAACAATCGGCGCAGGCCGCCAACCAGTACCAACCGCCCCAGCCGGAGGAACACCCCAAGGTGGTGGTGCCCAACATCGAGGAAGAATTGAATTTTCTGTCGCAAGGTGAGCGTGTTTACCGTTTAAAAACGAACGTAATTTAATAATTTTGTGTACCGTAGATTCGACGCGACCGTCGATGGCGAACAATCAACACCAAGGCGCCGCGGCGCCGAAACCGATGAACCGCGCGAAGCTCGCCGACAAGCCGCCGGGCGCCGTCGGCTCGAGCTTCATGAGCAGCTATTTGAAGTTCCTGCAGGGCGAGCGGGACACGTCGCCGCCGCCGGCGATGCGCGGCGGCGGCAACAGGAAGCAAACGTGGCCGCGGGCGCCGCTCAAAGACGACAAATCGCCGGACAGCAACGGCGTCTCGGCGCCGCACATGACGGCGGCGGCGCCTCAGCCGGCGCCGCATCCGCCGCCGCCCGCAGTCCTGCCTCGCCTGTCGACGCAGGGCGATCCGCAGGACGATCCGCGGTACTTTCCGTTGCCGAAGGAGCGGAAGCGCAACAGCTTCGACAGCTCCGACGACGGGCTGAGTTCGGACGACGATTTTTTCGGCAACAGAAAGAAGAATTCGCTGTTCGACGGCAAGGACAAGGACCGCGACAGGGAGAAGAGGAAAGATCGCTACAGGTTCGATAGATCGAAGAAGCTGAGCAAGGAGCGCAAGCACAAGGACAAGAAGGACCGAAAGCGCGAGAGAGAGACGATGGAGGAGGTGCCGAGGAGGGAGTCGACGAAGAGGGCGGCGAAAAAGAAGGGTAGCCTATCGGAGATCGGGAAGGACGACGAGCCCGAAGAGCCGCCGGAATTCCAGGATTCCGATTCGGATCCGGCTTGGACGCCGGCCGCCAATAACGATCCGGAAGATATTACCAATATTAACAAGACCAAACGAAGGGGTAGACCTTGTAAGTAGAAAATCTTTACGACGAACCCATCGTATACCTAGTACACACATCTATATTACGTTTTTTTTTTATCTCACTTTTGTAGTGGGAAGTAAATCGAAGAAGTCGCTGAAGAATTTGATAACGGTGGCGGCGCAAGGGGCGGGCATCGGAGAGGGGGACGGTTATTCGAGCGATCAGTCGCACAAGAAGAAATCGATGCACAAGAACAAACAGATGCCGCAACAGTCGAGCATCGCCCCCACGTTGGAGGACAACATTGCCGCCTCCATACAGAACAGCGTGCCCGCCGCCAACGACGACGAGTCGTTTAAAGTGAGTAACGAACAAAAATTACTGTGCAACGTTGTTTGCTGATGCACGGATTTGTTTGCAGCCCGGTGAATTCGTTGCCATCAAATCGGAACTGAAAGAAGAATGGCCGGCGATTTGGAGAGTGGACGGCAAGACGTTGTTGCAGAAATACGAACCTTTCGAACAGAACGGCACCACTTTATACAGGAATATATCGACAGTAAGAGATGAGGTTGTATTTTTTTGATTTTGGCCGATGTACTGATGCTATTTTGTTGTGTTTTTTAGTACACATCTTGGTCGCCGGAGGGCAAAAGACAATACGTGGCCGTGCCGGTGAAGTACCGAACGCAGGGCCAATTGGAAACGATCGTGGAGTTTTTGAAAAACGAAATGACCGTCATCGATCACGACTACCAAGAGCAGTGCATGAAGCAATTCGAATCCTATCAGGACAACTTCGAAGTGTACATACAGACGTTGATATCGCAGGCGTTGGACAGTAATTTCCTCATGGAGATATTCCAAGAAAAAGGTCGGATTATTCTTTCGGTTAATTTCGTTGTTAAATAGAGGTTGACGAACGCGTTGATTTTTTTTTTTAGACGATTACTTCCTATCGAACGTGCAAACCATCGACGAGATAACGGTTAGTAAAAGACGCAAGCTGTTTGAGATATTGAGGTGGCCGGCGGCCGTTCAATCGGCCGTGTGCACGTGGCCCTGTTTCAACGTGATACGCGAGGTGAGCCCGGCCGATACGCAAACGAAGTGCTGCTCGGCCTGCGGCAGGACCGGCATAGCCGGCAGGGTGCTGATGTACGGGCAGCCCTACAACGCCACCACATTGGAGGGCTGCCAGCCCGATCCTAATGCCATAAACGAAAAGGTAAACCTCTAGCTATACACGCCGATTTATATATTAACGTGTGGTTTTTTTTTATTGTTGCAGGACTTCCTGATGTGTAGATTGTGCGTAACGCAAGTGGAACTGTTGAACAAAGTGATCCATCAAAAATACCTTATGTATATAGAATGCGCGAAACGTGTTAGTGAAAAACGGACTAACGATTCGACTAAAGATACAACTTGTATACTAAACGAATTGTTGGCGGACGAGAGCTGGTTGAATCAAGTAAGTTCGGTTACGTAGGCCTGATGATGGTATATTTATATCGAAACGAGTTTCGAGTATATTTCCGTATTGGAATTATTGATATGTTAGTATAACGTGTACTTTTTTTTTAGTTATTCTTGGAGGTGCGGACATCTTGGGCGGAAATCGACAGCATAGACTATAGTTATAGATTGAAAAATTCGGTGAATTCGCAGTGATTTTCGCAAACTTGGACATTTTAAATATAAGTCGTGTAATAATTTAAATCAAAATTGTGTATATTTGATGAGAGTTTATATGAGTAACATTAAAGTTGTAATTAATATAGGGAATAGCGATCGATATGCATAATATTGAAGTTTAAGTACGTAATCCGTTTTGTATGGTTAAAATTACCATGGCAAGCTGTGCATTTTTTATATTTGTGCTCTTCGATTTTTTTTTCTTATTTCGAAAGTGATATTGTTTTATTTTGTTAACTATTATTTTGTAAATTTCAGCATTGGTTATTTATGTACGAGCACATACACTCATTAATAAAATGAATATTTTGATTTTGTAAATTCTTTAATTAGAATCGATTCGTTTATGTATATTACGCATCTAAAAGTAGTTGAGCCTTAAAATAAGCTGTCATGAGATTAGATAAACATTCTTGAATTTGAAATAAAACATTTATTTTACAAGGAATTACCACCAGTTGTACGGCCTTATTATTTTTCCACTAACTCATATTTTTAGGAACTTCGGAATTTTTGAATTTAGCCATCCATTAACATTCATTCGAATTAGAATTTAAGTTGGCAATCCTCAGAAAAACAATAAGTACAAAAAATGCCAATAGATGGCGCCACGTAACAAGTTCGAAATTTCTTAAAAGGAAGGACAAAAACAGAAATAAGGAAGAAGAAGATCACTAAACCATACTTCGATTTCCCATTTAAATTTTAAAAATTTATTTAATTACTGTAGATTTTTCTAATTTTTTTAAGCCACATAATTAAGTGTATTGTTGGTTGCCGAGCGGAACAGGATACTGACGAATTACAAGATTTACTTCCAGATTTATGAACAGTAATAGGAATCATTATTCAAACATAATTTTTCAATAATGCTATTGCAATAATAACATAAAAACCCGGAATAGTTTTTCTTTTCGCTTAAAGTTTCTTCGAAATCCGGAATTAAATTCGAATGTGCCGCCATTTGCACTCGATGACATCCGGTAGTTCGGCCAATAAAAAGCGTTCATAAATGGCAGCATCCGGTTAGTTTGTCGGCTTTTCAATGGAGACATTCATTGTGGTGTCAACAGTTTAACGCAACATTTTCGGTGGTTCGTCTTAATTATTAATTCGAAAAACTCGCGAACATATTCCTCAGTTAATCGGGGAATATTTATATACTTTAGGTTCCTTGTAATTAGTGAAAAATGCCCTCGGCGGCCAGTGTCAAGATTGACAAGCAAATTAACCCGGAAAATGCATTAGCAGATTCTACTCAAAATTTGACTCCCCTTAGGCAAGCTATCACAATTATCGAACACAAAATTAGAAATTTGGAAAAACGAAAAGTAAGTAAGATTTATTCAGTCGCCCGAATGCCTCCTCGTTTTCCGTTAACATGGTTATTTTTTGTTCTGTTCTCCATAACTTTACCTGTTCCCTAGTTTTTACAATGACGTGTTATTCGCGTAAAAATACTTTTGTTTACTTATTTTATATACTTATTTCAACGAAAACGAGTACTTGCATCAGTCGATTAAATTTTTTTAAACAATCACATTTCATAATACCACTTACAATTTAATTTGTATTGTTTTTAATTGAATATTTATTACAATAGATGCCGGTTTGAATCACTTAAACTACACGTTATAAAATCATTGTTAAGGAAGGAAGTACTTGTTTAATTATCCTCATGGGGCTCATTGAACAGAACACAATTTCACAATGTACATTACTCGTAATTGACATTATCTGTTTGCAGTCGAAGTTAGAATCCTACCAGGAACTGCAGAAGGCCGGCAAGGAATTGAACGCCGATCAAAAGACGGCCGTCGCGAAATACAATGAAGTGATAAGCACATTAGACTTTGCTCGGGATTTGTGTAAACAGTACGTTAGCATAGCCGTGTCCACGGAGAAGGAGGCCAAAAAAACAGCCAAGAAGGAGGCGGCCGCCAAATACCAAGCCGAATTGGCCAGGCTAAGGGAGATCCTCCTCGTACAGGATGCCCTCAATCAAATGGGCAACGAGAACGTCCGCGAGGACTTCCTGCAAGGCAGAAACGGCGCCGCCCAATTGACCGAAACCGATCTGAAGTACGTTTATGATAAAATCTACTCGTAGAACTCTATTTCAACGTAATGTTATAACAGATTGTTGGACGATTTGTACCCCGCCGTGACGCCTAAACACGAGGCCGGCAACGCCACCGCCTTCATGAACGAAGTACAAGCCGCCGCCGAGCATCTTTTGGCCGCCGTCGATGGAAAACCGAAGGAGGTATTCGGCGGCACGTACAGCCACATCAAGGAGATTTTAGGGAAAATCCACGAGAGCGGTTACTTCGATCAAGCCCAGGTGAATCATCATACAATCCAAAGTATAGAATAGTATCGTAATTAATGGTATCGTGCAGGTATTCGAGGAGTACACCGAAGGCGAGATTCTAACGGAAACCGACCAGCTGGCGGCGGGCGAGCCGATGAACAGCGCCGAAGTAATGGCCCCGTCTCCGGCCCAACCGGCCCCGCAGGAGGCGCTCGCGACCATGCACGTGCCGCTCGTCGAGAGTCTGACGATAGAAAATCGAGGTAATCCGGCGCTTCAATCGGCGCCCGTGCCCGAACCGGCCCCCTTGGAGCCGCCGGGCGTCGTGCCCGATTCGACGGTCTACTACCAACCGCTGCCCCAGCCGCATCCGGCGATGCCGCCGCAGCAACCGCCCCCGCCGAGGCCCATCACCGAGGTCTTGGGCGCCGGCAGTTTCTTCTTCTTGCAGGTACGAATTTATATCGGTTTTTTTTTTTTTCGGTCAAATTTGATTGGGGATTTGTTGTAGGAATCCGAGATCGACCAGCCGGAGCAGATTCCCACGCAGACGTTTACTAATCAGAGCTTCGGGTCGCATCCGGCGGTGGCGCCGTTGGCGCCCCATTTCGCCGCCATGCCGAACAATCAGCAGGTGCAGATGGGGAATAACGGTATCGAGGAATCGATGAGGGCCGAGGAGCCGGTGCACGTGGGGAAGGAGGCGCCGGCGAACCGCGGGGGCCCGCCGAGACAGGGCAACAATCAATCGTATTACCAAAACAACGGGTACAATAGACCGCGACAGAACCAGACGAGGAATACCGGCGGACCGCGGGCCGCTACCAATAGACATGCATAACTGACGGATTCTTTTTTTTTTTTTAAATTCTAACGTATCGGTCCGTTAACGCTCTACCTACCGTATGCATGATATTAAGTTATCGTTCTGTTAAGTATTTTTTTTTATTTAACTGTAAGTCAAATTTTTCATGTATTTGTGTTTTATATGAAACACGCGAGTATAATGTCTCGAAAGGAACAGTTTATTTCGTTGTCGATTTACATCGGGATATTTTGCAGTGATAATGAATCTTTGGTAACCAGCTACATAAGTAAGATAGTTTCTTTTTTTTGATAAATTAAGATTTCAATCTGTTTCTGGTATTTGATGTTAAAATGTAACAAGTTTTTTTTTGGTACGATAACCGCTATTATTATCACTGCAATAATTAGTCAATTGGAATGATGTACTTGGCATGAAAACGACACCAATATTTATAAGTAATTAAATATTCCTTAAATAGCTTTATAATTAAGGGCCGGTGTTTTTGCTTCCTGATAATTAACTATAAGAATATGCAATTCCGTCTGCCTAATTTTAACGGTAAGTTATATTCTAATCTTAGATAATTATCTGGACCTTTATCCATAGACGAAAATAGCGACCCTTTTGCTGGTAATTCGATAATTTAATGCGTGGTTTGATTATTAGTAACAGGGAAATGTTTTCATAACAATGTAACTTTATATTTCTGCGTTACTTTTAACATTCCCAAGCGGCACAAAAACTGAAATACACACCGATATCTTTTTCATTTTATATTCGTTCTAAATTTTTGCAGTTCTACTTTATTTAAAATTTAAATATAACTTTTGAGTAATGTTTCGTTTCTTACGTTTTTTGATTAAAAAAGCTGAACATTGACTAGTGTTTATTTTTATTAATTAATCTATTTTAGCGATAATACCGAGTGCAGTGTTGTCGAATTATATCGCCGTTTTCCGATAATCAATACAAGTAAAATAAGTATAAGTGAAATATATTACTTTATACAAAATAACCTACATATATAAAACAATTTCATTAGGCCAAAAATACAACGAAAATGATAAAGAAAACGATAAGAACACCGAAAACTTTGATCATCAGCCACCTGTTCGAAGAGACGCTTTTGAAATATTTCACGATCTGCGCGTGGGCCGCTTGTATGTTGATTTCGGCGTGTTCCACGTTACTGTCGATGCGCTCCACCATTTCCTCTTGCTCCTTCACCATGTGGGCCAGCTGCTGGAAAATCCCGCCCAATTCAACGATGGTGGATTCAATGTTTTGCATCGTCTCCGCCCTGCTTTGCAGGTAATTATCCGTGTGATCGTACATCAGCGAAGCCTGCATTTGGGTTTGCCCTTTAGGGATCAACGCCGTGCTTTCTAAATTAATGCTGACTTGATCGTCTTCTTGCAACAGCAAGCTTCCTGTAAAAAAAAATTATTACGGATTATATTCGAGAGTAATGGTTTACGAGAAATGTACCTTGTGTCGATGAGGGGACGCTGGGCGGTGGTAAACCCCCTTGGGAAAATTGGTCTCTTCGGTTTTTCTGGTGTCTCAGATTTTCGGTTCGGACTTCCAGTACCTGCTTGAAGTCGGTAGACATGCTGGCTAGTTTCGATTGCAACGCTAGTACTACGCTGCTGGAATGCGACTGCAGGTGCTTCCCCAAAGCGCCCTGTCGTTGCCTCTTCGATACGTCCTGCAATTGGGCGATTTGCTGATTCAAGCTGCTGAGGTCTCCTTTTATGATGTACGTCAGTTCCTGGATCTCCGCCGTTCGATCGTCGAACAGGGACTTCCTTTTTGCCACTGAAAAATGATCTAATAATCATCTGAATAGGATTTAGAGAGTTTGTACTCACGCAGTGTTAATTTTTCGAGTTTGGCGTACGTGCTAGCGATGTTTTTCCCAACGTTTCTGGCTATGAGCATGAATTCCGAGTGGCTCTGTATTACTTTGGATTTCCTGGGGTCCCGGGCCGCTACGGCCCTGGCGATGTTGCGCCCTTGCAATGTTTGTATGGTGTTTACGAATTCACTAGTTCTGTCTCTGGCGGTCATGACTGCGTCTGGTTCCGTGTAATCTTCTACGTAATCCTCTTCTTCGTAATTGTAAATAGCATTATTCGCTGGAGAATGATTGTAATGTGACCAATAACTCTCGTTATTCAGTGGAACGTGCGGCTCGCTGTCGGAGCCCGTACGACGTCGTCTAGGAAGCATCGCATCATTGAAAGTGTACTACTTTGAGGATTTTATTGATACCATATTTTTCACTTCGATACGCTGAATTTTTCACCGTGGGCTTTTGGGTATTTTATTTCGTCCGTGTCATAATCCGCCCAAGCAATTATTTACTATTTGAATTTATATTTGTTAATATGGATTAAATTAATTTAAATTTTAGAAATACTTCTTTCAAGACACGTATTTTTGTTGCCACATGACAGTTTGTGGTGACGTTTATGTCATTAGTCATCGTACGTCACTTTTTTGGGCCTCTTATATAGTAGGATTACAATTCTATATCCCTGCCTCAGATTCTAGGCTTATTCGGTTAAATGTCGATGACATTTATTTGACACTGACAGATTTTAAATCTTACACGTATTTTCTGATCCCTGTTTTTAAAAGTTTTTGTTCAATTTTAGAGCCCTTGCTTTTAACATAATGACGTCGTTAAAGCAGAAACAAATAAGTGAGTTTTCTTAATTAAGCCTTTCGCTTTGTTTACCAGGATTTTCTTTTAGATGCAATCAAGCAAATGTTGAATTTGAATCAACCCCAGACGAAGTTAACAGCCTCTGAGCCGGTGTGGAAGGTTTTGATATACGACCGAGTAGGCCAGGACATTATATCGCCTTTAATTTCAGTGAGGGAACTGCGGGAATTAGGAGTAACGTTGTTTGTGTAAGTGGCGAAATGATCCATATTTCAACGTAAACAATATCCAAGAATTACAATTAATTGTCGTTTAATTTGTAGCCAATTGCATTCGGAACGAGATCCTATTCCAGAGGTTCCGGCCATATACTTTTGTGTTCCGTCGGATGAAAATTTGGGCAGGATTAGCCAGGATTTCCAACGAGGAGTGTACGATGTGTACCACTTGAATTTCATTTCTCCCATATCCCGACAGAAATTAGAAGACTTGGCCTCTGCATCTATAACAGCCAATTGTGTCACCAACATTCATAAAGTACTTGTGGTAATAAAATTGTGTATATCGAAAAAACTAAATTGGATACTTTTCAGGTGTATGATCAGTACATAAATTTCATTTCGTTAGAAGATGATATGTTTGTTTTAAAACACCAAAACAGCGATATTATATCGTATTACAGTGAGTATTCGATACTAAGTAACTACGATACAATTATGTATCATTTTCGTACGTTTTAAGGTATAAATAAAGGAGACATCAAAGACACGGAAATGGATTCGATCATCAACAACATCGTCGAAAGTCTCTTCTCCGTATTCGTTACCTCAGGAACGGTACCTATTATTAGAAGCCCCAAAGGCAACGCGGCCGAAATGGTGGCGAAGCAACTGGACAAAAAGTTGAGGGAAAACCTCTTCGACACCAGGAACAATTTGTTCGTATCGGACACCCAATCGGGCAACTTCAATTTCCAACGACCGCTGTTGATAATCCTCGATAGAAACGTCGACATGGCGACGCCCTTGCATCACACTTGGACCTACCAGGCGCTCGCCCACGATTTGCTCGATCTGGCCTTGAACCGGGTGGTTATCGAGGAATCCCTTCCCACCGGAGGTGATTACATACCACCTATGTTAATCGAATAAGTGATAGTTTGAGCATGTTTTAGGCGCTAGAGCGAAGAGCCGCACGTGCGAATTGGACACTTCGGATAAATTCTGGTCGACGCATAAAGGTAGTCCTTTTCCCACGGTGGCCGAGGCCATACAGGAGGAGCTCGAGCAGTACAAATCATCCGAAGAGGAGGTGAAGAAATTGAAGAGTTCGATGGGTATCGAAGGGGAAAGCGATTCGGCTATAGCGATGGTGTCCGATAACACGGCTAAAATCACATCGGCGGTAAATTCGTTGCCTCAGTTGATAGAGAAGAAACGGTTGATAGATATGCACACTTCTGTGGCTACTTGTAAAGAATTTGTTGCTTTTTATAACGCTCTATGTCGTAACTAAAACGTTTTGTTGTAGCTTTGTTGAATTTCATCAAATTTAGAAAACTCGATACGTTCTTTGAGCTGGAGGAGAAGATCATGAGCAAGGCGCAGGCTTTGGAGAAGTCCCTCTTGGATATACTGACGGATCCTTCAGCGGGCGATCCCGACGACAAATTGCGATTGTTTATAATATTTTTCATTTGCATTTCGGACATGTCGGAGCAGGAGCTTCGGAAATACGAGGCGGCTCTCACCGAAGCGGGCTGCGATCTGTCGCCGCTTGCTTACATCAAAAGATGGAAGTTAGTGAAACCTTTATCACACAAAAATCGGTGTTAATCGATTGCTGTTTTTTTAGGAGTTATAGTAAAATGACGACGAGCAGCGTAATCAATCAATACGAAGGAGCCGGTACTAAAACAGTCAGTATGTTCTCCAAATTGGTGTCTCAGGGCTCGAATTTCGTCATGGAAGGTGTTAAAAATTTAGTTATCAAAAGACACGTAATGCAATTGTGTGGGTGAAATCGAGAATAGTAAATAACAGAGGGTTGTTTTTAGAATCTCCCCGTAACGAAAATCGTGGATAGTCTGATGGAATTTAAAAACGCCAGCGAAGTGGAGGAGTATCTTTATTTGGATCCGAAGCAGCTGAAACTTACGGAGATGCCGAGGAATCGATCGCCCTTTCAGGAAGCTATCGTTTTCGTTGTAGGCGGTGGAAATTATATTGAATATCAGAATTTGGTGGATTATGCAAAGGTAATATTAATTATTGTTATTTTTTTTGGTAATTGATCGGTGTATTTTAGGCTAAAACGTCGGCTGGGAATTCGAAACGGATAACATACGGATCTACAACGCTAAATAATGCCAAACAATTTTTGAAACAGTTGGCTCTCCTAGGACAAGAATTATAATTAGTTAAATATATTTATAATATAATACAGTATAAGTATTAAATCTATGTTAAATTATATTCGGGAGAAAGTTTTCAGTTCCATAATTTTGTAAATTAAACGTACAATAAGAGTTACATTGGATAAAACTACGCGTGTAGAGGCATTTTTTAATATAATTTTGTTCGGCAACAATGTTTGAATCTAGAGTTTGATATTCTAGAATTTTTATACGAATTATTTATTGTTACAATAAAAATCATTAAAAACGAGCCTTAATTTGATAAGTACTTTTTCCCATAAGTCTGAGCTTTCTTTTCGAAAGCAAGAGATTTTATAGGCGTGTCTTCGTCGTAGAACGGGTTCATGGAATGTTTGATGTAAGCCTCGTAAATCTCGGAAAAAAAGTTTTTAATGCCATCATCGTTTCTGTTATCGTGAACTATTACGAATCGAATCAGACCAGCGGTTACGAACGCGGAAACAAACCACTGGTTGAATTTGTCCACGGACTTCAAATTCATAGCGTGCGTCTTCCATTTGTGCTCGTCGATGAGATCTAAAGCCGAGTGGGCGATGAATTGGTTTAAATGTCTGTGATCCTCTTTCTGAAACATATTAATTGTATTGTTACATTTCAATTCACTTTAAAGTAAGACCTTCGGATCCTTGCTGTTCGAAAATTCCATTTCAAATAGAGGTTTGTCATTGTGTCCGACAATAACGAAATAATACGTTCCTATCATTTTCTAATCGAAATATTCGATCATATTTTGGGTTTGGGTCTTTGACAAGTAAATATAACCAACTTCTTCTTCGTAAATTATTGGCTTCAGCTGTCATGGATATTCGGACATAAAATTTTAAGTGACACATGACAGATAAGTTTATGTTCTTCTTTTTTTGTTATTATTCATGAAACAGATTTGGAAATGTCAAAAATACATATTTAGGTTATGATTCTAGTTTTTGACATTGACAGTCAACTAAAAAATACAAACGATAGCTGCACTTTCACAATTTTTAAATATCATTAATTAAACAATTCAAAAATCTTTATTTATCGAAAGGAATATGCCCGCCTGTTCGGTTCTGAATTGCAAGAGCCGATCGGAGTTGGGCATTCGGCTCTTCGGTCTCCCGCAAGGCGAACGAAACGAAGACAGAAGGAACGCTTGGATAACAAACATAAACAGAAAATGTTTGCCTACCAACGTATTCGTTTGTGAAGTCAGTTAAAACTGCGTTGATTCGCTTTCCAGTTAATGAAAGTTACATTATTTTTTCAGAAACATTTCCAGCAAGACCAGTTCGAAAACAACAGGAGAGACGGCAGAAGGCCTTTAAAATACAACGCTGTTCCTACCTTATTCGATTTCAAACCAGAAAAAAGATTAACTAGAGGCTACAAAGCTTCAACTAGTATGTATAATACTGCACATAATCCAACTTTATGTTATCAATTCGTTTTTGTAGAGAAACGAAAATCCAAACAATACTCATCAGATGACACCGACGAAGAAGAATTCACTTTCGATTACACCAAATGCAGAGCATGTTTGGCTGTAATCAAGACAACCGAAGGCCACGTTCTAACTAAGAAACTAACGGGAGGCACTTTGAGAGAAAAAATTTGTACATTCATTCCGGAACTATCGACGAGTCTCTTAAATGATCAACACATCTGCGAAGAATGCTTCGAATCGCTGGTACAATTCATCAGGTTCCGCGACACTTGCTTGGATTCCGATGAGAAACTTCGAAACGGTGAAACTTTAACCGTGAAAGTGGACAGAAACGGTGAGTTGAAAACGTTATAGAAATCCTCGTTGATTGTTCGATTTAAGGATCTCCCGTTGAACTGGAGACCGAAACGTACAAAAAAGGAAAAGGCTGGGAGGCGGTCGAGCGTCGTTATAAAACTCGCAGTGTTAATAAGAAGAAACAAGGTATGTATAAGGAGTGTTCTAATTAAAAGGTGGATTAAATTTTTTATTTTATGTTGTAGTTCTTAATGAATGTAAAACGGTTAATGTTGAAAATCACGAGAATAGCAATGATGTCGAGAAGGACTCACAGCCAGAGCCTATAAGAAAGAGAGGAAGACCTAGGAAAAAAGAAATTGTTAAAGGTACAAAAGACACCTATTAGAAATGATTTAATACAATAATCGTATATTATTTTTATAGATGTAATTAATACAAACGATAGCAGCAATGATGTGGAACCGATTATATCAGATAACGAAGGTGAGATTGTGAATCAGTAGAATATATTTCTATATTTATTTCTTTTTTTAAAGACAAAATGAGCGTTGAACAGAAAGAAAACTCATTGAAAACAGATTCCGATACCGTCGACAACCAACTCGAAGACAAGGTAATAAAAAAAAACCAACTAGCCAATTTCATTCAATCATTTAATATTTATGCAGGACGATAAAACGAAAATATTCTCGGAGCACGACTATTCGTACGAGAGTTTCTCTTGTCCCGAATGCCGCATGGACTATCGCACCATAAAAGGCATCAAAAACCACTTGGTAAATTTCCACAAAATCCTAGACGATCCGGAGTACGCATGCGCCGAATGTCCCATCAAACTCCAACGTTTCCAGGACATGCTAGATCACAGATCGACTCACGGATACGCCTGTACCTTCTGCGACAAATCGTGAGTTAAAATAATCGCTTAAAACTAGTAAAAAAAGTCGTACTCCTCTCCATTACGACTGTTAATTACAGATTTCCGAGTCCAGATGAACTGGCTGAGCACGAGCCGGACCATCCGGAGAAATTTCACTGCGCGAATTGCGGACGAGCGTTCGAAAAGGAAGGCGACTTGACGAAACACGCGGCGCTGCACGAGGTGTTGTCGAAAATAAAATTAATGATGGCCAAAAGGCGGGATTCGCAGCAGCACGAATGCACCGCTTGCGGTGATTTGTTCCCGTCGAAACCCAAGCTGAAAGAGCACGTCAAAATGGCGCATTCGAAGCTCAAGGAAGTCGATTACCCCGGCAAATTTACCGGCGATTCCTCGTTGAATCTACACAGAAGGTATTACGATACTTTGCGAAATAATCTTATGATAACAATTGCTCGTTTTAGGGCGAGAAATTCGGACCACAAAACCTACCAGAACGTGAAAAAGAAAAGTATACAACTAATTTCGATTGTTCGATCCAACATAACGGCTTCTATTATTGCAGAAAACGACTACGAATGTTCATTTTGTTCGCAAACTTTCCCAGCGAAGGAATCGCTCGTGGCGCATCTGCCGCTACACGAACACGAAAGGAAATTCGAATGTAACTATTGCGGTATCAAACTGAACGATAAACGGGCGAAAACCGCCCACGAGGACTCGCACAAATCGGACGTCGGCCACCAATTCCTGTAAATACATTCGTACGTGTATATTCATCGAAATAACATCTTTTTCGAATCCATTCAGGTGCATGACGTGCTTCAAGAGATTCCCCAACGAAGCGGACCGACGAGCCCACGAAGCGGCCCATTCGAACGCCTCGGAGCAATTCAATTGCTGCCTCTGCGATCTACGATTCGCTCGAAAGTTGCCGTTAGATAACCATCTGTTGGACGATCACGCCGACGCTCGGGCCGACGGCAACGAGAAAAACGTCAAAGTGTTCAAGATCAAATGGCAAAATAGAGGCGAACTCGACGGCGACGCCGACGAATTCGTCATCGAAGATGTCTGTCAAAGCGAACAAACGAGGCCTCGATACGACGAAGCGGGCGCCGATAAAACTATCGTGGTCATTTTGGACGATGAAAAAATAACGCAAGAAAAATCTTAAGTTCACAACTTACACGAACTGTTGTGGTATCCAATAATCGATTCAAATATATATGTAAATGTATAAATACTTTATTAATCCGTATCCATTACAGGTTCGGCGTCTTCGAAGTCCCTGCACTTGGCGTGCTGCAATTCCCTGCGAACCTCCGGCGTTACCACCGGATGGTTTTGCTTTTTCAGCAATTCCAACAGCGCCTCGCGTTGCTCCGTCGATATATCGGCCTTGTATCGCTGCACGAAAGCCAATAAGGCTTGGTGCCACAGCACCGGCAAGTCCCTCTTGTCGCTTTGGAACCGTACGAAGTGAAACACGCAAGCGTCCACCACCCTGTACGGCAGGGCGTACTTTTTATCGAACAGTATCCGCAGGAAGATCGAATTGGCCCCCGTGTAATCCATCTCGGCGATTTTCAAAAGCGCCGCCGACGAATGCAAAATGGGCACCGAATTTTTCGCTAAAACCGAGCCTATAATGATGGCTTCTCTTAAAGTGCAGTTGCCGCTTTCGAGCAGAGGGAGCAGGATGCCCTTCATGAAGGCCCCCGGCTTGAACAGAGACTTCCTCAGCGCTTGGTACAAATGGAAGTTGAGTCGTTTGTATTCGGCCAAATCGTCTCGAACGCGAGGCAACAACACTAGATTGTAGAATCTCTGCGCCATGTTTTCCTTCAAGTTCGAAGCGAATATCCTGGTGGCCTGGTACATGGCGGCCGCCGACCAGCCGGGCGGGTCGGTTATGTACAAAATTTGTTCCCAGTTTTTTAGTTTCGGTATTATTTTGAAGGCTTTAGGGAGCTTGCCGCTTCGGTAGGTTTTCAACACGTCCCTGACGCCCTCGTACATTTGCCTGACGTTCGGGTCCAAGTCCTGCATTTGCAGGGAACCGGCGTCGGTGAAGTGGGTATCGAGCTCCGTGTGTTTCTCGGTTATTTTTTCCATGATGATATCCGCTAGGGTCCTTCTCGGTAGGGGGTTTTTGCTCATGAAGGTGTCGATGGCGAGTTCGTCTTCTTCGTTGATTTCGATGTTATCGTAAAAGGAGGAGTCTATGGCGTTGTCTTCGGGCTCGCTAGCCGAATCGTCCGTGTCCATATCGCCGAAATTTACGTGGGGTTTTTCCTTCGTAGGCTGACGGTGAGTGTCTTCCAGTTCGCGCTGTTGGTTCCGGGCTGCCGACAGTATTTTACGGGACAACGTGGAATCAACGAACTAGGGAATCGATAATAATTATAAACAGTTTTGAACAGTCTTTTGAAGGCGACTTACTTGCTCCTCGTCATCTTTCCTGAGCCGAATTTTGTTGCGGTTTTTGGATTTGGCGAATTTCGTGTTGTGAATGTCTTGCTCTAATGGAAGGTTTCGGACGGTTTGCCCGGTTTGTTTCTTAGTTTTGCCCATTTTTAATAGTTTTCGATAAATCTACAAACAACACGATCGCACGTGTTATTAAATAATTTGACATTGACAAATGTCATTATCTTCTTTTTTATTTGATTGTCAAATAACCAGTTGAATGGATGTTATAGAAGTAAGAGGCCAATATAAGAACGAAATAGAAGAACTAACTAATTAATTTTTGAATCAAAATATTTCTAATAGTCGATAAAAATAAATTCGCATTTTAAATATACAAAACTACTGTTATTCGAAAATTCCTTTTATACAAAAAGTTCCTTCGTCAATCGACAATACGTAATATAAATAACACAATTGCAATAAAAAAAGTCGAATATCGAATAATATATACACGCGCGCGCCTCGAATTCACCCTTATGTACATTTTCTTTTTATCGAAATTTCTATTCCGCCATATAGCGAACGTCCATCGTCGCGTCTAACTAATCATTTTCTTCACTAAATTATAATTAGAATAATTTAATTAACAACGTTATATACACAATTGAATTATCGATCCGATGCCCCCATCACTCTCCCTCCTGCGACGGTACGCTTTTATCGCCCGATGCGGCAGCAGGACTGCTTTGATTCGTCGCCGTCCTCGCCGCGCTCGAATTCACCACGTGAGCCAACACGTGCCTGCTTTGTATTCCTGCAATTAATCAATCAATTAATTACAACCTCCAATCAAATTAAAAACCCATCGATAGACGCAATTCCCTTTCGAAGTTAATCAGTAATTACTAAAGGCGCATATACACGTATCGAGTAGCTAAAGCGAGTTACTAAATCAAGTAACTAAATTTAGTGTAAACGAGCCTTTAGAATCTCTAGGTACCTTTGTTTTGTTGACCGGCCGCTTGGGCGATCGGTATCACTTTGACGCCCTGCAGGGCCTTAATATTAATGGCAGTGCCTTGGAAGCCGGCGGGCAACAGTATCTGTTGGGCGACAATCTGTCCGCCCTGTCCCTGCGAGGCGAGCACCACGCGTTGCGTGTTCGTCGCGTTGCTCGTGTGCAACCGAACGGGATGGCCACCGATCACGATCTGCCCCTGCGAGATCGACTGGCCCTGCGACTGGCCGCCCTTCGTCGTGAACACCACCTGCTGCTGACCCGATTGGACTTTCACCTGAGGACTACACCAAAAGAATTCGATTAGAATCTACCCGCCTCCGCTAAATCGATAAGACAGTTACCTAAAAACTATATTCGATTGATTGATAATGTTGATGCTATTCGCTCCGGTCGGTTGCGCTACATTGTTACTACCCGCCGTTTTAACGTTGGCGTTTTGCAACACCAAAGAGGCGGTCGACGAGCCGCCTTGCGTTTGCAATATCACATTCTGGCCTTGCAGGTTCTGAATGGAACCGCCGCCGGCCTTACCGCTCGCCAACAGCACGGGTTTACACCCCAATCCGCTCAGATTCAAATTGGCCATGCGCACGGCGTTCGCGCCGCCCCCTTTGGCGGTTTGCGGCGAACCGTTAGCGGCGGTTTTACCGCCCTGGGCGGCCGGCAACTGAAGCTGCAGCTTCGTCTGGCCGGCCTTCGGCTGTCCGATGACCAGCTTCTGGTCGACGCGTTGCACCACTTTGGCGTTGAGCAATTCGAATTGCTGCGCGCCGCCGACGACGCCGCCCTTCGCGTTGATTTTCGCCACGCCCGGCGCCTTGCCGAAGGAGCGACCGGCGACGGAGGCGGCGGTGGCGGGTTGTTGGGACGGCACCACCAGCTTCGGTTGCGTGGTGAGTGTGAGGATGTTGTTCGGCGAGCCGACGGTGAGCTGCGCTATGGCGGCCGATTTGGCGGCCGTCGAGAGGTGGATGAGATTCTGTTGGCCGGTTTTGGAGGTGGCCAAACGGAGCGTGGCGCCTGCGAAAACGCAAACACATTTAGAATTACAATAAAAACCGATAATCGAGCGCGATGCAAACGAACCTTGCGACAAAACGCTGGCCTGTTTTTGCTGCGGAAGCAAACTTTCCACGGATATCACTTGACCGGCAGCGTTCGTTAGAACTTTAGCTACCACGGGTCCTTGAGAGGAAGTCACCGATTTCACCACATCTGCAACACAAACACAATTTAACGATATCAATCGATAACTAATCGTAATGCGGCTAACGAACCGGCGTTAATTTTCTGCTGCCCCACGACCTGCGAACCGCCGCCGACGGTCGATTTCTGCACGTTAATCACGCCGCCTTTCTGCTTCAGAACGATCTGCTGCGGATTGGCCAACAGGCCGGCGTTCGGCAGGATTTTCTGCTTGATCGTCTGCAGGATCTGTTGCTGTTGGGCCTGCGTCAGATTGCCCTGCGTCTTGATCTGCACGCCGGCCTCGGCCTGCTTGGAAACGGCCACCGTAACGATATTGGCCTGTTGATCGGCGCCCGAATCGCCGCCGGCGGTCGGCGACGTCCTCAACAACGTCACGTTTTTGATGTTCTGCAATTGGAGGATTTGCTGTTGCAGCACGCTATTGCCCGCCGGCGTTTTCGCTTTGGGTTTCTCCTGTTGTTGTTCGCTCGCTTCGAGCTGCTGCTGTTGGTGCTTTTGCACCAAAATCTGCTTCTGCTGAGCGAGCGTTTGGAGCAATTGCTGCGTTACAGCTTGCTTGGGCGAGCCCGATTGCTCCTGCAAGTGCTTCAGGAACTGCGCGTTCGTCGTCGGTATGATCAACGATTTGCCTTGAGACGGCGACAGGATTTTAACCAGACCTTTGGCTGTAATACATCAACACAAAATCAATCAAAAATCCTCCTTAAAACTAAAAGAAAATTTACCGTTTTTCAGCGTAGGACTCGACACTCGACCAGCTTGCACCATCCCCAAACCCTTCCCCATCAGAACCTCGGCGGCGGCGTCTTTCGCCTGCTTCGAAGGAGCGTTGGACGAGGCGGCGGCCAGCGGAGGCGGCTCGTTCGACATAACCGGCGCGCCGACGACGACGCCCGCCGTCGTCTCCTGCTGCTGCTGCTTGGGCGGGTTGTTGCTCAACAGCAGACTGGTCCCTTTCGGCGGGGCGGCGACGGTCACGAGTCCGGGGAGCGGCGCCGCTTGAGTGCTTTGCACCGTCACCGCCGGATTTTGCGCCGGCGGCGGTTGCTTGACGGACGGCGGAGGCGGCGGTTGGACCGCGGCGGCGACGCTCGACCGACGCGCCGCTTTGACGGGCCCGGTTTCGTGCAACGGAGGCGGCGGCGGCGGCGGCGATTCGGTTTTGCCCGTTTTCGATTTATCAGGCGATTGTTTCTGCTTGGGTTGTTTCGCCGTGGATTTCTTCGCCGGGGTTTTCTTCGTTTTATTAATTCCTGTACGACAAACCACACGTTAGATTCGTTACGATTAATTAGGGATCGTACAAACCTTGGTATTGTTGGTGTATCCGTTCGAAATCCTCCTCGCTTCGATTTCTATGCAAATAGATCCAAATCTTCTTTTTGGCGTCGTACTTAACGCAAGGATCCCATTGTGTATGCATCCTGTCCAAAGCGCCCGACACCACCGATTGCAGCACGTTGTCGGGGGCGGTGCTCGATATGTACTGCGAGGATTTGAGCAATTCGCATATCTCCGCCCTGGTGCCTTCGCCGTTGGGCAACCGGGCGGCGGCGTCCCTCACTAACGATAAAATAGTAACGAAATTCGGCCTGTCGGCCGACAGCATCGTGTGACCGCGCGCTTTGCTGCTCCCCACCGCCGGATTGTAGATGCCCTTGATGGGCCCCACCACCGATTCGTAGCCGTTGTGCCGATAGGTAAAAGCCTTGTGGGGATTATCGTACCTACAAAACACACACACACACAACATTATCCAAATTACGAATCCACTTGTACATTACACACCTCTTCCTCTCCTGTTCTCTAAACTCTTTAATCTCATCGCCGGTCGCCTTTCGAACGGTCCAAGTAGTCGGGTACCTCGGAGGCGGCGGGCTGCTCGATCGATCCGTTATATCCACGTCGATTTCCTCCCGACCGGCGGCGGCCTCTTTCGTTTCGGTTTTGTGCTCGAGCCAGAAGGCGCACAGGCCGTTCAACAGGGCGTCGGAGTCCCTACCGGCGCCTATCCATTGGTAAACGTCCAAGTTCGTTTTGTACTCCACGTACGGTACGAAATCTTCGGGTTGGTCCGAGGCGTTGCCGCACAAAAACGTTATGGCCGACGGTAATACGTCGATCCAATTGTCGGCGAAGCTGTACCAATCGTTCAACGGACTTATCGGGTTCTCTTGCCACGTTTTTATCCTACAAAAACAGATATTTAAATACGGATTATAATATAGAAGGTATCACGTACCGTTCTTGTAAAGTGTACATGCTCATTCGGTGATCGCAAGTGGAGCACACGACGTCCCGTACGAGCGAAAAGAAATTCGAATGGGTGTCTTGCATGAGCTCCGGTTTGTTGCTCAATTCCAATATGTCGATGTCGGAGTTGTCGAGATCTATCGGGATGTTCATCACGTCGATACCGTCGAGATCTTCTACGCAAGCGGGCGTAATCTTTCCATATTGGCTAATACTGTTGATCGGTTGGTAAACGGGACTCGGAGCCGGGACGGTCGCGTTCGGTTCCTTCTTAATTTTCACGTTCCGATTGGGTTTCTTGCTCCTCGACGGGTTCTCCAAGGCGTCCGAATCGGAGTCGGAGTTGGAACTGCGAGAGATCTTGTGGTTGAACACGTGCTCGGACTGTTTCCGTTTGGCCTTCTTCTTGCCGATCGACTTCGATTCCGCTCGATGCTTGGTCGTTTTGCTGTAGGGCAACCGCGTGCGACGCACCACGTCCGCAATAGTGACCCCCTTGGTGTTCAATTCGGGCTCGTCGCGCTCGAGTTTCCGGCGCTTGTGCTCGCGCATCAAGCCCCTGTAGGAGTCGTCGTTGACGTAGAACGGATTGTGGCCGGGCGTGATGTACTTCTCGAGGTCCAACGGAAAGGCGTGCGCCTTGCCCACCATCGTCGAACTGTAGAACGGCTCGTCGGCGTTGCTCAGGCTGCTGCGGATGCCGCTGAGGTGGCGCTTCTGTTTGCGCGACAACGACCCGGGCGGGCCCTCCGGGTAGTTCTCGTCCGACGAGCATCCCGCGTCGTCGGCCTTCGACTTGACGGCTTGGAGGGTCTGGAAGTAGCGGCGTTTGGTGCGCGAGCAGACGTAGTCGACTTTCGTGTGGCGTTTCGGTCGCTTGGGCTCGACGCCGGGCGGCAGGTGCCTGGCTTGGGCGAGCAGCTCGCGTTGGGATTCGACTATTTCGTCTTTGAGTTGCTTGCGGTACAACTTGTAGCGGTACTTGGCCTCGTTTCGTTCGGCTTTGCGGATGATCTTGCGCATGCGAGCTATGTCGGGCCGGAAGTAGCCGGCTTTGAGGTCGTCGTGGAACTTCACCAGGGGGCTCGTGAATTTGAACACGTCGAAATCGAAGAGTCGTTGCAGGGTTTTGGTCTTCTCCAGTTCGTCGTCTTCGGGGAAATTGGGCAGGAAGGTTTGCAGGTGTTGTCTGTTGTCCTCGGATAGGGAATTCCACGTTTCGGTCGATAGTATTTCCCTGAATATGTCCTGTCGTTCGCACAGGCCTTGGGGCAATTGGAGCCTGACGTTGCCGATTTGCGCCACTTCCATGCCATCGTCGTCCGAGCTTTCTGTGCTGTAATCCGACGAACTGTCTTCGCTGGTCGAATTATCCATTTTTATAACCTACAAAAAATAATTGGCACATATTAAAATGCGTTCCCCGTACGCGATAAATACATACGAAAGGTGCATGACCCTATCCCGAACGAAAATCCGCGGAGCACCGAGCGAATTTAGAGCGTTCATGACTGAAAATAATTTATTACATCCAATCAAGGTCACCTCTAATGCGGAATTACGATTAAATACGCTCGAGCCGTTATTATCCAGACATATTAATTGGTAATTTAACGCGACGATACGAGGGTATACCATCAATAAACAAAACGGGTTTGGATTTGAAAAAGGCGGGGGGGAAGGGGACGGTGGAGGCACGAGGTGTTTCAAAAACAATTCAATCAGTACACACCTATCCAGCAGAACTATGTTTTTTCCAGAAATATCTCGACAGCGCTCGCTATTAACTCGCATAATACAGGCACGCCTGCATTGCGGATATAGATATACCGAAACAACGCATATTCACCTCTAACGACTCGCCGCGAAACCATTTTGGTAGAAGCCATCAACGCCGAAATCCGTTCGAGATTCAACGATGTTCGCATCCGATGTAATCATCGCATTTCCGCCGGCGCCTTTCGATTTGTCGCTTTGGTGTTTTAGAAGGCGCCTGAACGATAAACCGGCCGATTTCGCGTCCGAATTCCATCCGAAAAGGCGATACGAAAATTACGGATTATCCGACATTTAAACGAACGTTGGTGATTTTTCGATTTTCTACGTTGGCACATCCGCCGATTGACGTTTTGACACTATTGACACGTCGCGGTATCTGCGCACGCGTCAATTTACACCAACATGGCGTTGAATTTGCAAGTAAAAGTTCACCCGGTGGTGCTGTTTCAAATCGTAGACGCTTACGAACGGCGAAATGCGGATTCCCATCGAGTCATCGGCACCCTACTCGGTGAGTCTACCATCCAACTCCAACCTCATCGCAAACATTCAACATAACCTAAAATATTCCAGGAACGTCCGACAAAGGTATCGTAGAAGTGACGAATTGCTTCTGCGTGCCGCACAAGGAGTACTGCGACCAAGTCGAGGCCGAACTGTCGTACGCCATGGACGTGTACGATCTAAATAAGCGAGTGAACTCCAGCGAGGCGATCGTGGGCTGGTGGGCGACGGGCCACGAAGTCACCAATCACAGCTCCGTCATACACGAGTACTATTCGCGCGAATGCAACAACCCCGTCCACATAACGGTCGATACGAGCCTGCAGAGCGGCCGGATGGGCCTCAAAGCCTACGTTTGCGTGCCGCTGGGCGTCCCGAACGGCAAGCAAGGCTGCATGTTCACGTCCATACCGATCGACATCGTTTGCTACGATCCGGAGGTGTTCGCGCTGCAATTGTGCCAGAAGACGATGAGCGCCGGCGCGATGCGACAGCGCAACGTGAACCCCATGCTGGATCTGAACCAGGTGGCCGAGGCCGGCGGCAAAATGAGCGTCATGTTGGATCAGGTGTTGGGTTACGTGGAGGACGTGCTGGCCAACCGGACGCCCCCGAACAACGCCGTAGGCAGGGCTCTGTTGGACCTCGTCAATTCCGTGCCTCACATGAGCAACGAGCAATTTTCGGAGATGTTTAACAGCAACGTGAAGGACCTTTTGATGGTTATAACGTTGTCGCAGTTGATTAAAACGCAGTTGCAGTTGAACGAGAAATTGACGCTGTTGACTTCTTTTTGAATAAACTAGAAGGTATCGAACGGGTTTGTTTAATTATTTAGTACGGGGTTGTCTCGCAACTATCGATAGTTAGTTTTGAGCCTGTACGCTTAGAAATCCTATACACTTCGATTTGTTGTAAATAAGAAGTTTTTTTTAAAAAATATATTGAATAAAGATCTTAACAAATTAAGAAACTGCTACATAAACATTAAATTTGCATACTATCAGTTGCTAAATCATCGTTTTTTTCGTGCATATCAAGCACGTGCGCGTTTAATAGTTCTTCAGAAGCAAAACCAACGGAACAATGGTCGCATTTAAACTCCGCGTTATCCTCTTTAACGTTGTGCACTTCCCACAAGTGATTGTTCAGAAACTCCGAGCTGCCGAAGCTCTCCGAGCACACGTGGCACTTTCGCACCTCGTGCAGCCTTTCGTGTATGCTCAGCGCGTAATTCGTGGCGAAGCCCCGTTCGCAGACTTTGCAAAACCACGCTTTGGCCTCTTCGATGCCGTGCTTGGATTTCAAATGCGATTTTAGGGACACCCGTTGCCTGAACCCTTCGTTGCAGTACTCGCAAACGAACGGTTTCTCGTTGGTGTGCTGCCGTTTGTGGGTCTTGAGGGCGTAGGAGGAGGAGAAGCCGGTGCCGCAGTATTCGCAAACGTGCGGCCTCAGTTTCTGGTGGGTCATCTTCGCGTGCGATCTCAGATCGCCGTTGGTGAAGAAGCACTTTCCGCAGACGTCGCACTTGAAGTTTCTGACGTTCAAATGCTCCTTTTTCTTGTGTAGTATAAACTTGTATTTGATCCTGAAGCCTTTGCCGCACAGTTCGCAGACGTACTGCTCGGCGGCGTTTTTGTGCTGGTAGAAAATGTGGCCGCGCAGGCTCTCGATGTTCTTGCAGGTGGCCCCGCAGAGGGAGCACACCGAGGGGCCCGCCGTGTGGAGCATGAGGTGTTTCTTGAAGTTGTCGGATCGTATTATCCTGCCGCAGACGTGGCATTCGGTTTTTTTGTGTTTCATGCAGTGGAGGCTGTAGGCGGATTTTTCGGTGAATGTCTCGTTGCAGGTTTCGCATGTGAAGCTTGTGGGTCTCAATCGTTTTTGTACTCGGGCTATTACTTGCTGGAGGTCTTCGGTGCTGTTGGCGGGAAGTTCGGCGCTGTCGCTCGAAGCTTCGGGAGGTTCTTGTTTTATAGGTAAATCGGATGTGTTAGATGAAGTTTCGGCTAGACTTTCTACGCTTTCGATAATCGGAAGCGGCATTACGACGTTTTGCTGTTTCGTAGTTGGTTTTTTCACGTTATTTTTCAATGTTTTTTTCACTATTTTGTCGTTGGAGGTCTTTTTGGATTTTTCTAGTAACTGTTTTTTCGTATTCAAAGCGTCTACCAGAATTTTGTGGGCTTTTATGATGCGTTTTTTAACAGTTAACGCCAATTGTACGTCCTTAGCGCATTTCGTGCAGCTGAATTTGGGGAGTCCATCGGACTCTTTTACCTGCAAAACGTAATCTTGTAATATTTACATTACAATAGCTTGTAAGATAACGTTACCTTTATGGACGTCAGTATTTCCAACATTTTAGGAAAATCGCCTCCAAATATATTTACTCTCGTCGAAGTTCTCGTTAAACATAATCTACACTGATACAGTTGCGTCTGGTTATTCATTTTTAATAAAGTTTACATCAACCTTACGTTCGTTCCCTTAGGGTTTATTACTTTCATCAAACTGTCACAAACGTCAAAACAAGTCATTTGTCAACTAAAAAAATCTAAAACTTGGCTGTCTAAAGAATTCGTACGAGGCATCTTACGAAAAAGATGACAAGACAGTGACAGACATCATTATCAAAATAATTTATCAAAAATAAATAAATATAAATCGTGGGGCGGTATGGCGAACGACAGGGAAATCCTACGCGAAATATGGGAAGGCAAACTTCCCATATGCTTCCGCTTGGACAGCGAAGAAGTGGCGGATGTTCGCGAACCGGATCCGTTCTATCTGATGGTGCCCCGACTCAGTTATTTCCCTTTAGTGACCGACAAAGTAAAGAGACACTTCGTAAAGTACGTGGACAGCGAGAAGTCCGAGCAGGAGATGTGGCTGGAGTACAACGGGCAGCCATTGAAATGGCACTATCCGATCGGTGTCCTCTTCGATCTGCTCTTCGATAAGGACGAGATACTACCTTGGAATATAACCGTTCATCTAGATAAATTCCCCGATGCTGAGATCTTCAGGTTTAGTAATAAGTAAATTGTTGATATTGTCTCATTCGATTCATATTTAACGATAAATGGTTTTTGTAGAGATATGGTAGAATCGTATTTCATGTCCTGTTTGAAGGAGGCCGATGTGTTGAAACATAGAGGACAAATCGCTGGTAGTATGCAAAAAAAAGACCACAACCAATTGTGGTTAGGACTTCAAAACGGTACGTTTGTTACAGCATATAATCGTTCGAATTTAACTGAATGTTTGTAGATAAATTCGATCAATTCTGGGCTGTAAATAGAAAACTAATGGAGACCACGAACGATACGGAGTATTTCAAGTACATTCCATTCAGGTGTTATTTAGAAAACGGCTATAAACAGAAGTTGGTTAAACCCGTAGGAGACAACGGTAGCAAAAGAACGTTGCAAGATCTTTTAAACGAAATGTTCCCGGACCAACCGGAAGGTTCGCATTAATCCTGAACGTTTGAATAAGCATATTAAATCGTTTATTTGTTTCAGTGCAAATAAAGACTCACGGGTTAATTCCTCCGTTAGATACCCCCTTGCAATGGCTGTCTGAACATTTAAGCTATCCAGATAATTTTCTACATTTATGCGTAGTTTAAGGTAGCTTTATCCGAAGGTTTATGTTACGTGTAATATTCGATTTTATGACTGTATTTAGTTTACTCCTTTCAGCGGACTGTAAAGAATGTTTGCATTTTTTCCAAACCGAATTCCATACTTTTTATATTTTCGTTTCGAATTATTTGATAATAAACGTCAGTATTTATATTACGTGTTTCGTTGAGGCGATGAATAATCCTTAAACGAAAAGATAAAATAAAATTTATATTTAATCAAAAACAGTTGGTCTTATAAATGATAATTAAACACTAAAAGTCCATCGGGTAAATATATTTACCCTCTATCTTACCACATTTACCACTTATTACCACCTCCTCCAGAATTCCTATTAAAACCACCGCCTCCTCCTCTATTGAAACCCCCGCTATTCCTATTAAAACCTCCACCACCGCCACCTCCGTATCCTCCTCCACCACCGCCACCTCCGTATCCTCCTCCACCGCCTCCACGACCACCTCCGAAGCCGCCTCGGCCTCCTCCTCTTCGGTCTCCGAACCCTCCGCCTCCTCTCCCCCGGCCGCCGCCGCCTCCACGTCCTCCTCCACCGCCCCTGCCACCTCTACCGCCTCCCCCGCGGCCTCCTCCTCTTCCGCCGCCGCCGCGCTTCTTAGCACCGGGCGGTTGCGGAAGGAACCTGTGCAGAGGAAGGAGCTTGGCGGGGTCTATGAATAACTGGAAAATAATTCAATTAGTAACAGTTTAAAAGTGACTAGATTGAGGTATACTTTTTGGTTTGCTTGGAAGCTTCCAGCTCTCATGTCGTCTCCGAGTTTGATGCTGACCCAATAGTCCCGGATGTTTCCGAATATCTCGTCTATCTTGCCGATTTGTTGCTTGTTTTCGAGGTAAATGGGGGCGTTGAAGTAGGGCACGTCTTCGATTTCGACTTTGCACACCAGGTCGTCTTGCACGGACTTTTCGTAGTAGCCTAGGGGGATGACGCGCTCGGGGGGGCCCTGATCGAAGCCCCTGCCGCCGCCGCCGCCGCGGAAACCGCCGCCTCTGCCGCCGCCGCGGCCTCCGCCGCCCGAAAATCTACCGCCTCCGCCTCCTCGAAACGACATCCTACAAAAGGGAATCGGATAAATACACGGTACACGTGCTTGCGGACATAACCTACAAATCGTAACCTACAAAAGTTTTAGTTCGAATTGAAATAGTTCATTTGTTAGCTTTATAATTTGTATAGTAAATTGTTGATGAAGTTTGTTTATATAGAAGATGAAATGTTATATTAATAAATAGTGGTTTACCTGCTAAATGTACACTTTTGTTATTATTTTGTTTACAAGTTTTTCAAACAGTCAATCATAGACAAATACCAAAATAGATACGTCACTTTACAGTCTTCTTCTTCTTCGGCCTCTTGTCTAATGACATACAGCCAGGTTCTGCTTATGACTACAAAAAAAAAGAAGAAAATAAATAGCAATCTATCAATTGTTAATAGTAGTTTCAATAGATGGCGGTAGCGATCAATTGGCGCGAATTTTGAAATTCTTCTTTGAACGGGTTATGAATGACTACCAATGAAAAACGTTTAGTATCTATTTAACGCAAAGACTCTTGTATGTAAAAGGTTTTTAATAAAAAAATACGTTACTTGTTACAAAATAATAATAAAATTAATCTAAATTTGCTCATTTATTGGTCGATGATGTAATTTGGATGAACAACCAACAACGGATTGTCGTCTTCACTCGCCTGTGATTTCCCCTTTTCTTTTAAACCCGCGCTCGTTAGGGATATAATTATTTTATCCTAAAAAAAAAAAAAAGTAGAATAGAATCTTTTGCGAAACGAATAAAAATACGCTTACATTGTAGATCAAACGATGGAGTACTTTCTCGAACAAATCCTTCTTTTCGATCAACTCCGCCTCGCTGTCTATTTCATCGGCTATTTGGTTCAAATACCACCCGACCAAATCGCTTCGATGCATCCCTTCCTTACCCTCTAAAAACCAAAATAAATCACAAACCGTTTCGTATCCATCGAAAAAAACCATCTTCACCTTCTTCCGTTCGATTCTCCTCTCTCCTCATATGCACCACAATCATATTACTGAGCGTCCTGTACTCCTCGAAACTCAGCACCATCTTCTTCTTAGCCGAAGCCTGCGAGGGATCCGGAGCATCCACCTCCATCGTCTCGGCTTCCTCGTGCACCTCCTCCTGCTCGTCCCCCAGCTGTATATCGGGCTGTTCGACTCTAATGATAGACTTATTCAGCAACCTGTAGGCCTCCCGCACGTGCTTCGGTTGCACCTCGTCCGATATCTCCATCCGAGCCAAAGCTTCGGACAACCGAATCATGCTCTCCAGTTGCCTGACCGTTATCCTCCAAGTGGATTTCCCCGTGCTGGTGCTGTCTCGCAGCCTCAATTTACTGTAGTAGTGCACGAGCAGGTCACCCGATTCTTTGTTCAACGCCGGTTTGAATTTCTTCGCGAAGCTGATGTACTGGAGCACCTCTTGCTTCGAGTACACTCGCTCGACGGTCTCCTCCAAATTGCAGTTCAAATCGAGTATCTTCCTGGCTATGGCGTAATCGATTACTTCGTTGCATTCGTCTACTAGTATGAAGAACAGGTCGAATCGAGACATGATGGGGGCCGAGAGGTTGATGTTCTGTTGCAACGATCTGGCCCTGTCGTACCTCCCACCGATCGGGTTAGCGGCCGCCAGTATGGACGTTCGGGCGTTCAAAGTGGCCCTTACGCCGGCTTTGGCGATCGAAATCGTTTGCTGTTCCATCGCCTCGTGTATGGCCACTTGGTCTCTCACCTCCATTTTGTCGAATTCGTCGATGCAACAGACCCCGTTGTCGGCCAACATCAGCGCACCGGCTTCGATGACGAACTCGTGGGACTCCTCGTCTCTGACGACGGCGGCCGTTAGACCGGCGGCGGAAGAGGCCTTGCCCGACGTGTACACGGCCCTCGGCGAGAACTCGAACACTTGCTTGAGGAATTGGCTCTTCGCCGTGCTGGGGTCTCCGACTATGCAGCAGTTGATGTCGCCTCGTAGGGATGTGCCTGGTTTGCGAAACAACTCGATTAGCTACATTATGTTATTCGGTGGTAATTAATCATACCTTCGACTGTAGTTTTCGAGACTCCTCCGAACAACATGAGCAAAATGCCCTTTTTGACCTCCTCGTTTCCGTGTATGCTCGGGAACAGGCTGTTGATCAAGTTGACGTATAAATTCTTGTCGTGGGACATTTCGTACATGTGGGTCCATTCACCTTCGGTCATGTGTTGCTTCATTATGTCGGGCGTGATTTCGCCCGTTGGCATGTCGATGGCGCCGAATTTCGGTATTGTTGGCTGGACGCTGCACGCTAAAAAGGCCATCCGGTAATGGAGGTCTCTCACTCCTAAGGCTTTGAGGCCTCGGACGCCTTCGGACTCCTCCGGTCGGGTGTTTTTCGAGCCTATTTGGGTTTTGCCGCCGGGCAGAGCGAGAGCCCCCACGTCCGGGACTACTATGAGGGTGCCCGTGAAATCGTAGCAGTCTCCAGCCTGTCGGAGAAAAAAATATAATGTACTTGTACTATAGAGCTGCATAAAATGATACTTACTTGAACTGTTTCGACGTTTTCTGCTCGGAGGATGATTTCGACGCTTCGCGGGACACATCCTCGGGGGAGCTCCGTTTGGGTTTCTTGTATTCGAACTTTCTGGAAATCCACGAATTGGGACTTGTCGATGTCTAATGTGAATTTCCGACGGTTATTACACACCGGGTTTCTGCATATAGTAGGATTAGTGAACTGCGAATAAATGGAATTATTAATTCGATTCCATCGGAGTGTAATTCGTTACGAATCACCTTGAATTGTTGCTCGATATTTTTGATAACGGTCTGGCAGTCGGCGCAGGTGAAAGTGCCGGAGATTAATTCGGGATGTACGGGGTGGGTGCGAATGACTTGGCCGGAGATCCGAACGAGGGTGCCGATCTTGTCGGTTTTGAGCTCTCTGACTTTGTGCCTGGTCGGGACGTCCGTGAAGCTGATGTAGCAGTCCTTTTCCTTCTTCAGGCCGGACCTGTCTTTGACGAAGTTCGACAGGGCCAGGCACAGGAACGGGTAGATCCTGAGGTACTCCTCGATGATGGTCGTGGCGAGGTTCTGGTTGTATTTCTCCACGTCCTCGAAGCTGACTTCGATGGTGCTGCGCTCTTCGTTTTGCAGCTCCAGGGCCGCTTCGAGGTATTTCACTTCGCCGTCCTCTTTGTACCTTTTATTAGATCGCGAAGCTCGAGATGTGTAAGGGAAATGGATGTTGTATACTTACTCTTCCAAAAAATCGTGAAACAACTTCTGGCATCTTATCCCGATTTCGTCTCGGTGCTGCCTCTGGGTCACGTAAATGTCCGCGACATCCATAATTAGTAGAAATTCGGTTTACAATTCACATAAAAACGCACCACGGTGGTAAACAATCGGTAACTTTTATTTGGCGGGAAAGAGTCGCGTGAAGTTAGCTGCATAGAGAAAGAAAGATTTTATTTGCTTCTGTCACCTGTCACACTAAATGACATCGGACCTCTCATTCTAAAATGTGCGTATTTCTCTCCAATTGGAACGTATAGCGTGTTTTTAAAAAATAGTTAATGAAATTATTAAAAATAACGAAAATCAGAACGCAAAAATAAGCATATGCATTACATTGAAATAATAAATACATTATGTACGCACGTATTCCATATTCATATTATATTTTATATTGTAATAATTACTATCATAAGTTAAAAATTCCGATATCACCAGCAAGTGTTGGTTTTATGTCAATAATTAGGCAGGTATAGGAAATAATAAGTAGTTATAACTTGAAAAATGATACGTTAGGCACATACAGAGTGTCCCAACGAAAATTGCACCATTCAATCAGCTGTAAGTTTAGTTATAGCAACGCTAAAATTATGCATGAAAAGAGATATTTTAATCAAACACCCTGTACAGGCAATAAAAGTTATAGTAAAATAAAACATCAGCGAAAACCGCATGTTTTAAACGAGCTCTACTTTTCATTGGGACACCCTGTATTTAAATACTTTAGTTGAAAAAAACTCGCAAATTAATGTTTACAGTAATTTACTCTTGTATTGTTATGTTTATATACCTCGAATATTCCGCATACAAAGCGTACTATGATTATATTCCATTTAAATACAAGAATTTTAAACATATTTAATATCGCATTTACCGGAATAAATTAAAATCACAGTTCGTGCCAGTCAGTTCGTGGTTTATTTGTTATTGTTCACCAAAAGTTGTCGAATCGGATCGCAAAAATGAGCCTAGAAGATACCAAGAATGCAACAAACCAAAAAGAACAAACCCAATTACCTCCCGATGGAAAACCAGACACGTTATTCCTCTACATTTCCATTATAACTGGTAAACAACACACTCGATTTATCGAATTAAAAATTACCTCAAGTGTAAATACATTTCAGCTCAATTGATATCAATCGCATTCGGCGCTTCGGCGGTGTGGACTTCCCCGGTACTGGGAAAACTCCAACAGAACGACACCGAAACCAACCCCATCGGCAGGCCCATCACCACCGTGGAAATCTCCATGCTGGCAGGAATACCGGAGCTCACCAACACCATCGGCATCCTCCTGATGCCCAAGCTCTCCGACGTCTTCGGCAGGAAGCGGTATTTGCTCTGCTCCGGCCTGGCGATGCTCCTAGCAGGAATCGGTCTAGCATTCAGCAACACCGTGCTCCTGATGATAGTCGCCAGATGTCTCTTCGGCTTCTCCGGAGCCTGGACAGTCGTATGTCTATACATAGCTGAAGTGTGCGAGGATCACAACAGAGGAAAATTCGGGTGTTACTTCGGGATTTTCCACCAATTAGGCAATTTGTTCGGCTTCGTCATCGGCCCGTTTTTCAGCGTGAAAACCTTCACTTTGATCACGACAGCTCCCATGTTGGTGTTCGTTGCAATCTTCGCGGTGGTGCCGGAGACTCCGATTTACCTGCTGGTGAAAGGTAGAGAGGAGGAATGCAAGATGGCGTTGAGGAGATTGCGGAGCAACAAAAGCGAGGAGGAGATAGAGCGGGATTTGGAGGGGTTGAAGGTGATTCGGGCGAAGCAGAAGGAGCGGAAAGGGAAGTTGGTGGATTTGATCAAGAAACGGGAAAGTTTGCTGGCTGTTTTGTTCGGTTTGATACCGTTGTTGACGAAGTATTTGTCGGGAGTTACCGTGATTTTCACGTTTCTGGCGCCGTTTTTCGATTCAGCTGGTACTAGCTTATCGGGCGATATCGTAGCGATTATAGTAGCAGTCGTTAAAATCGTATTTTTCGTACTAACTTCATTCGTTATCGAGAGATTCGGCAGGAGAATATTGCTTCTCATATCATCCACTGGTACAGCAATACCCCTGTTTCTACTAGGAATTTATTTCTACCTACAAAGCATCGAATCAACTATATTAGTACACCTGGATTGGATACCACTAACCTGTCTTTTACTAACGGTTTGTTTATACGGATTAGGTTTAGGACCGATTCCTCAGCCTTTTATATCCGAACTTCCATCGGCTGATCTTCGAGCGGTGACTTCTTCGTTAGTGCATTCGATTGGTAGTGTTGTTTCGTTCGCTTTAACTTTTTTGTATCCCCTCGTATCGGAGTCGCTGGGCAACCAATGGTGCGTGTGGTGGTTTAGTGTGAATTGCGCCGTTGGTTCGATTTTGATGTATTTCTTCTTGCCGGAAACCAAGGGAAGGAGTTTCGAAGATATACAGGAGATGTTGAAAGGTAGAGAGGAACATTGAAAGTTTTTAAAGGCGATTTTAGGCACCAACAAGACTGGTAAAGAAACCAATTTGGTACTTTTGTTATCTAATTTTTATGTGTGAAATTAGCTAATATTGTTTGAATTATAGTATATTTGTTAGTAGGACATTAATCATGTATAATAGTTGCGAATATTCTTTGGTTAATACTTAACAATCAGATAAAGCCTTTGTCAATTAACAAAGCAAATTTAAACTGATAAAAGTTGATGTAAATTGTATGCGAATATTATTTTAAAATTGCGAAATTGGAAATTGAATATTACTAGTATCTACTATACTAGTACTATACTAGTACTATACTGTATTATAACCGATAAAGTGGATATACGAGGGTAATTTGAATAGAAGAATTTTATGAAATTATGAAAAGAAAAACGTTTCAAATAAAGATCTTTTAAATTGAAGATACATGTAATTTTTGTAAAAATCCATCTGAGAATAATTGCCTTTGTAACTGGAAGTTTTTTCAACTTTTTAGTTGATTGAACAGTTTTTTAACTTATCAAGGATGAATTGAAAATTTTATACCAACTTTTAGACCAACTGAAGAAAATTTTAGACCAAATAAGGTGACATTGTAGATTTGTGGAAAAAATGTTTTGCCTAAAAATATGTAGACGTTTTATTATTTTGTTAGGTTTAAGATACCAGGTGATTTATTTCATTCCATCATGACATTCATAACAAATAATATTGCATTGAAAAAAAAATATATATTTAATTTTAAATTATTTAAACATGCATTAGTGCATTCATTCACTTAGTTTTAGCACAGTTGTATTGGTATTTTATAAACAAATGTTAAGAAATAAAAGGCGTCTAATTATTTCATTACAATTGGGGTAGTAGGTAATATTTGTTTTTTTTTTATTTATTTGTTTTTAATAAAATGCGCTAATCTACGAAATGAATATGCGAAATTTTTCGATTTATTAGAAAACCTGGACTATATTTCGGGATCTTCTCATCACTTTTAACAGTGGCGTTTCATCTTTGTTTGTTACTGATCCTCTCATAAATAATCACAATTTAATTTAGATTTACGCCGTTGAATAGAGGTATTAGAAAAAGCGATAAAATTGCATTTTCCACGGATTAACTTCGAAACATTGTTTGCTATTCCCAGGGTTTTAAATCCACCGTCCGACTCGCGTTCGTTTCAAATAATACTCTCGTAAATTTATCAAAGCACCTTCACGGATTCCTAAAAAGAAAATTTCCCAAATTTTCGAGTTTCGCACGACCGCTTTTTTAATTCATTCAACGCCGCTTCGATTCAGATACTATACAATGAAGGTGACACAGGATGATACCTACAGTGAACATCGTCCATTATCAATTACCAAAAGTGATACTTTATTTTTGTACAGTTCCGTTGTAACTGGTAAGATTACATTGATATTTCTAGAAAGATGTAGATGCACCTTTGCAAAGTTAGATAAACCACTAAATTTAGGTTTAATTAGGCAGGGAAGGATGTGTTTTCACAAGGAAATCTAAGGAATGTTGTTTATTGCTAGATTTATTTATTTTTCGAAGATATTATAACTATAAGAGACTAAATTATTTGTGAAAAATCATTACATTTATTCATTCTCTCAAACACACACCCTGTATTATCTCAGGATGCGACGTTGTCGGTTTTAATTGTCTGTAACAATTATTTGAAAAAATTCTTTTAAAAAAATGACATTTGATGTTCCTATAACTACAATTTTTATATTGTATACTAAAACAATATGTTTTTAATAAAATTATTCTTTAAAATTTTAAGTATATGTAAGGTAAACATTAAAAAAAATCAATATTCATTTAAAGAAATATTAAAGATTGTAAACATCTACATAAATACGGCCACGTTGTGACCTAAATTACGAATTTAACCCATTTTGAAAAATGACAAGTGACAGGTGTCATCGCAACGTTGCTAGTAAAATCTAACAACTATTTTGTGTTTGTATGCATTTTTTCGATTTATTTCAAGTTTTTTTAATAACTTTTGTTAAAAATATAAACAATAATGGTACATGCCTGTGTTATGTGCAAAATAGTGGATTAATTAAATCCAGATTTGTCTTTTCATCAATAAGTAAAATTAACATATATTTGTTTACATTTGAACCAGTGACGTGCGGCACCCGATATTCTTTTGAAACTCGTTAAATTATTCTTATACCGATAAATAATCATTGAATAACTTATAGTAGCCACTTAAAAGTAACAAATTAACGTTAAAATGAGCTTTAAAAATGTGAAAATGATTTATTTCGTTCCAAATGCCGTTTAGATTCAAAGAAAGAATGACATTTGTGTCATTGCAACTTTTCACTCTGTCAACTGTCATTTTATCAATCTTTCTTTGTTCAACTCATAGAAACCACCATGTTTTGCGACGTCGAATTGAAGCAATCGGTATATAGGATTTATCGCAGAAACATTTAATCTCTCAGTTGTAATTTTCCCACGCAAAACTCGCTAATCAACCGAATCTATTTCCAGCCGAATTACTATTGGTAGCGACCGGCTCGTCGATGGTATGGCCTTCACCGGTGCTGGGCAAACTGGCCTCCAACGACACGGCAACCAACCCGATCGGCCGCCAAATCACCACCGTCGAAATCTCCATGCTAACGGGCATCCCCCAATTCACCAACATCCTCGGCCTCCTCTTCTGTCCCAAACTATCCGACGTCATCGGCCGGAAGCGCTACTTGCTCCTCGCCGGAATCGGCATGCTCATATCCGGCGTAGCTCTGGCATTCAGCGATAGAATCCTCTACATGATCCTCTGCAGGTGCATTTTCGGGTTCTTCGGCGTGATGAGCGTGGTGCCCGTGTACGTAGCGGAGATCTGCGAGGACCGCAATCGCGGGAAATTCGGCTGTTACACGGGCATGTTGCACCAAATCGGCCATCTGTTCGGCTTCGTCGTGGGGCCCTTCCTCAGCGTGAGGTACTTCACGCTGGTCGTGACTGCTCCATTGCTGGTGTTCATCACGGCGTTTCCGCTGATGCCCGAGACGCCGGTCTATCTGCTGAAGCACGGCAGGATAACGGAGTGCAAAGCGAGCTTAAAGAAGCTGCGGAGGAACAAAAACGATGATGAGTTGGAGTTGGATTTGAGGCGGTTGGAGGAGCGCTTGAGAAACGAGCCCGAAGGGGACGTGTTGAGTTTGTTGAAGAAGCGCGAGCATTTGTTCGGGTTGTTGTTGAGTTTGTTGCCGGTTATGTTGAGGTATTCCTCGGGAGTGACTGTGTTGTTTACGTTTTTAGCGCCGTTTTTCGATTCCGCTAAAACCGGTATCTCCGGTGATTTGGTAGCAATCATTATAGCTATAGCGAAAATATGTTTCTTCCTTTTAACATCTTTAGTTGTAGATAGATTCGGAAGGAGAAAAATGCTACTAGTTTCATCTTGTAGTACAGCAGTACCTCTATTTGCATTGGGCATCTACTTCTACTTGCACCACGTGCAATCTCCTGTTGTAGAGTACCTCCAATGGCTCCCTTTTACCGGTTTGTTAGCGACAGTTTGTTGCTTCGGATTGGGTGTGGGGCCCATTCCGACCTATCTGATGACGGAATTCTTTCCTGCTAATCTCAGGACTGTGTCAGGATCGATTGTAAACTCGTCGGGCAACGTCATGTCGTTCGTTTTGACGTTTTTGTTTCCCATCGTGAGCGAGGAATTGGGCACCGAATGGTGCGTTTGGTTCTTCAGCGCGAATTGCTTGGTTGGGGCTGTTTTGATTTATTTATTTTTGCCCGAAACGAAGGGGAAGAATTACAGTGATGTACAAAAGGTGCTTAAAAGATGACGGTTTTTTGTATTGCGATATTTATTCTGTTAATTTGTATGGAACGAAATGGATTCGTAAATGTTTGTTTAAAGTGAATGGTAAATATATGTCTGATAAGATTTTTTTGGTTCTGTTGGAATTATTTTATTTAGTGTAGACTAGTCAGGTGTTAGTTTAGATTAATAGGCAAATTATAATAGTTGTGTAATTTATGTAGTTAAATATTATGTACAATTGTTTTATTATTAAGATATTATTGTTATTTAAAATATGTATTATTACAATGTTATTAAGGTAAAATCTTATTAAGGTTTTAAGTGATCAATTTGCCGCTGAAAAATTAAATTTGTTTCGAATTTTTGTATTCTTCGTTTAGAATTTATTTAAAATATTTGTTTTAAACACAATACAATAAATTTTTAAATTTACACAGCGAAAATTAAATACGGAAATTATAAACCTAATTACTCCTAATCTTATCTAACAAGCATTTGCACACAATTTTCCCGTTTTTTTGCATATTATGAAAATAAATTGGCCTTTTATGTTTTTGAAATCTAGTACCTACAATTTGTATAATTTATAATAATTATTCCAGCCAATATACTATTCCAAGTTAACATCTAATTAGCTAATTATAATTAACTATAACTTTATAATACATAATAGAACGCTTTCCAGAGCCTGAGGATATTTTACACTTTCGATTACATTTCTAATAATTATTAACATTATTCCATTTATAACTAATATAATTTTTGCTATAATTCGTACACGCTAATTTAGTTCGATGGGCTGTTAACCTTATCAACATAGACCTGTTGAAATGCGCATTTTTTAAAATATGTGGGGGAATATACTATGAACTGAATATCTACAAACCAATTTATACATTTCATGTCCAACGAAATACCTGTTAACAATGAAACAGGAAACAAACTCAACCCTAAACAAACCAGACACTTTATTTCTCTACACTTCCGTTATAACTGGTAAGATCAATCAACTCTAAACATCTTTATTCGTTGTAACTTTCATCCTGTTTCAGTCGGTTTACTTTTCATCGCAATGGGTGCTTCAATGGTGTGGACTTCACCGGTTTTAGGCAAATTATCTTCAAACAACACCGAAATAAACCCCATAGGAAGACCCATCACAGCACTGGAAACATCCCTGTTAACCGGAATACCGGAACTCACCAACATCATAGGATTCATCCTCGTCACGAAACTCGCGGATGTAATCGGAAGAAAACCCTACATGCTTCTATCCGGAGCTATAATGTTGCTAGCAGGAATAGCCCTAGCGTTTAGCGATAGCATCCTGTACATGATCATAACCAGATGCATTTTCGGTTTTACCGGAGTACTCAGCGTTACACCGGTGTATGTAGCGGAGATTTGCGAGAAACACAACCGAGGAAAGTTCGGCTGTTACTCGGGAATCTTCCATCAAATCGGCCATCTTTTCGGCTTCGTCATCGGGCCTTTCCTCAGCGTGAGATATTTCACGCTAGCGATAACCGCTCCGACGTTAATTTTTATTGTAGTGTTCCTAATAATGCCCGAAAGTCCGGTGTATTTGTTGAAGCACGGCGACGAAGAAGAGTGTAAAGCGAGCTTAAGAAGATTAAGAAGCAATAAAACCGATGATGAGTTGGTAATGGATCTGGAGAGATTGAAGGAAGATCTGCGAAACGAACCTAAAGGCAAAGCGATCGATTTGTTCAAAAAACGCCAGCATATAATCGGTTTGTTGCTGGGTTTTCTGCCGATTTTGTTGAAATACTGCTCGGGTGTTACCGTGTTATTGATGTATTTAGCACCATTTTTCGATTCAGCCGGCACCAACCTCTCGGGAGACTTAGTAGCGATCATCGTAGCTCTACTAAAAATCACCCTATTCACTCTCACGTCCTTCGTAGTAGAGAATTTCGGTAGAAGAAGAATGCTGCTCGTCTCCACCATCGGAACTTCCATACCTTTAACCGCTTTGGGCGTCTACTTCTACTTGCACCACGTGCAATCTCCTGTTGTAAATCACCTCCAGTGGCTCCCTCTGACCGGCCTGTTGCTCGCCGTGGGCTTCTTCGGATTGGGGCTGGGCCCCATTCCGGCCTATCTGGTCACCGAGTTCTTTCCGGCCGATCTCCGGACCGTTTCCAGTTCGATCGTGAACGCCTCCGGGGGCGTCGCGGCGTTCGCGCTGGCGTCGTTGTTTCCTCTGGTCACCCGGCGATTCGGCGCCGAGTGGTGCGTGTGGTGGTTCGGCGCCAATTGCGGCGCCGGCGCGGCGCTCATCTACCTGTTTCTGCCCGAAACCAGAGGGAAGAGTTTCGATGAAATACAGAAAATGCTTCGAAGATGATCGGTTGTTGAAGCGAGCTTGTACAGTGTGTTGTTTAGTGTGTGATTTATTAACTGTTTGTGCAAAAACAATAGTCAGTTTCTATGTAACACTGGAATTATTGTTATCCATTAATAGATTTTTAATGATACTTGTTAATTACCCAAATTCCACTCGGTTGTTATTACCAGCGTAAATAAAGCATTCATTAACAAATCCCTTCTGTTGTAAACGGTATTGACAAAAAGATTTGCGTTTGTATGTACAAAATATATACTCGAAAACTACTTAGAGATACCAAGCAGTGTACCAAGCATGATGCAAGATGGAAGAAGCGAAAAAAATTGAAGCCCTACAAGAAGTGAAATACATCCCGAACGACAACCCTGCCGTGCAAAAACTCCGACCTACAACCGATCGAAAACACGACACCTTCTTCTTGTACCTCTCGGTGTTGTTGAGTGAGTATTAAACACAATTTGAGCACTCCACTTCATCTCAATCATCAATTTTTGTAGCACAATTACCTATAGTTGTATCGGGAGCTTCAACAGTATGGACATCTCCCGCTTTGGTGAAACTAAAATCGAACGACAGCGAGATAAATCCACTAGGAAGACCCATCACCACAGTGGAAATATCGATAATCTCCGGACTCCCCGTGATATTCGGCCTGGCAGGCAGCATGCTATTACCCAAACTCTCCGACATCATCGGCAGAAAGAAACACCTCCTCACCATGGGCTTCTTCGCGCTCGCCTCGGGAATAGCCCTGGCCTTCAGCAACAGCGTCATCTACATCGTCATCTCCAGGTGCCTGCTGGGCACCGCCCTCAACGGCTGCTACTCGGTGGTGCCCATCTTCGTGGCGGAAATCTGCGAGAACCACAACCGCGCCAAGTTCGGCTGCTTCCTGGGGCTGGCCCACCAAATCGGCCATCTGTTCGCCTTCCTCGTGGGCCCCGTCTTCACCCTCAGACACTTCACTCTCATCATAACCTCCCCCGCTTTGGTCTACGTGCTGCTCTTCTTCGTGGTGCCCGAGAGCCCGGTTTACTTGCTCGACCGCGGGCGCGAGATGGAGTGCAGGGAGGCGTTGAGGAAATTGAGGAACAACAAAACCGACGAAGAGATTGATGGCGATTTGGAGATGATTAGAGAGGATTTGAAAGCTACAGCTTCGTCTAAGAGAGCTACAATAATGGATATATTTAGAATGAGGGAGAATAGAGTTGCGCTGATGCTGGCGTTGTTGCCGTTGATGATACAGCATTTCTCCGGAGTGACCATCATAATGGGATTCCTAGCTCCGTTTTTCAACGCAGCCGGTACCAGTTTATCCGGAAACACCGTAGCTATTATCGTAGCAACAATCAAAACTACATCTTACCTATTCACTTCATTCGTAGTGGAACGATTCGGCAGGAGAAGAATGTTGTTAATATCTTCGACTTGTACTGGTGTACCACTATTCGCTCTAGGATTGTACTTCTACTTGCAACACGTCCATTCGCCGGTGCTGCAGCACCTCCAGTGGCTCCCTCTGGTCGGGATCATAGCGAACGTGGTGTTCTACGCCATGGGCATCGGGCCGATACCGATGGCTCTAACCAGCGAGCTGTTTCCGTTAGAGCTGAGAGCGGCGTCGTCTTGCGTGCTGAGCGGGGTGGTGAACTTGGTGGTGTTCGCTCTGATCTCGGCGTTTCCGTTGGTTTCTGAGTCGCTGGGGATGCACTGGTGCGTGTGGATGTTCAGCGGGAGCTGCTTCGCGGGGGCCCTGTTGATTTATTTGTTTCTGCCGGAGACCAAGGGGAAGAGTTTCGCTGAGATACGGCGGATGTTGGAGGAGTTTTAGGCGGATGTGGAGAGGAATGAATGGGTTGATTAGTTGGTTTGATGGTAATTGTTGGTTGGGTGATTGGATTGGAAGAAATGGCTGAATAAATTTGCAATTATGAATGAGTGCATAAATTAGTTTGTTTTTTTTATGTAATAAATGTTCTGTTCTTAATTGTTGGTTGTCGTAAACATACTTTTAACCGCACGATTTGTTATTTCGATTGTTATTAATTGTTTCATCTGCATGTAGCTCGAATGGGTTTCCTGTGGAACTTTTCTATTAAATATTTGTAATGAAATATTGGCGATACGCGGGCGTTTTGTTAATTAATAAATGTTACTCGATGTTTATTCGAAAACCTTGTTTGAATATTCATAACTCATAATAATAGAAGATTAATTTTAGTACATAATGTTTGATTAGGTCTATAATGCATTTGGTGTAATCTTAAATCACATCTAATCAATTTAATTCGTAAATAAATTATCTTTACACGGTCTTATGCAACTTTTGTGAATTTATATTTAAGCACTCTCGATATTTTTCTCTGGTAATTTACCGCATTGTTTAACAAGCGAGAATTTCCGTGAATCCGAGGAATTGGAATTATTTGAATTAAACGCTGAAAATTGAATTTTCTCGGCTAATAATATGAAATTAGATTTCTTAATGAATAAGGAATTTTATATAGACCAAAGTACGTTTCGTATGTCATTTATTAAAATCGATTAATATTTTTAGTAGAATATTATCCTATTCTTCCATATCATTCCCCATTCTACCCCACCATTCCCCATTTTTCCCTATTCTTCCCTATTCATCCCAATCCTTCCTCATTCTTCATCATTCTTCCCAACCCTTCCCAACCCTTCCTAACTCTTCCCAATCCTTCCCAACCCTTCCCAACTCTTCCCAACTCTTCCCAACTCTTCCCAACTCTTCCCAACTCTTCCCAACCCTTCCCAACTCTTCCAATCCTTCCCAACCCTTCCCTACTATTCCCCACTCTTCTCCACTCTTCCTCCCTCTTCCCTATTCTTCTACAATCTTCCTGAATCTTGCTAAGTTCCATTACAATTCGACGGAGTGCGCCTGGGGACATTACCGGCGAAAATGTTCATGAAGCTGATGAAATCGAAGAAGCATATAAACAGGTAAAACACTGTTAGAAGAAACGAGTAAAAGGCCAAATAACGCGAAGATAGTATCAAAGGCACCCCTATGAGAAAAAAGAACGCAGTTATAGTCAGAGTGAATAGAATCAGCAAGTACAATTCGTCGTTTGTGGAGTTTTCGGTTGGTAAAATCGATCCGGATTGTCTCGATACTAAATCGAATTTATCTTCGACATCTTCTGCCGGTTTTACCGTTTCTTCGCAGTAAATCAGTCTGTCTCTGAGGATGTATTTCGATTTGGCGATCCTGCGAAACCTGCTGGTAGACTCGCTGATGCTGGGCGACATCATCGGGAATTTGAGCTTTTCGTCCTTTGTTATAATTTTACAATCCTGATCCTTTTTCTTTCCCTTTCGTTTCTTCCGCCGGCGAGTTTGAGACGATCCATCTACTGTGTTTGTACTGTTAGAGTTCGAATTTGTTTTGTGGTAATGGCAGAATGATCGAGCTGGTTGGTTTCTACTGGTAATTTTCGCATAATCCATCATGGTGTGGGATTTTAAATTAGATTATTCATTGAATGAGTACATTTTAATGATGATGAACATGATGCTTACAGTAAACGCGTAAATGACATACTGGAATTATCGTTGTCAGTTGTCAAAGCGGCTAAAGAATTTGTCAATGTCAATGTAATTAGTGCTGTTAGGATGCATGTTGGAATGCAAATTGAACGTTTAAAGTGTAATTTGCTAGAGAACGGAATATTATTATTTTAATTGTTGCATCTAATTGCATAATATTCAACTAGAAACGGTGCATTTTTTTATTCGTACGAGTTGAACGAAGAAGGATTTTTAAAATAACAGTGCTGTTAGAAAGAGATGCAATCTCACAATATAGTTCTTTCTTCTTGCTTTATGAGTGTCTATTGGTAGTTGTCTTTGTCGCACTCATATTGGTATGCCATTTGACAATTTTGACACTGCCTACTTGTGACGTAGTAAATCATAGGTAACGTGATTTGTTATTTGTTTTGCAGCGACTGTACAAATTTGCACTTACCTTACTTTCATTGCAACATAGGCTATAGGTGCAACAAAGACAACTTCAATAGAACACTTATAAAGGAAAAAGAAAGAGTGACATTTGTGTCATTGTAACTTTTCACACTGACAACTGTCATTTTAATAATCTTTCTTTGTCCAACTCATGGAAATGCCCTGGAATGAAGCACAATGTATATTTAAATCGCGCGTGATGAATTATCGCTTTTTACGCATTTCAACGAGAATTAGATGAATTAATTCGCAATTTTTCGGCTGAAATTTAAAGGAAGCCCGCAAGATTTTTGAATAAAATTACCGACCAAGGTTAATATCTGCTTATTATCTTATTCGTTGGAGCATATTTTCGAGAATCGATTACGTCCGCATGCTAATTTTTCTATCACATAAAATCCTGGTAGGAGATACCTACACGAAAAATATCGGTTTGTGTCTGCGCGAATTCGGCGGAAGAAAAAAAAAAACTCTAATATGTTTACGAAAGATCCCATCAACTCGTCCTGAAATAAGAAACAATTTTAACACTCGATATATTGTGTTAGAAAATTTATTTATTATTTGCTGGTCTCGAGGCACATTCGTAAACAGTTCGGTGTCGCGAAAATTGCATTTTAAATTATTTTAATAGCCTGCAACGTTATAAACGATACGTTTTTCGCGAGGGGGAATAAATCCGAGAAATATGTCGACTTGAATGCAGTTAATTGTCACGATTATTCGCATGCTAATAATCGAACAACGAAGGTTCGTAAAACAAGAAGGGGATCAGCATATCGAACGAATTGTGTTTCTGTTTGTGATTAACAATTATTTTATTGTTCGCGTTGTTGGTGGATATTTATTTTTTTTCGATTTGTTGTAAGGTGAGTTGTTAGTATCGGTAATTAATAGGAAAAAATCGTTTTGTTCAAATTTGAATTGCTAATTTTCGAAAATATTTACCGAGCGCAAGGAATGTCGGTATTTACTTAGCTTTTTAGTAACTTTTTCGAGTCTATCGAACTTCTATTTGCTTTAGTCGCATTCGAAAAATTCTATTCCTCGTTCGAAGGTAGGTGGATTTTTTTAACTGTATTTTCGAAATTTTTCGGAAAATTACCATTTCTTTACTCCCACGATCATTTACTTAATTCACTCACCTATTATGCATAATTAATAATCAGGTTCTCGACCTGAACCATTCAGAATTAACTGTCTAGAACCATCTGGAATGCTTCAGAATCATTTAGAACTGTCTAAAACCATTTAAAACTCACCAGAACCTTTTAGAACGCTCCAGAATCATTTAAGAACTGTCTAAACCCATTTAGAACTCACCAGAATCTTTTAGAACGCTCCAGAACCATTTAGAACTGTTTAAACCCATTCAGAACTAACCAGAACCTTTTAGAACGCTTCAGAATCGTTTAAGAACTGTCTAAAACCATTTAGAACTCACCAGAATTTTTTAGAACGCTCCAGAATCATTTAAGAACTGTCTAAAACCATTTAAAACTCACCAGAATCTTTTAGAACGCTTCAGAATCGTTTAAGAACTGTCTAAAACCATTTAGAACTCACCAGAACCTTTTAGAACGCTCCAGAATCATTTAAGAACTGTCTAAAACCATTTATAACTCACCAGAATCTTTTAGAACGCTCCAGAACCATTTAGAACTGTTTAAACCCATTCAGAACTAACCAGAACCTTTTAGAACGCTTCAGAATCATTTAAGAACTGTCTAAAACCATTTAGAACTAACCAGAATTTTTTAGAACGCTCCAGAATCATTTAAGAACTGTCTAAAACCATTTAGAACTCACCAGAACCTTTTAGAACGCTTCAGAATCATTTAGAACAATTTTTCAACTATCTTTCGTTGTCGGGCCGAGAACTTTTCACCTGACCCTCGTATTTTTTGCAACAGTTTGTTTTTAGGCTACATCCAACCGATTTTGGAAAGTCTATACAATAAAAGATCATACAAAAAAATCAGTTATCGAAATAAAAAAAAATAAATATTTTCCGGTTCACCGATGATGTTATTCCCCCAAAAAATTCTGAAACTGTACAATTCTTAAGGTTACATTCAAACACGCGTAATTCGCAAGAAATGCTTACGTAATGACTAATTTTGCCAATGGTCGTAGCGAAGGTTCTTTTGGTTCGAAGTAGGTAACCTCCGCAAAACATTGCATTATAAATTCTTTATTTCTCTGCTGTAAAGATTTACTTTTACTTTTGCCGTTTCATTAGTAGCTCGTCGAAAATTTCGCAGGTAAAATCATGGTCAAAAAGCGGTACGATATCGGCAAATTCGTGAGTTCCATCGTGGGGAGAAAGGAGAACATCGACGATAATGGTAAAGAAATCGAGAAAATCGATGATAAAAACGATGAAGAATTGAAAACCGAGAAAACCGATGATGGGTCGGATCGACGAGGAGATACTCTCTACTTGTACTTCACCGTCATCACAGGTAATAATTTTATACATACAGTGAGGATCAAAAGTCCATCGCCCTCCCCTCCTTTAACTTTTGCATGGTAAGAGTTTTTGTCGCGAAATTTGGGGTGTTTATATTGGAGTAAAAATACTATTTTTTGACGTAAAAAATGACAGTTGAAACTTTCACAATGACAGTTAGGCGCCATTTTGAATATTTTTTTCTTATGTCAATTGACACCTCGTTTTAAAGGTAATTTACTAGGTAATAAAAAACTCACTATATAAAAAAAAAATAGAAATTTCATCTGGTTAACTCTCCATCATAATCTCATCTTTATCTACTTCTACATTCATTAGAATTCACAATCGTCGTTCGCAACAATTTAACTCGATCCGTTGACACTAAAGAAATTTATAAATAAATAAATCATTATTTCTATAACAGTGTTTTCAAATAAACTCGGTTAATTATAACACGAAACGATAACGAAATATTACGACCGGCGTTCGCAATAATTATTCGAAAATAAAACAATGCGTTAATTAATATTTATTTGTTATTATTATTGGAAACGACATATTATAAATTTCCGTAAAACCATCTCCAGTTGGTACGGATGAGTCTTTTACAACGCTCTGATAAAATACTATCGATTAATAAAAAAAAATGTTTATGACCCCGCGAACGGATCCAATTTTAACAACAAATAATTGTATTATTATGTAACAATTACGATGTAATTATTATAATAAATCGCGGTATTATTCGGGGGCTTCGATGGGTACAAATTTAATTGCTGCTTAGCTGATAATTGTTTGTAGTTTACATGCCATTTTTTTTGCCTAAATATTTCTCGTAATTTACATTATGGAATTCCCTACTATGTTTTTTAATAAGCAACCTTGAAATTCTTTAAAAAAAAAATAACATACACACAAGTAAGTTCAATGGTTGAGTAAAAGGTGAAATAGAAAACTTAGCATTAACCTTGACCCGTAGGAAATGCACCAAATAACGCTCTAATGTCCCAATATTCTTGCACCAAACGCTCTAATGTGTCAATATTGTTGCAACAAACACTCTAAAGTCCAAATTTTTTTGCATAAAACACTCTAATGTGCCAATTCTCTTGCAACAAACACTATAAAGTCCAATTTTTTTGCATAAAACATTCTAATGTTCCAATATTCTTGCAACAAACACTCTAATGTCCCAATTTTTTTGCAACAAACACTCTAATGTACCAATTTTTTTTGCATAAAACACTTTAATGTGCCAATTCTCTTGCACCAAACACTCTAATGTCCAAATTTTTTTGCAACAAACACTCTAATGTGCCAATTCTCTTGCAACAAACACTATAAAGTCCAAATTTTTTTGCATAAAACACTCTAATGTACCAATTTTCTTGCAACAAACACTCTAATGTACCAATTTTCTTGCAACAAACACTCTAATGTACCAATTTTCTTGCAACAAACACTCTAATGTACCAATTTTCTTGCAACAAACACTCTAATGTACCAATTTTCTTGCAACAAACACTCTAATATACCAAATTTCTTGCAACAAACACTCTAATGTACCAATTTTCTTGCAACAAACACTCTAATGTACCAATTTTCTTGCACCAAACACTCTAATGCACCAAATTTCTTGCAACAAACACTCTAATGTACCAATTTTCTTGCAACAAACACTCTAATGTACCAATTTTCTTGCACCAAACACTCTAATGTACCAAATTTCTTGCAACAAACACTCTAATGTACCAATTTTCTTGCACCAAACACTCTAATGTACCAAATTTCTTGCAACAAACACTCTAATGTACCAATTTTCTTGCAACAAATACTCTAATGTACCAAATTTCGTGCAACAAACACTCTAATGCACCAAATTTCTTGCAACAAACACTCTAAAGTCCCAATTCTCTTACACCAAACACTCTAAAGTCCCGATTCTCTTGCACCAAACGCTCTAAAAACATCCATTGTTGCAGTCCTGTTGCTCATCATGGTAGGCAGCTGCGCGATGACCTGGACATCACCCGCTCTAATCCACCTAAAAACCAACAACACCGACGCCAACCCTTTGGGCAGACCGATCAAAACCATCGAAATCTCCATGCTGCTGGGCATCCCGATGATGGCCGGCCTGCTGGGCTCCTCCCTGCTGCCCGCCCTCTCCGACATCCTCGGCAGACGGAGGATCCTCTACGCCTGCGGCTTGTGCTTCCTCGCCAGCACCGTCGGCACCGCCTTCAGCACCAAAATCTACCAGCTGGTGCTCTTCCAGAGCGTCACCTTCTGCGTGCAGGGCGCCACCTACGCCCTCATCCCCATGTACCTGGCGGAGATCTGCGAGGACCACAATCGCGCCAAATTCGGCTGCATTATGACCCTATTCCTACCGTTGGGACAGATGCTCACCTACATCGATGGATCGCTGTTGAACATCAAGTACTTCACGCTGGTGAATTCCCTCCCGTTGTTGCCGTTTCTCGCGTTTTTCTTGCTAGCGCCTGAGAGTCCGGTGTATTCGATGGCGAAAGGTCGCAGGGAGCAGTGCCTGCGGAGCCTGAGGCGATTGAGGGGCAACAAAACCGAGGCGGAGATACTGAAGGACTTGGAGAGAATTAGCCAGAGCCTGGAGGCGCAGGAGGACAGGCAGCGCGAATCGAAGTTGCTGACCATTCTGTGCACGAAAGAGGGTCGGTTGGGTTTGGCGTTTGCGATGTTGCCGATGTTGTTCCAGTATCTGTCAGGAGCGCCGATTATAGTGGTGTTGTTGGCTCCGATTTTCGAGGAGACGAAAACGCTGTCGGGCAACACCATAGCGATCATTGTGGGTTGCGTGAAAGTTAGTTGTTTCTTTTTTATATCCACGATCGTCGAGCGTACCGGCAGGAAACCTCTGTTGGTGATATCCTGCGTGGGAGCCAGCATGTCTCTACTGCTTCTAGCCGTTTATTTCTATTTGCTTTCGATCGATTCGCCTGCGATACAACAACTGAAATTCCTACCGTTGTTGGCTGTTGTACTATTCATAATACTCTTCTCGGTAGGCTTGGGGTCTCTACCTTTGAGCATCATCAGCGAGTTGTTCCCGTCGAATTTGAGGCCGATAGCTGTCAGTATCGTTACCACGACGACGGCTGCTATTTCTGCTTTGTACAGCTTCAGTTATCCGTTGTTGGCGGAGAGCATCGGGACGCATTGGTGCTTCTTCATGTTCTCCTGCTGCAGCCTGACGGGCGCCTTTTTGATCTACTTCGTCCTGCCCGAGACCAAGGGGAAGAGCGTCATGGAGATACAGAGGATCTTGAAAGAGTATTAGATGTTTGGTTTGAGGTTATTTATTATGTGAGTTTGTGGCCCGAAGCCGGATGATTAGTGGATGTTTTGTAATAAAAAATATGCTTCTGGGATTAATTTAAATGTTGTAAAAATAATTTGAAGGTCGCGTTTCAATTCTGTGCTTCATTCGCGATTGCGACATGGGCAATTCTATGAGTTGGACAAAGAAAGTTTGATAAAATGACAGCTGTCAGAGTGAAAAGTTGCAATGACATATGGCATGTCACTCTTTTTCCTTTATAAGTGTCTAGTTGAAGTTGTCTTTGTTGCACCCATAGCTGATGTTGCTATGAAAAATGGAGCAATATGTATAATACATAAATTTTAAAAATTTTCGAACAATTAAAACGAATATTATTTTTACTATACCTACGTGAATTTTCGAATAATAGTACTACGAATAAACGAGTACAATAAATACTTGTGTAGATAAAATTGGAGAAAATATTTAGATTTCACGTATTAACTAAGTTATGCGGGAATAAAGAGTATATTAATCGGTGATTAAATTAACCTAATGGATTAAATAAGCTGTTAAATTTACGATATTTCAACAGAAAAGTGCATAAAATTGTTTTATTGTGCAATTCATAGATTTGGGTATTTTTTTACAGTTATACAGAGGCATCTAGTAGGATAATTGGTACAAAAAATGTTGTATTAATATTAGATTTGTGATAATTTTTATATTTTTGTAGTTTTCGTTTTAAGTATTTGTTTACTTAAAACAAATAAATATTAACACTAATTATATGAACATGCATTCCTAGGCGAAACATGATACGAACCAATTTAAATTAATCATGTTGTTACTAGTACTTTTTAACTTTGATAACATTGTTCCTTTATTGTAATAGTGTACCTAACAAAAGTAGTTGGATATTTTATTTTTTAAATTTTCCTGTAAGCTATATTAAATCGAATTTCATCTTTATGTGTGATTGCTGTTACTCCCTATAAAATATTAATTGCACTATATATGTCTGAATAAACATTACAGAGCATTATAGGACAATGAAAGTTATATTATGCGCAATTTTTGCTATTTAAGAACCGCAGGAACATCAATATTTAATCAAATTCTGCACGCGGTATAAATGGTCTAACTATACAAAACATTTCCTGTGCATTGAAATATATTTATTATAACTTTTCAAGTGAAATAATATACAACAAATTTATCAATCATGACATCTGAAGATTTCACAAATACTCCTCCAGAAGATTCAGATGAGAGGAGCAATAATGATGAAGTAACCCACAATAAACCCGAAACGTTGTTTACTTATTTTACAATAGGAACTGGTAAGTAAAAGTTCTTTAATATCGTTAATTTTAAGAAGAACATTCATTAAAAAGTTCTTTAATATTGTGAATTTTATTGCCAATTTTAAGAAGAAGATTCGTTAAAAAGTTCTTTAATATAGTTAATTTTATTGTCAATTTTAAGAAAAACATTCATTAAAAAGCTCTTTAATATCATTAACTTGATTGTAAATTTTAAGAAGAACATTCATTAAAAACCTCTTCAATATCATTAATTTTATTGTCAATTTTAAGAAGAACATTCAAGCTCTTTAATATCGTTAATTTAATTGCCAATTTCAAGAACATCATTCATTAAAAACCTCTTCAATATCATTAATTTTATTGTCAATTTTAAGAAGAACATTCAAGCTCTTTAATATCGTTAATTTAATTGCCAATTTTAACAACATCATTCATTAAAAACCTCTTCAACATCATCAATTTCACTATCAATTATAACACCATTCACAAAAAATCTTCCATTCCAGCATTCCTGCTGATAATGGCGGGAGGCTCCACGTTAGTCTGGTCCTCACCAGCCGTGGTACAAATGAAACTAGCAGACCCCATCGAAAACCCCTTAAGCAAACCCATCGAAGCCCCCGAGCTCTCCCTTCTAATCGGTCTACCCACCGTAGGCGGTCTACTCGGCTGCTTCGTCATACCGAAACTCTCGGACATCGTCGGCAGGAAACGCACCCTGCTCACCATCGGCTCAATCTGGCTGCTCGCCATGATCGCCACATCATTCAGCCACAATCTAACCACATTCGTAGCATTCACTTGTGCATCAGCAGCCATGCAATCGGCCAGTTTCGTAGCAGTACCGATCTACCTCACGGAAATCTGCCAGTACCACAGCAGAGCCCAGCTGGGCTGCATCCTGTCTCTATTCCTGCCCATCGGAGAGCTGTTCACTTACTCAGCGGGCTCGGCGTTGAGCGTTAGAGACTTCACCTTGGTCATCTCTACACCGCTGATGGTGTTCCTGGTGCTGTTCCATCTAGCTCCTGAGAGTCCCGTGTATTCCCTAACCAAAGGTAGAGCGGAAGAGTGTCGACGATCGTTGAGGAAGCTCAGAAGCAACAAATCGGAGAAGGAGGTGAACGGTGAATACGATCAGATTAGAGCTCATTTGGATTCGCAGGAGGGTGAAAGCGGAAAGGAGTTGGTGATATTGGGGCTGTTGAAGACCAAAGAAGGGAGGTTGGGGTTGGTGTTCGGTACTATACAGATTTTAATACAATTTTTGACCGGCGGTACTTTGGTGATGCAATTAATGGGGCCGATTTTCGACGAAGCGAACACCATTTCGGGTAACACCATAGCGATCATCGCCGGTGCTGCTAAAGTGGTGTTTTTCCTGCTGGCTTCGTTTTTAGTAGAAAGAACTGGTAGGAGACCGTTACTGATCGTATCCTGCGTTGGTACTGGGATTTCCACGGCGGTACTGTGTGTGTATTTTTATTTAAACTACACCAACGATCCTGTTGTAGATGATTTGAAACTGCTACCGCTCGGAGCTGTGTTGTTCTATATTATGTCGTATTCGATGGGGATCGGGCCTATTCCTTTGGCTGTAATCAGCGAGATGTTTCCATCGCACGCTCGATCTGTCGCTATTAGTTTCATTTGCATGTTCTGCGGGGTTGTATTGGCTGTTTATAATTCTTGTTATCCGATTCTGGCGGAGCAGGCTGGTACTCATTGGTGTTTTTTTATGTTTTGTTTGTTCAGTTTTGTTGGAGCTGTTGTGGTTTATTTTGTTTTGCCGGAAACTAAGGGTAAAAGCGACGCGGAAATCCGGCAAATTTTAATGGATTATTGAGGTGGTTTGTTTTGTATTTATTAGTAGATTTAATTTAATTCTCGAGGTGTTTTTTTTAATGTATGGAAGCCTTATCAGTGGAGATTAGGGGATTACTGGAAGAGGAGTGTTTTGCATTTTTGCAAACTAATTTAAAACAATTAGAAAAATAATTTTAAACAACATAATATACACAGCGTAATATACAAAATATATAACTTAAAAATAACGCAAACATTCACAAAATTAATATTTGAATTGTATTATAAAAATTAAAAACGTAACTAAGTACCATATCTGCACAAACCGAGATAAGTATACAACGTACCCAAAAGTACTTAAATAAATATTACATATTCATACACAACATCATATTTATCTATCTACTAATCTCCGCTTGGATTTGCCTGAAGCTCTTCCCCCTGGTCTCGGGCACGAAGCAATAAATAGCAATCGAACAAGCTACCAAATTGAAACTGAACACCCAAAGACACCAGCAGGTCCCAGCATATTCCTCCAATAAAGGAAATCCAGCGGATTCTACATACAAAGCAACACCTACTAGAGATAGTACAGCAGAAGTTCCCACCGATCTCAACTCAGTAGGAAACAATTCCGACACCATCACCGGAGGAACAGGCGATAAACCCAAGCAATAAACCACGAACAAACACACCACGAACACCACCGAAAGCACTTGAAATGTCGTTAAACCGATGGATTTATGGGAGTCGAGAAAGAAGAGAATCCCGAGCACTGTCATACAAAACCCGCAGCCAATCGACGAAAACAACAAAAGACTTTTCCTGTTGAATTTTTCGATTGTAGAAACAGCTCCGTAAATCGCTACTATCCTGCATACGCCTACGATAAGAGCAACGTTATCACCGGACAAAACAGCACCAGGCGAGTCGAAAATCGGTCCGAGAAACGCTATAACAACGGGCACTCCGCTAATATACTGCGTTAACAAAGGAATCATACCCAAAGCTACACCTCTTCTACCCTCTTTCGTTTTGATCAACGACAAATACCCGGCGTCTTTCGATTTCAGGTTGTTTTCGATCTCCTTCATCTCCTCTTCCACTTCTCTCACCGATTTGTTGCTTCGAAGCTTCAGCAGCACTTCGAACGATCTATCTCTCGATCCATTCGATAGCAAGAACACCGGAGATTCGTTAACGAATATCGACATTATCAAATACAAAATCAACGGGATGTTTAAGAGAAGCGTGAACGTTCTCACGCTGAAAAAGGGCCCGATCGTGTAAGTGAGTAAATCACCTAGAGGTAGAGCTAGAGAAAGGAAACCGCCGTATTTAGCTCTATTGTGGGTCTCGCAACTTTCAGCTATATAGAGATAAGTGCTAGCTGCAGCTCCCATCAGACAAGCCATGTTAATACTTTTGAAAACAATAATGTATATCATTTTCGAACTGAAAGCTACCGTGATGTTGCAAAGCAGCATCATCAGCGAGAATAGCTGAATTGCTTTCTTTCTGCCTAGTTTGTTGGATATTAAAGGCGCTATTAGAATCCCTAGAGTGCTTGTTAAGTTCGGTACTCCTGCCATCGTGGATATTTCCAAGGTAGTTGCAGGAGTTTCCAGAGGATTAATATCGGTATTGTTCGATAAAAGTTTCGGTATAACAGGAGATGTCCATGAGCAAGTAGAAGCGCCTGTTATTACCATTAAATTCACTGCAATACGGAATTAAATAAGAATCTATATAATAGAAAGTTTGGGGGATTTACCTGATAACATGGAGAAACTGAAGAAGAACGAATCCGGTTTGTGGTTGGGTTTTTCCGGGGCGAAAGCGCCATTTTCGTCTGGAATGTATTTGATTCCATGTTGATCGACTTCGAGTTCTTTGGATTTGTCCATATCTACTGGTCACTGCTGGAGCGATTGTACGAATTATACTCGTTTTATGCTAGCGAGATAAAGAAATTAACATGTTAAAAAAATTAACATTAATATTAACTAACATTGACCTTCCCTGGTTGATATGTAATCAAATTTTAACAAAGTATAACTATTCGGTGTTGTGTGAATAAATTTGTTTACTTAGAACTGAAACGTTTTGTCTTAGGAAACTTTTATCCTTACATATTATATTTTATTTGCATCATACTGTATATACTGTAGGTCTTTTATCAACAATTAAATCAACGTTAAACTTGTACTTGATGAATTAATCATCCTCATCCTTCATATTTATTTAAAATTAAACGTTGAAAACGTTACAAAAAAATTAACATAAATTTTTGTGAAATATCAAGCGCACTTTTTGAGCCATTTAAACCTATAAGTCATTTATTTTGTTATATTAGAAACTAAGGTTAAAGGCGACGCGGAAATCCAGCAAATTTTAATGGATTATTGAAGTGTTTTTTTTATATTTATTAGTAAATTTAATTTAATTTACGAGGTTTTTTTTTAATTATATGGAAGCCTTATCAGTGGACATTAGGCGATTACTGGAAGAGGAGTGTTTTGCATTTTTGCACACTAATTTAAACACTTAAAAAAATAAATTTTAATCAACACAATATACACAGCGTAATATACAAAATATACAACTTAAAAGTACCGCAAACATTCACAAAAATTAATATTTGAATTGTATTATAAAAATTAAAAACGTAACTAAGTACCATATCTGCACAAACCGAGATAAGTATACAACGTACCCAAAAGTACTTAAATAAATATTACATATTCACACACAACTTCATATTTATCTATCTACTAATCTCCGCTTGGATTTGCCTGAAGCTCTTCCCCCTGGTCTCGGGCACGAAGCAATAAATAGCAATCGAGCCAGCCACCAAATTGAAACTGAACACCCAAAGACACCAGTAGGTCCCAGCATATTCATCCAATAAAGGAAATCCAGCTGATTCTACATACAAAGCCACAGTTACCAGAGTTAGTATAGCAGAGGTTCCCACCGATCTCAACTCAGCGGGGAAGAATTCCGACACCATCACCCCAGGAACGGGCCCCAAACCCAAGCAAAAAATCACGCAGAAAGACACCACGAACACCACCGAAAGCAATTGAAATATCGTCAAACTGATGGATTTGTGGGAGTCGAGAAAGAAGAGAACCCCGAGCACTGTCATACAAAACCCGCAGCCAATCGATGAAAACAACAAAAGACTTTTCCTGTTGAATTTTTCGATTACAGAAATAGCTATGTAAGTAGCCACGATCCTGCATACGCCTACGATAAGAGCAACGTTATCTCCGGACAAAACAGCACCAGGCGAGTCGAAAATCGGTCCGAGAAACGCTAAAATAACGGGCGCTCCGCTAATATACTGCGCTAACAACGGAATAATACCCAAAGCTACTCCTCTTCTTCCCTCTTTCGTTTTGATCAACGACAAATACCCGGCGTCTTTAACGTTCAGGTTGCGTTCGATTTCGTTGAACTCCCCTTCGACTTCTTTCCTCGATTTGTTGCTTCGCAGCGTCAGCAGCACTTTGAACGATTTATCTCTCGATCCATTCGATAGCAGGAAAACCGGAGATTCGTTAGCGAATATCGACATTATCAAATACAAAATCAGCGGGATGTTGATGAGAAGCGTGAACGTTCTCACGCTGAAAAGTGGCCCGATCGTGTAACTGAGCAGGTCTCCTACAGGAAGAGCCAGTGCAGTTAAACTGGTGTATTTAGCTCTGTTGTGAGTCTCGCAGCTTTCCGCTAGGTAGAGGAACATGCTGGCTATAGCTCCCATAAAACCGGCCATAATAAAGCTTCTGAATACAGTGATGTATATCATTTTCGAACTGAAAGCTACCATGATGTTGCAAAACAGCATCGTCAGCGAGAATATCTGGATCGACTTCTTCCTGCCCAAGGTGTTGGAGAATAAAGGCGCTATTAGAATTCCCAGAGTGCTGCTTAAGTTTGGTATTCCCGCCATCGTGGATATTTCCAAGGTAGTTGCAGGAGTATCCAGAGGATTAATATCGGTATCGTTCGATAAAAGTTTCGGTATAACAGGAGATGTCCAGGAGAAAGTAGAAGCGCCTGTTATTACCATTAAAACCACTGCAACACACAATTAAATAAGAATCTATATAATAGAAAGTTTGGGGGATTTACCTGATAACATGGAGAAACTGAAGAAGAACGAATCCGGTTTGTGGTTGGGTTTTTCCGGGGCGAAAGCGCCATTTTCGTCTGGAATGTATTTGATTCCATGTTGATCGACTTCGAGTTCTTTGGATTTGTCCATATCTACTGGTAACTGCTGGAGCGATTGTTCGAATTATACTCGTTTTATGCTAGCGAGATAAAGAGATTATAACATTAACGTTAACATTGACGTTGTTTGGTAAATATTTAATCAAACTTTAGCGAACTATTCGACAACAGTTACTTCCCATAATTCCTCGATTTTGCTGGTAATGAAAGTAAACTGATAAAATCTTTCGTAAGCATTTTTAATCCGATTACCCGAAACCGAAACGTCCTGTCTTGACAAAGACATTTATTTGCACCATACTGTATATTATCATCAACAATCAACTTGTACTTGATGAATTAAAAACCCCCTCATCTTTCGCATTTATTTAAAACTAAACATTACAAAAATTAACATAATTAAAAATAATGTCAACGAAACATATCAAGCGCATTTCTTGAACCACCGAAACCGATACCGAGACACGATCTCCTGTATCTCCTGGATGCTCTTCCCGCCCGTCTCGGGCAACAGCAGGTACACACACAGCGCCCCCAAGAAGCTGTTCCCGCTGAATATCCACATGGAGAAATGAACCCCGGCGAATTCGTTGACGAGCGGAAAAAAGAAATTGATCGCCACCACAAACAACCCCACTAAAGGCAGCACGATCGAAACAGCCGCCGATCTGGTACCCGGAGTGAAGAACTCCCCCATCACGCTGGTGGGAAGGGGGCCCAAACCCACCGCGAAAGCCACCGCGAACAACAAAATACTACCTAAAGGCAACCATCTGATATAAGCGATGATCGAAGAGTCGATGTGTTGTAGATAAAAGTAGAATCCTATTAAAAAAGTGGCGAATCCGCAACCCATTCCGGAGACAATGAGAAGGAATCTTCTACCAGCTCGTTCCACCACCGACGCGGAGATGCTCATGCACAACAATTTAACCAATCCCACGATTATGCTAGCTGCATGCGTGGAGATGCTGCCGCCGGCGGCGTCCAGAATCGGTCCTAGGAAGCTCATGATGGTGATGACCCCGCACATGTAATGACAAGCGAACGGTATCACAGCCAACATAACGCCCACCCTCCCGTTTTCGTCCCTAAACAGCGCCAAAACGTTGGAAGGGCGCGAGCTCTGGCGCAGCGCCAACGAAGTCTCGATCTCCTCCGCGTCCAGCTCGATTTCCTTGGGGTGTTTGTTGCTTCTCAACCATTTCAGCGCTCGAAGAGCCTCCTCTCGTCGACCTTTCGATAGCAGCCAAACGGGGGATTCGCAGGCGAATGGAAAGAACGCCAAAAGCACCACCAACGGGGAGGAAATGATCAAAGTGAAGGCGGTGTAACCTGTCACAGGGCCCACAACGTAGGTCATCAAATTCCCCATCATCATGAAAATGGAGACGATGCCGCCGAACTTCGCTCGGTTGTGTTTCTCGCAGATTTCCGTCATGTACATCGAAGATACTGCTATATCGCCCGCGAAGAAGATGTATAGAGTTGCTCGGGATATGATGATGTCTATCATTCGCCTGCTGAAGGCCATGGTGATCTGGGACAGGAGCATTGCTAGTCCTAGGAGGAGCAAGGTTTTTTTTCTTCCGAAGATGTCGGAAACGTGGGGGCTGAAGAGGCCGCCCAAGAGGCCGCATAGAGTCGGGAAACCGGCCAACGTTGAGATTTCGATGACGCTGGCTGGTGATGGTAGAGGGTTTATGTTGGTGTCGTTCGATAGGAACATGGGGACTGTGGAGGATGTCCATGTGTATGATGAGGAACCCGCCATCATCGCGCAGGCTCCTAGAAAATATCGATGGATGATGAAGCGATGAAGAATGATGTAAAAGAAGATATTTACCTGTCATTGTGGCGAAATATAAAAAAAACGTGTCCGGTTTGGTTAGGCGATTGTCGATTGCTTTGATGAAGTTTCCATTATCGGTTGGAATGTATTTTACTTGTTCCAATTTATTAACCATCTCTGTAGCAGCTTTTCTATTAACTACCGACGTGATTTGTAACAATTGTATTAATACCCATTTCGTTTGGTGTCGTTTTGATACGACATATTTGATTTATTTGGTTCTGTTTGCGAAGATCTTAAACGGTAGGCAAATAAAAAAATTTGATTTGATACATTGTATCAGGAATTAAGCCAGGAATAGTTGGTGTACGTTTAATTCAACCGCTGTTGAACAAAGGTTCGAACTTAATCTGGCCTAAAAATTTCCAAAAATGTTTTGCAATCGTTTGATTGTTCGGTACTTTTCTCGGAACGTTCGTCAATGTTTGTTGTTTAACCGATTTTTAAGATCATATCTCTGATGTGGTATCGGGAAATTTTCATAAAATTTCGGGAAGAAAGCATCTTAGTTGGCCGTGCATATTAAATTTCATTAAAAACACCTTTATTTTAGAAACTTTTAATGTGATACCATGATCTCCTCTTTCATTCTTATCAATAGTTTACACAGTATTTTTATTTTTGACAGTTTTACATTGTTGTTATGGAGTAACTAAGGAGATTCTTTCAATTGACAGTTTTACATGGTTGTTATGGAGTAACTAAGGAGATTCTTTCACTTGACAGTTTTGACAGTTTTACATGGTTGTTATGGAGTAACTAAGGACATCGAAACCGGCCATTTTGTACAAAAAAAAACCATCTATCAGCGTTTCAATTTAATCCGATAGTTTTCTAACGCGCTTTGAATCTCCGCAATGCTCTTTCCGGCGGTCTCCGGCAGAAACAAATAGACGCAAACGGCCCCAAACAGCGAATTGAAAGCGAACATCCACATGGAGAAATGCATCCCGGCGTACTCGGTGATCAAAGGAAACAAAAAATTCAAACCGAACAACGACACCGTCACCACGGCCAAAATAACGGACACCGCCGTGGGTCTGAGATCGGTGCAAAACAGCTCCCCCATGATGGTGTTCGGCAGCGGTCCCAAACCCATCGAAAACGCCACCACGTACCCCACGACGCCCACCAGAGGGAGCCACTGGACGTCGTGCACGATCGCAGCGCCGGTTTTTTTCAAATAGAAATACAATCCGATGAGTATGTAGAATAGAGCGCAGCCCAAAGCGGAGCTCACCAGCAGGAATACCCTTCCTCTTCTTTCTACTACAAACGAAGAAATCACCAGGCCGAATATTCGAACTACTCCGACTATAGCAGTGGCTAGTCCAGTGGATATATCGGTACCGGCCGATTGGAAAATGGGCCCCAAAAACGCGGAAATCGCCGAATCGCCGCAACAATGGTGCAAAATCGCAGGAACCAACGCCAATACAATACCCAACCTAGCGTTTCTATTCCTCAGCAACGCCACCACACCAATTTTACCGGTACCAACTCCAGCTTTCTTCTCCAACAAACTACCTTCGATCTCCTCCAAATCCAACGCGATTTCCTTCGCCTCCTTGTTCCCCCTCAGCCTCTTTAAAGCATCCAAACACTCGCTCCTTCTACCCGAAGCCAGCAAATACTCGGGAGTCTCCGCGGTGAACCCCATCAGCCCCAAGAACACCACCAACGGTGCAGCCGAGGCTAAAGTGAACGCCCTGTAGCCCAAATGCGGCCCCATCACGTAGCTCATCAGCTGGCCCACCGGCATGAAGACGGCGGCGAGGGAGCTGAACTTGGCCCTGTTGTGGTTCTCGCAGAGCTCCGTCACGTAGACGGGCACGATGGAGACCGAGCCGGTGTGGCAGAGGAAGAACAGACACCTGCAGATCACCATGAAGGAGACGCTGCGGGCGAAGGCCGTGCAGACGATGCTGAGGAGCATCGCCAGGCCGTCGAGCAGGAGGAGGCGTTTTTTGCCGAGGTGGAGGGCCAGGCGGGGGGCGGCGGCGCAGCCGAGGAGGCCCACCAGGATGGGCAGGCTGGTCATGGTGGATATTTCGATGGTGGTGATGGGTGCGGGTAGGGGATTGGCGTGGGTGTCGTTGGATAGGAGGTGGGGGAGTACCGAGGAGGGCCAGGCGTAGCCGGAGCTGCCGGTGAGCGTTAGAGATGTGCCTGGAAAGAGAATCGGTTCGATTGAATCGTTAGGAGTGGTGGTGAACTGATTGAGAATCGTGTTAGAATTTTGGTGTGATAATTTGGGGGGATTCTTTCGGTTGATTGTTTTGCATTGGTTGTTATTTTGTAGTTGCGTTCGTTTGTATTTGTAGTTGTCATGTCATATGTCGAATTTAATTGTTTTGTGAATTTTTCTGTCGATGTCAATTGTCTTGTTCGTCGAGTTGTTGTTTATCGTCTGACGCAGTATAAGTTAATAACGATTTTAGTTGTTTTTATAAATAAAAACCAAGAAATATTTATCAGTAACTAAGGAGATTTTTAAAATTGACAGATTTACATTATTGCTACGGAGTAACTAAGAGGATTTATTAAATTTGACAGTTTTACATTGTTGCTATGAAGTAACCAGGGAGATTCTATCCCTTTTGACAGATTTATATTGTTGTTATGGAGTAACTAAGGAGATTCATTCAATTGACAGTTTTACATTGGTTGTTATGGAGTAACTAAGGAGATTGTTTGCGTTTTAAAGATGCTCTCGAAACGATTGATGAGTATTAAAAATGACCGCTAGATGTAAGTGTGTTATAAATTTATAGATTCCTATCTAAAGTTTGTAATATTATGGATGATTTACCTGTTAGTACCGTGAAATACAAAAATAAAGTGTCCGGTTTGTTGTGGACATTTTTAGGCACGTATTTGACTTCTTCTGTCTCGACGATCGACCTTTCCTCGCGCGGATTCATTTTGAAATTAAAATTTCGAGTGTTATTTTACTATTTTTATTTGTACCTGAATTAAACATATCACAAAAACCAAGGACGAAATTATTACAAAGATAAAGCTGCACATATTTAATTATATTATTGATTTAATAAAATTATGTCTAGCTGAAGTTTACTGTTGATTACTGTTCTTGACAATTTTAGTACAAATTTAACGCGCAAACGAATGGGAATATTTCGCATGAAATCTCATCGGCATTAAAAATCGATGAGGACCTTGTCTTTTAAGAAATATCCCAGTCACGTTCAGAAATGGAAAGTCGAGGTGATCTAAGCGCCTGATCATCCAATAATCAATTTATTGAACATCAAGAGTCATCTAAATATTCGCCTGAAAATCGCAGAAAATTTACCTTAAAACGCTTTAATTTATTCCCTTTACTTCTCATAAATGTCTAGAAAGTGGTGCATAAAACAATTAAACATTTTATAAGCCTTTAAAATCTGTATAGTCGAAGAAAATAAATAAAAGAAACGGCGCAAATTTGCATCGACTGTGAGAAAAAAATCATCCCACTATTTCGCTATAGGCGAAGAGTACCGTCCGAGAGTACCATCGAGCTACTGCGCGAGTAAAGTCTTCGATTGCTGGTAGAATTATTTCAGTTAAAGTACCGTCGAAGCAACCAGCCGGTTGTTTACCGCGGATTTTCTGCCGCTGTTTCAGTGAATTTTATTTGTGCGGAAAAACAAGGAAAAGCGTAAGTTAATTTCTGCGATATTGGGTTCATAAAGTGGAAAAATGGCGTTGGGAAAGCTTGTTGAATAGATGGAAATTTTTGCTCAAAGGAAATAAAAATTTAAGCGGGTCATTAAGTAGTAGATTTTAAAAGGTTTCTATTAAATACAATGGTGGGTTTTCGCTTGCATTTTAATTAAAATACTTGGGAAATATTTCGAAGAATTTATGACGAAAATTTGGCGTTTCACAACATTTTAATAAATTTTTGATGGAATATTTAGGCTAAATTTTGTCCCAAACATTCCACCACTGTTTCGCAACATTTTTGATAAATTTTTGATGGAATATTTAGGCTAAATTTAGTCCCAAACATTCCACCACTGTTTCCAAAACGAACAATTTATATTAAATTAAAAAAATTTACCTAAGCGAATTCTTCATAAATTACATCCCTAATAAAGCACCGCTCGGACATAAAACGAGTTAAAAAAAACCCATTACGTTAAATAATGAAAAAAAAAAGGTCAGTTTTACCATCGTTTTCTAACGAATCAATTTCTTCATCTTCGATTTCCACATTCACACAGCGAGATTAAATCTGAAACTGTCAAGACTCGGACCTTGAGCAGTCGAACAATAGGGTCGATTTTACTATCCTATAACACCTTCAAATTAATTTTGATCAATCCGAAAGAGCAGGATTCGAAATCCTGCTCGAGTTTGGGTGGGTCTAGTTATTTCGTAACATTCCATTTAATAATTTAGCACAGTCGAATTAGCAGCGAAATAGGACGTTTTGAGTAAAATAACATGTTTCTAAACGACCTGGAATGGCCTTAATGGCGCCTTGTTAAAAACAAATCAGATCCAGCGAGAAATTCGCATTGTTAATGAATTAAATTTAATCTCGATTTATGCCTCGTTTATCAAGATAACGGTTACTCGGAGTATACATAAGCTTTTCCTCAAATATTGATGATGTGACAATTCTAATTTATTTTTCAACTTGATGAAATTCTTCTGTTAAATTACATTGATTTAAATTAAATTGTGATAACAAAGTCACACGAATTTGCTGTTTTGAAACAGCCACTTTACGCTATATAACATCATCTTTAATCTATAATTATCTAATAATTCCCGTGGCAATAGAAAATTTCACAATGAAAAAATAATCGCTCAAATCGAATCAATCTTTTTATTTTAATTTAATTTTACTCGTGAATTAGAAGCGCCATAATATTCCTCTCGAATTGAACATTACTATGCAATTTTATAAAATGAATAATTTCGGTTAATAGAGGGCTCTAAATCGGGCAATTAAAATTTAACCGGCGCTTTTTAATTCCGGCGTTATCATTTAAACGGTTTAATTAGCACTTTCTTTTTCATTTCTACAACGAAGGTCGATTTACTGGAGCGGAAACTGTTCCATTGAAGTTTAAATTTCGATTCGAAATCGTTCAGAAAAATTTGTCATTTACAACGCGACAATTATATCACACTAGATTGCGCAATTTTCATCAGGCTTTTCTCCGGATTGTTCTAAAACAGGATCCTTTTAAGCGCTGTTACATATTAATGCGAAATTCGAAACACATCCATTTTCGAAAGAGTTATTTCGTGTATATCAGTCACGATTTGGCCTTTAGCTACGAGTTAGCATTAAATAAATGTATCAGATTATGGAGAAATTGTTTAAAATTATCCACAAATCTAAACGTTTTGTTTCAATACAACCTTATTATCTTTAATTATAAAAAAAATGTATTGTTTATTGAATAGTTACGAATTGTACAAGGCGTTCCTCTCACTCAGTATTAGGATAAATCTTTTAGTAAATGAGATATAAGGAATTGAATTAAACATATTCTGGGACACGCTGTATATATATATATATATATATGTGCAGTAATTATATTTGTTTTTGTAATTATCATTCGAATGTAACCCGAATTACCGGAGTTTTGTTACAGTTTTTCGCTGGCGAATTATCATCATTAGTTTTCTATATACAGAGGCAATTATTAAAAAAAGAAAGTAAAGAAATAAAAGCGTCCAATTCGATGTAATTTCCGTTGTTTACCAGCGAGTTTTCTACTAAAAAACTCGAATAACTTCCACTAATGCCCGATTACTTTCGTTTTATAATGACTATAAATTTTATCGTTCGATCTACCCTCGAGGAATTAAAATGCTCGCTCTCGAAATCGCTTGATGAAACTTTACAAAACAAAAAAAAAATATATTAGTATATAATAGGCGCATCTCGAACGCGTGAGAATCTCCCACTCGCATTTAATTCGGCTCCGAATTGGTTCGAACAATGAAAAAAAATTATACTAAACGTTCGCTTAAAAAGCCTCACAATTGCTATTATTACTCTACGTTGTTAAATCGCACGGGGATTAATTATTAATTCGAACGAAAAGATGCGAATGAAAGCGCATTCTCTTTTTAGTTTCTTAATCGGATTACCGTAGGAATGATAACGAGCTCGAGCAGCGCGCGAGACCTTGATAAAAACAAAATCCTCGACGTTTTAGAAAGCTCGGTCAGTTCGAAGGCGATTTTTACGATTGGAAATTTTATCGAAAAAAAAAATCTCCGGATGAGATTCCAATCGGGGATTCCCCGGCGATGATCGGAAGAAGAAAAAATAATCGCCGATTGTTATTGTATAACCGAAAACAATGCGATTTTTTATCGTTACGTTGCGTTTTTGTTACAACAACGCCCGACAGATCCGAATCGAATAAATCCATCGAAAAAAAAGATATCTCTAAACTTTAATTCATTGAAAACATTCGCAAAAAATATGGAAATTCCATCAATTTGCACTAATATTGAAATCAAAAGTTCTTCAATTTCTACTTCTACTCTATTCTAGTCTACTCTGTTTCACTCTATGATACTCTGGTCTACTCTATTCTACACTATTCCACTCTATTCTACACTATTCTATTTTATTCTACACTATTCTACACTACTCTACTCTACACTGGTCTACTCTACATTTCTTTGCCCATTTTATCACCGCTTATTTCTACTGATTTCTACTTCTACTCTATTCTACTCTATTCTAGTCTACTCTGTTTCACTCTATGATACTCTAGTCTACTCTATTCTACACTATTCCACTCTATTCTACTCCGTGTACTCTAAATGTCATTGCTCAACTTATCACGGTCGATTTCTAGATACCGGGATTCGTTTTGATCGATTCCTCGACCGAATTAGGATCGATAAAATATGAATTATCGATCGGTAATCGCCGATGGATCCGCTCCTGGTGATCGTTACCGGAGAATCGCCGGTTTCGGCACACTTTCACCGCATCTGCGATGATATGTTAAGGCCGCTCAACCACAAGAGGACGATCGCACAGTTTCCTATCTGGGAACTTATAGGTCGCATCGATTGAATTGAATAATCTCATTGAATAGGTATCACAATTACATACACGTAGAGAATATATTCAAACAAATTGAATAGACCTATTCAGTTTAACCTGTGCTGCGCGCGCATACTGTGGATAATTAACTTGCCATCTAAACGAACAAACGAACGCACCTCAGGTAAAATACGGTTCTGACAACTAGACAACGACAACTTAAGACATACTTCAGACGTCATTTGTCATTATCCAACAATCCGTCGGATTTAATTTGTAATGGACTCGATACAAATTTGTTTTTACCGCCCAGAAAGGGGATTAGGGTTAAAAAAAATATATGCAGGTCAAGTCTACGAAAGAGTAAGAGGTTGGTACAAAGTTTCCCAAAATGCTATTTGATCGGCTAGCCATTTTATATTTCAAAGAAATAATCCCATTGACCTATATAAAAAATTATAACCTTTATAAATAAATATACTAAATAATACAAAGAAACACTGTTAAAAAATAATACACACTGAACATAATCAAACATCAAACGAAAACAAGAAACAAAATAGGGTTAAGATTGAAGATGGTCTCTTCTTTTTTATATTTAAAACAGTTTTCAGCTAAGAATCATTCAATGGGTCTGTCAATCAGCATTGAAATAGGCCAAATATCTCATCTCTCTTGCACTTATGTTTGCGCAGATTTTAAATGGTTCCACAGATTGCGCGTGAAACATATTTGCTTCTTTTATTATCTTATGTTGATCTAATAACTCCATCACTCTCTTTCGTAAACTGAATAGGTCTATTTTGCGTATACTGTCACTTGTCATTTAAGGTAGAAACCGGTGTTGCAAGATGTAGTGGAGTTGCGCTACTTTTAGGCGATCGTTTGGAGGCCTTATATGACTAAAATGAGTGAAACTTAAATGCTGATCAAAATAAATGAAATTTTCTATTACTAATAGTATCAAAAATGTTAAATCATAATTAATATATTTATATTCAACTTTCAACATTCAACTTACCTCTTTTCTACCTTAAATGACATGACAATGTCAAAATTGTCAAATCTGTCAAATTCAATTTGTTCCATTATTTTCAGTTTCGGTGTAATTTATGAATAATATACCTACTTAAAGAGTGTATTTAAGAAACAAGTAAAAGTAAACGATTGGGAAATTGTTGCTTCTAAAAAGAACCGCATAAAAGTCTTTTGTAACGTTTATTGGTTACAAAAAAATCCGCAAGAATAGAGCGAATTCAATCAGTCATTTCCGAGACATCGATTGCATGTATGGAAGAGGAATTATTCGCTATTGGAATCGCATCTTCACACATCGATGATTGTTGAAGGCGCTCGACGGTATTCCTTCGAGAATTTCGAATAGACAATAAGAATATCAGCCTCCATATTTGCGAACCGGAACGAATTTTATGTAACAGAAAAACCGATGCGGTGATCTAGCGATCGTTGAACCGGCCTTTTCGTTTTATTGTTGATAGAGATTTGCGATAAGGGAAAAACAATATATTACTATATTATCTCGTTGTTTTTTTTTTGTTGATTAAGAAAATAATGCTAGAATTAGGTATATTACTTTTATTTACACAAGTGCGCAGAAATTGAGCGCTAGTTAGCGGTTTATTTCCGTTTAATAAATTGATGAATAATTAAGCAAAATTTGTTCACCAATTAGTCGTTTTAAAAAGGAAATCGTTTATTAATAAATTTAAGACATTTATAATTGGTTCGTTAACGTTACGTTTTTCTGCTACAAAAGAAAATATGTAATTGCTTTCACTTTAAATCCTCTCTAGACGCTTTTTATTTACTGATTAACACTTTTTCCACTCAATTAAAATTTATAATATTCTCCCAAACATACCCTGTATTATCGCAGGATGCGATGTTGTCGGTTTTAATTGTCCGTATTAATTATATGAAAAAAATCCTTTAAAAAAACGAAATTTGATGTATCCTATAACTACAATTTTTATTCTTTAAAATTTTAAGTATATGTAGATTAAAATTAAAAAAAATCAATATTCATTCAAAGAAATATTACGATTGTAAACATTCACGGTAATACGGCAACGTTGCGACCTAAATTACGAATTTTAACCTATTTTGAAAAATGACAGGTGACAGGTGTCATCGCAACGTTGCCAGTAAGGTCTAACAGTTATTTTGTGTTTGTATGCATTTTTTCGATTTATTCCAAGTTGTTTTAATAACTTTTGTTAAAAATATAAACAACAATGGTACATGCGTGTGTTAGTTGCAAAAAAGTGGATTATTTAAATCTAAATTTGTCTTTTCATCAGTAAGTAAGGTTAAGTTACGTTTGTTTACATTTGAACCAGTGACGTGGGGCACCCGATATTCTTTTAAAAATCCTGCTGATTCAACAAAAAGGTCAATGTTACATCATTACACAACTCCCCGGTCATCATTCCGTTCACCTCACATCGTGCCGACCAAAGCAAAACAACTTAAACGAACACTAACAATTTAAAAATTCCCCAGATGGCCTGCGACTGTCCGCTAACCCAGCCAGGCCCCACGTTGGCCTCCACCTGCGGCGGCGCCCCGTTCATGCTCTTCATGGGGCTGCTCGAGGTCTTCCTGCGCTCCCAATGCGACATCGAAGACCCCTGCAACAGGCCCCGCAGGCCCCAGCTCTTCCGCGACTACGATTTCGTCGTGGTGGGGGCCGGCAGCGCCGGCGCCGTCGTCGCCAGCCGCCTCTCCGAGATCCCCGAATGGAGGGTACTGCTCGTCGAAGCCGGTACTACCTAATACATTGTATAGTTACCAAGAAAAATGTTGTAATCATCCACAGGTCACGATGAACCCACCGGGACGCAAGTACCCTCGATGTTCCTGAATTTCTTCGGTACCGACATCGATTGGGGGTACCAGACGGAGCCCGAAACCCAGGCCTGCTTGGGCGAAACCGACCGAAGATGCTACTGGCCCAGGGGAAAGGTAAACAACCTTCCACTCCAATATTCCACTCTATAGAACCTTTCATTGCAACCTTCCATTGCAACCTTCCAATCCAACCTTCCACTTTCTGTCCCTTTCGATTCCCTCCTTCCAGGAAGACATCACAATGAACAGTTTCATATCAACTGTACATTTCTCATATCTTCCAAACTTCAACCTTCAACTTTCTGCTCTCTTCGTTCGGATAAAAGTAATTGAAGGTACTTTTACATGGACAGGTCCTGGGCGGTACTTCGACGATGAACGGCATGATGTACATGCGAGGATCGCGCAAGGACTACGACGATTGGGCGTCGATGGGCAACGAGGGCTGGAGCTACAACGAGGTCCTGCAGCACTTCCTCAAGAGCGAGGATAACCAGCAGATGGATCAAGTCGACGTCGGGTACCACTCCACCGGCGGTTTATTGACCGTCTCCCAGTTTCCCTACCACCCGCCTCTATCGAAATCCATACTGAAGGCTGCTCAGGAGCTCGGTGAGGAAGTTTCGTTGTAAGTAGGTTTCGTTTTAATTCGGAGGAAATTTTGTAGGTTATCCGATAAGGGATCTAAACGGTAGGTACCACACTGGGTTCAATATAGCGCAGACTACCAACAGAAACGGGTCTAGATTGAGTACAGCTAAAGCTTTCCTGAGGCCTTTCACGCGCAGGAACAACCTGCATGTTTTACTGAACGCCACCGTTTCGAAGGTACTCATCAACGCTTCCACCAAGGAGGCGTACGGGGTGGAAGTGTTGCAGGATGGTAAGAGAACCAGCGTGTACGCCACCAAAGAGGTGATCGTATCAGGAGGTAAATATACAAGGAGCTTTAAACAACACTCGAATGATTCTAATAACGTTTGAAGGAGCCGTAAACTCTCCGCAAATTCTTCTTCTATCCGGCGTGGGTCCCGAAGAGGAGCTGAAGAAAGCCGGAGTACCGCTGGTGCACGATCTGCCCGGCGTCGGGAGGAACCTCCACAACCACGTGGCCCACAGTATTAACTTCTTCATCAACGACACCAATACAGCCACATTGAACTGGGCCACTGCCATGGAGTACCTGCTCTTTAGAGACGGGCTAATGAGCGGAACTGGTACTATGAACTCTCTTCATCATTTCGCTGGTTTTTTTAGTGCAAGTTTTTCGGTGCAGGTATATCGGAGGTGACGGGTTTCGTTAACACCAAGTACCAAGACCCTGCGGAGGAGCACCCGGACATCCAGTTCATCTTCGGCGGGTTCCTGGCGAATTGCGCTCGAACCGGGCAAGTGGGGGAGAAGATCGATAACAATTCCAGATCGATCCAAATCATCCCAACGCTGTTGCACCCTAAAAGCAGAGGCTACCTCACTCTAAAAGACTCCAATCCTTTGAGTCACCCATTGATATACGCCAATTACTTTACTCACCCCGAGGACATCAAAGTGCTAGTGGAAGGGATCAAGGTGGCGTTGAGATTAGCCGAAACCAAAGGTAACTTTGCGATGAATTGAATTCGAGGTACTATACAGGGTGGGTTTGTTGTTAGCTTTGAGGAAATACGGAATCCAGTTGGATAGGACTCCTACAGGGGGTTGTGAGAAGCTCTCCTTCGGATCGGATAAGTATTGGGAGTGTTCGGTGAAGCGACGGACTGCGCCCGAGAACCACCAATGTGGCTCCTGCAAAATGGGCCCCCCGACCGATCCCATGGCTGTGGTGAATCCCTCCTTGCAGGTAAAAGACCGGTACATTTTTTTTGGTGGGGTTTTAATGGGGATGTTTGTAGGTTCACGGGGTTGATAGACTTCGGGTGATCGATGCTAGCGTGATGCCCAAAGTGACTTCGGGTAATACAAATGCCCCTTGTATTATGATCGGCGAAAAGGGGGCCGATTTGATCAAATCCAGATGGTTGACGGCGGAATCTGGATACTATTATTCCAATATACCGAGCCAGAGGATAGACAGGACCAGGGGGTCGTGGTAGATGTTTTGTAGATGTTTAAGTAATTTATCTGTAGATTTATTCGAGCGATTTTTGTATGTAAATAGACTTGGAAAATTGTTGTTTTGTTCTTACCCTGCCCTGTGTTGATGTGTTGTAAATGACATTCGCGCTCGCTAGGCAATAACGTCATAAGTCAACATGTTGCAACGTTGCCGGGTTGAAATGAAAATCTTGGTGTGACAGATATGTTTAATTTGAGGTTATGTTTACTTTCATTGTTTAGAAGTTAAAAAGAAGAAATGCATTAGGTTGCAATCCGATTGACGGGAGAGGTGTTTATTTGCAACGATTCACAACCCTATTAAACAGAAATATACATTTAAATAAACTATTCGTAAGTTTAACATAACCTATAAATTTCAATGTGCTGAACTATCTAAAATATCGATCGGGAATTACCCGGGGAAAAAAGGTCCTACATCGTCCCGTTCCCTCCCAAAATAGATCGAAAAACACCGAAAATCGCGGGAGAAACTGTCGATAAATGTACATAAACCGAACGAAAAACACAAAACCTACTCGTAAACATGAAAAATACAGGAAAATCGCGCAAAAAACAACAAATTGTACTCATAATCTGTCAAAGTGTCAACTACAAAGCGCCGCTAAATATTGCGAATGTTGAGACTAAATGCATGACAACATCGCTTTCGATTTTCAACTAGGCATCGTTAAATTCCCCTAGTCAAATGGGAGAATTAACATTGACACTAGGGACATTTTGAACTGCGTGGAAATGTCCTTTAATTGTATAAAAATCCCCGGAGGTTTCCACGGAATTCGAGCGAGATAAACAATATTCGAATAACAATCGCTGATGTGGAGCGGTTTATTTTCTTTTCGATGCGATAAGGGGGCCAAAGGTACCCTATCAGTGGTTCGGTATCAGTGCAGCGAGATGATAAAAGGTTCTTCGGTGGTTCTCTTCGGTTTAGTTAAGAGTCCTGTGGCTTGTAATTAACTTGGGTTTGTTTTTTTAGTTGTTGGTAGAATTTGGAATCATGAACAAGCTGGTGTTCGTCGCCATCGTTGGCTTTTTGGCCATTCAGGTGAGAGGAAATTGGTTAAATTTTTTGCCAAAAATTGTTGAAAAAATCGAATTAAGGTTGATTGAAATGGTTACTTCACGAGTTACTGTTGGGAATTTGAAGATTTTTTGTAAAAATTAGTGATAAGTAGACAGTATTTAGAAATTTTTTTTTCATGTAATATTTTATTTAATAGCAAAATGCAGTGTAATATGTAGATTGAATTAGTTTGTTATATTTAAATTACAAAAGATTAATGAAAGTGACTATCTTAGAAGGCACAAAAATTGGGATTTTGTTGTTAACAATTTTATCAAAAACGTATATTCAGAATTTCGCAAAACTCTGCTAATTATGCAATTTCGTAAATTATTGATAATAATTGTTATTACAACATTAATCTAATTAGTTAGCAATATTGCAATGATTCATGATAACTCTACAAATAATCGCAATAATTTTGTATACTAAGTTAATTAGGAAAATGTTAATGAAGAATCCTTCTCTATGCTTTAATCATAAAAATTCTACACTCAGTATAATCTTACATTATAAATAAACTCTTTATGAGCATTTTAATCAATTCCAAAATGAGCAATTCCTACCTTTTTTTGAGGTCTTTTTACCAACGAAATTCTCCACTTTTTACATTTTACCCAATTCCAAAATGAGCAATCCTTTACCAACTCCATTCCGTGAAATTCTCCACTTTTTACCCAATTCCAAAATGAGCAATTCCTAACTTTTTTGAGGTCTTTTTACCAACGAAATTCTCCACTTTCAACGAGCATTTTAACCAATTCCAGACCGTCGAATCGCGCAACCACCAACGCAGCAACCAAAACGCAGTCCAACAAGGCGAAGTCGAACAAACCTTGTCCAAAAAAGCCCAAGAATTCATCAAAAACACCGACGAAGTCCTCGCCGGCAACCTCCCCGACACCAAGCAAATCGCCGATAAAATCCAGGACGCCGGCCAATCCGTCGTCGAGTACCTCAAGACCTTCAACGATCTCGTCAAGAAAACCGTAAATCCACCAAACATTGTCCTATAGAATCAATTTCTGATCGATTTGCTGTTTTGCAGCTGAAAGACCACGAAGGCGAGATCGACACCAACCTGAAGCAGTTCTCCGACAACTTGAAGTCCGTGAGGGAGACCTTCGAGACCAAAGTGTTGGGCGCCGACGGGCAGAAGAACGTCCAGGAGATCAGGAATGCCTTCAACAAAGGGCTCAAGGACGCCGCCAAGCACATCGGGGAAATCGGGGACAACTGGAAACCAGAAGCTGAGAGTAAATAGACATTCTTTTTGTTGGAAAAATCTTCATTTTTTAATCGTTTAATTGCAGAATTGAAGAACGATATAGCGGCTGGTGGTAAGAGCTTCTTGGAGAACCTCGAGAAGGTCACCAAGGATTTCAAAGAAAACGTCGACAAGTTGAAGAGCAAAAATTAAGATGTATCTAAATCAGAGTATTTCAATTGTGTAATTATATTGGAATTAAAATTATATGTAACTATATTATTTGTTGGTTTATTTTTTTTGGACAAAATTCTTCTATGTTATATCTTTTACTTACGAAAGAAGATACTTTAATGAAGTGGTTATTAAAAGATGTATTAAATATTCTAAGCTGGATTTACAACAAGCAGTTTTTAGAGGGATCATTTTTTCGATAGAAAATTAGAAAGGGTCAATAAAGGGCACTAAACGATCAAAAATTCTTTCAAATCCTTCAAGAGTATAACGAATATACACAAATTAGAGCGATATTTTAAAATATATTTTTATTAATTTCATTAAAACATACAATAAAAAAAATCCCTAAGGAAGTTATTGCTTGGAAGGTGTGTTCAATTTATCCAAAACTTCTTTGCCCTTTGCTTGGACTTGATGTCCAAAATCTGTGATGGCCTTTGTAGCATTAGCAATGAACTCATTGTTCTGAAATTCGAAAAATAATAATAATTAGATACACCAGAACATTAAAACGCCATCTTTAACATTGTTAAAAGAATGCTTCTTTTCATTGATAAATAGAAAGCTTTTAAAAGGTTGCTCAATATTCTCAATATTCAATAATTATGATAATAACTTACTTTAGCATTTTCAACAATTTCATTGAAAGTGCTAGTAATTTTACCCCATGTTTCATCGATAGTCTCACTTGCAGTTTTCTCCGGTTTCTTCGGCTCCTCTGCTTGAATCATCTGATAGATAAAAATACAAAAAAATATTTAACACCTCAAAAACACAAATCTAAATTACTAGAAATAAACGGCAAGAACAGAAATGCATTTATTTCGATCCCTTTCGAAACTCAATCAAACATCTCCCACACATTTTTTTGCACCTACATCTAATTCATATTAATTGATTACTTTATACTCACGTATAAAACAGCGAAGATGCAAACGATGAAAAACGCAAATCGGGCTGCCATTTTGATCTCTCTGTGTATGTGATGATAACAATTTGTGATGTGATGCTATCGCTTTCAAGTCGAAACAACAACTAAACAATAACAGAGTTTAATTGGTTTTTGTCTCTGTTAAAGCGATAAGCCAGTGGGGGACCGTTTCGTAATCGTTTAATTTATGTATATTTTCTGCATGGGGGTTTTATCAATATTTTGTTTTAGTTAGGAGGCTTTCTATAGTTTCTAGGTGAACCTAAAAAATTTCTAATTTTACAGTTTGTTATAATTAATCAGTCGATTGCTGGAATCCATTTGGTGGGTTCTTTTGAAAATTTGCAACGTCGCATTTCAGAAATTTTATCAGTTTTGTTTTCGTTGTATTGATGTTAATGTTCATATTGACAAATTTAGAGATTAAAGAGAAGCAATTTATACAATTCTACGAAATTTCTGGAACTTTCGCATGCATTTCCACTAAGTAGTGTGAAATGATATTAGGAAAATTTACTTTATCGGTTCAAACAAGCAATAAAACTTTGAAAATTGTTTTACATAAATATCCTACACACTAAATTGAATTTTTAATTGTTAGTTTTTAAACCACCCACTAATCTCAACTAGATATAAATCTCATTTCCATCATAAATGTAGATTCGAATAGAATGCATTCACGATTTTTCCTTGTACATCCCATTAAACTAATTTAAAATTAAACTAATCAAATGCTTAAAAAATAATCGGCTGTTCTAATTGGATCCGATTGAGCGAGTTGAAACGGAAATTCGCTAAAACTATTTACCGTGAATGGCAATTTATATCGTTACAAATTGATCCTAATTAATACATTATTAAAGAGAAAAAAATAATATTTGTCTTTCGAACGAATTCTTCTTTTAACTGACAATATAATTGCGCAATAAAGTTATAACAGCGACATTGAATTTTTGTTAAACAATTTGTTATTGCTTGTAAATAATAATAGTACATAATAAAGTGAAGGACCTAAATATTAATCGACTTTTTTATACACCTTGCTCCATTTCCGATTGCAACATGGTCATTTCTATGAGTGGAACAAAGAAAGGTTATTAAAATGACAGCTGTCAGAGTGAAAAGTTGCAATGACACAAATGTCACTCTTTCCTTTTCCTTTGTAAGTGTCTAATGGTAGTTGTCTTTATCGCACCCATGGATTATATAACCTATATTGCAATCTAAAATGGAGCAACCTGTATATTTTAACGTCCCCTCAAAATTTTTGTTTGAATAAAATTAGCAATTCTCATCACGAAATGCATATAAAAATCAACTTCCCAATAACCTCGGTAAAATCAAATATAGAATGCAAGTTCGTCATCGTCCTAGCAGGATAATAAAATACAATCTAATTTTGGCAAAAAAAAATTCCTGCTAACTTTTAATTAACCCACCGGTGAATTTCCTTAATTACAAGCAATTAAACCAACCTTGTAAGCGACGATTTATCGATTAATTTCCATTCGAAACATTTCCCGGAGTCGACGAAATTAATTTGCACTTGCACCAGGTTAAACATCGAAAACTGAGTCATTCTTCGATTTTAACACAGAAATCCCATTAAAACGCTGATGTTTTCAAACAACATTAACTACCAACGTAGGCCTTATCTTATGAAATATTGTTTATTTATTATTTTTTACCTTATTGGTAATTAAAACAAGGCTACATTTTATATTCGAATTGTATTTAAAAAGAGTCCAGTTTGTTAAACAATATCGCTTCGTAGGTGTTAATTTTATTTTATAATCGCACTTAAAGAATCATGCAAGTCGCTAAAATATTAATTTTTACTCTGTTTTTAATATCTTCATTGGTAAGTTAAATTAATTTGTAGCGTTTCTTGGTTTTAAATAAATTATCCTAGGTGAATATTGCTGTTGGTGGAAACGATGCAGATGATTCAGGTTCCATTGAAATACCGGTTAGAAAACAGAACACCAAGTAAGTTTCTTATAAAATTTGTTATACAGTGAGGACCAAAAGTCCCTCGCCCCCTCCTTTAACTTTCGAATGGTAAGAGCTTTTGTCGCGAAATTTGGGGTGTTTATATTGGAGTAAAAATACTATTTTTTGACGTAAAAATGACAGTTGAAACTTTCACAATGACAGTTAGGCGCCATTTTGAATGTTTTTTTCTTATGGAAAGTGGGGTCAAGTGACATCTCGTTTTAAAGGTAATTTCATTCTTAAGTCAACCTTCAAATTTGAAAACATTTTAATAACGCGTATTCACGTGAATGCCAATTTAGTTTTAAACCCCGGGCATATTGATACATTTAAGAATTAATTTTGAATGTACTATAAAATGTGTCAATTAATTGTTGCTATGGTTTCTTGATTCTGACATTTATTTGTCAAATTTAAAGTTGATGAAATTGACAGTTTTTTCGTTTAAAGGACGAGCCATTGTCAATTTCATTAACTTTAAATTTGACAAATAAATGTCAGAACTAAAAAACCATAGCAAGCATTAATTGACACATTTTATAGTACATTCAAAATTAATTCTTAAATGTATCAATATGTTTAGGGGTTAAAACTAAATTGGTATTCACGTGAATACGCCTTATTAAAATGTTTTCAAATTTGGGGGTTGACTTAAGAATGAAATTCCCTTTAAAACGAGGTGTCACTTGACCCCCTTTTTCATAAGAAAAAAACATTCAAAATGGCGCCTAACTGTCATTTTGAAAGTTTCAACTGTCATTTTTTACGTCAAAAAATAGTATTTTCCCTCCAATATAAACACCCCAAATTTCGCGACAAAAGCTCTTACCATTCGAAAGTTAAAGAGGGTGGCGACGGACTTTTGGTACTCATTCTATAAGATTTATAATTGTAAATTTTAGTACCAAAAACAACGGGTTCTCGGTGTTCCGACCGGCAGACGACGCCCTCTTCAATTTCATCAACAAACTAGTAAACACCAGCTACTTGTCTTCGAAGATGCTCCTCAACAGGGCCAGAACCCAAAGCGAAATCCGTCGCCAGATCGAAGACCAAGTGGAGGAATTCCTCGAGAACCTACCCACCATACCCATCCCGATTTTAGACCCGCAGACCGAACCCAAATCCAACCACAACCGCAAAGACGACAACTAAACCATACAATAGAAAAGTTTATTATAGAAAAACAAAATAGTACAAAAAAACCTTCGTATAAATAAAGAATAAAACTACCAACTAGGCTTCTCTTTTCTCGATCAAAACCGACCAAATAAAGCATAAAACCACCAACTAGGCTTCTCCATTCTCGATCAAAACCGGCTCGTTACCGGCCAGGTACTGCCTCTGGCACAGCATCCGATTCCCTGGTACTTTGCAGCACAGGAAAGTCTCCGTGGGCACCAGCTTGGGCACCTCCTTCTGCACCAGCTCGTACACGTGGGGCTCCCTTCTCACCACATTCGCATGAGTAATGAAATTGAACACCGACGGGTGTTTGAACAGGATCTTCCTGTAGGGATCCGAGTAGTAACCACCCGGGGACCAGTTGTCATGATCTCCAGCCATTTTGCTCAAGGAGTCGACGTCGGCGGGGAACCTCTGCCCGTAGGGGATGCTGGGGTCGCGATGGCTCCGGCAGGTCTGGCAGTCGCAGAAGCCCTTGAGCTGGCAACAGGGGCACTTGGACGGGGCTAGGGGGACGCCTCCGATGTGGATGTGGGGCTGGTCTTCGGTTAGAGGGTAGGTGACCAGGAGCTTTTTGCCGCATTTGTCGCATTCGTAGGGTACCAGGGATTTGTTCAGCCAGTGTTCGAGTTCTCGGCGAACTGAAGGAGGTTCTGTAATGAGATGAATAATTAATTTATTGCTTGGTGTTAAGAAATTACAAGTAGTTACTCACTTTGTTGTTGGTCGCATTCGAAGTCCGGTATGGGGATTTTTTGGATGAAGATTTTGTCATCGGCGGTTTCTTTGGTGATGTCCAATTGGTCTTCTGGTTTAACGTTTTGGTCGAAGATGGTTTCGTCGGTGTTCAATGGGAATTCAATGGGAGATTCCGTTTTGATTGTATCTTCAAATAGAGGTTCTTCTGTCTTCGCTGTTGCATCGAATACTGGTTTTTCTTCTTTGATTGTTGGTGCGTCGAGATTGTCTTTCTTCGAAGGTGGTTTGAGCGATATCGGTTTGTTTGCTGGTTTGGTTTGGGCTTTGGGTTTTTTGTTAGGTTTGTTTTTGTTGTTGGTTCGTTTGCCTTTTCCTCGGTTGTTCGTGGTACCTTTTGGATGGGATGGAGCGACGCATGGTTTCTCGTCTGTTTTGGTGGTTGGTTTTGGTTTGTTGTCTGCACCAGGTCCGAGTTGTTTGATATAATCCTTCTCGAAGTTGGATAATGGAGGATCGGTGTAGCCTTTTGGTCTTTTAAAGGAATCGGCGATGTCTGGAATAGCAATTGGTTCATCGTTCATTTCGGAATCGTCATCTTCACGAGGTTGTTGTGGTTTATTGTCTGCACCAGGTCCAAGTTGTTTTTCATAATCCTTTTCAAATTTGGATAATGGAGGATTTTTGTATCCTTTTGGCCTCTTAAATGATTCACCAACATCAGGAATGATAATTGGTTCATCATCCATTTCGGAATCGTCATCTTCACGAGGTTGTTGTGGTTTATTGTCTGCACCAGGTCCAAGTTGTTTTTCATAATCCTTTTCAAATTTGGATAATGGAGGATTTCTGTATCCTTTTGGCCTCTTAAATGATTTACCAACATCAGGAATGATAATTGGTTCATCATCCATTTCGGAATCGTCATCTTCACGAGGTTGTTGTGGTTTATTGTCTGCACCAGGTCCAAGTTGTTTTTCATAATCCTTTTCAAATTTGGATAATGGAGGATTTTTGTATCCTTTTGGCCTCTTAAACGATTCACCAACATCAGGAATGATAATTGGTTGATCGTCCATTTCGGAATCATCATCATCATCACGAGGTTGTTTCGGTTTTGGTTTCGATTTTGGTTTTGGTTTTGGTTTGTTGTCTGCACCAGGTCCAAGTTGTTTGATATAATCCTTCTCAAATTGAGATAATGGAGGATCAGTGTATCCTTTTGGCCTCTTAAATGATTCACCAACATCAGGAATTATAATTGGTTCATCGTCCATTTCGGAATCATCATCATCATCATCACGAGGCTTTTTTGGTTTCGATTTTGGTTTTGGTTTTGGTTTGTTGTCTGCACCAGGTCCAAGTTGTTTGATATAATCCTTCTCAAATTGAGATAATGGAGGATCAGTGTATCCTTTTGGCCTCTTAAATGATTCACCAACATCAGGAATTATAATTGGTTCATCGTCCATTTCGGAATCATCATCATCATCATCACGAGGCTTTTTTGGTTTCGATTTTGGTTTTGGTTTTGGTTTGTTGTCTGCACCAGGTCCAAGTTGTTTGATATAATCCTTCTCAAATTGAGATAATGGAGGATCAGTGTATCCTTCTGGCCTCTTAAATGATTCACCAACATCAGGAATTATAATTGGTTCATCGTCCATTTCAGAATCATCATCATCATCACGAGGTTGCTTCGGTTTTGGTTTCGATTTTGGTTTTGGTTTAGGTTTGTTGTCTGCACCAGGTCCAAGTTGTTTGATATAATCCTTTTCATATTTAGATAATGGAGGATCAGTGTATCCTTCTGGTCTCTTAAATGATTCACCAACATCAGGAATGATAATTGGTTCATCGTCCATTTCAGAATCATCATCATCACGAGGTTGCTTCGGTTTTGGTTTCGATTTTGGTTTTGGTTTGTTGTCTGCACCAGGTCCAAGTTGTTTGATATAATCCTTCTCAAATTGAGATAATGGAGGATCAGTGTATCCTTTTGGCCTCTTAAATGATTCAGCGACGTCCGGAATGACAATTGGTTCATCCTCCATTTCAGAATCATTATCATCACGAGTTGGTTTCGGTTTTGATTTTGGTTTTGGTCTATTATCAGCACCAGGTCCAAGTTGTTTCTCATAATCCTTTTCAAATTTGGATAATGGAGGATTCTTATATCCTTTAGGCCTCTTAAACGATTCACCAACATCAGGAATTATTATTGGTTCGTCATCCATTCCATAATCATCTTCATCACGAGGTTGTTGTGGTTTATTATCAGCACCAGGTCCAAGTTGTTTCTCATAATCCTTTTCAAATTTGGATAATGGAGGATTTTTATATCCTTTAGGCTTCTTAAACGATTCACCAACATCAGGAATGATAATTGGTTCATCATCCATTCCATAATCATCATCATCACGAGTTGGTTTTGGTTTATTATCTGCACCAGGTCCAAGTTGTTTCTCATAATCCTTTTCAAATTTGGATAATGGAGGATTTTTATATCCTTTAGGCCTCTTAAACGATTCACCAACATCAGGAATGACAATTGGTTCATCATCCATTCCATAATCATCATCATCACGAGTTGGTTTTGGTTTATTATCTGCACCAGGTCCAAGTTGTTTCTCATAATCCTTTTCAAATTTGGATAATGGAGGATTTTTATATCCTTTAGGCCTCTTAAACGATTCACCAACATCAGGAATGATAATTGGTTCATCATCCATTCCATAATCATCATCATCACGAGTTTGTTGTGGTTTTTTGTCAGCACCAGGTCCAAGTTGTTTCTCATAATCCTTTTCAAATTTGGATAATGGAGGATTTTTATATCCTTTAGGCCTCTTAAACGATTCACCAACATCAGGAATGATAATTGGTTCATCATCCATTCCATAATCATCTTCATCACGGGGTTGTTGTGGTTTTTTGTCAGCACCAGGTCCAAGTTCTTTCTCATAATCCTTTTCAAATTTGGATAATGGAGGATTTTTGTATCCTTTAGGCCTCTTAAACGATTCACCAACATCAGGAATGACAATTGGTTCATCATCCATTCCATAATCATCTTCATCACGGGGTTGTTGTGGTTTATTATCTGCACCAGGTCCAAGTTGTTTCTCATAATCCTTTTCAAATTTGGATAATGGAGGATTTTTATATCCTTTAGGCCTCTTAAACGATTCACCAACATCAGGAATGACAATTGGTTCATCATCCATTCCATAATCATCATCATCACGAGTTGGTTTTGGTTTATTATCTGCACCAGGTCCAAGTTGTTTCTCATAATCCTTTTCAAATTTGGATAATGGAGGATTTTTATATCCTTTAGGCCTCTTAAACGATTCACCAACATCAGGAATGATAATTGGTTCATCATCCATTCCATAATCATCATCATCACGAGTTTGTTGTGGTTTTTTGTCAGCACCAGGTCCAAGTTGTTTCTCATAATCCTTTTCAAATTTGGATAATGGAGGATTTTTATATCCTTTAGGCCTCTTAAACGATTCACCAACATCAGGAATGATAATTGGTTCATCATCCATTCCATAATCATCTTCATCACGGGGTTGTTGTGGTTTTTTGTCAGCACCAGGTCCAAGTTCTTTCTCATAATCCTTTTCAAATTTGGATAATGGAGGATTTTTATATCCTTTTGGCCTCTTAAACGATTCACCAACATCAGGAATGACAATTGGTTCATCATCCATTCCATAATCATCTTCATCACGGGGTTGTTGTGGTTTTTTGTCAGCACCAGGTCCAAGTTGTTTCTCATAATCCTTTTCAAATTTGGATAACGGAGGATTTTTGTATCCTTTTGGTCTCTTAAACGATTCACCAACATCAGGAATGACAATTGGTTCATCATCCATTCCATAATCATCATCATCACGAGTTTGTTGTGGTTTTTTGTCAGCACCAGGTCCAAGTTGTTTCTCATAATCCTTTTCAAATTTGGATAATGGAGGATTTTTATATCCTTTAGGCCTCTTAAACGATTCACCAACATCAGGAATGACAATTGGTTCATCATCCATTCCATAATCATCATCATCACGAGTTGGTTTTGGTTTATTATCTGCACCAGGTCCAAGTTGTTTCTCATAATCTCTCTCATATTCAGACAACTGAGGTTCCTTATATCCTTTCGGCCTCTTGAACGTCTCTCCTACATCAGGAACAACAATCGGCTCATCATCATCATCATCATCATCATCATCGGCTTCGTTGTTTTCCGGCACGCATTCGTCGGTGAGATCGGTGGCCTGAAGAATTTTTGGATGATTTGCATTTATGGCGCTTTCGATGTTTGTTTGAACATTTCCTCCTAAAAAAGGACAATTCTGCGCTGCTGCTGATGAAGACTCATTAGGTATCATTCCAGGTACTAAAAAAAAAAATACAAAATATATAAATTAAACTGCTCATTGTATTCTAATAATAAAAACTTACCGTTGTTAAAACACGGACAGTAGTAAGGATAATAAGGATTCTGTGGTAACGATAAAGGGAAGTAAGCAGGCACAGGATATTGTCCAAGGGGATAAGGAGGCATTAATTGACAGGGGGGTTTGTACTGATTCAAAATTTGATAATGGGGTTGCTGGCATTGTTGACAATAAGGCACTCCGAATCTCGTCGATAAATCCTCCGAAGGATTCTTCCCGATGCAATTCTTCCCTTTAATATCATCACCACCGAACCTCAGCATAACCTGAGCATTAGCAACCGATTTAGGGTGCAATTTGGACAGCCCACAAGCCTCATCGTGCTCATGGTTTCCTTTAAAATTATTCCTCTCTAGTATTTCCAAATGGTCGAAATTCACGCGAGAGAAATCCTTGGGCTTGCGGAACACCTCGTGCAGCTTCAAGTTCTCTATCACATCTGAAGAAACCTGCACGAAACAATTTATCGTTAGTTCAGTTAGGTGCGATTTTCGATTGAAACTCACCCGTAACCCGCAAGAGATAACCACCACGGTTAACCAAAGGTTATGCATAACTCGTCGGAGTGCTGTCGATGATGAAAGTGTCGCCGAGCTGGCGAAAAATGCTTCATTTAAGTCGCTCTCGTTCGATATATTTATTCGGGTTCCGTGCCAAATTGGCACGTTTGTTTGTTTAATTTGGAGCGAATTCGACATTGAATTCGGAACCTAATGAACTCCGGTGTGTTATTAAACAAACAAAACGTTCCTCTCTGGCTGGTTGTTTTGGTTTTTCGAAATCGAAAATCGGACATGATTTGATTGGTTTTTGAGCACGAAGATTTGCAAAATATTGGCCGGTTGTTTGGGTTTTTGGGGAATTTGGCGAGAAATTGCCGAGAAAATTGTGTAAAATATGCGATAATTTTATTTGAAAATTGTTCATTATTTGCATCTCTAATGGAACTAATTTTATCTTCAGGGTATTCCTAAAAAATTATCTAATTTTGGTCATCGAGATAAACGAGATCTTCTGTGGCAATATTCGATGTAATTCGTGTCTAGAATATTTTTCATTATCGCTTTAGTTTGGTACATAATAATTTATAGTTAGATTAATATTACTAATGGAAGTGATAAGAGAAACAACGGTGAAAGGTCAATGTTAGATTTGTTTGTGTTTCTCCTTCGATTAGAATGTTAAATATCGCATTAAGGAATACTTATAAATAGATTGTGGTATTTAAATTCGAAATTTCTCTTTCCTTTTTTTCGATTCGATATTGACTTTACAAACGTTTCTGGCAATAAAATTTCCGAAGCTAACTTAATTAAAAACTCGTTAACTGATGTGGAAAATAGTAAAAGGCCGCAAAGAACGAAAAATGACAAACAATTACGTCAAATTGGAAAATTTCCAAAATGGCGGACGATTTGAATATTCAAATCGCGATTTCGAGCCGAAACGAATTTAGCCGGGAAAATTGAATTAGGTATACATTTTTATAATAAATAAATACTGAAAAAATATACTAAAACGTGTAAAACAGTTTTATTTAATTATAAAATCCCTCAAATAATTTAAAACTTGCTATTTTTCGCTAATATAAAAAACTATTCGTAAGTCGAAACTTAACATGTGTTATTTTAATGTTTAATATTTATAAATAATTAAGGTCATTATCAATCGATCGCTGACTGATCAGTTCAACGACTGTTGCGACAATAAATAATGTTCTACAAGTACAAAGTATATTTCTATAATATTTAATTAGCTGCAACGTGACAATTAAATATCCGGATTTATTGAATTTATCGATCGATAAATTCGAGAAAATAGTCTAGAAGGAATTTCGAAATCCGAGAAATATTTATTGTGATAATAAGTTGATGATGATAAGGATGAAATTATAGGTGTTTGTAGTAAATATTTTGTATACAGGGTGTTGCAAATCATCTATATTTATGAGTACTTGTAAAAGAGAATTTTCGTTCTAAAATTAACTGATTAGTTGAAAAATTAATTGAGTTTATTCAAAATGCTTTTATGAGGGCTCTTCTGGAAGGCAAATTAAAAATATTAAATTTTTCTAATTATTCTTTATTGAGAAATAGATCATTTTTTTTTGTAAATTTTTACAACATTTGCTTCAGGTCAGTATGTCTTTTTTATTTATCGGTCTTCAAAAATTTAAGGTACTGCATCTTTTTAGCACCTAAAACACAAATAAAAAAAATCGTTAATATTTTTCGAGGATGTAAACCAAATAAAAAAGACAACTGTAAACAACTTTAAAAAAAAATTAGTAGGTACATTTGGAAGAAAATGACAGAACAAAACTTGATAGAGAGTTGTTAATTAATCACAATTGTCTTTTTTACGATTACAAATTTTCACACAATTTATTTTCCATCGCGCTACTTCTCATCATCATCATCATCGCAACGCAACATCATCATCATCATCATCATCGCAACTTTAAAACCCTTTTATCGAAACTTATCCAGTTTCTCCGAGCCCTTTCCTCATTCATCTTCATCGCCGCTTTCCACCTCCGCCGATCCGAATATCTCCTTCAACTTCTTAAGTTTCCTCAACTTCTTCTTGAAACTATCCTCTATAAACTCCTTCTTTTTGTTCAGCTTGCTCTTCCACTTCTTCTTGAATTCCTCCGGATCGAATTTCGATTTTTTCATCTTCACTTTTTCCTCATCGGATCCTTCATCGTCGGTTTCCTCGTCGCTCGTTTCTCCGGAACCGCCCGAACAAACCTCCTTCTCTTTCTCCTGCAGCTGTTTCAATCTCCTCGATAAATCGAACAGGATTTTCATGTTCTTCTTGATCTTCAGACCTTCCTGCAACCTCTCGTACGTTTCTTTGATCGTGTTTATCTGCATTTGCTGCACGTGCTTCATTTCCCACAACACATTCGCTTCATCTTCGATGGTTTCGTCGTTTTCATCCAACAACTTCTTCAGTTTATCTAACAGTTTAATAGCCTCCTGGAGTTCCTGGTCTCTTTCATCTTTCAGCGAATCGATCATCTCGTTTCTGGTCTTCGCCCTCACGAATTTCAACGAAGCCAAGAAATCCACGAATTTGATCTCTTTAGCCATGTCGAACTTCGCTCCAGTTTCGAATTTCTCCTGGAAACAAGTCACAACTTGATCGATGATGCATTGGATCTTGTGCAAGGCCATCAAAGCCTCGATGCTCTTCTTCAAAGCGAAGGAATTCTCACAATCCTCCACCATCACCACCACGATCCTCTCGACTGTATCGCTCTTCATCCTCTGCAGCCGCCCGAACATCTCCAGCAGCTCGATTTTGGCGTTGTAATCGTTGATCTTCTTGTCCATCACCAGCCGCTTCCACGACTGCACGATGGAGGTCTTCACCGATTGCACCTCGATGAGGTCATCGTAGATCTCGTCGTACTTCGCAAAGTCCATGTGCACTAGAAGATCGATGTCGTAGAGCAGCTGGGAGATCTTGTCTTTGAGCGCCTCGACGGGGGCGTCGGAGAGCCGGGAGCGCACCCGATCGTTGGACTTGGCGTCGTCGATGACGTGGTGGATCTTCTGCAGGTTCACCTCCTCGGAGGAGTCGAAGCGATCGCGAGATTCTTCGAGATGTTTGAGGCGTTTGGTGAACAACGGGCGCTTGTAGCCGTCGACTTCCATGAAGGGCAGGCCGTTGTTGTCGATGATCACCTTGGTCTTGATGGGTTCGATGGTGATCTTCTTCTTGCGACGCTCCGGCGCGGCGTCCTCGTGGGTTTTCCTCAGTATCGGCTCGGAGTTGTGGTGGTGCTTGCGCTTCATCGGAACTTCATCGTTTTGGGTGAACATTTTCGGTTTGAGTTTGGATTTCCTGCGGGGTTTGCGCGCCTTGGGCTCCGCGTCGAACATCCTGCCCAGTTTCTTCCTGAGCAGCTCCTCGATTTCGTCGTCGTCGACCATCTTCAGGACGTAGCGCTTTTTGCGGACTTTGGCGTCGGAAACGCTGCGAAAATTTTCGCGTTTAATCCTGCTTTGCAGCAAGCTTCGTTCGATCCTGCTGGATTTCGCGATGTCGGCCAGGAAGTTGCTGGTTTTGGTGTCGGCGTCGAAGTCGCCGATGATGTCGCTGGTGAAATGCAGGAAGTTCTTCTTGAGGTTCTTGCCGAAGTCTTTGAAGTACTTCTTGGTGTCGATGATCATGCGAGGTACGGCGCCTACTATGGGTAGATCCTCGTTGTTTTTGACGCCTTTGAGGAGCTTCACGGGGAAGGAGAGCACGCGCAGCAGCGGAAATTTCGCGGCGATTTTGTCGTTTCGCATCAGAGAAGCCGGATCTCCTGCGAGGTCCTCTTCGCTTTGGACTTGCTTGAACTTTTTCAGTTCCTCTCTGATGGCTTTTCTGATTAGTTCCTCTTTCGAAGCGTCGAATCTCCTCTTTCCTACTCTCTCCTCCGATTCGTTATCTTCCTCATCATCGTAATCTTCGTACGAATCGATTTCGTTTTCCTCGGCGCTGTCTTTTACTTTGACTTGATACAGAGGCAGGTTCAATTCGTCCGAGCCTATGATGATGGACCTTCTAGGTCGCCTTCTCGGCGAATCTTCTTCGTTAAGCTTCCGTAATTTGGCCAAAAACATGGCCTTCTCCTTTCTGCTCATCCGACCAGTCGGTTTTCTCTTCTTCTTCGCGAAATGTTCGCCCAGAACTTCCGCCGAAGTGGTTTCCTTCAACCAGTTCTTGTACTTGTTAGATCTGGGTATTAATGTTGGTTTCTTCTTCGGTTCCGATTTGAGTAGACTGTCGATGAAGTTAGTGGATTCTTCGTCGATTCTACTATCGTCTACTACTATTCTATGTCGGTTGGGTGAATTGTATCGCTTAGATTTCTTGTTTTCTTCGTACAAAACTTTGTTAGACTTTGCTTGTTTACCGAAGAGTTTGTTCTTCAACGCAGCAACGTTCTGCTTGCGCTTCAACTCTAACTTTTCCTTAAACGTTAACGGCGGAGGTGGTAGATTGTAGACTTTCCTCAACTTTTTATCCGGATGCGTTATCGCCATTCTATTCACGGTATCTTTAACGGGTTCCTGGATAAAGGGCGGCAGCATGTTCACGATGAATTTGTAGCCGTGCTGCAGCAGCTGCCTCTTACAGCGATTGTGCGAATCGCCCGGTTCTAATGAATTATCGTACCTGTGGTGACACGTGTAGCAGCTCGATCGGCAACAACCGCCTCCGCAACCGCCTCCGCAACCGCCTCCGCAACCGCCTCCGCAACCGCCTCCACAACCGGCGAATTGTCCGCTGACGTAGCGATCGAAATCGGTTTCTCCAGTCGGGCTGACGCCTTGAAAATCAAATCAAAAACCGCTCTATAACAGCCACTACTAAACGTCTCTACAATCGTTTACCTGGAGCAGGAATGATGATTCTGTCTACGGCGGTCCTGAGGCCCTTCAAAGTGTAGTATTTCCTATCATCATCATCGGGTTGGGCTGGTACTTGGATTTTTACAGGTACAATCGGTCCGTAGTAGCCCGAGTAGGTGTAAACGTTGCCTTCTCCTTGAGCTGCGCAAGGATTCCCAGCTGCTAGAGGTCCCGTAATGGCTCCGCTGCCCATGTAACAACCCCCGTGGGCCATGCACGGCTTGTAGAAGGGTTTACACTGGAAACCAAACGAGTTTTCTTCACTACAGAGAAGACCAAGAAGGAACCAAAACGGTTGTTCTTCGCTACAGAATCGAACCGAGAAGGAACCAAAACGGTTGTTCTTCCCTACAGAATCGAACCAAGAAGGAACCAAAACGGTTTTTCTTCGCTACAGAATCGAACCAAGAAGGAACCAAAACGGTTTTTCTTCGCTACAGAATCGAACCAAGAAGGAACCAAAACGGTTGTTCTTCGCTACAGAATCGAACCGAGAAGGAACCAAAACGGTTGTTCTTCGCTACAGAATCGAACCAAGAAGGAACCAAAACGGTTGTTCTTCGCTACAGAATCGAACCAAGAAGGAACCAAAACGGTTGTTCTTCGCTACAGAATCGAACCAAGAAGGAACCAAAACGGTTGTTCTTCCCTACAGAATCGAACCAAGAAGGAACCAAAACGGTTTTTCTTCGCTACAGAATCGAACCAAGAAGGAACCAAAACGGTTTTTCTTCGCTACAGAATCGAACCAAGAAGGAACCAAAACGGTTGTTCTTCGCTACAGAATCGAACCAAGAAGGAACCAAAACGGTTGTTCTTCGCTACAGAATCGAACCAAGAAGGAACCAAAACGGTTGTTCTTCACTACAGAATCGAACCAAGAAGGCCCAAGAAGACCAACGAAGGAGCAGAAGGAGTCGACGAATGTTGATCGAAACTTACTTTGACTGGGTACTGGTGTCCGGCGGTGGTGACCGGCCCCTGCTGGGGCGCCGGCACTTGGATGACGGGCTGCACTGGAACGATGGTGTCGCAGAGATTGGGGTATCCCCTGTCGCATCGGGCGATTACTTTGATGGGCGACTGGCCGGGCGCGCCGGGGATTTCCCCGAGGACGGTGAGGTGTTTGGAGCACTGGAAGCATGCCGAAGGTTTAGTTAGGCGGTTCGAGGTTTGGGGGGTTGGGTGTTTACCTTGAGACATCCGCAGTTGGCGCCGGCGTAGCCCAAGATGGCGAAGACGGCGAGTAGAAGGAACCTCATTTCGTGGCGATCTGCTGGTGGAGTGGATGGAAATCGAGCAGGAACGGATTTGTAGGATTTTTCGATGGTGTAGTTGTATTTATAACGTACAAGTGCAATGACAATAACATGGATTTTGGTGTATATGTTGCGTTGATTGTAAACATTTCTTGAATACAAACAGTTCGTTCGTGACATATTTTAAACATTGGATTGTTGTGTTCTGTATGCGGAAATTGGTGGTGAGTTCAAGGATTTGTTGGTGGGTATTTTTTTTTTATTGTTTATGTTAGCGAGGAAAGTTCTTTTCTTTCCTCGAATTTCTACTACCTGATTTAATTCCTTCGTCTGGTCTATCTGCAATTTAGCAATAAATGTTTTTAATATTTTTATTGTCAATGTTTTATTCATGAGATTAGTGATTTGTGTTTGATTGAAAGTTTGTTTTTGAGATCTGATGATGGTTGTTTCGACCGAAATTTGGGTTTTTAATAACTTGAGTTTTTGTTACTGCTCTTAAAATCCTTAATGTGTGCAAATAAATTAAATTACTCTTAAAATTTACTCCTCAAAAAAATTCTGTATAAATTAGTGGTTGACCAGAATAACGAAAACTGGAGGAAGAAAATAGAAAATGAGATGCAAAAAAAATGTATCAAAAAATTGAATAGGAACCTACAAATAACAAAAATTTCTCTGGACTAATTTAGTTCAAAAAACGATATAAATTCGGACAAATTTTCACAATTATTTTTAATTCAGGCTTGGAGAGTCTCAAAGAATTAAGAAAATATCGGTTATTTCTGAAAACTTTGTAAAGTTATTTATATTATTAATATTATAGGTAAATTCAAACTATCTTTCATCTACTTCTATTGGTTTATTTTTCGATTACAAGTAGATAATGTTAATAAAGTGTTAATAATACAAATTTTATTTTTCACTCACATTTTATTTATTTTTCTCTAAACATCCAAAAAATTAAGGAAAATTCGTCATATTTAGGTCTATTAAAATTCACTATTTACGCATATTAAATATTTCACTTTTAACATTCAATAGTTAAATGAATTTTTCTGTTAGGCATATTTGTGCTAATTCTAAATACTTTTTAAAAGTAAATTGAAATGAAATTCGATGAAATGGCAGAATAAAAAAAATCGTCTACATGTGCATTGCATAAATTTTATTGCTCTCTTTTACAAGCAATCATATACAATTAAAAATAAAAACAACTAAAAATAAATCACAGTCGAACAGAAATTGCTAGTTTTGCGCAAAATAAACAATTAAAACAATTAAAAATAAAGCCGTATACAAAATTGAAAAAAAATCGATCAATGCAAAATAAATAAAATACACCTAAAAATAAAATCACAGAAAATAAACCGCTGAATTGATCGAAAATTATATAAAAAAATTACAATGAGTATAATTCAAACAAAAACAATTGATTACAATTTCGACAAAATTAACAAATTAAAAAAAAAACCAAATAATTTAACACAAAAAAATCCACACAAAAATTTCGAACACAACTTAAAATTCTTTCTATAATAAACCACCGAAACATCAAAACTCTGTTAAAACCAAAAAAAAAAAAAAAAATCTGATACAATTGCTTGCAAATCACCCCACAATTTCACCTTCCAAACATTCTAACAACTGCCATATTTATCAACATTAATGCAGGACTTCCTGCACGATCCGCATTTCTTCACGCAAACAGGAACACACGAACAATGCACTTGAACTCCAGGATCCTCCTGCGAGATCTCCAGCTCGGCGGATTCGCAATCGTCAGGAGGCTGGGGCACCGGCAGGCAGATCTGCTGGGGCTTCGCCACCGTCTTGAACTCCACCTGGCCCGGTATGATCTTGCACTTGCACTTGCAGGGGCTGCAGCCGCAACCGCACCCTCTGCCGCCCTTCGAGCCGCACCCGCAGGTCGTGCTGATGTCCCATTCGCCGCTGTCGCCGCCTCCGATGCGGCTGCCGATCAATCCTGCCGCGTTACTGGCCGAGGCGGGGATGTCGATGAGCTGGGGATTGGCCACTGCAAAAGAAATTGATGGTGAAATGGCTGGTTTGAATCGCTGCTTCAAGAGAAATTGATGGGGAAGATGGTGAAATGGCTGGTTTGAATCGCTGCTTCAAGAGAAATTGATGGGGAAGATGGTGAAATAAGTGGTTTGAATCGCTGCTTCAAGAGAAATTGATGGGGAAGATGGTGAAATGGCTGGTTTGAATCGCTGCTTCAAGAGAAATTGATGGGGAAGATGGTGAAATAAGTGGTTTGAATCGCTGCTTCAAGAGAAATTGATGGGGAAGATGGTGAAATGGCTGGTTTGAATCGCTGCTACAAGAGAAATTGATGGGGAAGATGGTGAAATGGCTGGTTTGAATCGCTGCTTCAAGAGAAATTGATGGGGAAGATGGTGAAATGGCTGGTTTGAATCGCTGCTTCAAGAGAAATTGATGGGGAAGATGGTGAAATAACTGGTTTGAATCGCTGCTTCAAGAGAAATTGATGGGGAAGATGGTGAAATAACTGGTTTGAATCGCTGCTTCAAGAGAAATTGATGGGGAAGATGGTGAAATAACTGGTTTAATATCGCCGCTACAAACGAAATTGATAGTGAAGATGATGAAATAAGTGGTTTAAAACATCGCTACAAAAGAAATTAATGGTGAAGATGATTGAATCGCCACTACAAAGGAAATTGATGGCGAAGATGATTAAATGACTGGTTTGATTCGCTGCTACAAAGGAAATAAATAGTGAAGATGATGAAATAACTGGTTTAAAACATCGCTACAAAAGAAATTAATAATGAAGATGATTGAATCGCCATTACAAAGGAAATTGATGGTAAAGATGATGAAATAAGTAGTTTTAATCGCCGCTACAAAAGAAATTGATGGTGAAGATGATTGAATCGCCATTACAAAGGAAATTGATGGTAAAGATGATAAAATGACTGGATTAATATCGCCGCTACAAACGAAATTGATAGTGAAGATGATGAAATAAGTGGTTTGAATCGCCCCTACAAAGGAAATTGATGGTGAAGATGATTGAATCGCCACTACAAACGAAATTGATGGTAAAGATGATGAAATAACTGGATTAATATCGCCGCTACAAACGAAATTGATAGTGAAGATGATGAAATAAGTGGTTTGAATCGCCACTACAAAGGAAATTGATGGTGAAGATGATTGAATCGCCATTACAAACGAAATTGATGGTAAAGATGATGAAATAACTGGATTAATATCGCCGCTACAAACGAAATTGATAGTGAAGATGATGAAATAAGTGGTTTGAATCGCCGCTACAAAAGAAATTGATGGTAAAGATGATGATATGACTGGTTTAAATTTGTTATGGTGGATTTACCTTTAGCGTCGCCGAATCCAAGTTCGCCCAAAGTGGGTTTCCTGGCCCCGCCCGTGGGGAAATTGCTGGCGTCCTGTTCAGCTAAAGCTTCGGCTTCCTCTTCTTGAAGCTGCAACAGCTGATCGGCGGCTTCGTCCGCCAACGAAGCGGGACTTTGGCCTTGGGACAGTTCGACCGGTTTCAACTCGACGATTTTCCCGTTCAAACTGAAGATTTTCTCTTCGGGCACGTTCGGTTTGACCTGTCTGCTCTGCGGCGGAAGCTCGGCGGGGATTTTCCTGAACCCGAAGGCCAATTTGTCTTCGCTTTGTTTCTTGCCTATATCGTTTTGGTTCAATCTGTGGAAGGCGATGGCCACGGAAACGGGATCGGCGGGGTAATGGACGCCGGTACCGTAGGTACCACCCGGAGTGATGGTACCGTCAGGTCCGATACCGCCGGCACCGCCTCCGGTACCCTGGAAACCACCTACTGCTTCGAAGATCTCGCTGTTCGACATATGACCGTTCTACAAACAGATATAATTAATAACGGAACTACCATAAAGTTAATTGAAGTACTTACGCGACATAAACCACCCGAGGAGAAACCCCCGCAACCTCCGCAACCTCCGCAACCACCACAACCTCCGCAACTTCCGCAACCTCCGCAGCTTCCGCAACCTCCGCAAACTACAGTACCTCCGCAACCTCCGGCGCCTCCGGCGCCGCCTCCGTGAGCATGACAAACGGGTCTAGGCAGTACCGCCGGTTTGACGATGGCCTTTTTCTGCGCGCACGGTCCGGCGACGGGCTGGGAGAGCTCGCGGGCGGCCTGCGGGGACAGCACGATCTTGGGCAGGTCGTGGGGCCTGACCACCAGCGGTACGCAGTCCCGGTTGCCGTCCATGCCGGCCATGCCGCCGCCGCCGCCGGAGCCGCTGCCGCCGCTGCACCAATCGTCGCGCTGCAGGAGGTCCAAGCGCGAGGCGCCGCACCTGCGGACCTTGGGGAAGTCGAAGCCGCAGCCGCCGCCGCCGCAGGACGATGTCCTGAGCGAGGAGCCGCAGCCGCCGCAGCCGCCGCAGCAACCGCAGCCGATGCTGAGGCTGGTAGCCTGTGAAACAAAGCAAGGAATTAATGAAGCTGGATGAGGAGAGGCTGGTAGCCTGTGGAACGAATAAAAAGGGATTAATGAAGCTGAAGGAGGAGAGGCTGGTAGCCTGTGGAGTAAATAAAGGGATTAATAAAGCTGGACGAGGAGAGGCTGGTAGCCTGTGGAACGAATAAAAAGGGATTAATGAAGCTGAAGGAGGAGAGGCTGGTAGCCTGTTGAGTAAATAAAGGGATTAATAAAGCTGGATGAGAAGTAGCTGGGATTGTTTGAGTACTTGAAAAAAGGATTTTCGTGAAGGAAAATGGCATATGTTTCGAATAAATGAATTTGAAGGAACTTACATGATGGACGATGGCCACTAAACCTATCAATACGCCGATCTTCATGTTCACTAATGATCTAGAAGATCTACAGACAAAGTGATGTGGCATAACCAGGAAATTTCTGGGTTTTATACGTTTTTAATTGTTTTTATTTTTTTTATTGAACGGCAAGGTTAAATTTCGGGGAGTTTACATACAAATTTTTGTAACGATATAGGAAATATTTTTCTATGTGTACGGGTAGAAACGTGCGTTCCGATCATTTCGGTGAATGAACTTTGCGCAATTTAATGTTATTTGTTTATTGTTTGTAGAATTATTAGTTTATTTAGATGAACCGATAAAGGAAGTAGACAATTCTCTCGATAATTGTTCCTTATAATTTAATTTACAATCAAAAATTTATCCAGTACGGCTCTGTGGAATATTTTTTTTTGATGTATTACAGCTACATTAAAGGCCACTAGCATACCTAATGCCCCTAGAGCAGAAGTATACAAATGTCATTAATGTCATTGTCACTGTCACTGTCAATTCCAATCTAACCTAATTTTTGAACAAAAATAAAACGTATTAAGAAAGTTTACTAACAAAATACGAAATAATGGGTGATATTATAGAAAATTCTCCCGGTAGAAGAGCTATAGAAACTATGGAAACCATTCATAAAGATCTAGTATTCAAAAAGCCAATGGGAGCGGCCAAGAAAAGAACAAAAAAGAAAATTCTAGACGAAGAAGTATACGTAGAAGTAAGTTAATAACTACATAAATTTGCTCAGTTAATAACAAAATCATATTCCAGGAAATAGGCAAAATAATCCAGCGAGACTTCTTCCCGGACTTGGAAAAACTGAAAGCCCAAAACGCCTACTTAGACGCCGTAGAATCCAACGATATGCTCAAACTCAAAGAACTATATGCAAAATACAGCGGAAGCCAACGCCCCTCCGAACGAAGTAAACCCCCCGAACCCCCCGAAACGAATCCTACTAACATCTAATCTATTTCAGTTCCCAGCCCGGCCACGTTCGAAACCCCTGCGAACCTCCACAACTCCCAATTCTCCGACCGGCAGCCCTCGGAGAGCCCCATCGAACTGGACTCGGACAAGCCCAAAGCGAACCAGCTCAGCTTAGATCAGTACCTGAACTCGCACACGTCCCAGGACAACGAGAGCTTCGAGGAGATCCTCGAACAGTCGGAGACGAAGCGCCGGGAGAAGTACTCGTATCTCTTCAACGAGGAGGAGAAGAGCGATGAGTACCACCGGAAACTCCTCGCGTTGCCTTCGATCGAAGACCAAGCGCTGGTGCCCGAGAAGAAGTTCGAATTGGACACTTGGGGCTACAAAAACCGCAACTACATCATGTACGTGCCCGACGGGGTCGAATTGAGCGAAGAGGAAATACTGGAGATCAATAAAAAACGACAAGAAATCGTTCATTCTAATACTCGGTTAACAGTCAATCCTTTCAACGAAGTCCAAAGCAAGGAGACCATCAACGAATTGGCCAAAACGCAAGCGAAAGTAAGTCGTTGTATTAAACGTATCGTTTCGATTTTAATCTTCGATTAATCGCAGGTACTCGATGGTAAAATAGGAGTAGATGGAAAGGAATTATTACAATCGGATACACCGAAAATAGGAGGATACAGCTTCGTTAGAGAACCGTCTCCTTCTCCGAGCATGCTCGGTACACCGTTGATGACTTGGGGAGAAATCGAAGGGACTCCGTTTAGGTTGGACGGCAGCGATACTCCCATACCAAGGTGAGTTGTAGCTGTATAACAGTAACATTAGGGTGTATAACAGTATGTTTACAGGTCTCAAGGGCCTACTTTTAAGATGTCCGAACCGCCTCGAAGGGAACAACTCGCTTTGGCTCTAGCGGAGAAGGTCGGAGAGAAGAAAAATATAGAAAAGAAGAGGAATTTGGACGCTCAACGACGGCAATTCGCTTCGTGAGTTCGTGTTTGTATACAGGGTGTCTCGTAATGATTTTTGCGTGGTGTTTACAGGCCTTCGCCTAGACCTAACACATCGGCTATCGATCGATTGGCTACCATGTCGCCTGCGGCTAGAAAACTGGCCAGTTCGAGGCTGAAATTCTCGATTAATTCCGACGCGAGATCGACGTATTCGCCGAGTCCTATACTCACCCGGAAAACGCCGCTTCCATCGCCTAAAAGGGCTGCGACCCCTTTGGTCAAGGCCAAGAAGATGACCACCGAAGTGTCCACCGATGATCTGTTGAAGATTAACCTGCCCAAAAGGAAGAAGGCCTCGGATTTTTTTTAACGGAGCTTAATGTTATTGTAGATTGTAATAAAGAGGTGTATTTATCTATTAAAAGATTCGATTGCCGTTTTTGATTTGACAGTTTTGACGGATTGAGATTTTTTTTTAAATTGACAGTTCTACGTTGTTGTTATGGAGTAACAGACCTATTCAGTTTACGAAAGAGAGTGATGGAGTTATTAGATCAACATAAGATAATAAAAGAAGCAAATATGTTTCACGCGCAATCTGTGGAACCATTTAAAATCTGCGCAAACGTAAGTGCAAGAGAGATGAGATATTTGGCCTATTTCAATGCTGATTGACAGACCCATTGAATGATTCTTAGCTGAAAACTGTTTTAAATATAAAAAAGAAGAGACCATCTTCAATCTTAACCCTATTTTGTTTCTTGTTTCCGTTTGATGTTTGTTTATGTTCAGTGTGTATTATTTTTTAACAGTGTTTCTTTGTATTATTTAGTATATTTATTTATAAAGGTTATATTTTTTATATAGGTTAATGGGATTATTTCTTTAAAATATATAGTGGCAAACCGATCAAAAAGCATTTTGGAAAACGTTGTACTAACCCTCTTACTCTTTCTTAGACTTGACCTGTATGTAATTATTAAGCCTAATCACCTTTCTGGGCAGTAAAAACAAATTTATATCGAGTTATCGAGTCCATTACATATCCGACAGATTATTGGATAATGACAAATGACGTCTGAAGTATGTCTTAAGTTGTCGTTGTCTAGTTGTCAGAACCGTATTTTACCTGAGGTGCGTTCGTTTGTTCGTTTAGATGTCGAGTTAATTATCCACAGTATGCGCGCGCAGCACAGGTTAAACTGAATAGGTCTACTAGGGAACTTATTCGAATTGACATTGACAGTTTTACATTGTAATGGAGGAGCTAAAGAGATTGTTTAGGTTAAAAAGACGGTTTAAATAATCGATTAGCGTTAAATGAGTGTAGAATTGCGTTCGGTAGATAATTAATGTCGAATTCTCGTGTATTTCGAGTGGTTTGTTGGCAGTTGCCCCAGTCTGAGTTACGGTACATAAAATGGTTTACGATTGTTTTTGCCTGGGTCGCTTCAAAAGAATCGAAGTTGTTGTAAGGCGAGTTATTAAAGCCGAAACCGTAAAGCTTTAGTTCTTATAGCGTATCGTTTTATGCGCGAAAATAGAACGGATATTTCGGGCTCGGTTTGCTACGATTTTTTCCCCATCCCGCTGCTTATTAACCGGGAGATCGAGAGGAAAAAAAGCTGTGAAGTACGGCAGCCACAAATTTCTCATCACCCGTCGATATCGAAGGTCTATTTGTATCCGTTTTTTTTTTTGATGGAATTTACTCCTTTTTATTTATGTACATCGCCGCATATGGCGCAGTTTTATCTCCGTCTGTCGCGCTACAAGCGTTCTTTTGACTAAAATCTTGTGGATAAAGTAAACTCCCGCATTTCCCTAGCACCTCGTAATGCAGCGCTGATAGACACATCGCTACAACATCCTCGCATCACCTTTATAGAATACATTTACACTGCTCGAAAAGAAAATCGCCTCCCTTCTTCTCCCTTCATTCCAAACATCATCTACTTGGCAACGCTGCATGTAGAAGCTGAATTAACTTGCCCCACTCCACCCTACCGTTTGTGAAGCAATTGAATTGTTCTTAGAGAAACCCCTGCAATTTTTGACAACAAACTAATCGTTTTCAAGTGAGTAAACTTCATAATTTTCCCCTTTATATTACGAAGTAAAAGAGCTCACCGTTGGATCGGTAAATAAACTGTGTATTACTGAGATCATATTTTTAATAATTTTAATATTGACAGTGATGACAGTTGACGTCCCAATACTGCCAACTGAAATACCGGACTCCGGCTGGGCCTTTTATGATTCGGGTAAACACTGACACTCACGTTGGTTATTCCTGATAGATTTTTTTTGAGGAGCAGTGTATGAGCTGCGACTGTGCTGCCCGTGGAACTTGTAGTGCAAGTGTATAGTTTCAAATGAGCCGTTTTATTTAGGAATTTGAGGGTTTTTTTCGGCGCTCGGTTGTAATTTATAACTCGCGGAAAGGCGCAGGATGTATAATTTTATTAATAACACCGCGCTATCGGGGCGCGCACAGAAATTTATTTAAATAATGGTTTTTTTCGATAAATCATAGCGGTTTAGCGTAAACGTTTATAATGGATTTATAAATTGCCGAGTGGCTGTTTGTATGAATTGCATTGAATTTCATAAACTTTTTATGGACAGTTGACGGTAACCGGTAAATTTCGAGAAAATCGGGTCTTCTCGTGCATGCTTAGTGTCTTTTACTGTCGAGTACCCAGCCAGATAAGTCAAAACAATAAATTTCAACAAGGACATGGAAACATCCAGTGTTCGTAGGCCCACCTATGTTGTGACAAATTCTATCCCCCGGCGGGATCCACCGCAAATCTGGCCTCTTTCGTATATGGGAGTCGGGTAATTTATGGCTTTTAAAATACTGGGCCATGTGTTGATTTTCAGAAATCTGCCCGGCTCAATGTTGGATTATATTGTAATATTTCAGGTGAAGAATTTCAGCGGTACCGCAACTGTTTGGGGGCTCCATTTTTCCAAAGGTAAAATTATTAATTTCTTGCGGATTAAGTAGCGTTGTTTCCATCTTATTTTGGGTTGTTTTATGCGATTCGTTTGGAGTATTAGAAATTGGGTTAATTTTACTTGGGGCAAGAAACATTTTGAGAACCGGTTGTCAAAAGTGCTAGACCGTTATTCTGCATCAATAACGTTATCTTCGGGTAATTTATGCCTACCAGACCACCCTCTATACAAAGCACATTTTTAAAATATTGGAACTGTTAGCACACGCTCCAAATGTTTCGCTATAAAAACGGATATTTTATCTACCCAACAGCCTTTTTTTAGAACGATTTTTTCGGTAGTAGACCTTTCAATTCTACCACAAATAGTGGACACGCCATCTTCAAAGTGCCCCAGGTCCTAGTGACCTCCCCGGAAGCGCATTTGTAGTACTACAAACTACCTATTTATTACATTCCCTGATGTGTATAAAAATAATAAGAAAAAGTCGAAATATCCATTAGGCGTCGGGCGGCGTCTGGCGTCGTCTTCCTCGACTGCTAATGATTAATTAGCGCACGGGGGCGCGCAAAAGTGAGCGTGTGACGACTTGTCGCATGGGCCGTGAGTTTGATTGATGGGGCGACTAATTCCGGCGCGACCGGAGGTCCCGGTGAACCGGACTCGGGGAGGGGCCGAAAAATGTGGCAAAAAGTTATTGATTGCCTCTCGGTAATTCGATACTTTTCTCTGTTGCAATTGGCATTCGACTCGATTTGAAGCTCGACCTACTTTTTGGTCACCTCCTGTATATAACGCAACGAGCGATAACGATGATTGGCGGTACTAAAAGCATTGGGGTACGTAAAAAATATCGCTGATTTCGAAAATGACCGTATTTTTGCTTGGAAATTTCTATCTTTTCTGTAATTCGAATTTAAAATTTAAAATTTTTGACAGATGTCTAAAAAAATATTTGATTGGCATCGTCCGTTCGTTTGGTTTGTACGGAACTGCTGCAAAGTGCGATATTTTTTCGTTGTTTAAATAATTTCGCAGTTTTAAAGGATGAGCGTCGAAGAAACTCCAATAATTCGCTAAAATGTATGCATTTTCGTCATTTATACTTACGAATAAAGGAGAATTGATCAAAAATCCACACTAATGACAGCAGCGAAGAAAAATTGCAATGTGTCAAAAAATGTCATTTACGTGTCTAAGGATACGGCAACGTTAAATTCCGCGACTTTTTATTTCGACAATTTCGTAGCTTTTAGCGGATAAAAATTGAAGAAAACTCAATAACTCTCTAAAATATATGCTTTTTCATCATTTGTATCTACGAAATAACCGAAAAATGACCAAATAAATTAAAAACATCATCACTAATGACAGGAGCAATCAACACAAAACTGTCAAAAATGTCTAAAGATACGACCACGTGAAATTTGACGTACAGTATGATATACTTACGTTTCAAAATCAAATTCTATCGAGTACTAGATTCTGGGAAACCTCGAAAATAGCTGTAATATTTTACAAAACGCCACCCATAAGGTTTAAACGCCTTCGCGCAAAGAAATGACGTCGGGAGTAAACGATCCATAAACTATGCGAGTTGACACACATTCCTGTTAAAACAAATAGCACTAATTCATCCGCAAACGAAGACGGAACGAGCGGAACGCCGGGTGGAAGAGAGAAGAAACGCCTGGACTTTTTTTTTCTATAAATATAGAACAAGAGTGTATCCAGTTACTTCCTCGTCATTTATCATGTTCAACCCCTATTTAGACAAACAACTTCCCTAATGACATTTAGTCTAAATCCACAATAAATCTTAAAGGTGAAATATAAGAATTTATGATGTTTTTTCGAACGCTCGATGTTCCTGAAATGATTTGTGTAAACATTTTGAATATAATATATCGTTGGAATAGAATCCTGTTTATGCAATTAACTTGATAAATTAGTTTTTGCTTGCAATGATTAGTGTTAAAAAAGTTTTAAAATTTTCAAAATTTGAATTCAACTGTTTATAAATTTGTAAGAAGCAGAGATTTATTACTGTTTTTTATTGGAAACTCCAGTAGTTACTAATAGAATTTTAATTACTTCTAAGATAATTTATCTGTTCTTCCCCGAGGTACTTTCGAAAATTTCACAAGACGCTCGTTAATTTTAAGAGGTTGTACTCGAGGTAAATAAACAAGGCCGTTTTATGTGTGGGAATTTTAAAAGCGCCACAAATCAATTTAAATTACGTGGAACTCTACGAGCCCCCCGATTCCCAAAAAAAAAACTCTCGAAAATCTAATTCGTGTGAAATACACCGTGCTTCATTCGCGATTGGGCGACATGGTCATTTCTATGAGTTGAACAAAGAAAGATTATTAAAATGACAGTTGTCAGAGTGAAAAGTTGCAATGACAGTTATGACACAAATGTCACTCTTTCTTTTTCCTTTATAAGTTGTCTTTGTCGCACCCATAGCCAATGTTGCAATGAAAAATGGAGCAATCTGTATATCCAATAAACCGATTCAACAATCAACGAAAATAATTGACACAAAATCGCTTTCGTGTAACTATTTACATAATCGCGGATCCGTTTATTTTTCTTAATTACTTGGCTTCGGCTTTATTGATATTGGCGAAATGAAGCATAAATGGGCATCAGTCAACGCTTCGATTTCCACTTTATTTTATTTCGAACTTGAAATGCGCCGCCCGCTCGAAATAGACCAGCAAATTACGCTAATTAACCAATTAACAAAGCGCCTTCATTAATTTTTTTAATTACGGGGATTTAATTCATGGGAGTTTAGAAATGAAAAAAAAAAATGAACTATAATAGTGAAAATAGACAATTTTATTTCGTTGTAAATAAATATGTAGTACAAGTTTTTTTTTTTGGTATGAATATTTGGTATAATTTACAGTATATCCGCTTATAAAATAGAGATTTATTCTACATTTTAAAAATAACACAGAATTCCAGTACAATCGTAGCAAATTCGGCACTCACCCTTCCACTACTACATCCTACAAATACAATTCAAAAGTCTGGGGGAATCCAAAATTCCCTATCTGGGCGCGAACTCGTACCCGTTCTGGTGCAACCCGGACGCCCGGAAGTTCCCCCCGTTCCCGTACACGGCCCGTCCGAAATTCGCCGCCCTCATCCCCTTCTCGTTGCCGAACGCCGGATTGTAGTTGTGCAGGATGTTGTGCGAATGGTACACCGGCCCGTAGCTGCACAACTCCGACGTGTAGGGCACCAGCGAAGGGCCCCCCGGCTGCGCCGCCGCCTGGTAGCGGTTCTGGAAGATCATCGGCTGTCGCGCCGGCTCCAGGATTTGCTCCTGCGGATCGTCGTCTGCGAATAAATTCGAAGAAAAAATTTATCAAAATTGACGTTAATGACAGATGACAGGAGTTTAATAGAGGTGTGGATCGGTGTTGCGGTGTAGAGGTGCGGTAACGACAGTTCCAAAATAACCGTTATTTTTCACATAAATCACTTAAAGTAGCGGTATAGTTGGATTTGTTTACAGTACTACTTATTGGTAGCGTAAACACAATTAGGCGTTTATACGGAGCGCGTATCGGATCGTAAAACGGCGAAAGGGTTTCTTCTCTTTGGGAGCTTTCGTAAACAGTTTACAATCGGTGTAGTTGTTTACCCGTTTAAGCGAACACATGGCCGGCTCCGTCGAGTTCATAAATTACTGTTAGACCGAGAAAATGTTTTAAACAAGTTACAAAAAGGACGGTTCTCGGAGAATCGGCCGTTAAATATTTCCAATCGTAAATTCCGGCGAGCGTAAACGTCGATGCCGATAAAACGATTTTTAGTGGCTCGTTACATGTGTTCCTCTTAATTCGATTGGGTAAACAAATCGGTTTTTTTTGGTTTATGGAATCGTTAGTTCTATACCGTATTTTATCGTTTATTACAATTCGAGGGATGAGTGATGTTTTGGAAAAGTTATACTCGCCTTTATTTCCGATGTTATTAGGTGTCGATCTGGAGGTGGATCGATTCCTCGGAGACGAACTCGATTGGTTGACGATATCTGAGCTGTAACAGAAACATAAGAGGTCAAATAAAAAAGAAGAATTATATTCTAACATATTAACAAAACTATATTGCAAGTAGATAATTATTATAGAAGGAATTTGTTCCAAATATTTTATAGTCCACTCGTCATCAAGAGAATTTGAAAGTGAATCAAAAGAATTTTTTAGAATTGATCAAAAATCTACACACTAATGACAGCAGCGAAGAAAAAATTTCAATGCGTCAAAAAATGTCATTTGCGTGTCTAAGGATACGGCAACGTTAAATCCGACGACTTTTTTTTTCGACAATTTCGTAGCTTTTAACGGATAAAAATTGAAGAAAACTCAATAACTTTCTAAAATATACGCTTTTTCGTCGTTTGTATTTACGAATAACCGAGAAATGACCAAATTAATTAAAAACATCATCACTAATGACAGGAGCAAAGAACAAAACTGTCAAAAATGTCTAAAGATACGACCACGTTAAATTTGACGTAAAGGGTAATTTTAGCAAAAATAAAATAAACATTATTGTTTGTGATTCACTTTGTGAGCGTTTATTGCATACAAAATAACGTTTTATAAGAACTAATTCTGATGGCGAACGGAGTATACAGAGGATTATTTTCGTTATGTACACCCGAAAAACGCGCATATACAGCGAATAAACGATGACAATAAATTTCCGGAGCGTCCAATTTGTCTAAAAATACTCAAACGGCGGCGTTTACGCGGACGTTTGTTTTCCACAATTCAAAGTCGAGCATCGTTTGGGGCTGGATTCGGAATGGATTTAAGATGTCTCACCGGGCCCCGGTGTCTGTCAAATAACTTACCCAGACGAACTGCTTTATGGTGTTTACGAGCAAATTACCTCGAATTATTAGAAAACACCGTCGTCCTAACGTATTTATGGGCGACTTTATTAGTTTTCGGCCTCGGTGAGATCTAATATACAGGACGATCGTGCTATTTTTGAGTTTGTTGCACCCTAACGTAAGAGGCAATTAAGTGTTTAGAAACACCTTAAGTACAAGGCCGTATCTCATAAGAAGAATTTATCTAAAATCTTGCTTGGTTTTGGTAGCAATCAGACTTGACCTAAATTACTAGATGCTAATTAGTATTATCAAAATTTTAATGCGCCCTGTATAAATTGCGATATTTTTTCTTTTGAATCCGGCGGTTATAAACGTCTCGAGGGGATTATTTACGCGCGGACGATTTAATTTTCGAATTTACGCAAGACACTCTCCGATTTACCGTTTAAATTTGTATACAATGTTATTTCGACTACTTTACGACCGAATAATATGCCTACCTTTAAGCATTATTTACGGATTTTCGGAAAATTTCGAAATTTTCGAAGTGTCAAGTGGAAAAATAACGGTTATTTTGTAACATTCGTTACCGCATCTCTATACCGAAAAATCGATTCCCCATCTCTATTAGACATCTGTCATACGAAATGTCATTAATGTCGATTTTGTCAGTTTTTTGTGTAAGTTGCGATTTCTCATCAATCAAAAGGTAGATTTTTGGTTATTTTGCGGCTATTAAAATCATTTCTTAATAGACCTCAATGGAAACTCCATCAAAACTTGTAAATTTTCGAACATGCACCGCCTACGCCAGCTTCGTTTTTAACATATTTATTTAAGTCCGAGTGACAGTATTTAGACGTTAAATCACAATGCATCATCCGACGGCCATTAATCATTCTGACAGCCAGCCAAACAATAGATATCAATTTTTGGCGAGCCAAAACCCGCCTCGAGGATGGTTTCCTTTCGGGAAAACTCGCTTCTATCGGGCATTTGTCGTTCTTACGTATTTATTTCGGTAGCTGCCAAGCCGCCTGGATTAATAGCCGCAAAGTATTTAACCACATTTATCTTACAATCTGGCCGTCTCCCTTTTACAAATGACGCCATACCGAACGCACATTTTACCGGTTTTTTTTTTCTCTCCTCTACAGGACACCCGAATGGGAATTCTCGAAATTCGAAAGAGCCGTCCGAACGACTTGTAATTGCCCTGGTTTACTAATTATTTCCGAAATTCCTCTAAGACTCGAAAGGAACAACGTAGTAAGGTAATTGTAGCGATTTTTGGTATTATTTATACTCCGTTCGCCGTCAGGAGATAGCCTTGAAGCTGCAAATTGTAGTAGAAGCTTTAGATATTATAATTGTTTTGTAAATTGTAGTAAAAGCTTTGAAGTTTTAGATATTATAATTGTTTTGTTTAGTAACGCTTTTTCCATACACAATTAGCTACTTCCTGATAGCGAACGGAGTATATTTTTAAAAGAATCCTATAATTTCGTGCGTAGAATATTTAATATCGAATTATGAATCGATTATAAACTTTCTTCTTATTTCGATAAAAGCTATAAATACAACTAGAGATGGGAAGCGAAGCATCTTTTACAGAAAAAACGCGTGCAGTGGAGATGTATTTATTTAAAAATCATGCCGTAGTGAAATGTTTATTGGTACAAAACCGAAAATAAACCGGACGATGCCTTAAGAAACGCTTCGAAATTAAAAAGTCGATTCCGATATCAAAATAAATACTTCATAATCCTAATCGGTGAAGAGCGTCGCTCGAAATTCCCGGGATTTATTACCACGAAATTTATTTTTCGCGCGAGTATTGTAAACAGAATTAGAGAAATAATTTAGCAAAAAACACTTACTTATCATCAGGATCGCAATCCCGGAATCCTTTCGCGAACGGATTGCTGGCGATTTTCAATTGAGTTATCTGCAAATAAAATTACAGGGTGTTAATTAGGATTCTGCATGAAAAATAGGGATATTTTGTTATATACAGGGTGATTCATTCCGAAACGGAAGGATTTTAACCCTATATAGAGGTCGCCCAGGGGATCCCAAAAAACCTATATAGTATGGATCTTACGCTCTTTATAACCGAGTTACAGGGCGTTTTTTTTTAATTTGGCCCATTTCTTTCAGGGCTTATAACTTTTGAATCACTCAGTATAATTATTTCATATTTTGCACATATAATCTACACCTTTTAAACAATTTATCGACCCACTAAATAACAGACGGATATAATTTCAATCAACTTCATTATACTTTTAATTAAACATTATATTTACTAATTTCTTACTATTCTAATTATTTCGCTATATTCGATGAAATTAAGCGCACATTGGCAACAATGTACAGATTTTGCCGCTGTCAACGGAGAAAACTCACGAAATTTGCGCATGCGCAGAAATATGGCAACTAAACTAAAAGATTACCGAAACTTAATTTTTTTTATACAGAATCGTCCGCTAAAGTGTGTCGAACATTAACCAACACCCTGTATATTATAATAAACTACTTGGAAAAAAAATCTCCAAAACTCACTCACCCTATGATTCTGATAAGCCGTAACGGCCGTGAAAGAAGTCTCCGAGAACACGAACGTTTTGAAATTCTCCGAGCAATTCTCCTGGTTCGAAACGCTCTTCGGGGGCAGGTACACCACGTGGAACCTCGGCTGGTACCGGTGCATCGAATTCAATATAATCTGCAAACCAAAACCGCCAAATTAAACCGTTTTATCACCACCTTAGATCATATATCGTTTGCTCCATTTCCTATTGCAAAATGGTCGTTTCTATGAGTGGAACAAAGAAAGGTTATTAAAATGACAGCTGTCAGAGTGAAAAGTTGCAATCACATAAATGTCACTCTTTCCTGTTTTTTTGTAAGTGTCTAATGGAAGTTGTCTTTATCGCACCCATGAAAATAATATAATAAAACTCACGTGTCCGTTATCGTCCAATTGGTTGTTAGTGAGCTTGAGTTTATCGAAGGAGACCGTCTGTTTCATCCATTGGGCCCCCGTGGCGGGACTGTCGGGGTGCACGTGGATCCGGGGCGGCGAGACGGGGTCCGCTTTGCCCGCCACCACCCAGCTCGAGCTGGAAACGATTCCGAGAAAATTTTAATTAATGCATTTATAATACGGATTGCTTCGATTTAGACCGCAAAACATGGTCGCGTTTCTATATGAGTTGGACGGAGAAAGATTGATAAAATGACGGTTGACAGGGTGAAAAGTTGTAATGACGCAAATGTCACTCTTGATTTTTTTTTCTTTACAAGTGTCTGATGGAAGTTGTCTCTATCGCACCTATATACAGATTGCTCCATTTTTCATTGCAATATAGGCTATGTGTGTAACAAAGACAGTTGCAATTGGACACTTATAGAGGAAAAGGAAAGAATGACATTTGTGTCATTGAAACTTTTTACTCTAACAGCTGTCATTTTAATAATCTTTCTTTGTTCAACTCATAGAAATGACCATGTTGCAATCGGGAATGAAACACGGTGTATATTGGTTTTATACACTTGTTTTATTGGTACAAATTGGTGATAGAGTCAATTCAAACTTGTTTTATTGGTACAATTTCGTGATGGGGTCATTTGAAACTTGTTTTATTGGTACAAATTGGTGAGAGGGTCAATACAAACTTGTTTTATTGGTACAAATTGGTGATAGAGTCAATTGGAAACTTGTTTTATTGCTACAAATTGATGATGTGGTCATTGGAAATTTGTTTTATTAGCACAAATTGGTGATCTGGTCATTGGAAACTTGTTTTATTGGTACAAATTGGTGATGTGGTCATTTGAAACTTGTTTTATTGGTACAAATTGGTGATGTGGTCATTGGAAATTTGTTTTATTAGCACAAATTGGTGATCTGGTCATTTGAAACTTGTTTTATTGCTACAAATTGGTGAAGTGGTCATTTGAAACTTGTTTTATTGGCACAAATTGGTGAGAGGGTCAATTCAAACTTGTTTTATTGGTACAAATTGGTGAAGTGGTCATTTGAAACTTGTTTTATTAGCACAAATTGGTAATAGAGTCAATTCAAACTTGTTTAATCGGTACAAATTGGTGAATCTTCATCGTTAATTACCTGTGAAAAGCGTATCGGTACCGTTTATCATCGACCGGTACGAAATCCATCATGAGCATGTACTCGGAGTGGAGATCGAGACCGCAGAGTTTCACCTGGAACGTGGGGAACATCCTTCTGCCCGCTTTGGTGACGATCATCTCCGTGCCCAAGGCGTGGAACTCGTCCCAAAGGTGCTTCATTTCCAGCACAGCACCCGCGTTACTTAGAGCGGGCGAGAGCCCGTTCGAGCTGCTACAAATGAAGGTACTTCTTCGAAAAATATTACTTTGAAAGTGCTTAAATTAAAGTCATAATTTATTTGGGATTGGATTAGAGCGGTATATCAATCGACGGTCTCGTAAAATATTTAATTTTTAGTGCTCTGTAGAGGAGTAATTGATTAAATTACATGTGCATCGAGTGGGTACTCGATTGATAAAACGAAACAAAAGGTGTTATTGTTGGTTTTCAAACGTAGTAACCTTGACATTGGTGTCATTGTTGCGACTTCCTATACTTAAATAATTAATAAACAAAATGCTACTACATCGTTCCATTTTTTTTTTTTTTAGTAAATTTTGTAATAAACGCGCGACGTTCTCTAGCTATTCCTGTCGGTCTGTAGAACGATTTAATGGCTCCTTTTTTAACGCTAATCGATCGTTCAATTGACAGTTTTACATTGTTGTTATGGAGTAACTAAGGAAGATGTTTAACTTGACAGATTTACATGGTTGTTATGGAGTAACTAAGGAGATTCTTTCACTTTTGACAGTTTTGACAGTTTTACATTGGTTGTTATGGAGTAACTAAGGAGATTGTTTGCGTTTTAAAGAGATTCTTAATTGTACATCGACTTACCTAGAATGGTTTTTGTTGTGCGCGTTACTTCTGTTGTTGTTATCAATTCTAGCGTTGTCGTTTTCATCGATAGAAATCGCATCGGCTTGATCCAAAGGCGAATAGGCCTTCCTGTCTTTCCCGGCGATTTGCAGGCAAGCTGAAATTGCGAAAATCCCATCCAATTTCCCATTCGAAATTCTCGCCAATAAATCAACAACTCTTCGACCGTATCAAAAGAAAACGAAAATTCCTCGGTGTCTCTCTATGCGATTGCCAAGCAACGATTTTCTATTTCTTTTATACCTTTTTCCCGCCGAAATTGCGCCGGTGATTCGGTTAAAAATTTTCGTCATTAATCATTTTCAACCGCGCGCTTTTCGTAAAATACACGGCCGATATAAATCAAACGAGGGGCTTACAAATATGCGCCGTGTTTAACTAATGAGACCGCTTGATTTAGGGAATTCCCCAAAACGAAGCGTCGGGACGCTACAATTAGAGCAGCGACGCCCGCCGTCGGCGCTTCGAATTCGCTTTATTTCGATACATAGAGAAGAGAGAAGTGAATCGAGTATTAGATTTAAGATTGGCGAGTAGAGAGGAAAGAGTGGAGAGCAGAAGAGTGAATATAGTAGAGATTGGAGAGTGGAGAGTAGAGAGGAAATAGTGGAAAGCAGAGAAGTGAATAGAATAGAGAATGGATAGTAGAAAAGTGAATAGAGTATAGATTGGAGAGTGAAGAGTAGAGAGGAAAGAGTGGAGAGCAGAGGAGTGAATATAGTAGAGATTGGAGAGTGGAGAGTAGAGAAATTAGAGAGTATAGAGTTGAACATTTCTTTAAAATATTGCCTATGAAAAATGACCGGTAGCCAATTTGTTTAAGACCTTTTTCGAGCCAAGTTTGGATCCTTTTATTAGAACCAATTCTGTTCGAGGCCATTTCGATATTTAGAGAACTAATAGAGCCATCTTTATCGCTCTAAAAACGCCTCTAAATCAACTTACCTTCGATCTGTTTCATTGGAGTTATGTTGGAATTGTATGACCAATTGGTCATGTCAGTGGTGTACCCGAAATGGGTTTGATAAGGCACTGTCGATTCCATTTTCTATACAATAGTCTCGATTTCCGATTTTTTAAAGCTTTTATAGCTTTATTTTCGGACCCATCTGGAACAAAACGATACGAAAATGATGCTTTGAAACTATAAAAAAAATTACCTACTATAAAAAGTGTACAAAAGAATAAAACTAAAACAAGGAAATATAACTAACATTGCAATTAAAAATGCTCCACTAAACAATTTCGTGTGTACTTAAAAACAAGCAACACGAGCGGGTTTAATAAGACGTGCAGATTGAAATGTAAGCAATAAAATTTTCCGCAATAAAACCTGAATTGCATTAGACCGGTTTCGCACGATGCGATATATCGCAGCAACTTATCGTTGCAACATCGCTTTGCACTTTTTCAACAAGCATCAATAAAAATTAAGCGATTAAGCATTAATTTAAAGCAAAAATTAAGCATTAATAAACACTAAACTAGGCATTTAAACGCTCGTATTTTAACTGCAACGCAACATTGCGAACGATAAATTGCCGCGATATATCGCACCGCGTGAAATGGCCCTTAAACAAGCCCGGCGTGAATCCCCGGATAAAAATCTTCGAGCGCGATGAAAATCCTCTGTCGACTGAACTATAATCAAGCTTTCGTTGCCCGGTCGTTGTTTTCGTACAACAAACTCGATAACTAGAGTGTTGTTTATGATAGTGATTGTGAAATGATGGAAAATGGGTTTTGAAATGGTGTTCTTGTGGCTTGTAGCAGATGGAATTGGAGTGGTGTTGATGGGATGATAAGGTTGATGTTGTGGGGTTTTGGGGGTGTTAAATTATCGGGGTGGTTCGGTTGGGGGGTTGGGAAAAATGGGGGGTTTGTTTGAGGGAAAAGTGTGTGGAGGTTATTGGGTTTTGTAGTACTGTTGAAGGGGTGTAGAGGAGGTGAATTTTGTTTGATGGTAGTTTTGGAAAAATGGGGGTGTGTATAAATAACACCGGGAAAATTATTAGGGGTGGTTCAGTGATGGAAATTAAGGAATAAAATTTTTTGGTGCGAGTTTGAATTTTTTTTCTCGTAAATGCGTGAGTTTTTGAAAAAACTTGTAGAGATAGAAAAGTTAGTAAATGAATTGGGCATTTTGACCATATTTTTTTAAAAGGAAAATTTTCATCTAAACAAAAGTTGTGAGGAAAAATACGACTGTTTCAACCCCTTATAAGCATACTTCAGGATTGAAAAAATTGCAAAATGTGTAGTTTTACTGAGAAATAATATTCCCCAAGTTTCGCGTCTTTAACTTAATATACAGGGGAAAAAAAGAAGAAATACCATTTTTTTCAATCTTTAAATAAGTGTAACTTTTTTGTGAAGGGTTTCTTTCAAAAAAATTAAAAAAAATTCAACAACTTCAGGGTATTTTCATTGCGTGGTACAAATTTTTCTTGAAAGCCTTCTTCATTAGAAGATTTAATGAAACTAATAATAAATACCTACTAAGACTGATAATGGATAAATAAATTAACGATCTACTTACTTATTATTATCGAATTTTCCCTGTAAATCCCTTGTCACAGCACACCGCGATAAAATCGCACCAAAACACGAAACAATAAATCTACACTAAATAATAGTTTAATAAATAGTTACCGAAACCAAAAAAAAAAAACAAATTCGTCCGTTGACAACTGACTTTCAACGTGCCATTTTCCGATTTTTCTCCTATCATTTATCGCGACCGAAAGCGCGCTTTTCACGGCCAACTGGGGGCCTCTAATGAAGATCGTTGACGGACTGAAAGTTTGAAATTTTCACACATGTTGTCAGCGTAAACCATGACAATTTTAGGGAAGAGATTTTTGAGGATTTTTCCCTCCTCCGGCGGGCGAGGGGGGGCCCCCCCGAAAGAGGCTGAGCCGCTCCAGGCGGGGCTTATTTAAGCCGATTAGGCGCTGTACACTCCCGCGCACGAGACCACTTTCGGGGATTTTTTACTCTACTTTTTATATACAATTTATCTACTAAGAAGCTGAAGAAAGTAGAGAATGCATGGAAGAAGAAATTTTAGACATTTTGCTCACTTAATGTCAAATACAAGTTTATTAATACTAAATACAGGATATACAGGAATAAAGGATACTAAATAAATCACTAGATAAGTATTATGAAACTATTTATTCATTCATTGAACAACCCTTCAGCAATCGCCATTTTTTTTGGGTTAAAAAGGGAAATATGAAGAATACATCGGGATAATAAACTCTGCTGGGTTGAGTTATTTGTGGTGGATCTGAAATGGTCTGAAATTCGGGCGAGTTTCAGCTGAAAAATCTGGCTGGGAGTGTAAAAGGCGGAGCTAAAACGATCGGGGCCTCCCCTTTTCAGTTCTATTTCAGTTCTGCAGTTCAATTTCAGGCGTTTCGACTGGTCGAGTGAATGTCTATCGGCGTTATAAACGTTTCATATTATTTTAACGTCCACATTTCTCGAGAAATTTTTACAATTATGCATACAGGATTTTCGATTCGCATAATCAAGTGGTCCGATTTTATCTAGTTGTCAAGTTGAAAAAAAGCTCCTTAGTTACTCCATAACAACCATGTAAAACTGTCAGTTGTCGAAATGATAGTCGAAATGAAAGTTGTCACTTTGAATGATCGTCGAATTAAATAAAAATGACATTTGGAAGACAAATTGGCAGAATGAAGGAAAAATTGCCGTTTACGGTTAAGCAACACTAATTAGCGCCCTCTGTCGAGTCACATTATCCGCAACATGGGAGTTTCCGGACCTGTTATAATATACGACCGTGTAAACAATGTAAACCTGTCAATTTGAAAGAATCTCCTTAGTTACTCCATAACAACAATGCAAAACTGTCAGTTGTCGAAATGATAGTAAACATTTCCGATGCCACCCTGGATTTTAATCATCCTAATGGTAAACGCACATCAAACATTTTAGTTGTATGAATAAATAATCTAATAATACATGATAGGGCGTTTCAAATGCATCGAAACTACGATGAATTCCTTATCGTTGATTAACGTTTACTACAAAACCGGTTGTATTTTGGGCGTATTTCCTTTGTACGAATATAAAACATTATTTTATATTCACTCCGTTTTGCAGGGATTATCGCAAATAGCCATGTCGATAATCGCTTTGATATTTTCGATAAAAAAATTCGGTGCATTGGGAGTGTTCAATTTCGTGTACTATTTAGACAACGCTTGGTTGGTATTTTTCGGTTTCGTGGTTTTGTACAATAAAATATACAAAATAAACGACTGGAAAATAATCTTCAAATACTTAGCAACGAGGAAGAACGGAAAGATATCCAAGATCAGATTTGCGATTAAATTAATCGTTCTACTGGGCTCCTTTGTATTGGGAGTATCATCGAGATTCAAAACGAGTTTCTACCAAACTTACATCTACGGATTTCTGTCGATTTTCAGTATATTGGAGTGGATTTCGATGTTCAATCGCGTGTTCGTTTTGGCGTTTTTCATCAACGAATTCACCGGAATTCTAACCGACGATCTCCAATCTATCGAAAATAGAGTTAACATTTTCACCAAATACTCGACACCGAGGAGCAAAATCGCCGAAGAAATGCTCGAAGTCAAAGTGGATTATCAAATTATCAGTACAATCATTTCGAAATTCAAGGAAATATTCGGATCGAACATGCTGATGACGTTCGTATGGGGTTTCATAATCGCCGTGGACATTTGCGAATATCTATCGGAACTCACGGTTCTAAATAATCGGAAAATACCGAAAATCGCCTACGAGAAATTGCTGATTATGTCCGAAATACACGTAAGTATTCTTTATTTTACGTTCTAGATAGTTCTAAATGGTTCTAGAGCGTTCTAAATGGTTCTGGACAGTTCTAAATAACTCTGGAGATGATTCTAGACAGTTCTAAATGATTCTAGTCAGTTCAAAATGACTAAAATGCTTTCTAAAATATTATAGACAGTTTTAAATGATTCTGGACTGTTTTAAAAGACTCTGGAGCGTTCTAAATGATTCCAGAGCATTTTAAATGATTCTAAAGTGTTTTAAATGACTATAGGGAACGATCTAAATGGTTCTAGACAGTTCTAAATGACCCTGGAGATGTTTCTAGACAGTTCTAAATGATTATAGTCAGTTTAAAATGATTCTGGAGCTTTCTAAAATATTCTAGACAGTTTTAAATTATTCTGGACTGTTTTAAAATACTCTGAAGCGTTCTAAATGATTCCAGAGCATTTTTAATGACTATAGGGAACGATCTAAATGGTTCTAGAGCGTTCTAAAGGGTTTTAGACAGTTTTAAATAACTCTGGAGATGATTCTAGACAGTTCTAAATGATTCTAGTCAGTTCAAAATGACTCTGGAGCTTTCCAAAATATTCTAGACAGTTTTAAATGATTCTAGACTGTTCTAAATGACTCTGGAGCTTTCTAAAATATTCTAGACAGTTTTAAATGATTCTAGACTGTTCTAAATGACTCTGGAGATGATTCTAGACAGTTCAAAATGACTCTGGAGCTTTCTAAAATATTCTAGACAGTTTTAAATGATTCTAGACTGTTCTAAATGACTCTGGAGATGATTCTAAACAGTTCAAAATGACTCAGAGCTTTCTAAAATATTCTAGACAGTTTTAAATGATTCTAGACTGTTCTAAATGACTCTGGAGATGATTCTAAACAGTTCAAAATGACTCTGGAGCTTTCTAAAATATTCTAGACAGTTTTAAATGATTCTAGACTGTTCTAAATGACTCTGGAGATGATTCTAGACAGTTCAAAATGACTCTGGAGCTTTCTAAAATATTCTAGACAGTTTTAAATGATTCTAGACTGTTCTAAATGACTCTGGAGATGATTCTAAACAGTTCAAAATGACTCTGGAGCTTTCTAAAATATTCTAGACAGTTTTAAATGATTCTAGACTGTCCCAAATGACTCTAAATCTCGAAATCTAAATTTCCAAACATTGTATTGAAGAAATACACAAATTATTAGCAAAATATTGTCAAT